AAAGATTCTCGTTGTAAATCAAAAAAAAAAGCTCTGTCATACAACAACAACAAACAAATTTGCATTTAGCCATCATCATATGAAAATCGAGAATATGTGAAAAAGTTTTTCTTTCCACTGCCATCAATAGACATTCTTCCATAGGAAAGTTGTACGAGAATATGTGAAAAGTTTTTTTCCACTGCCATCAATATGATTCTTGATTCTAGATTCTTGATGATGATGAGTCTAGAGAATCAAAAAAAAAAAAAAAAAATATCTTGGGAATGTGTCTAATTAACATAAAGTTTTTTCTTGTGCATATATTCAAATTCAATTGTGTGATTTTTTTTTATTCATTTCATCAACATCATCATCATCATCATTTTCATCTTTGGTTTGACAAGTTAATTTTATAATTTCATCAGAAAAAAAAGTTTCTTTCATTATCAACTTTGCTTTGCTTCGGTGGTGGTGGTGGTGATGGGGATGGTGATGGTGTCAGTCAACTTTTTTTCATTTTCAAGATTTGCATCGTTTTTTTTCTCTCTCTCATTTGATCAAATCAATGGCTAAATCATTGAATGTTTATTAATTAAGAAACGATCGATTGATTTAAATGTCAATGTACGTGTGTGTGTGTGTGTTGTGTATACACCTGTACAACAATACAACCACCACCACCACCACAACCGCCAACAACATGACCAAGAATAATGGAGAATTTTGGAATTTTGGAAAAAGAAAGTAAAAAATTTTAGCAGCAAAAATGATGATGTACGAAAAAAAAATAAACACGCATGACTATAGTAGATATTACACAGAATATTCTATATTCTCTCTCTATATATAAATTCATTCGTCAAAACGGTTATTATTAAGAAAAAAAATTCTTGAATTCCGTGTTTAAAGTGAGCGCCAAATTCGTACCAATACCGACAACAACAACAACAACATTTCGGTTCGGCAGTCATTTTGTCGGTTTGAAACTTTTTTCTCTTCTTCTTTGTCGTATGCAAAAAAATCTTTTTTCGAATTGAAAAGTTTCTCATTTTGGCCAGTTTCATTCATTCATCCACAAATTCAAATTGACAAAAAATCAAAATTCTTTTGACATTTTTTTTCTGTTTCGTTTATGAATAAATTATCAAATTCTGTTTACCTGATAAGGGTGTGGGTGTGTGTGTTCATCAAAGCTTTTTGTCTGTTCATTCATGATATACAGAGTTTTTTTCCATCTCTTCATTTCAGTGGGTAAAAAAATTGATTTTTGATTAATCAAAAATCAAACAAAAAAAAAAAATCACCAAATGAAATTTGAAAAGTGAGGAAAAAAACCAAACCAAACAAACAAACAAACAAACAAAAAAAAAAATCTGAACCAAAGTCCAAGAAGAAAACAAACATCATTCAACAATTTCTCATCAATCTCGACAATTTTGTTGTCATTTGTGAACTTTGTGTGTGTGTGTGTGTGTGTGTATCGTCGTCATTATTAAATGAACATCAATTCTTCACATGATCGTGCAAGTAGTATAAATCCAGCAGTTCGAATTTCGAATACCAAAACAAAAAAAAAAAATTCAAGTGAATTAATCTTCTTAACGTTTTCGTTTTTTTTTCAACGATCATCCATTCTTCTTCGTTGTTGTTGTTGTTCATGTTCATGTTCATGTTCATTGTGAATGAATTTCAGAATTCAAAATTGAAACAAAACACACAAAAAAAATCATCAAATCAATAGTTTATCGTCCGATTGTGTGTGTGTGTTTGTCTTTTGATCTGATTTTTGTTGTTGAATCTAGCAAAAAAAAACAGAGATCAAACTTTTTTTTCAAATAGAATAAATTAGATTAGACACATACATACACACACATTCTATTTGGAGAATAGATAGCCAACAATGTCAATGAAATGAAATGAATGGTCAAGAATATGTCAATCAAGTTTCATTTGGCAAAATAAGAACATTCAATAAAATTCTTCTGGATCGGTTTTCGGCTGCTGCTACCATCATCATCGTTTAAGTTATTGGCCAATCATCGTGTGATCAACATGATTTGAATCTGATTGGTTTGGTTGAACAAAACAAAACAAAAAATATCGTCGTTTACTATATTATTTGCTGCTAATGTAATTTCTGATGAATAATAAAAAGTGAAGAAAGCAGAAAAAAAACAAACAAACAAACAAACAAACGTTTGAAGTGAATGGACAATTTCCGAGTGTTTTTTTCACTGTTCATTTAGCTAAAATAAGCCAGCAAAAACAAACCATCTCATCATTCTTTGTTCCTGGATCGACTAAATGAATGAATGTGAATATATAGATTCTTCTTGTTTGTTTATGTTGTGCTGTGGAAAAAGAGAGAAAAAATATTTATTACTCATTATCATCATACATTTTTTTTTGTACTTGCCTTTCCACAAAAAGTGTGTGTGTGTGTGTGTGTGTGGCTATCTTGTATGTAATACACACATTCTCATTATCAAATTATGATCGATGATGATGATGATCAAATGTTGTTGTTGATTAGTGATCGTTAGGTTGTTGTTCTATAGAAACAATTTGAGAAGTTTTGAATACTAATGCACACACTTCATCTTCACGTTTTTTTTCATATTCTACCATAAACTTTTTATATATTATTTTCACGATAATAAATGAATATAATACGATTCATCATCATCATATAAATTGATATATCAAGACCACAAGAATCACCATTAGTAAATAATCAAATCAAATGAAAATGTAATCATGTTCGATCGATCATCATTCAATTTGACTTAAACATGCATGTTTCGAGATCACAACCAGAAATTCGAATCAAAAAATGAAAACATTCGAAACATTGAATCTATACATAAATGACGTGATCATCATATGATATATTTTGACTTGTGAATAGAATTTTTGAAACAAAAAAAAAAAAAAATGGAAACGATCAAACAACGAAAACAATCATCATCGACAACAACAATCAAATTATGTAATATACAACAACCACTGGAAACGAATCTGATGAATTATTTTGAACATAATCATTTTTCAAAATTATTTAGATCAATTTGGCTATTTTTAACTGATAATTTTCGTATCATTTCATCATCATCTTCATGGTCATTATCATCAATGTCGATACATCATTATCATCATCATCATCATCATCATACATCATCAGTGATTATTAATTATTTTGTGATTATATTCATTATATTATCAGCTATAACGTCATTGATAACCGATTTGGTTATTGTAGCAGCAGCAGCACCGCCCAGTTCATCATCATCATCATCATCATCGAAATCTGTATTAATATGGCCTGATGAAATTGAAGATAATGCATTGGCAAAACATGATGAAAGTGGTGATTTTGTTTATAAACAATGGATGATGATGTCACAACAACAAGGAGGTGGAAATGGTGAAAATAATGGTCGTGGACCACCACCACCACCAGGTTTATTTTATTCTGGTAGACATCATGCTCAATCATCATCGTCATCGTCATCATCATCAGCATCATTATTTTTTTGGCCTCAAACAAAATTTCGTGACGACCATCATCAGGATAATAATAATAATCGATATGAAACAAATAATAATAATTTCCATAATTCAGCTTCATTTATAAATCATCATGGTGTTAGTGACGCCATCCATTGGCAACAATCATGGTTATTTATACGTTTTTTTGGTAACATTCTTTTGTTCTATGGTTACTGTTATCAACAATTTAATCGTTTATTCATAATATTTTGAATCAAATCAAATCAAATGTTTATTGTAATGAATTGATCAATCAATCAATCAATCAATCAATCAATGGTTACTGTTGTATTATTTGATGATTGTGAAAGATTTTTGAAAAGAAATCTATATATATATTGGTAATAAATTGGTTTTTTTGTATTTATTATTTGCTCTATCGCTATTGATTGGAAATCAATTTTTTTTAATACTGATTCAATCATCAGTCTGTTTACACAGGTAAGGTGATTTGTCTAGTTGAGAATATATTCCATGGACCATTTGTTTTGGAATCGAGAAAAGAACAACAACAACAATGATGATGATGATGATGATGATGAATATTCGAAAAAAATCAATGGAATTTATTCATAGACAAAAATCACGATTTAATTGTTGTGAATTAATTTTTTGTATTTGTATCATTTTGTTGACAATTTGGTGTATATGGAATATTGAACAAGTATTACATGGCTATTCTGATCGTGAAACAACCATCAGATTGGATAGTCGACTACCAGATCATACAAATTTTCCTGGTATCACTATTTGTGGTCGTGCTATTTTTACACCAGAATATCTGGCCAGTAAGTAATAGCCGTATTTTTCTATAAATAAATAAAAATTCAAACATTCGATCTAATCAATTCATTCATTCCAAAATAGATAAATATAGTGAATTCAATCGATCATATCATAAATTTCAACAAGATTTTCATCATGATCCATTTGTCAATACAACATTGGCCATACGTAATCGTTATCATTTGTTTCGTATTTATGAAAATATTGCTTTAACAGATTTCAATGGTTCCGATGTCATTGAGAATCATAGCCTACGTTTAGAACAATTGGTACGTTGGTGTCGATTTCGTCCAATAAATATTCGTACATTACATCGTTGTGATGATGATAATTCTACAACGGCCACTATTGTTGATCCAATATTACAAACACAATTTGATTGTGATAAAATTAAACAACCAATACCGATTGTTTATAATGGACATAAATGTTTTATGTATTTTAGTGATCTAGAAAATGTATTACCAGAATGGCGTCATTATAAACCACCAATAGATGTTGATGATTTTTTCAATATTCATCATTATCATCATAATCATAATCATCATAAATATAAACATAAAAATCAATCATTATTCATCGATGTAGCAAAATCGATCCGAATCAATGATAATGACATTGACCACGACAACGACAACGATGATAATGTGAATGATGATGATTATTACAACGATCACCATCATCATAGTTTCAATACGGATGATTTAAAAAGAATGAAATTCGAATTAAATCCTTATATTGTAATGCAGATTAATATGCATAATAATATTTGGAATTTCATAGGCGATACATTCGGTACAACAACCATAACGGTTCATCCGCCAAATATTTTACCAAATAAACGTCGTTTTCGTTCATTTCAAGTACAACGTAGTTCATATTATGAAGTTAGTTTTACAAAGAAAACTACACATAAATTACCAACACCATATCGTACCAATTGTATTGATTATCTAAATGATAAGATATTTGCTCGTTATCGTACCCAGGATATGTGTCGTAATGTTTGCATAAAAGAATATTCATATGGAATTGATGATTGTGCAAATTATTATATGGCACTTTCTACAAGAATGTTTTCGGAAGATAATTCTGAATATATTTGTGATCATGATTATCAGGTAAAATTATCATGTGATGTTAATTGTGGATAATAATGGGTTTTTTTCTCCACTTTAGAATTATACAACATTTTTATCAGCTGAAAATCATTGTGAAAATCGTTGTCCAGATGAATGTTTACAGACAATATTTCAGCTAAATGGCCGTATCGATCCAGTGATGACCAATGGTTATGGTTGGCCATTATATGATAATCCAGATACACATACAATTGTGTTGATAAAAATATCACCAAAACCATTTCAAATTATTCAACATAGGCCACGAATATCACGTGAAGAATTTGTTGGTATAATTGGTGGTCATCTTGGTATTTGGCTTGGCCTGTCGATTTATCTAGTTATTCGTTTTATTGTAAATTTTATTTTTAATATCATCAAACGATTAGTTTATTTTTTCAATTTATTTAAAAAACAACCGCATCATGATATAGAACAACGACAAAGTGTTAGGTTATGAAATTTAATTTAAAAAAAAGATCCACAAGAATATTCTAGATAAAATTTAATAAACATTAAATTTTTGCAATTGAAAATTCATTCTATTGTTCTGACCAACAAGGTAAACACATAAACAGGGAAAAAAAGTAACTCGAATATGAGTCACAACATATGACACACACATGCATGTAAAAAAGAATTTTTACAATTTCCAATATAGAAACACAAAATGAAGATAAAATGCATGTGAAAGTTGATTTACTTGATTCCAAATGATTATTATCACCACCATTACCTTTTGTATAACTTTTTCACATTTTGTGCACACACACACACACACACACACACACCAACACAAACACAAAAAGCATTGACTTTGGACAACGACGATGAAGAAGAAGAAGAAAATGTGGTCAACATGTAAATCATCATCAGGTATATATAATTCGTTGCCCAGCAATTGACTTTGTTATTATTTGTTTACTTTGATTTGAATCTGGTTTGTTTTTTGTCTGTTTTTTAGTCGAGTGGTAGTCATTTTCGTCATCATGAATATTGTCGATAAATATTTGCAACTAATCAATCGAACCTATTATGGATTATCGGTTGTTTATCCAGAAACAATACAGCAAAAATTTCGACCACCATTTTTAATTGATTTAATTGAAACTATTCAATATCGAATGGAAATGAATAATTATTATTGGATGGAAATCATATCGATTGTTGTATGCATCATATTGTTGGCCATTATTCGTTATGTATTGGTGAATAAATTCATCATTAAACAATTACGACATTATCGTCTTATATTGGGCCACCATGATCATCATCGATTTGGCAATAATTTATGGAATTGTCTATTTTATATGCATACATTCACATTATCATGGTGGATAATGGCCAATATTGGATGTTTAGAATATCCAAAACGATTCTGGATCAATAATTCATCGGACATTTATTATGGTGGTCAAACATCAATGATAATAATGTATCTTTATTTAATAGATATTTCGAATTATATCTATTCAATGATTTATTTATGCAAAAATTATCGTCAACAATTGTGGGATAAAGATTCACCAATGATCATCATACATCATTTAGCCGCTATTCTGTTGTTTACATTATCACATATGATCAATATGCATCGTATGGGTGTAGCAATCATTTTTCTTCTTGAAATATCAGAAATTTTCTATTTTCTTCGCTGTATGGTTAAATTACAGATCCATTTCATACAACGATGGCAAAATTCAATTCGTTTCATTGGTTTCACATCAATGTGTATTGTATGGCTATATAATCGATTATATCGATATCCATTGATTATTTTAACATCAGTTATCGATTATGGTTATCAGAATCTTGTAGATATGGATAGAATTGCCATCTATATATTGATTTATTATTTGTTATTATTGATACAATTATTCAATATTTATGGATCATTTATTTTGATTAAATTAATCATTCGTATCTATAGTAGTGGCCTGGATAAACTGGAAGATGTACGTGAAATCCGTTGTCAACGTTAAATCATCCAATCAATATATATATATACACACAATCACGATAGTTGTTGTTGTCCAGTAATGTACGAAATGTGATTGAATGATGAGAGAGGGAGATTAACGTCAAAACATTGTTGTTGTTATCAATCTATATCCTGAATTTAAATTTTTTTTTTATTTTATTTTCGATGAATAAAAAAAAAATTTAAAAAATCTTTTGACGTAAATTTGTTGAAAATTTTTATCTTCAAAAAAAAAATGACCACTATTGACTATTGTAGTTATAATAAGCAAAGTAAACAAAAAAAAATGACCAAACCAAACCAAACCAAAAAAAAAAGAGTCTGACGTAAATACTTGAATACTTTAGCCAGAAAAATTTTGAATGAATTTTGTTTTGTTTAAATTGGACAAGGAAATGACCACAAACAAGAAACGTCGGTAAAGATTCAATTTGACAAATTGATTTGAATATTTAAATATCAATGGTAGGATTTATTTGTTTGATTTTTTTTGTCATATGTTTTTCTTGTGTACGTGTTTGTGTGTCCATCGTTGATCCAAAAAAAAAATTTTATGTCTTCATCATCATCATCACAATGATTCGATTATTGGAACAATATTGGCACATAATCAATGGTACCCATTATGGTTTGGCCATTGTTTATCCACATTATATACAAGAAAAAATTTTCCCACCATTTTTCGATGATCTAATCCAAAATGTACAAGAATTATTGATTGAAAATCATTTCTATTGGCAACAATTATTGTGGATTTCATTCACCGTTTTGATCATTTCAAATATTCGTCATTATTTTTGTCGTTATATTGTAAATTTTTTAATTGAAAATCATTATCTATTGGAACGTGATCGAAAAAGATTTTCCGGTAACATTTGGGATAGTGTATTCTATTTGCATACGGTTTTATTGGCCAGATTTATTTGTATACGATTACAACTGTTGAATGATGAAAATGATACAAAATTTTTATGGCTAAATAATGAAGAAACTGTTGGCGTTGATTCATTTCTAATACGATTATTATATCTAATCGATATGGCAAATTATTTACATTCAGCTCATTATATAATATTCATAGATCAATGGGATAAAGATTCACCAATGATGATCGTACATCATGTGATTGCCGCCTTTATGTTAACGATATCATACATAATACATATGGAACGAATCGGTGTGGTCATGATTTATTTGCTAGAAATCTGTGAAGTTTGTTATTTCATACGTTGTTTGAGTAAATTACAAATTCATCTTTTACAACGTCATCTGAATCCATTACGTTTACTGGTATTCTCTGTATTAATCATTGTTTGGTATTATAATCGTCTTTATCGTTATCCAATTATTATTCTACAATCATCAATTGAATTCGGATTCAATCAATTGATCAATATGAAACAGGTTGCCATCTACATTCTACTATATTATCTTACATTAATTATACAATTATTCAATATTTATTGGGCCATTCAATTAATACGTGTAATAATAAGAATATTCCGTAAAGGTTTAGAAAATATTGAAGATTTTCGTGAATTTCATCATCATCATCATCATCATCATGACCATCATTGTCAACATGATCAACAAAATAAATTGAATAATGGAAATATTTTTGAAAATTTTCTTCAAATTAATGATGAAAAAAAATACATTGCATCATAAATGTGCACTCGTAAAAAAAAAAAAAAAAATTCAGAGGAAATCAAGAGGCCCAAAAAAAAAAAAAAAAAACAAAAAAAAAATTTTTAAAATTTTCCATTAAAATTTTTGATAATTTACGTAAACATATGATATAATAACAATACATAAATGTGTCGTATTTGTATCATCATCATCATCGGTCAGTACACATGATATTTCTATTCTGATTTTTTATTTCGTTAAAATACAAATCAATTATTTCTAATTTAAAAAAAAAAAAATTATCATTATCAACATCCTCAATGAATCTAATCGAAACAATTGACGTTGGTAATCAATTGGTTTCCATTTAGTGTATTTAATTTATCAATTAATTAGGAAACACTAGGATTGGATTCAAATGAAAAAAAAAGTATTTTTGATTTTTCGATTTATTTTTTTTTTTTTTTTGTTATCATTTCTATAACGAAATAATATATTCATGGATAAAAAAAAATGGAAATAAAAAGACCAGTGAAATTGATTTCATTGTCATTTTTTTTTTTTTTTTGCTTTAAATTCCAAATAATCATCATCATCATTGGTCATCAAAATGAATAACATGATCGCCGATTATTGGAATATGATTAATGATTCACATCATTTATTAATCAATGTTTATCCTGAAATATATGATCATCAATCATCATCATCATCATTATTTTTTTTAAAATCATATTGGCAATTATTCGTATTGAATAATTATTGTCTATCGGAAATCATATCGATAATATTGGGCATTACAATCATTTCAATTGCACGAAAATTATTATTGATCAATATCATTGATAAACTATTACAACGTCGTTTATTATTGCGACAAGATTATAATAAATTTGCCATATATTCATGGGAATTTCTTTTCTTCACCATGACGGTTATAATATCCGGTAAAATTGTATTAATCGATAATCAATGGCTACAACAGCCGGAATTATTCTGGACTGATTTATCCATCGATAATAATCATCATAAACAAATGGCCACAATGATTAAATTTTTATATATAATGGACATTTCGAATTATATTCATTCTGCATTTATAATCATTTTTAAAGAAAAAACTTGGAATCGAGATTCACCACTATTGATCATACACCATATTATTGCTTGTTTATTGTTGATCACATCATATATGATTCGTTCGTATCGTATCGGTGTGGCAATGATATTCTTAATGGAAACAAATGAAATATTTTATTTTATACGTTGTATAATTAAATTACAATTTACCATCATACAAAAGTATTCTAATCAATTACGATTAATTGGTTTTTCTCTATTGACTTGTTCATGGTTCTTGAATCGTCTTTATCTTTATCCATTGATTCTGATAAAATCGGCAATAGAATTTGGATCAACCATCGAATGTAAACAATCACCGTGGCTTATAATCTATGTTTTTATCTATTATCTAATGATAATCATTTTGTGTTTCAATATTTATTGGTCAATAATTTTAATAAATTCAATCATTCATATATATCGTAATGGTTTGACGAGAATTGAAGATATTCGTGAATATGATTACAATTGCAACGACAACAACAACGATTTGGATGATGATGATGTTGATGATGACATTAAAAACAAAAACAAATAAAAACGACGAAAACCATTGTCACATTTTTTTCATTATCGATATATATCGGCAAATACATCCTGTGAATGTTTGTTCGCAATAAAAAATTTTTTTTTGTTGTGACGTATTTTATATGACGATTAATTCAAAATTTTCAAATTTCTTTTATTTATTTATTTTTTTCTATACAATTCAAGATTGACCAAAAAAAAAAAATGAATGAATGAATGAATGGAAATGATGAAAAAAACAATAAAAAATGGATAAAATTGTTTATCATTTATCAATCATCAAATCGTTTTGGCATTGTAACATGTACCGGTGGTTGATCATTACGATATTGTTCTTTTTCCTCTTGATGTTCACGACGTTTACGTACGATTAATATGATCGCTAATATGATGGCAATGATTAATATGAATATCAATACACCAAGCAATGACCATGTTGCCTGTTGATAGGATTTATATTCTTGTTGTGGAAAATATGGTGGAAATATGACGGCCGTATCTTGTAATTTATAAATAAAATTATTAATAAAATCCACATATGAAGTACGATATCCTTGTTGATTATTATGTGCTGTTTGTGTTATTAATTGTCCATTACGTGTTAGTATCTGATAATTTGGTGCAGCAGCAGTATATAATACATAACGACTTTGTTGTGGAAATCCATATAGAATGAATTCACCAATAAATCGACAATATTGTTGTGCTACTGATAATTCAATTCCGGTTAAACCAGATGCATCATATTCAGTAGGCATCAGATAGAATAGATCATTAAAATGTGTTGAACCATAGGTTTCGATGCTTGGTTGTTGTAATACATTATTCTGTATGATACCGAATGATCGTTGTCCAACATAATCGAAAATCATCATCATTGCACGTGCTTGGGCTGAATGAAGCCGTACAGCATAATCGATTGGACCAACAAAAAGAAAATCACCGAGCATCTATTGATGGAAAATTGAACTAAATTAAACTCAAAAAAAAATTAAAAAATTTCAATTTTTTACCTCAGAAAACAGCTGATCCAATTCCAATTGGGTATAACCAATATTACCATTTGCATTACCCGTTATTGAATATGGACTATAACCACCGGTATTTATCTGATTATTCAATGTATATTGATTCTGTATCAATGATGGATTATTATTCAACGCATTCTGTGGAATGGTTAACGAACGATGTGTACGATTAAAATAACGATATTCAAATGCACTGGCCATTATCAATTCATTTGTATAATATTTAAGATATGGACGAATCAGGAATGCAATTTGTCGTTCCAAATCCGGAGTACCTTTTGGCATACGTCCAGCTTGTAGATAATATTCAAGCGTACCTTCACGTCCTGTGGCAATGACTAGATATTGTTTTTTATTAAATTGTCCATTTTGATATAGATTCAATGGGAAATCTCGTAATAATGCTGAACCAGAAACATTACGATCAACAACAGGACGAAACCAAAATGGTTGACGATTTTGTTCCCAATCACGTTCACCATTCACAGACATTAATTGTCCTAGATCTTGATAACGTAAACATTCAACAATTTGATCTTCACGATAACCACAACTAAAACGATATGCAAAATCACGTGCCTGTGCCAATGGATTATCATTTATTGCCCATGGACTAAACACTGTACCACTGATTGATATTGCATTGGTGAAATATCCTATTGAAATGAATAATTTAAAAAAATCAAATCTTCATCCACATCAAATGAACTTACTATCAGCTTCTGGATTCAACAGATGAAATGATACTGATGCACCACCAGCATCATGACCCATAATAGTTATATTAGCTGGATTTCCACCAAATTTGGCAACATTTTCATGTATCCATTGTAATGCTAATGTTTGATCACGAATACCATTATTACCTGGACAATTAATATCATCGGTAGATAAAAATCCAAGAACACCAAGACGATAATTCATTGTGACAATGATGAAATGGCTATTTGCATTATTTCCAGCTTGTAATAATAAATCTGGTTTATAAAAATCTTTACCACCATAACGAAATTCACCACCATGAATATATACTAGTACAGGTATGGTATTTGGACGATTATCCTTGCATTTTCATTTTTAAAAGTAAAAAAAAAAATCAATCAATCAATGGAATCAAACACAAACAAACTTACAACTGGAACATAAATGTTTAATTGAAGACAATCTTCATCTTCACGTATAGCGGCAACATTTGGAAAACGTTGATAAACTTGTGGACACATTATTCTACGTGTACCAGTACAATCCAATGTTTGTGTCCATACTGGTGGAAAATGTGGTGGCTTTTTATTTAGTATTCAGTATTAAAAACGATTAAGAATTAGAAATTGGAAATTGGAAAACAAAATAACAACACAACTTACACGAAAACGATTAACACCAACTGGTGGTGCACCATATGGGATGCCAATAAATTGTACAAAACTTAAACCATTTGTGTATGGTCGATTATTTGTAAACGATTGTGATGGTGTAAATTTTGAACCAAGTACTGGACCATATTGTGTTTGGACGATTGGATTATTTGGATCGAAAAAATATGAACCACCACCACCAATGCCTATTTGTGCATCGACAACCATATGATGATGATTGTTCACAAAAAACGTTATAACCGTAAACAAAAACAGATGCATTATTTTTTCAAAATGTTTTCAAAAACACCAAATTTAAAAAATAATTATCCGATTGAGATCCGATTCATTCGACAACCAAAATGATGATGATGAATGTTTGAAATGAAATGGTACAACCTAAAACCAAGTTGACAATTTATTTTTATTTTTTTCATTTTTTTTTTTTATTGACCCAGTGTTGTTGTTGTTGTTTTTTTTTTGTTGTGTATCGACGACGACAATAAAATGTCGGTATATGTTTGTGTTGCTTGGATTGTGTGTTGTTTACACACACACACACAGGCACACCAGTGGATGATAACCATTGATAATCAAGGTAACAACAACGATGATGATGATGATGATTTAGATGGTAACGGAAATGTATAAAAAATCAAACCGAAAATGTACCGCCCGAAAAAAACAAAAATTTATTGTTTTTTCTCTCCGGTTTACACCGTTGCCCGTGCAAATATGTGTGTTACAAACAGAAAAAAAAATATCCGGAAATGGTGATGATTTATAGAATTTCTCTATGAGTAATGCACATGTGTTTGATGATTCAATTTCACAATCCTCCAGTCAATTAATTCATTGCGACAACAACAACCTTGGATCATTGAAAAAAAAATTTTTTTTTAAATTTGAAATTTCATAACATTATGAAATATGGATTTTCATTTTTGGATTTCAAAAACGAAAAAACGAATCTAATCATCATTATCTGGAGATTTTTTGCTTTCATTTTTTTCGTTATAATCGATATATAATAATCACATTATTAATCATTTACAATTTGATTTGATTTATGTCTTGTTTGTGTGTGTGTATATGATGCCAACAAACAACAGCAACAACAATTACCTGTGACAGAAATATATTTGTGATTACACACACACACACACCGATTTTATTGTCAAAAAGAAAAAAAAATAAAAAATCCATTTTTAATGGTCGTTGATTATGATGATGATGATTATGATTTCATCAGTTGTTTGCTCGCGTATATACACGTTTCTTAGGTGATCAAATTTGATCAAAGTCTCTTCACCGTTATTATTATTAGACATTTGGTATAATATTGCATATAATGCGAAAATCATTTTTCTTTCTTTCATCATATCATTTGCCATGATATGATTATCGGTATCTGTTTTGACAAAATGCCGACAAAATATCATGTTTTTCATTACGATGATGATTACCAATTGACATGGTTTTTATTATTATCATTTTTTTTGGTGATTATTAATCAACAAAATTTTGTTGCATGAAAATGAAATTTTTTTTAGTGTGAAACCATGATGATGATGATAATGATTCATCAAAATGTTCGATTTTTTGAAAAATAAAACTTAAATCCGACGATAGATGGCGTGTGTGCAAAACAGTACATATGATTCGAATATTTTTTTTTTTTTTTTTTTTTTTTTGAATGAATCAATTGATTTGATGATTTTGAACCAGAAATTTTTTTTTTTTTTTTTTTTTTTGGAATAATGGGACACCACAAAAAAGGTCACCATTATCATTAATACGGTAGTATACAGTATCATCGATTGTGTTTTTCATTTAATTCAATTTTTTTTTCATTTCTTTTCATTTAGAATCGTTGTTGTTGTCATTGAATCATTATGCAAAAAAAGGCCTGTTGATTATTATTATTGAAATCATCACCATTGTCATTACTGTCGTCGATTTGTGTTGAATTCAATTAACAATTTTTAAAAGAAGCGTCAGCAGCAACAACAAATTCATTCATAATGAATGAATGAATGAATGAATCGAACAACAACAACAACAAAATGGAAAACTTGAAAATTTAAACTGTTTTTTTTTGTCAAAAGAAAGCAAAAAAAAAACTGAATGATTAAGTTTTCGATTCAAATACATCATCATCTTACCTCGGAGAAAAAAAAATCATAAAAACCTAAAGTTCTTCAAGACGTCTGGTATACAACATACACACACACAATGACGAATCATGAATCGATTTTCTTCATCGTCTTCTTGACATTGAATTATAAGATTGATCAATTTGATTTGATGATGATCATTATGAATGATGATGATCATCATCATCATCGTCGTCATTATCATTAAGTTCATCATCATTATTATTGTCATCAGGACAATTGATGAAGAAATGGGATTATCATCATCATCATCATCATCATAATGATAATCGGTTTGAAATTTTTTTTTATTCAACAACAACAAAAAAAATTTCAAACCAAAAAAAAAACATTTCAATGTTTACGGACCATATGATTGGTACCAGAAACCTTGGATAAACCTGCTGTTGTTGTTGTTGTTTGGATCAATTGTTTTTTTCAATTTCAATTTAATTATCATCAATTATTATAGTTGTAATCAATCATTTTTTTCTGTTAAAAAAAAGAAAAAAAAATTATTTTCTACATCGAAAAAAAATCATCATCATCAGACATCCAACCGGTAAAAAATGAAAAACATTTCAAATTGTTTTCATTGTTTGGTTGTTGTTGTTGTTGTTGCTGTTCTCGGACATCATGTTGTTTGATTCGCAAGCAATCCCCAAACACAACTTGAAACAGCAAGTGATCAACATATGAAAAAACCAATGAACGAATTGTTGCAACGATGGCCGTTGATAAAGATTTTTTTGTTTTTCCTCCTGAAATAAATCATTAATTGATTGAAACAAAAGAAAAAAAATGGCTATGACAACAAAGATAAAGATGTGAAAAACATAATGATCACTCACCGGTGAATATAAATTCATCAAAAAAAAGTGGGAATCAATACCGATGAGTTTTGTTTTGTTTTGTTTTGTTATCGATTATCGAAATTATAATAATCAATCGATCATATAATGATCAATATATATTGACACATTGATTAATCCACATTGTTTTTATCAATCGTCATAATTTTTGACCTAGATCAAATATTTGATTAAAATTCTTTTTTGTTGTTGTTGTTGTTGTTCTTGGAAATAGGTGTGTTGTGTACCATACAATTATATATCATTCAATGATGATGATGATTATAATTAGTAAAGAAAAAATTTTTTTTCTTTTCTTTTCACTTCAAAAAAAAAATCAAGGCCTTTTTTTCTGTTCTTATATTTTTTATCGATGATTGATTATTGATAAAAGAACAAACAGATTTGATTTTTGATCATGATGATGATTCGTGATGGGCGTTTTGTTTTTTTTGTTTTATAAATTCTTGTTAAATGAAGCGGAAACAAATTTTTATTGGCTTAAAACAAAGAATAACAATCGATATATCGATCGAACACTATCGGTTTTCTTTCGAATGTTCATATTCATTCATTCATTTTTTATTTATCCAATGGCACTATTTTGCCAATAAAAAGATTGATTTATTTGATTGATTGATTGATTGTTTGAAAGTGTTATTTTTTTCTGAAAAAAATTTTCAATGAATCGATCATCGAATTTGTTCGGTTGTGTGTGTGTATGTGTTTATTGATGTGTAAAAGTAAATATTAATATTCAGTACAAAAATTTTTTTATTTGTTTGAAATGGTGATGATGATTGTATAACAACAAGGTGATGATATCGTCATTGTTTTCCCACCATCATATCATCACCAACACCGTAAATATTAGAAAAAAGAGAAAGAGAAAGAAAAAAAAAATATTAGAAAAAGAGAAAGAAAAAGAAAAAAAAAAACAAAAACCTGTGTTTGAAAAAAACAAAGTTTCATTAATTTAAACAACAAAAATCCCACACACACACACACACACACACACACACACAAACAAAGATCATATTCATTTGATATGATTTGTGAATTTAACACCTGGTTATTTTGACCAACACATGTGTGTGTGTGTGTGAATGTAAAATGTTTGAACAGAAAAAAATTTTTTTCATCAATTTCACAATTATGTTATAAATATGTGGCCGAATTGTTTGCTGTAGATATATTCATTGGATTTGAAAATGGCCAAAATCGATCAATTCGATCTATCATCATCATCATCATCAGCAGCAGCATTTGTTTATTTATTCAAAAAAAAAAAAAAAAAAATGATCAAATCTGCAAATGAATGAACTGAAGATTAAATCGGATTTTTTTTTATTTATAATCGGTCAAGGTGTTGTTGTTTAATTTCATGTGCATTTGAATATTATTTTCATCACTAAAATAATATATTTATATCCATCCATCATGAAATATTGAAAATCATGAAACTTTGAAAATGACTATGTATTGAAAAACTAAAACACAACAACATTCGAAACTATCGATACTATCGAGATTTTTGTTTTTTTTGCCCATGCAAGAACTATTTCTGCCGGATCTAATATTTGCCATTGAAAGAAATCAAAACAAAACAAAAAACATTGATCCAATATGTGATGATTTGATCCAATTTTTTTTTATTGAATCGATTGATCGATCCATCATCAATGAAATTGCAAACAAACAAATGAATTGATTTGAAAATCAATGTTTTCCCTACACACACACACACAGATCACAACAAACAATTTCTCTCTTCAATTGAATTCTCAAAAATCATCATCATCATCATCATCATCATAGTCATTTATTATTGCTTTTTTTTGTCAAAGTTATCTTATTTCTCTTTTCTTTTGTTCTTCTCTCTCTCTGAAACAAATCACATCTGTAGTATGAAAATTTTCGAAAATTATAAAAACTGATGAAATGAAAAGAGATCAAAATGGCAAAAGAGAAGCACCGCTTCAGGGCTTTGTTAATTTAAAGATTTTGTATCCAAAATGTTGTTGTTGTTGTTGTTTGCTGTTTGTATACAAATGATATGTGATTTTTATCCAATTCATCAGAAATTATGTTGTTTTTTTGGTTCGATCTGATCAAAGCAATTTCATTGGTAAGTTTTTTTCTCTCGTTTTCTCTATGTGATGTGTTCAGTTAAAAAAAAAATTTTTTTTTTTTTTGAAATGATAACGATTTTTTTTTTTTTTGTTTATTTCATTTTCAGAGAGAGAGAGAGAGTTAAATTTATCTGAATTGCTATGGACAATGTAATCGATTGATTGTTTTGTTCATTCGATTCATTCAATTTCAATTTGTTGTACGCACCATTCATTCATTCATTCACTTGTTGTTGTTGTTGTGATGGTTGTGGTCAATAACAGCAGTACTTCAGAAAAAAAATCAATTATTTTTCATCAGAAAATCATTAATATAACCACCACCACCACAACAACAACAACAACACCATCGCCAAAACGAACCACCATTGATGATGATGATGATGATGTTAATCTTTGAAGAAAAAGAGAAAAATTGTTTTTCATTTCAATGTTTGTTTGTTTGTGTGTGTGTACGGAACATTTTCTCTTGACGAAAAAGAAAATTTTTTTTTTTCATTTTGAAAATTATCAAACACATCTGAAGACACCGTTTTGTTTTTATATATATATACAAAGTTTAATTTGTAACTCTCTCTGTAATGTGTGTGTGTGTGTGTGTGTGTCTAATGGTGGAAAATTGCTACCAAAAAACATCGAAGAAACTTGTTGAATTTTATTAATTGGATAATCCATGACAACGACGACAAACAAACACCAATGATGATGATGATGATGGGAAAGTGAAATGAATTTGAAAGTAAAAAAAACAACGACGACGACGACGATCCACATCCATAATCATCATTATCATCATCATCATCATCGATTGATTATTTGCTGATTGTTTTCAATAGAAAAAAAACATTAATTTATTGATTTTTCCTTAGTAACGACGGTAATTGTTGTTGTTTGTGTGTGTGTGTGTGTGTGTAAGTGCGTGTGACAATCATAATCATCATCAACCGAATTGATTCAATGATTGATCTATCAATCGATAGTATAGTAACATCTACGAAGGAAAAACCAACAAATTGTTTCAATGAATGATCCATAATTTACAAATTATTGATTTATCATCATCATCATCGATGGGTGGTTGTTATTCATCTTCTGTAACTTGAAAATTTTTTAATTTATCATCAATATATAAAATGTCATCGAGATCTCCATATTCTTTTTCATCATTATCATCAATAATGTCGTTGTTTCCGACAACATTATTTCTATTCCTCATTATCGTTCATATTCATTTTTCATCCATTTTTGCTCATAATATTAATCCACCATCATCATCATCATTGATTAAATCAAATTCATCATCTTCGACGACGACGACGACGACGACTGAAAATCCGATATCGATCAAGAATGAATATATGGAAGATATTGATAATGATGATGGAGAACTAGATGTTGATGATGATGATGATGAATATTCATATGATGATAATAATGGTTATTATAAGAATAATAATAATAAAGATAAAGATAATGATCATTATACAGCATCATCATCAAATCATCGATCATCATCATCATTGATTTCACCAATAACCAATGATATTGATGATGATGATTTTTGTAATGATACATTTATCGATTCAGCATATTATAATGGTTATGATACAATATTAACACGTGGTAATCATTTATGGTATTATTATAAAGATCAAAATCGTTTAAGCCGTTCATATGATCAACGTAGATTTACACAAGGTATGTATATCTTGAATGTTTTTGGTCAGTAATTTTAATATGTGGTCAATTTTTTTTCTGATTAAACCATAAGATGGTTATGCCATTTCATTTCAAATTTAGATTTGTTTTTTATTTTGATGACATTTTATTAATGATGATTTTTTTTTTTTTTTTTTTTTGATATTTGAGGTCATTATTTATGCGAAAAAAAATGAAAAAGAGGGTTTGACCTGTTTCGAATTTTTGTTTTGTTTTTTTTTTTGTCAATTTGCATTTTGATTTATCTATCTATCTCTTTGTAGTTTTCATTGTTTTCTCTCTCTCATTTCGATAAGTTCTTTGTTTTTTATTTTGTGTGTGTGTGTGTGTTTGGTTTTGAAATATTTTTTCATCATCATCATTATCATCGTAAATTTGTTCAGCTTCGACGAATATCGTTCGGCCTTGTTGTTTGGATCAAAAAAACAGAAAAACAAAAACAATCTGATGACGAACGACGTTAATGATGATGAATTATTAGACCATATTTTTCATTTTTGTTTTTTGGCTAGAATTGATGAAATGATTGATGATAAAGATATGAAAATCTTTAATGATGGTCATTTTATTCGTGTGTGTGTGTGTGTGTGTGTGTGTTTGTGGTAGCGTAAATCGATGTTTTTTCTCCACTGGAAAAAAATGCCATTTTAAATACCTGATTTGTTCTTTTTTTTCGGTTTAAATTTTTTTTCCCATACAAAAACAAAGCCGGACATGTTTTTTTCCGGCCAAACTGTTTTTGTCGTGTTTTTTTTATATATTTTGTTTTGTTTACCACAAAATAAGAGGCATTATCTTTCAAATTCAAAAAATTGTTTGTTTTTCATCTTGTTTGTTAATCTGCTTATAATTTTGTTGTTAATCAAAGTTTTTTTTTTTGCCTAGAAATTTAATATGAATGTCATACATACACACTAACACACACACACACAGAATTAGATCTTAATTTGTGCAACAAAAATCCCATTTTTTCTTCAATCAGATGTAGCCAATAAAAAGTCTCTACTACACAGGTATAATAATTCTATGTTTATCGATTCATTTTTGATGATGATGATGATAATGGCATTATCTCATTTTATATATAACAATGGTAAAAAAATATCGATTGTATCGAAAAAGCTTCTTCATATTTTTATTTTCCTTTTCATCATCATCATCATGAAAATATAATCGTTTGACATTTTTATCGACAACAACATTACATAATTCCATTTATCTGATCATTTATTTTCCTCATCATTCAGGTGAATATAGAAAAAAAATAATACAATAAAAATCGAATTGAAATATTCTACAAAAAAAAAAAATGACAAATGACTAAACGATATGCAGATCAAGAGGGAAAAGGTCAGGTCAAAATGGTGTAATAAAGAAAAAAAAATGATTCCTAACACTCAACAAATGATGATGATGATGATGATTGAAAAGTAGGGAAAAAATTCGGAAATCATGTCATCATTTATTGATTTGAATTGAAAAAAAAAATTTATTCATTTCATCATCATCATCATCATCAATGTCATTATTATTGAAATGATGACATTTCATCGATAATTTATCACTTATTGTTATCATCATCATCATCATCCACATGTGTGTTGAATATATAGAAATTGTCCATAAAAAATTTTTTTTTTCTTGTGGCTACTTTTAACTTGACATTTTTTTCCATTATTTTTTTCAATGTCTCTTTTTTTCATAGTCAATAGTCATCTTCATCATCATCTTTTAGATCAATGTCGATGATTTTTTTTTTCGTTTGTTTGTTTGTCAATGAATTGATGAATTGATCATCAATGTTTTGTTGTTGTTGTTGACCTTTTTTTGTAGTAGATAAATTATGGATGCTTCTGTATTGTCCACTGGTTGACAGAGACAATCATCATTGTTTTTGTTTTTGTTTTCATCTTCTTCATTTTATGTATTCATGTTCCAACAAACATCGTTGATATCATCGATGTGATGATGATGATGATGATAGTCATTATAAATGAACATTTAATAGTGGAGAAAGGAGATATCATTTTTCTTTTCCGTTTCGATTTTTTTTTTTGCTTTTTCTTCCCATTCACATACACACACCCCTTTTTTTCATTCATCGATATTTTAGATAATAATTCCCAAATAATTAATGAAACAATCGATATGTAGTAGGGCCATTATCGATATAATTTACTCGGACACACACACACACACATGTTTGGGACACCATACATTTTCCGAAACCAATTGTCTTAAAGAGCATTGATGATGATGATGAAAATGATGTTTTCATCCATACGAACATTTGTTACTGTTTTTTTTTCTTTGACTGTCTGGCCTCTTTTGTTCATTATTTATGGACAAAATGAGTACAAAAAAAACTTGACAACAACAACAACAACATCCATGAAAATCTACATAGACATTGAAAAAAAATGTAAATGAAAATGAAATTCATAAATTTGCCAAATATGATCTTTGTAAATGTAGGTGGGTGTGTGTGTGTGTGTTTCGAAAATGGCCCGGTAAAAAAAGAAGCATTCTTTTCTTTTAATCAAAAAAAAAAAAAAAAAACAGAGATTTTATGATAATCCGTGTATGGCGTGTGTGTGTGTGTATTTGTTCCAAGAATATTTAAGGCAAATAACAACAACAACAACAACAACAGAGAAAGAAATAATCAGCACATCATTATCACTATGCTGATTGTTGTTGTTGTTTTTTCTCTTGTTTTAATCATCATCATCATCATCATTATAATTATAATGATGATGATTCACAGTATTAGATAATGACATGTGTGTGTGTGTGTGTGTTTTCATGAATTTCATTAATTAATATTCATAATTCATTTTTTTCATTTTAAATCATGAAATGGATGATCGTTTTGTTCAATTTTCAAATTCGTTTTCCATGTCCATTTATCATTCTTTTTATTTTTCCGATATTTGATCATTCTCTCTCTCTCTCTCTCTCTCTCTCTTTTGCTCTTTTTGATTTCAATGTCATCATCAATGTTTTCAGAATCACAATCGATTAGTTGAAAGATTTTGTTTTTGTGTTTCTTTGGAAAAAAATCATTGAAATTCAATCATAAATCATTAACTTGGACAAAAACTTTTGTGTTTATCTCGAAAGAAATGAAACAAATTTTTTATTTTTTTTTTTATTTTTCGTAAATTTGTTTTGTGTATATGTCATTATAATTGATAGTGGAATGAAAACGAAAAACAAGAAACTCGTGTCAAACTTGTTGATAATAAATAAAAAAAAATTTACATCAAATTCAATCACCATTGAAAGTTCATTTTATGAATTTATCAATCATCATCATCATCATATAGAGAGAGATATAATGATAATAATTATATTACATTTTCTGCTACATTTACTCCACTGACATCGATCAATCAATCAATCAATCGAACGATCGAACGAACGAACGATTGATCAAAAAAAAAAAACTATTTGATAAATCCTATCCTAATTGAACCATTGAATTAATCGATTTGAAATTTTTGTTGATCACAACAAAAACAAAACGAAATTGATCAGAAAAAATTTATCGAAATGAATGGTAATTTAGATGGATGGATAGATAGATAGATTGTTTTTCTAAAAACAAAACGAAAGTAATTTTCATGCCATAATTTTGTTGATTTTGTTTTTGTTTTTTTTTTCAATAACATTTATATAGGTGATCATATTCAAGGTGCATTCAACATATCACGAACACCATTATATTGTCTTAATAATCACAATCAATCTAAACATCGTCGACGACAAACACGTCAATCATCATCATCGGCATTATTATTACGTAATCCATTATTGAATGCCAAACAACAACAGCAGCAAAGAAAATCAATGCCATTATTATTGGAAAAACGTTCAAAATTACTGCAAGATCAACAATCAACAATATCCGGTGATTGTCAAGAATTACAAAAATTACGTTCAACAGCAATATATTTTCTACATAATAAAGAACGTACACGTAGTTATTATAATCTGGATGTTCGATATCCAAATGGTACACAACGTAGGGTACGTTCACGTGATTTACCATGGAATATGAAACAGGTATGTGTAAAAATGTTAATAAGAATCCATTTTCAACTCGTTTTGAAGATATTTTTATCGTTTGGGTTTTTTTTTGTATGACATCCACTTGACATGATCATCAGTTGTGTGATTGAATATTAACTGATGACATAAATTCATAGATTATTATAGGGATTTTTAGTGTAGAGATGATTGAAATTCAATTAGTAGCAGTAGTTTTTTTCTGGCATTCAATTAATCATTATGTAACGTGTGTCTGTGTGTGTGTGTGTGTGTGTTTGTGTGTTTATAGACAGTGTAATTATAGACAGAAAACATTTCTAAAAAAAAGTAGCATGTTGTTCATTCAGACGATGGTTACATTTTTTTTTTTTTTTTTTTTGATCTATTTGAAATTTGGTTATTTTTAGTGTCTGTGTGTGTGTGTGTGTGTGTTTTTTTACTTGTTGCTTATCCTGGATCAAAAATTTTTACGAAATAGTCAGACAGTTTTTTATACCCGTTGGTATGACATCTTTTTTTCCTGTTGTTGTTGTTGTTGTTTTTTTTTATTATCATTTCCTATCGAAATAAACACCGGGAAACTTGACTTGGTTTATTCGCGTTATATTCATTTCATTCATTCACACTCATATGGATCGATAATGATGTTGTTGATAATAAACGTATATATGTTTTTTATGCACTTAAAGAAATCATAAAATGAAAAATAAAAGTGAATCAAAAATATTGAGAGTTTTATTTGTGTAAAAGTGCATTGTGTGTGTATGTATAAACTTTTCTTGAATAATAATAAAAAAAAAACTTGACTGATAATGAATGACCACGATTGATTGATTCAAATTCAAAAAAAGATTGATCATTGAATCTCAAGTGTGTGGTCTTGTGAAAACAACACAAACAAACAAACAAATAAATGTGTGGTTTTTGTGTTTGTGTTTGTGTTTTTTTCTATGAGTTTATTTGATTTTCTTTCATTCTGCTGTTTATTGAAACAAAACCAAAACTTTCAATCATTGATTTGTTTGCACTGAATAGAGAGAGAAATTGAACAAATAAATTTCAGGATCGATTCGGTCATCCTGTGTGTGTGTGTATGCTGTTTGTTTTCCTGTTCCCATTATCATCGCCATCATCAAGTTATGGTTATGAATTTCCGACAAAAAAAAACCCGACGACAATAATTATAATGATGATGATGATGACAATCTGAATCAGACATTTTTTTCGCGAAAAAAAATTTCACTTAATCATCATTTTTATCGATTTATATGAACGGTAGTTTTTTTCCCCTCAAGTTTTTAATTGAAAAAGTGAAAAGCATCTTGATTTTTTTTTGTATTTTCTTGTGAAATGAAATTTTTTTTTTCTTAAACGTTCCAAATTTATAACTTTCTGAAGGCGATTTATTTTATAAACTAATGCTGGAAATAACAAATTTCGGTGGCGGTGGCAAGGAAACCGAAAAAAAAAAAAGAAAAAATCCAAAATTAGTAATTATTTTTATCTAGGGATTAAATTTTAGTTTTTTTTCGCTACTATCTTCATATGTGTATAATTATGATTTGCTCGAAGGTGGCTGCTGGTTTTGGTGGTTTTTACACATTTTTTTTCAAGATTTGGAAATGTGTGTGTTTGATTTTCCACAACTGAAAAAAATCAACACACACATTTCCTCATCAAAATAGTCGGGTTTTTTTTCTATTCGTCGTCATCATCATCACCGTTATAAGTCTACTATTTTCAGTTTGTTAGGAAATTTTTTTTCTCTCTCATTAATTGATTTGATTTGATTTGATTGATTAATGATTTGAAAATGGTTCGTTCGATGAACTTTTTTTTTAATCGAAAAATTCCAGAAATTTTTTTTTTTTTCATTCATTTTGGAAACTAAAATCAATTTTTTTCCCCATTTGAATCAATTCGATCTGATCACTGTGTGCGTGTGTGGGTGGATGGATTATTGAATTTTTTCTCTCTCTCTCTCTCTCTTTGTGTGTGTATGTGATGATTCTCATCGAAAAGAAAAAATATTTTGAAAACGGTGGGCGCCATATTTATCGGATCCAATCAGTAAAGTCTCGTCCATACATGTCGTAATCATGCGTGAATCGTTTTTTATCGAAAAAAAATTTCATTGACAAAGATGAAATTTTTTTTTTGTTCATTAATCGAAAGGATTTCGTAAACTAATTGTTTAGAAACGATATTTGAAATGAATGAACAAAAAAAAGATATCCAACCATTGGCAATTGAATTGATCAAGAAAATCGAAACTGGATCCTTGAGTTTTTTTTCCTGGAAAAAAAGTGAAAAAAAAATTTCATAATCACCATCATCATCATCATTATCATTGGTTTTTGATCAACGGAAAATGAAATGAGAGTTAAAAGAAAAATTTTCCGCTTTCGTTCACATTTCTATATTTTCCATTGATTTTATCTAATATTTGGTTGGTCATTGCTAAAATGTGCTTATTTGTCTATCTCTCATCGTCTTCATCATCATCATCATCATCATCATCACAATTATGCAAATTATTATCAAAAAACAGACAAAAACGATCAAAATCTCTGTGTTATTTGAAACCTGAATTTTTTTAATTTTTATGTTGTTTTTATTTTGAAAAACACACCACACACTCATGAACACGCGCGCAAAATAAATTTTGTGCTTTTTAGCTTTGATCAAGATTTGAAAAGAAAATTTTTTTTTTTTTTTCTTTTTTCAATTACATTGGAAAACATTGCTTTTTTTGTTGTTTTTTAAAAATTCATTCGATGATGATGATGATGACAAAGTTCACATTTCATGTTTATCAAATGATTCTCAATTTTTCTTCATGTGTCGATTATAAAGTTCCAATCATAATGATATTGATGATGATAAAATGGTGAACTTGATGAAACCTACTACTAACACACACACACACACAAAACATGATTTTACTTGGAATAAAAAATGAAAATTAAACTAATCTAGAAAATTTTCTATTTAAACAGTGTGTGTGTGTATGTGAGAGAGAAAGAGAAAAAACTTTATTCAGCTCATCTTCATTCATCGATTGATTGAAGCATCGCTTCTTGTGATTTATCTGTGTGTGTGTCATTTTATTTTTGTGTGTTAATGTTCTGAATTTATATTTTTTTTCTCAATATATTTCTTGTATGAATCAATGACAGTAACAAGCGAAAAAAAAACGAGATCAAAATGTTATTAGGACGATGAAAATGAAAACACATGATATTTTGTCACAAAAACATCAGCTGTCATCCAAATATTATTCACTATTTATGGATGATGATGATTATTGTTTTATGAATGAAATATTTTTTTTTTTGTATTTGATGGTGACATATGATTGGTTTAGTTTAGAAAAAAAAAATTTCAGGTCGTTAGCGATTCCAAGCCAATTATCCTTTTTCAATTTCTGAGAAATTTCCACCACCATCATCATCATCATCATAATCCAGGTTATCTTAGTTTCGGTTGAATGGAATAAAATTTTTTTTCTTCTGTTTTTTTTTTGTTTCACCCATTTTTTCCGTTTGTTTCCTTTAGGCGCTTTTTATACATACTATAATTTTTTTTTCTTTGCTTATTCATGTGTGTATGTGATGTACCTGATAAGGTAATGATGATGATCATTACCCGGTTACACATTTTTAAAATACCATTTTTTGTTACACTTGATTGATTTAGGTTCCAAAAATCGTTGTTGTTTACTATTTTGTTTATTATTTTGATTAACGAAATTGTTTTTTTTCTATTAACTTTACTAGGTTGGTTTACTTGGCGGTAATCTATGGCCAAATGGTTGGGAAATATATCAAGAATTTCGTCCGGTTGCATTTTTACCTGCACGTTATGAAATGATATTTATTTTGAATGAACATCATTTTTCGAATCTAGAATCATCAACCAAGCAACATCAACAACAATTTCAATCACAACGTTTATCATTAAATAATAATAAACAAACAAAGAATAAAATTCCATCACCAATTTTAATATGGAATAATTTAGATGCTACAAATTGGAATACATCATGGAGATCAAAATTATTACATTTTGATCCACCGGTACGTTTCACCGGTATGTTTGAAATGAATGGCATTGTTTATGCTATTGGTGAATCGACGAATGATAATCATTCGCATTCAATATCACGAAGAATTGGAAAAATGTATCGATATTATGTTACGGAAAATGATGGCCGTGATTTTAAAGAATTAGTAAGTGTCATACGGATTTCAAATGAATTTTCAATTTAATCGATAAATTTTTTTTCCAGAATCAAACTGTACAAGAATTTTTTGGTTGTCCAAAATCAAAAATTCTTACAACAACAACAACCACAACATTCAAACCTTTTACCAAGGCTTCAAATACTTCAAGCCAAAGGTTAAATACGATTATTCCAAAATTAACAACTACAACAACGACAACAACTACTACCACCACAACAACGACGACGACGACGACGACAACTACACCAAAGCCCACGGCAATAACAAAAACCACCACATCTACAACTTCCACACCATCTACCAATATTATGGAAGATTTTGAGTCATCATCGAAATCTTCAAATAGAATTGATAATTATAACGAAGTCGAAGACGAAGATGATGATGATAATAATAATGAAGATGCATCAGCTAATGATACTGACGATTCATCATCATCAACACCTCCTATGGATCATATAATTATACCAAAGAAAAAATCTTCAAGTCATTCAATTCCGGTTACGACGACAACAAATAAACCAACAGAAGAATTTACATCATCATCATCGTCGTCGTCGGAAATACCATCATCGGTATTTTTACGAAATTCACGTGCAAAAATTACATCCGTAATGCCGACAAATATTAAATCAATCGGTCATAATAGTCATTCATCATTGGGTACGACTGTACAACAACAACAAACCATTGGTGGTCATCCTGTTACAAAATTATCATTTCCAAAATTAGCTACAGCTGGTTCGGCTTATCCAACAGTTACATTGCGAGAAACTGATTCAATCATGCTGACAATATTGATTGCAATCGTTATCGGTGCTTCAATATTATGTATTATATTGGCTTGTTTAGTCATTAATGGTATGTAGTTTTTTTATGTTCTCACACACCCCACATATATACATGTAATAGGCAGAATTAGTCAGAAAAAAGGATAAATAGGATTATTACCCCTTTGACCACCGAATAACATTTAGAAATGACCCCAAAAACCAAAAAAAATTCTTTATATTTTTTGTCGTGTTTATTTCGTTCAATTACAATTCATAACATCAAATCAAAATATTCCCCAATATCGAAATTTTCTGAAAAAAATGAAAGGAAAAAAACGTCAACTTCCTCCTCATTTTGAAGGTGGTCATCATATCGAACCGGCTATACCGAAACCAACAATTATTGGTCTGGATTATCATCGCCGTAAAAATTCCACAACTAGTTCATTGACGCCATTCAATTTTCTTGCACGATATGATTCAATGAATTCATTGACGGCCATCTATTCACAAGTAAATCATCATCCGGGTTTGCATTCATCACATCATCATCATCATCAATCACGACCACCATCATCACGATTATCACCATCATCGATTATTGAACCAACAGCGTCTAGCCCAAATTTACATGCATTGCATCCAAAGATTCCAGCTCCGCCACCACCACCACCACCTCCTCCTTCAATATCACCACCGACAACAATATCTAGAAATGTCGGTGGACCAACACTACATCATAAATCTGTTTCAGTAAATCTAACTAATTCTAAATCTGGTCATCATCGTCATCATCATCATCATCATCATCATAATTCTCATAATCATAATCATTATTCATCATCATCCATATTAGTGAATTCTGAACCAAATCTAGTTGTAGCCGAAGAAATAGCTGGACCATCAATGACGAAAAGTGGCCCAAGTCATCATCATCATCATCAATCACAATCAATTCAACAAGAACAACAACAACAGCAGCATCAGTCATCATCGTCATCATCATCATCACCGAATCGAATTAAATCATTTGAAAGATTTGAAAATTTAATTTGAAAGAAAAAACCTTTTTTTGTGTGTTTTTATTTTATTTCGAAAAAAAAATTTTGTATTACCATTTATATTGTGCATAATAATTTTTTTCAAAAAAAAACTGTGACAAAACTTTTTTTTTTGATTGTACAGATTCTTGTTTTTTTTAGACACACGCCCAGTATTCTAGTTATAATAATGATGATTATTGTCATTGATTGATTCGAAAATTTTCTTATTAACACATTGATTTCAAAAAGATTTTATTTTATTTCTTTTTTTATATAAAGATTTTTTGTTTTTTGATTTTCTATAATTAATATTTATTAGTTGAGTGAGATAAATAAAGATGAGATTGTCAAATTATTTAGTTTTTATATCAACAGATGGCAGCACTTCAGTAAATTGACACAGGTGATTTCAAATTTTACCGACAGCAACAAACTGCACGTCTGACCACAAACACCTTGTTTTATTTATATACAATCAATCAACGACGGAAACAAAAAAAAAAAAAAAAAAAATGAAAAAATGGGAAGAAAACAACCTTCAAGATACACACACAGATACATATAGATATTATTATAAAGTAAAGAAAATCAAGAAAAAGATACACATTGAAAAAAATTGTGGTGTTACACAAAAACAATGAATATAAAAATTTTTTCATCCAAAATCCAATCACAACAGATGATTCAAAAATCAATTTTTGTTTTCAATAATCGGCTAATATAACTGGTGTTGTTGTTGATTATCAATGGAAGGTGGTTAAATGGTTTTTCTTAAATTCTATCAATATATCATCATGAAATAATAGTGGAAGCGTTTTACATAGATTTATCTGTTTGTTTTTGGAAAAAAGTTTCTCACTTCTGGTTTATATTTTGTTGTTGTTGTTAATTGTCTCTTTCCATTGTTGATTTTTACATACAAATTTTCTCTTCCGGAAAAAAATTTGCAAGAAAAATTGCAAAAGGGTAAGACAAAAAAACAAAAATTCCAATTTGAAAAAAATAATGACAAATAAAAGATGTTAATATCAATATAGTAGAGTGAAAGGGGAAAGAGTAATAATCGGTTTATATCGCGCCCATTCATTTGTGTGTGTGTATGTGTATAATATGAGTGTGTATCACTAAGTTTTAAAGTTCCATTTTGTTTTGAGTGAAAAAATTTTGTACGAATCAATAGACAAATATAAAATGATGGTGGTGAGAAAAGAAGAATCAAACGGTATTAATGCTTTAAGAGTGTATTTAAAAGTGTGATTTAATTAATGAAGAAAAAACATTTTGTATCACACAAACACACACATTTAGGGGTGCTAAAATTTATGATGATGATTGATATTAATGCGGCTGCTGCTGTTGTTTTATCAATTTTAGTTCAGTTTATTTGGACCAAAAATAGTGATAATAATGATGATAAAGGAGGCAAAGATGAATAAAGAGAAATTCAGTGTTGTTGGTTGATATAATTACGGAGAATGAAATAAATTCCATTTGAAAGAAAATATTTTACTTTGTTCCTTTTTTTAGTTGTGATTATTCCAATTATTCCATTGCTATACGAAATGTAATGATATGAAAGAATATCAATGAAATTGTAATTTTCAATCAATTTTCTTACCATTTTCGAAGTATCCAATGTACCGACATTATTGATCGGTGATTTATTAGCAGAATTATTATTAGTATTTGTTGACCAATATTCTGCATCATTACTACCGCCAGTATTGTTCAGTATGTTTAACATTTTGAAATCATTAGCGACCTGGAGAAATAAACATAAAAATCAATGGTGATATTTTTTTACTTTGATAAAACAACTTACAGGATTGTATGGATCAAATGATGAATCATCGCCAATACGTGTGGCTCCAGACGGATTAACCGTTGTAGGATTATTTCTACCACCACTTGTTGCAGATGTGCCAAAAGTATTCAACAATCCAAAATCATTCGCTGTTGGTTGTGCTGGAAAAATGTCAGAAAAATCCGTGGTGCCAAATGGAGATGGCAGATGTGCACCACTACCAGGGGCCACAGATGAGCCAGAAGAATCGACTGCAAGATCATCACAATTTTCTAACCATCCCGAAGCAGTGCCAATCGTTGGATGATGTTCACCAAACAATGCGTTGGTTGTCACCGATGAAGCAGTAGAATGTTGTTGATTTGGATTTTTTCGTTGTGCACGTTCAGTTCCGATCGGTGCCGGTGGTTTCAACTTCTGTTGTTGTGGATTGTTACCATTATCTCCAGTATTATCTATTGTAGTAGCTGAAACTGTAGACAAATTATTTACAACATCATTTTGTTGTTGTTGTTGATGATTAGAAGATGAAGTCGTCGATGATGATGTTGCTGAAGTTCCATACAGATCATAATTCGATAGTGAGAAATTACCATGATTATTACTATTATTATTGATCAATGGATGCTGCTGCTGCATTCGATAATGTTGCATCAATGGTAATGTGGATGCTGTCTGTTGTTGTGGCAATCCAGATGAATAAGAATCGATATTATTTGTTACTCCAAGCATTGTAGCTGCACGGATTTGGCCTTGTTGTTGCTGTTGTTGTTGTAACATGTATTGTTGAATCATATTCAATCTATTATCTGCAACTGGTGGACCAAATTGTGGTTGTAATGGTGGTGGTTGTGGTTGATGTGTGGGAATATGTGGTCCAACAGTATTATTCAATAGTACTTCACTCTGTGCAAATGAATGTGCAAGACGTGCTGCTGCTTCTTGATGACGTTTCGGTATTTGATTTTGGAAAATATTCATTGAATAATTGACAATCATTTGACGTACATCGTTCGAAATATTGGGAGCTACATTTGTACCAGCAGCAGCAGCTGCCGCAGCGGCAGCAGCAAGGAAATTAGGTCTTCCGACACCAGTTTGCAAATGATTAGGTGCAGCCATATTGGCCCCAAAATTTGATACAGTGTGAGCAGATTGACTTAATGATGGATTCATTTGATTTAGATTCAACGAGAGCATTGAATTTGGCTGTGACAATGTATTCGTTGAAAATGAATTTGAACGGGAAGCAAAATCCGGTGCATTTGGATTCAATTGCGATGATCTACTGGATGACGATGATGATGTTGTTGGTTTGGAAGAATGATGTTCATAGATATTGGGCGTGATTGGCCTATGATCAAGGAAGCTAGCAGCATTTACAGATGCACGATTGATTGGTGAACTCATTGATACTGGTTGATGTCCCATTATTCCATGATGATGTGAATGATTCGATAAGGTCGATTCAGCATTTGAATTGATCATCATATTGGATAAAAGAAAATTTGGATGTATTTGATTATTCTGGTTATTAGCACCATTGCTATTGTGCTGTTGTTGTTGTTGTTGTTGTTGAAACAAATTAGCATATTCCGATGTTGTGGATGAAACAGCAGCAGAATTCAATAAGAATGGATCAACATTATTCAATTTGTTATTATTGTTTCCAGTTACATTTGATTGCAACAGTTGTTGTTGTTGCTGTGAATCATTACTATAAAGAACATCTGATAATGTCTGCTGTAATTGTTGTGATTGTAGATTATTTGAATTGGCCGATATAAATTTGGAACCAAATGAAATATAATTCGCAATAGGAGGAGTACATGGTGCCGATCTCACATGTCCAATTGGTGTTGGATTCGAATGCTGTGGCTGCTGCTGTTGATGATATTGTGAATGATGTGGTGGAACAGATTGATTATTGTTGTTATTATTATTATTACTATTATTATCCACACAAGTTTGTATCGATAATGAGCCTGTGGTTACAGCTGATGATGGTGAAAATGCTGCAGCAACATCAACAGCTGATGATGATGCCGATGATGAAGAATTTGATGATACAAATTGTCGATTATTACTACTACTATTTGAAACATTACTGGTTTTGAATACAGAAGTTAGATTAGATTGTTTATCATCAATAATCATTGAATCTGAATGTTGATGTTGTTGTTGTTGTTGTGGTTTCGATATTGATGTGGAAGAAGCCATTGAAGATGATGGTGATGTAGCTGAATTAATCGAAGATGGTGATAATGCGATATTATGATGATGATGATGATGATATGAATCACCAATGTTAGAACTAACAGCAATACTGCCAGCAGCAACAGAAGCAAAATTCAATTTTTCATTCATCTTGGATGATGTCGTCGTTGTCGTTGTTATTGTCGACGATAGACATTGTACACTGGATGATGATTTTGTTTCATTCATTGAATGCGAAGTTTCCATTTTCGTAGCTATACTATTGTTGTTGTAAACAATATTATTTGTGTTTCGAAACATTTGAGATTTATTCGATGGCTTATAAACGGCACTCATAATTTTCACACCATTATTGATTGTGGTAGTAGTGCTACTACTATTTCCGCTATTTGATTTGATATTCGAAACTGGTGTCGTTGTTGTCGACAATGTCGAAACCGAAGAAGATGATGATGATGAATTTATTGATCGTATTTTAGAATTTACAGCCATTGTATAGGAAACAGTATTCGATGTTCCAGATGATTGTTTATTCGAATCGGATTGATTTTTTCCCGATGAGACTAATGTTTTGCCATTATTCGTATGAAAATTGGTTACAGATGTTGTGGGTGTTCGACCAACCGATTTCGATGCTTGACGTTGTTGTGTTTGATTACTGGTATTTGAAGTTTGCGAAATTTCTGATGTCCCAGAAACAGGTGAGGATAATGTTGTTGTAGACGATTCTGTCTGATGGTGATTAGAATTGGACACCGCGGGAACAGTTGCAACAGCAGTCGTCGTTGTATCATTTGTTGGCTTTGATAGGCCTAATTCTCGAATAATTTCGGATAAATCTTTATCGGCTTCTTTCGATAATACCGTAATCAATTGTGAAGCAATTCGTGTAACATCGGCCGATCCACGAATAATAACCATACGATCTCCTTGACCTTTTTGTTTTTCCACTTCGATATGTGCACCGGAAATTTCACGAATAGTATTGATATTGCATCCAGCACGTCCAATTACACGGCTAATTGCATTGGCAGGAACCAATACTTTTTTAGATTTTCTTCTCTCAACAACTTCTTTCCAACCGTCTTCACGTTTCATTTCGTTCGTTATTGTTGTTGCTGTCGTTACGCTAGCCGTAGACTTATTATTATTATTATTCGACAATAATGATGCCGACGATATATTCGAATTCGAATTTGTTGATTCGAAACGTTGTTGTTGTTGATGGTGTTTACTAGTAAATGTTTTATTACTACCACTACTGCTACTACTATTGTTGTTACGAGAATTTCCAACGTTATTCGCTTGTTGTTGTTGTTGTGATGGTTGATTTTGATTATGATTTTTATGCTGTTGTTGTTGATAATTAGAATTAGTCATCAATGATACAGCAGTTATCGATGTTATTTGATCAATTTTGCCCAAAGTATTGTCACCGTGGTTATTACTATTGTGATAATGTGATTGATGATTATTATTCGATCCGGTAAAAAGACTATTTTAACAAAGAATGAACACATGAAATAAGAAAAAAAATGTGAGTTTATAAAAAAAAAGTATATTATAAAAATATATCCATAAATGACGTTACCTGTTGTCGTTGTTATGGGAAATTTCCTGATTATTTTTTCGCAATGATGATGAATTCGTTGATGATTCATCATTATTATTATTAATTAAAATTTGTTTTCGATTTTGATGATTTTTTATAATCTGAATTTTTGTTGTCGGTGATGTTCGATTTGTTTTATTACTAACACCATTTATCATCTTTTTATTATGTACCATTGTTTCTGTTTTATTATTATTCTTCTGCTGCTGCTGCTGTTGTTGTTGTTGATGAATTTTAATTATAGCATCTGCCACATCAACTTTAGCCTGTTCTTGTTGTTGCTGCTGCTGTTGATTAATTAAATTCTCTACCTGTCGATCATGTTGTTCATCAATTTGTCGAGATTTTTGTTTCTTCTTTTTCATTTTTTTCATAAATTCACTATTTTTATTCATAGATGATGATGATATTTCAGCATTAGTGTTGGTGGAAATTTTCGTTTTTTCTTTCGATGATATTGAAGAATCCAATTGCTGTTGTTTCAATTTATTATTATCAACCGATATCGTTTTCTCACCATCACCATCAACATCATCTTCATCATCATCATCGATTGTAAAATCATCATTATCATTTGATTTTATCGGTTCTTCACTACTGGCTTTATCACTATTGCTTGATTTCGTTGTTGAATTCATTTCATCATCCATTTGATTATTATTATTATTCGATTCCAAATGATTCTTACCGGCTCTTTCTTTTTTCTTCTGTTTTTTCGTTCACGACGTCTAGCTGCTGCTGCTTTTCGATTCTCTTCACGTGAACGTTCTTGATCAATTTCTTCCAATAAATTTGCAGCATTCTTAAATGCTTCAGCTGCTTGTCGATCTTTCGCAAAACGTATGATACCGGCACAGATGCAAACTTTTTTCTGCAATTCTTCATCCTGACAAATGGACAGAAAACGATTGATCTCTTGATCCGATGGAAATTGTATCACGTGTCGAACCATTAATTTAACAATTTTTATATGACCCTTACGAAATGCTGCCATCAAACAGGAAATCTTACGATTATCCTGTGCATCGACATCACATTTTGCATTGATCAATAATTGTACAACATCATAATGGCCACCATTACATGATAACCATAATGGTGAATAACCTTTTTTATTTTTTGCATCAACATTTGCACCACGTTTTATTAATAGCTCAACAAATGATGTATGTCCTTTATCAGCAGCAATTGTTAATGCTGTATCACGTGATGCCGGTACAGGTGATGCATTAACTTCGGCACCTTTATTTAGTAAAACTTTTCCAACGTCAACATAACCACCGGATGCTGCTTCCATCAATGGTGTTAGGCCAGTTTTTGCACGATGTTCAATATTAGCATTACGTTCTAATAGTAAGGCAACAACTTCGGTTCTACCTTGAAAACATGCCAATGTTAATGCAGTATTTTTATTCGTTTCAATATAGGCATTGATATCGCTACCACGATCTAATAGGATTTTTGCCGTTTCCGTATGACCATTCATTGCAGCCAACATTAATGGTGATATACCCAATTTGGAACCGGTACGTGAATTTATTTCTGCTCCATAACTTAACAACAAATTAATGATGGATACATAACCACCAGATGCAGCTAAACTAAGCGGTGTATAATCCGATACATTCCTGTGTTCTTTATTGGCACCACGTGCCAATAATTTTTCCACCACTTCATAACGGCCGCCTGAACAAGCCAATGATAATGCCGTATCTTTTGTACGATCAGTATGTGCTTCAATATCGGCATTATGTGCAATTAAAATATCAACAATTTTCGAATGACCATTTGTTGCTGCCAACATTAATGGCGTATAGCCTTTCTTTTCACGATGTTCAATATCAGCACCTTGCATTAATAATAATTTCACAGTTTCTTCATGACCAGCTGCACATGCTAATGTCAATGCTGTATCATGATTGGAATCATTATGTGAATTTAGATCAGAATATGGTGATTTAAATTTTGTTGATTGATTCAATGTTTGTTGTGGCTGTTGTTGTTGTTGTTGTTGTGCCTGTAGCAATTGTTGTTGAGACTGTTGTTGTTGTTGTTGACAATTCGGAGCAATCTTTTTAATCGTTAATGACGATGATGCTGATTGGGTCGTTGTTTTTGATGATGACGACGGTGGTGGTGGTGGTGGTGGTGTTGTTGTAGCCGCTAATTGTTGTTGATATTGTTTTGCTTGTGTTTCATAATATTTTGTAATCATTTCCTCATCATTCATCATTGATGAATAAAGATCTTGTTTATGAATTTTTGCAGTTCGTGGTATTGTCGTTGTCATTGTTGTTAAAGATTTTGAATGAGGTGATTTAAATAGAAAAGGTGAAGGTTGTTTTTGTACCTGTTGTTGATTTTGATGTTCCATCATCATTACTGAATCAGCATTATTATTATTATTCATAAATAAACCAGTACGTGCAATAGTTGCTGTTGATGTTGTATTTGTTGGTATTATAACCGTTGTAGCCGTTATCATTTGTTGTTGATTGGTTGAATGCTGTTGTGCGACCACAGGAACAAATGCAGAATTTGTCGATTGATCAAGCACATTTAGATAGGTTTTATAATTCATTTCATAATTCAATTCTGGCGATTGTGGTTGTATCGATGTTGTAGTTTCGATTGTTTGACATTCATCATTATTATTATTATTATCATTAGAAATGGTTGATAATAATGCATCATTCATCAATGATGACGAAGATGATGTCATCGTTGTATTCATCATTGTTGACGTTTGTTGATTTGCAGTAGCAGCAAAATGAAATAATGACGAAGTTGATGGTGAAATTGTTGTAGCCGTTGTTGATAATTGACAATGATTTAGATCAGGATTCACGGTGGTAGTCGTTGTTGTTGTATTGGTCATTGAAAAATGTGGCAATATTTGAATGGTTTGATTTGTATCATGTTCATGTTGTTGTTGTTGTTGTTGTTGTAATTGGGCAGCAATCATTTCTCGGAATAATTTTGGGACATCTGAAATAAAATAATAAATTAGAATTGAAATGAAATAGAAATTCAAATAAAAACTCAAAATTTGATACAAACACATGTGTGTATTTAGTCACTAATCTAACATAAACGAACTAAAACGATCGAAATGGAATCGAATTATCGAATCCGATCACGTATCACGTGTTTTTTTTCGAAATCTAAGAAAAAATAAAGCAGACAAAAACACTTACCCGAAGTTAATCTATCATCATTATTTGTTTTTCCCATTGTTTGGTCCAAATCCATTTCATGATCATGTTGATTATGTTGTTGATGTTGCTGATGCTGTTGTAGACGTTGTTGTCGTTGAAATAATTCCGTACTACAATTTCCTAACTCACGAAGACGTTCACGTAATAATTGAATCTTATTCTGATCACTAATCGATGATTGTGGTATAGCGTTAATAAATTCAATTAAAGCATTTGGTAATAATGTATTTGCTGACCATGATGGTGGCATCATTGATGATGGATCATCAACATTGTTATTATTATTACTAGTAACAGCATCTGAACATGCAACAGTTGGTTCCATAATAAAATTTGTTGATGGAATCACGGCAGCAGCAGCAGCAGCAGCAGTAGTTGTAGCCCCAGAAGCATTAGGAACATTATCATTAGAGGTAATTGAATTTTTTATATTATCCACCATAGACTCATTGATTGATGTTGGTGATGGCGATCTAGATCTTTGTTGTTCTTGACGATCAAATTGATTATTATTCATTAATGATGATGTTCCATATGTAGGCATTATGATACCATCACTTGAAATGTAGAAAACCAGATTAATTTCATATGAACCATCCATTGTGGTATTGGCCATCATCATTTGTGGTTGTTGTAACAATGCAATTCTTGGATATCGTAGATTTTCACGTAATAAATCTTTTGCATATTTATCTGTAGTAAATTTTGCAAATGATAATGAAGCAAGTAATTGATTTTTTAATTCCATTTCCACCTGTTCCGGTGATAATAAACATTGCCATATTTTTGATCGTCGATCACCATCATCATCATCAGTAGAAATAGCATCATTTTTCACTGTTTCAACTGTCGAAATAACATCATCATCATCATTACTATTGTTGTTATCGTTATTATTAGCCGTTGTATTTGAAACAAGTGCCATCATTTCATTAAATTGTTTCATATCAGCCGTAGACAATGAACGTGATGCAAAATACCAGAAATGTAATTCAATTTCATCTTTCAATGATTCAAATAATTCATCAATTGAACGTGAACGTACACTCTGTATACGACGATAGATTAAATCAAACAATGGTTGCATTACTTGTTTTAATGTTGATTTTGTTTCAACCAATTGCATCAATTGTATCATTGATTCCGGTTTATTTGGTGATAAAAATGTTCTTGATAATTTGCAAAAAACTTGAAACAATGAATTATCCAAATAGCCAACTGGTTTAATATCATCATCATGTATAGCGAAAATTATCTGTTCTGGATAAATTTTTTCCAATTCTTCAGGTGGATGAAAATGATCAACATTGCTGTTCGTAGATATATCTTGTAATGATGTTTTCATTTGTTGTTGCTGCATATGTTGTTCAATGTTTGTTGATATTATTGATGATGAATGATCACCAGTACCAAAATACAAACAATCCTGTTCAGTTAATGAAGCTGATCGATTTTCTTTTGTTGATTGTCCATTATTCTCATCATTTTCGCCACTTTCATCATTACCATCATCGTCATTCAAATTGGTCACCATACAAGTTGCCGATGTAGATGTTATTGGTAAGCCAAATGTTTCATTTTCTACGGAATTGGCGGCTACATGTTCTGTTGGTACATAACCATCCCATTTTGCTTGTAACAATTCTTGTAGCTTATCCAATAATTTTGGATTGACAATTCCAAAAAATGATTCAATTATACGTTTATGTCGTAGAAATGTTTGCAAAACAAATCCAGGTACAATGATTGGTGGCTGAATCTGATCATCATCATCGTCATCAACAACATTTGTAGCATCACCACCATCATGTTGTTGTTGTTGTTGATTTGATAATGATTGTTGTTGCTGTTGTTCATAAATATTAATCTTTTTATACATTGCCATACATCGTCGAAAAATATTCAAAAATTTAAGACGAATTTCAATCCATCCACGCCAGAAATCAATTTCATCCTTATTATCAATCAAATCGTTTACATTGGCAATCACTTCATTGAATAAACGATCATCATCTGGATATAATTTTTTTTGTTGTTTCATTAATTCTGTTACATTATCCGTTGTTATCAACATTGATGGTTTCAATAATGAATGAAATACACTGTAAAACATTGAACCAACCATTTCATCATACAATAATAAACGATTATTATGTGAATAATGATCTGATTGTTGTTGATCAATATTAACAAATTGATTAGTTGTTGCTGTTGTAACCACTGGATTCACAATTGAATGACTTGGATCAGAAAGGCTACGTGTTGATTTTGTTGCCAATGGAATTTTCTTATCATTACTACTATCACCACTACTACTATTATTACCACTTGTTGCACCGGAAGATAATTGTGGTAATGATGATGGTGGTGGTGGTGGTGGCAATGATTCAGGTATTCGAATCTTTTTTGAAGCCAATTCAATCGTTGTTGATGATTGCGAAGTTGTTGTTGGTGGTGGTGGTGGTGGTGGATAGATCACTTTATTTGAAATTGATTCATTAATTCTAGTCATTGTGATTCGTTTATTATTTGTTGAAGCAGATTTTTGATAGACATTTGTTGCTGTCGATTTATTTGATGATTGTTGCTGCTGCTGTAATTGTGTCATTTTTTTCTGCATCTTTGCACAAGGTGGTAATATTCTTGCCGATGAATTGTTTGAATTCTTTTTCGATTTAGTCACTGTTGTTGATCCCTGATTCTGATGTTGTTGTTGTTGTTGTTGTGGTCCACTACCATTTTGATTATTAACAGGATATTGACATGAATTATTCAAACGATAATGATGACTATATTGTAATAATAATTCCACAACATTCACGTGTCCTTGTTTAGCCGCTTCCATTAACATTGTTGAATTATCTTTAAGACGATGATAAAGATCGGCACCGGATTGTAGAAGAATTTCTGCCACTTCTGCATGGCCATTTGAACATGCCAATGATAATGGTGTTGCATCGTTTGTCATTGTACAACGATTTATCGGTGCTTTCGCTGCTATTAAATACGTTACGATTTCTATACGATTATTCTGCGCCGCCTTCATCAATGGTGTACGGCCACCATTAGCAGCAATATCAACATCGGCACCAGATTCAATCAATAATTTTACGATATCAAAATAACCATTTTCCGCTGCTAATGCTAATGGCGTTTCACCCGAACTATTAAACGTGTTGATTTCAGCACCAGCATCTATAAGTATTTTGACAATCTCATAATGTCCTTCTTGTGCCGATTCAATCAATGGTGTATTGGCACCAATCTCTAAATCAGCGCCAGCTTTAATCAATAGATTAACAACTTCGGTTGATCCAGCACCACAAGCCATCAATAGAGCAGTTTCTTTTGAATCTTCAGTAGTGGCATCGATTTTAGCACCATGTGATATCAATAATGCAACCATCTCTTCATGACCTTCACGTGATGCTTCCATCAATGCTGTATAGCCTTCATCGTTGACTTCTTCAATATTGGCACCACGTTCCAGTAACAATAACGCTAGCTCAACATGACCACCACAAGCGGCTAATGTTAACGGTGATTCAAAACTATCCGGTGGCATATTGACCTGAGCACCGGAATCAAGTAATAATCTTGCAACTTCAACATGACCATCCATTGATGCTTCCATCAATGCGGTATGCATCTCTTCATTACGATGTGCCATATCTGTTGAGCCAATTTCAATCAAATATTTCACCATTTCTGTATGACCTTTGTATGCGGCCAAGGTAAGTGCCGTTTCTTTATATTCATTTGAATGAACATTAATGCTGGCACCTTGTGATACTAGATATCGTACGACATCGGTATGACCGGCACTTGCAGCTTCCATTAATGCCGTATGACCACTTTCATTTTGAGTTTCAATTTCGGCACCTTTTTCAACCAGATGTTCAACAACAACTAAATGACCATTTTCAGCAGCACAAATCAATGCTGTACTGCCCTGGGAAGACTTGTGGTTTAAATCGGCACCATGATCCAACAAAAGACAGACAACATCTAAATGACCATTACTTGCTGCTTCCATCAACGGTGTCATTTCTTTTGCACCACATTTATTAACATCAATACGTGGATTTTTTAACAAATATTCCACCATTTCATAACAACCAAAACCGGCAGCATATTGAAATAATTTATCAACATCAGCACGATTAGAATCATCATTTAGTGATAATAATCCGGCTACAGTTGCCGCTGCTGATGTGGATGATATTGATGAAGCCGATGATGATGATGATGATGATGAAGCGGAGGAAGAAGAGGATGCTGAAGATGACGATGATTGTTGTTGTTGTGGTTGCTGCTGCTGTTTGGACACTTCATCATCTATTGATGATGATGATGCTTTTTGAATTATTGTTGTTGCCGTCATATTGTTGTTGTTGTTAATATTCGTTGAATCCGGTCTACATTTCATCATTGTTTCTTCAATAAAATCAACATCATCATCATCATCATGAACATCTTCACTATGGTGATGATGATGATGATCCAAATATTTTGTTGTTGTTGCTGTTGTATCGACATCGTTATTTATTGATGAAGGCAAATTCTGTTGCGATTGTTGTTGTTGATTATCACTAATACGCATTTTGGCAATGGTGGCACCAACTACATCAAATGCACAATGTATATCAGATGAAGTAAATTGTAATTCATGATATAATTGAGAACCTAGATTTAAAAAAAATTGATTAATTTGAAAAAAAATTTATCGAAGAAAAAATCAAAAAAAAACATACCTGGAAAATCTGTAACAGAAGACGTATTCAATTGTTGTTGTTGTTGTTGTTGTTTAGGATTAAAAGATGATGATGAAAATTTAATTTTATCACCACAAATATCTAAAGAATATGGAGCAAAAAAAAAATGATCATCGATTAAATTGAATTGATTGAATGAATCAATACTAACCATCTTTATTATTTTTACGAATAGAACGTGTCATCATTGATACAAGATCTAATGGTGTTTTACCAACAGTAGTAGTAGCAGTTCCAGCATTAGCAGATGAAACATTAAACATTGCTCTAGTTTCATTATCATTAATCGGTTGTTGTTGTTGTTGTTGTTGTTGTATGATACGATCCGTTGATGAATGAATATCCTCGTCCAATGTAAAAGATTCCACCTTTGAAAATATGAAATAAAATGATGATAATTATCAATAAAATTTTCAAATTTTTTTTTCACCATTATTTCATTCAATCATTCAATCTATAGATCACAATTTGATGAGAAAAAAAACAAATCACATTTCACACACACACACACACACATAACAGAAGTGAAATAAAGCCAAACAAATGATGATGATTTACAAAAATAAAAATAAAAATAAAAGACGTGAATATGACAAACAAACAAACACACACACAAAAGTTCAGTCATAATCAAAGATCAAATTATTATTATATATACAATGTTTATTAACATCACCACCAATAATGATGATGATGATGATGAATTTTAAAAAAAAAACCAAAACAAAATTCATCATCATCATCATGGTTTTTACCGGAAAATCCGACCCTGTTTGTTGTTTTCACCCTTGTTGTTGTATTATTGTCAATGGTCATACAACAATAATTGATTCTATTTTTTCAACAAACCAAGAAACTAAATAAAAAAAAACATAACAACAAAACTCAACAACAACAACAACAAGAAAAGATGAAATGATGAACAAATAGGCAGAAGAAAAAAAAACTCAAAGATCCACACACACACAAAGACATACTTGCATGGTGGCAGATAATAATAATAAAATACCGAAAGAAGAAAAAAGAGGAAAATCTAAAAATTTTATTTTATCGTTGAAAATAAAAAAAAAGAGAGAAAAATCTACACACACACACACACCATACATATAAATTAAAAATATTCGACAAAAAAGTATACATCATCAACCACCACCACCATCACTTCTTCCACATTTTTTTTATCTATATTTCTCTCTCACTCTATTTATGCTCTATTCAATTCAATAATCATATCGTCGTCAAATTCATCATCATCATCATCATCGAATCTCTTTCAAAGTTTATCGTCATCGTTTGTTGTCGTGGTCGTCAATTTTTTTTATACTATTGGAATTGGAATATAAAAAAAATTTAAAGAAAAAAAAATTCATGCAATTACCACATCCACTCACTCACACACATAGACATACAGACATTGATTGATTTTTCCTGAATAATAAAAAAAAGAGAATGATGATGACAACGACGACACTTGTTGTTTGACATTTTTTGCCAATGATGCTGCAATTTTTTTTTCTACATTTCTTATGATCAACAGAAAAAAAAACAGAGAGAGAAAGATGCAACTTTACCAGAACACAAATTATTCGACCTTTTACATAGTAAAATTGAATTTTATTCATTTTTTACCGATTGCTGCAATCTATCTTTTTTTTTTTTTTTGCAAAACTCTAAATCATCAATGTACTACCATCACATTTTTTTTGGTGATAACCAAAAAAAAAAAAAAAATAATAAAAATAAAATCCATATGGAAACACACTGTGTGTGATGGTTTCTCAAACTATGGTCAAATTTCAGACACAATTTCAATTACCTGTAATATTTCATCGTTTGTTTTTGTTTTTATTATTCAATTACTTGTCAATGGCATATGTGGTCAATCATCATCATCATCATCATTACGGTTGTTATCTGAATAAATAATAAAATGAAAATAATAATGATGACGATCCATTGATCCGTTTCACAACAATATTCCAACAACAACAACAACAACAAACTTATTTGGAACGATAATAATGATTTCAATATAAAAAAAAAAATATTCGCTTCCTTGCTTCTTTACTTTCCACTATCACCACAACTAACTCCACTCTATAGAGTGTAAGCAATCTATCTATCTTGTTATCATTCAATTCAGGCCATTTGTGTCTATAGTAGATAGATATGAAAAAATTCATGTCTCACGGACAACAACAACAAACAAAACAAAACAAAAAAACAACAAATCATTGATTGTCCCAACAACAACAACAACTGACAATTATGAAAAAAAAAATAAATTTCAAACAACAGCTGGAACAATTGTATAATCATCATCATCATCATCATCAATCAATGAATAAAAACATCATTGGAACACACACACACACACACACACACAGAAATGGAGTGAGACAGTATTACGGAAACACATCAATATATATCGATCATCTTTTTTTTCATAAAATAATAATATTGATGATCAATTGCAACAACAACAACAACAACAAACATTGAATAAAGAAAAGAAAAAAAAACAAAATTACTCATTATTTGACCACACGATATTCACACACACACATATATAATAACAAACGACTTACTTGTTGAATGTGTGTGTGTGTGTGTGTTTGTGCTTGTGAATTAGAAAGTAGAAAAAAAGTCGATCAAATAAATAAAACACACACATACACACACACAAACAGCGAAAGTAAGTAAAAGACACCTGTGACTATGAAAAAACAAACTAGATTTCAACTGGAACACACACACATGCATGCATACAAATACAATTTGAAAATGAAAAACAACAAAAAAAAAATTATTAGAGGAAAAAAAACAACAAATGGCAAGCCCGGAACTGACCGGATATATCTTTTCCGTTTCTCTCTCTCTCTCTCTCTCTTTATTTTATTTCGTTGTTTTCTCTTTCTCTGTTTTTTTTCTAATTTCACAATCATCATCATCATCGTCAAATTCAATATTTACATTACCATGCAACAAAATTTGACATGTAATAATTTCAAAAAACAAAAAATTTCAGGACAAACATTGGATTACAAACACGCACCCACATACACGCATATATATGATTTATAAACAGTAAAATATGGTAGGTATATTTTTTTTAATACATACTTCAGAATTTTCTTCTTCTTCTTCTTCATCATCGGCATCATTTGCAGCATCGATAACCAAACCATCACCAACATCACTTTGATGATTATCATTAATAGTTGTTGTTGCTGATGATATATTATCTAGCTGCTGTGTTGTACGTAATTGTCGAGCAATTTGAATTCCTTTTTTCCATTGCGGTTGTTGTTGTTGTTGTTGTTTCATTAGTTGATTGCTTTTTAAATCCACATTATCATTCTTATTATTATCTGCAATGATCATTTGTTCATCAATTACATCATTGTCGTCATTGTCAGGTTGATTAGTATCATTCAATTCTTCTTCGTCGTCATCATCATCCATTTCATCCTCCTCATCAATATCGACAATATTCTCTTCATCTTCAATATCGATAGGTTCAACAACATAATCATCGTCATCATCATCATAAATTTCTTCATCATCATCTTCATCTTCGTCTTCGTCATCATCATCGACATCGACTTCATCGCCATCTTCATCTTCCGATGCAAACAATTCAGCCATTAATGTCATTTTATGTGATGATAACTATAAAGAGAAAAAGATTATTGGTCATCATTCAATCAATTAATGAAGAATCCAATTTACCTTATCAGAAATCAATCCAGCTGCTTTCATGATGGTACGAACTTGTGCAGCAAATGCCTCATGATTCATATATGGTGATGGTGATGTTGTTGTCGATGATGTTGAATTTGTATTATTATGATGATTATTTGATCCGGTGGTATATGCTGCCAATGTAGCATTAGACGATGTTACATTATTGGCCGTGACAACAATAGAACCATTTCCATGATGATTATGGTGTTGATGTTGATGATGGATATGGCCATTCATTGTTGAACGAATTTTATCACTTAACAATGTTGTTATTGGATCATTAAGATGAGGATGATGTTGTTGTTGTTGATTTTGTATTTTATTGTTGGTTATAGTCGTTGATGAGGATGGTGGTGTTGTAATCAATTTCGTTGATTCATTCGTATGACCGGTTATTGTCATTGACTTTGGTACGGCTGTTGTTGTTGTTTTAGCCGTTTGCATTGATTCCATTATTATTAAATTCTTCAATCATCTATAAATCAAAATTTAAAAAATCAAAAACAGATGAACAATAACAACAAAAAAAAAATCTTACCGGAAAGTTCCAGAATGATCCACCGAATAAAGAAGAAAAAAATAAGCCGATAAAATAGAAAAAAAACAGGCGATAATTCGATGATTTATTATTTTACTATATGGGTGGGTGTTGTTGTGTGTATTTCACAAACAAACGAAAAAAAATACCGAGCACTACCAACACATACACACACACACACACACACAATCGATTTGATTCAATTTCCAGATATTTTTTTTCGGTTATTATATGATTTCTTCTATAATAAACGATCATCAATGGATTTTATTTAATTCCTGATTCCTGGAACAAAACAAGAAAGAAAATGAGAATCATTAGAATTTTTTTTTAAACAAAAATGAAATGATTTGATTAGAAAAGAAAAGAAAATCTAGCTTGTGGATCAAACAATTCTTATCGGTGCAATTGGTGGGCGCAAGAAGATTTCCAAAAACCACAACGGAAATGAATGTGCGGGTGTGTGTGTGTTTGTGTTTGTGCAAAGAGTGGTGTACACAGAGGACAAAAAAAAATGAAAAATAAACCACCAATCTAATCATTATCATTTCAATTTTATGAATTAAAAAAAAAACACATGCATGCATACATTGGCAATAATCAATCAATCAATATATATACCTGAATGAGCAAAAATTTGAGTGAAAAAAAATCGAGTACACACAAAAGAATGGACAACGATTCAATTCGATTCTATTTCGATCAAATAATGTCTGTATGTAGAATAATATATATTCGATTGTGTATGTTTCAAATTGAATTCAAGAATATATAAGATGTGTGTTTACAAAATCAATCAATTCTTAAACAATGAATGAAAATAAGAATGAAAAAAAAATTCCAAACTTTTTTTTTAGAAAAAAAACATACACACCATCAATACCATACACAAAATTTTTACTCACACTCATATACAAAACAATTGCTCAAATAATACACACACACATACATACACAAACAGAAAGAGAGAGAGAGAGAAAATGATGATTTTTTTTTCACTTGATCCTCATCATTGAATGTATTTTTTTTATGGGGGATGTCGACGACAAACAAACAAACACAACAACAACAACGACGAAGAAGACGACGATGGATGGATGATAAAAAAAAATGTGGTCGTCTGAAATTATAAAATGTATGTGTGTCTGTGTATGTCTGATTCTTTTTTTTTCGATGCGATAGATGGTGGATGATGATGATGATGATGATGCTAGTTTCGATGATGATGATGATTATATACTGGTGTTCTATGGTGTTGGCGGTGGTGGTAAATGTGAATGATGAATGTGTTAAACATCGATGAAAAAATATGAGTTCTACATGCACAAATATAATAAAATATATAATAATAATTGAAAGAGAAACAATGAAATAAAATGAAAATAATAATATATGGGTGATCGATCAATCGATCGATATATAATTTGATTGATTGATTTAGGTTTGATGGATGCCAATTCATTGATTCAATATGATTCAATTGTCATTGCTGTTGTGATATGACTATGTGACCAATCACATTTTATATTCAAATCAAATTTTTTAATCAAAAGATGACCATTTGTTCAACAGAATAGAATGTTTGAGCAATTTGGTTCTTATTTTTTTTTTCTCTGGATGCAATCACTGAACATCAAGAATCATTGATTTTTTTTTCGTTTGTCCTTAGTTTCATTTGATTAGAATAATAATTTGATGGATTCATTTGTTTTTTTTCACAATTCCCGAATATAAAATTCATAAACAAAGAAACAAAAAAAAATGTTCAGTGTATTTGAGTGTGTTGTGTTGTGTGCATCACAAACACATTCTTTGGGTTTAGATTTTTTTTTTTTTTTTTGGGATTTTAGCCACACATACAAAGTGTGAGAGAGAAAAAAACTCACACACACACACACACACGGTGTTTGATCCAATTGATTTTTATGTGTGTGAGAGAGAGAGGGAGAAATAAGGAGAAATTCATAAATAAAGTACTCGTGTTTTTTTTTTTTTTTTTTTTTGGTTTGGTGGGTGTTTGTCGATTTTTTTTAAATTAAAATTCCAACAACAACAACAACAACGATAACAACGATAAAATTGAAATTATTAACCACAGGAATAATCAATCAATTTTGATTCACTAAACGTAATCATGTAAATTTGATTTTTTTATCCGCGGATCTAATTTATGATTTTTCTCATTTTTTTTTGTGTGTAATATAGAATGGAAAACAATTTTTTGAAAGAATTACAAAAACTATCTACCATGAGTAGAAAAAATCGAAACCTACGTCCAACATTGGAAAATTGTCTATTATTTGCTTTTCATCAACCGAAACCATTGTTTGGGGACAAAGAACGTGCCGAAGTTGAATGTATGGTGGAAAAAATCATTCCTATTCTAAAGGAATTCTTTATCCAATTGAGTATAAGTCTTGTACCTGATACAGTGGAAACTGCTCAACGTTTTCGTTCTGGTCTTCAATATATTGTTGATGAGCTTGGTAATGGATCCATTTTAGACAGAGTTCCTTGTGTACAGGTTGATGAATATATTAAAAATTGTAAGGAATTATCTTTGCCTATCGAATATCCATCTGTTCATTATTCTCATGTGACCGACGAACAAATCTCTCGTATCCCTCACAATCATTGGTGGTGGTTTGTACAACCTATATCCGACAATGATTCGGATGAACAACAAGATGAAAAAGTTTAAATAAAACGATCTATTAATTTTCCAATAAGCGATTATCATCTTAAAAAATTTTCTGCAATGGTATTGAGAATGGTCAAAATTTGGGACTAATCTCCAAGGAAAAAGAAATATATTTTGCCACCATTGTGCCAAAGTGGACTACGATCGAGGATGGTCTTTTTTTTCTCATATCAAAAGACTCAATCTCAATCATATCGAGATAAGAATAGCTGAGGATTTTTTTTATATTACCTGTGAAATCAAAATTGACAAATAACGCTTTGCGTTTATATTGAGAATTGAATACAATCTCATTGGGCGAGACGACAACATTGTACATTATCAGCATTTGATGTTGATTTTGATAAATTATCAAAATATCATGGAATTCTAACGACAATGGAAAAAAAAATATTAAAATTAACCATAGGAATAATCAATGGATTGCATTCATTTTTTTCACGACACGTAATCATATAAATATGATTTTTTTTATCCGGATCTAATTATTTGTGTTTTGTTTCATTTTCTATTTTCTATTTGTTTTTTTTTGAATCACAAAAACATCCCCCAATTTTTTTTTTTGATTTTCCATCTGGTTTCAACCTGATTTGACCGCTGAATAAAATTGTATCGTATTCATCGTAATCATTTGTTGATGGTTTGTACAGCTATCCTAAATCCAACACTAATTTAAACGAACAAAATGGAAAATAAATCATTTTGGAGAGAAAACGCCGTTAAAACAATGAAAATGTTTTATCAAAGTTTCAACGGAAGTCAATATGATGAATACAAAATCGGTACCGAGGACGAAAAACTATTACTTGCAAAAATATGTTTTGCCATTTATGGTCCTCCAACCATTAGCGAAGCTGAAGAACTTTGGCAAGGTTATACCAATGAACAACGTACAGAAGGCGAAAAGTTTTTGAAAATTATTCTGGATGTTCACAAGGAAAAAAGACAAGGTTTTTCACGTCTTTTTGTTGGAATCATATTCATTTATTGTAAAACAGAAAAAAATGAATTTCCTTTACCAATATTCCGAATGTATACTGGATCTTATTCGCAACCAAAAGCAGCTAATGAAGATTCGAATGTTTTTATTGATATGCAACGACGAACTTATTCTGATTGGAATGATTGGAAATGTAATAATGTCTTGCCAAAGCTTGAGTATTGTTATCCTAAACTTGGTTTTTTTACTGCTTTTGGTGCTGGTAATAATTTCGTATTCGATCCAGACAAAGATCCTGATATTGAATTTGGAAAGTCGCCCGCTTGTAAGGCTTCTTCTAGTTTTTTAAACTTCGCTGATAGTATCACTACAGTAACAACATTTGCATGCGGAGCCATTGGAATTGCTTCGATGTTCACACCACTTGCTCCCTTTGTTTTGTTAGGTTCCGCATACGCTGGCGGTTCCTCTGCTATTTACGGAACATTTCGAGCCATTAATCGATTGGTCGATAAAGGGTCCCATGGCGAAAGTTTAACCGATAAGGAAAGCTTTTTTCTTTGGTTTAGTATTGCTGCCACACCGCTAAACTTTACAAGCTCAATGGTCAATGCTGCTTTGGTTCGTGGTGCCACAGAGGAAGGTCGAATATTTAGTAGTTCTATGCGTATGTTTGCAACGATATTGAATTTCAGCACACTTGGTGTCGATAGCATTATGATTGGTTTTGGTATCGCTAATCTGATTGAAAAATCTAAAAATAATCAGCTCACCTCTCTCGATGTATTACAATTTTCAATGAGTTTATTCTTCTTTACCAATAATTTAATTCAACCAAAAATGGCCGCTACTATTATTCAAAAAGCTCAAGAAAAACATATTCAGGCATATTCAAAATCATTGACCGATGTTGATGCACAGAAAACATTCGACAAATTTTTGGCTGACAACAAAGGAAGTGGCTCGATTAAAGATAGATCAAAGATAGTTCGAACAATAAATAAAATAAATGATCCGAACAAGCTTTTTGCCAATCTAAAAGATTCAACAAAAATCGAAATTGGTGGCCGAAAAGGACGTACTTTGTTGATTAGTGACGGAAATAATTTAAAACATCGTATAAGGCCAAATAATAATGTAAAATTTACTAGCAAAGTACGACAATTTGGTGCAGTTAATTTACAACGACAGACACGAAAATGTTTAGAAAAAATCAATGCAGATAAAATTGAAATAGATGGAAAAAAGATTTTCGACAATTTGAATGACCGTCAAAAATCACGTTTAAACAATGTAATTGGTGATACAGCTGGCAAAAATGAGAATATTCTTAATGAAGCTATCAGCATCGTTATTGGCATGGGAATGAACAATATCGATGATGTATTGAGCATTGTTGAAATTCTTACTGCAGAACTTAAAAATGTAAGTTATACTAAATTAAATGCAAAAAAAAAAACAAACAAAATCAATAATAATTTTTCTATCCTCACAACCAGTGTTTCCGAATCGTGATATGAAAACAATCAATTCAGATCATTTCCAATTCATTGACAAAGAATCATTTATTTGGAACATTTTATCTGATTCTAAAATAGCAATGGATATTGCCAGTAAAAATGATGTTCATTTTGAAGATCCATTGAAAGCAGTTTATCATTATCGTAAACATGGCCATGAATTTCCGAACGTTCTTAAACAGAATCGAATCGATGTTTATTTGGATAAACTTCCAAAACATTTGATTGATATTACAAATTTGACTCAAATTGAGACTGTAACAAATGATGTGGATAAAACTTCGTTTGTACGAAAATATTACATGACTACGGATGATAAATTTGCCGTTGTGATTGAAAATTTAGATGGAAAAACAATTAGTTCAATGTATCGAAAACTTGGTTGTTATAATGAACATCATTCGCAATTTCCTACTACCAATGATCAACAACAATGGTCGATCGATCCATTTGATGGTATCCATGAACAATTGGCTAAATCAATGGGATTCCGTGCCCATATACCAATCTATCTTAATTTTGAAGAACCAAACGATGATAGTGATCGTCGTCCATCATCCGAAAACTAAAAATGTGATTAAATTGTCATAGAAAAAAAGTTTAAATAAAATGATGATGATCAATTTAATTTTTAAAAGTAGAAATAGAAACATTTAATATTTCTTGTAATATATAATAATAGGTAGTAGTCACAAATTAACAAACAAATTTAAAGGTAAAATAGAAAGTGAGGTGTGTGTGTGTGTAGGTGTGACAAAGGGAAAACAACAAAGACAAATTGGGTGGATGATGATTTTGTATTTGTTTTGTTTGGACAATAATAGAGGTGTGTGTATGTGTGTGTGACAACACATCAATAAATATATATAATAACAAGTAGGAAAAAAACAAAACTAAAAGAAATTATAAAATTTTTGTTTTTGTAAGAAGGAAAAAATGATGTTCCATTATCCATAACTTGGTATTTTGCACTGTTGTTTGTTGTTGTGTTGACGATGATGATGACGATGATGATAATGAAATGATTTCATTTTTTTTGTTGGGGACGGGTGGAAGGAAAGACAGAAGAAACGGAAACACGATATAATAGATTTACGACTAGGATTTTTTTCCATTCAAGAGAAGAAAGTTGTTGTTCCATATGTTTGTGGTTTTGTTTTTGTTTTTTTTTTGTTTTATTGATCGTTATCGGTATATATCATTCCATCATTATATATCGTTTTTGATTCGATTATGGAATGTATTGTCATCATATTGGATTTTTTTTTCGTAGTTTTATGATTTCTTAAAATTCAATTGACTCGTTAGCCGTTTGATCATATTCTAATGTATCATAATGAAATTGGAAAAAAATTGAAATTAAAAATTCGATCAAATTATAAAACTTGAAAAAAATACCTTATGATAATTGATCAATTGTTGTAGCTGTAATCGGCTATTATTATTATGACCAATAATTTGACCATCAATATCGAATATGGTAGACAAATTACTATCTGTACTTGTTGTTGTTGTTGATAAATTATTTGGCTGATGATTCATCATCGTTTTTGATGATCCATTACAATTAACATATGTAGTAGGTTTATTTTGTGATGATGATAATGTTGATGATAAAAGATGACAATCTTCAATATCATATCCATTATCATTAACCATTCTCATCATCATATTCGGATGTTTGTTGATGTTGTTGTTATTGTTGGCTAATCCATTCATTATGGGAGGTTGATGTTTGGACATTTCGTCCATATCATCATTATTATCACAATTAATTCGATTATCTGTAATCATCAATCCATTTGTCATATATGGCGTTGTTGCCAATGCATAATTATTAAAAATTTGATTTGATCTTTTGAATAGACATGTATCGCTTAAATGTCTATTCAATATTGTTACTGATGATGATGATATTGTTGTATCTGTAAAATGTTTTATTGATGATGGTAAATTTCTATCATTGTAATTAGTAGATGGCGGTGGCTGTGACTGTTTCATATCAAAATTGGCCAAACTTTCATATGATGCTGAACGATTAAGATCACATTTAGATTGTGATTGACATTTAGTTTCATGTTGACAATCAAATTGTTCATTATTTGCATTGGCAATAGCAACATAGTCGATCGATTCGTGGCCAATGAAACAACAGCTGCTGTCGATGCTGTTCCATGATGATTACAAATACCATTACATGATGATATTGCCATATTCGTTACATCGGTTCCATTATTCGATACAGGTACATATATTTCATTCCAAAATATTATATCCTTTACACGACATGAAGGCCGTAATACCTTTGTTTGTTTTGTTGATGAAAAAATTCAAATTCAAATTATAATTACGAAAATTCATGAATTTCATTCAACAATAAATAAATAAATAAATACCTCAAGCGTTGGCAAATAAAGATAATTGATAAAATTGGCTCGATTCATTTCAAAATATGACCATAATGATATTGTTTTCTCATACACCTGATATGAACGACGTTCTTGAACAGTATTACAGGTGAATGTACCAAACAAACATGAATATGAATGATAGACAAGTTTCATCTAAAGTAAAAGTAAATCAAAATAAATGCTAATGTACAAAAACAAAACATGACAATAATTACCAGATAGAAAACATTAAATTCAAATTCTCGTGGAAATTGTTTGACCAATTGATGAACACAATCAACCCATTGCAGAAACACTGGACAACGTTCATTTGGATCAATATTCAATGTACTACTACGACAACGATCAGCAAATTTATGACCATATTGTAGCCATTCTTTTTCGATTAAAATTTTAAAACCATCAATTGTACGATAAAATGGATCAAGCATTAATTCAGCCAATGCAATAACTTGCGGTGTACGATCCCAACCATCTGAACAATGTACCAGCACAGGACGTTCTTGTATGGTGATTGCATCAACAACAACAACGGCAGCTTTCAATAGACTAGCTAGATTATGAAGCCATTTTGTATTATCCAATAATGTATACCAACTGTGTTTAATAAATGATAAATTAATAATTGTACAGTTTACAAAACAAACAAAAATATTCCACTTACTTTGATTGATCAATCTGTGATGATTCACATATATAACGTAAATTATAAAAACTTTTCCGTATACCATGTATATTATTTAAACCCATAAATTGTATATCACAATTTGTATAATATTCTGGACATTCACAACCACCACCTAATGCACGATTAGCAAATGCAGCTGTATATGATCTTGCATCCAATATTAATAGCTTATTATTATTTGATTGATCATCATCATCATCATCATCGTTATCATCATCATTTGAAGAATCTTGATCAACAACAGTGGAATGATTCGTTTGTTGTTGTTTCGTTGCTGTTGTTGTCGTCGTACTACCACCATTTGACAATAATTTAAAACCATCACCACCACCACCACCATTCATTTTAATTGATTGATTATGATCCATATGATTTCCATTACCATTGTATAGTGCAGGTGTTGTAGTTCCATTACTATTAATCATATTGCCACCGTTTGTCAATTTTGTTGTTGTCATCATTAAATTATCACCACCACCACCACCACCATAATAATTATATTGTGTATCACGTTGACATATTTTCAATACTTTTTGCAACATTTTTTCATCTTGATTACAACGGCCAAAAAACCAACCAACAACTGGCTGTGATGAACGCATTATAACACAACCATTATGACGATTACGCCAAACCACTACTGGTATACGTCTTGAATAACGAAAATTTGCAATATATTCCAATTCTTTATCTGTTATATCTGCTGGTACAATAAAATATTCTGGATAACTATTACAGAACTTGAAGTCTTTATTCAAATCACAAATACGCCATGATTGTTGTTGTTGTTGATCATTATCATTATCATCATTATTTTTAAAATTCATTCTTTTAAATTCAAAATGAATCAAATGATTAGATTGGCGATATAATTTTTCAATCACATCTTGATTATTTGAAAACAAATTTATAAATTTGTTATTAATAATATGATTATTATGATGATTATTATCAATGCCAATGGCCAATTCACGATAGAATTGAAAACAGAACAATTTATTAATATCAATCTGTTGTATATCACATAAACGTTTATGCCATTGTTGTATTGATTCTTGATTATCAAACGTCAATACAAATGATTCAATATATTTTGTATAAATTGTAAGAAAATAAATGTCACGTATCTCTATCCAATCAATATTATTGATTGGTATAAAAAATTCTTGCCGCTGATCATTCGAATGTTGATGATAATTAGTACGATGATCATTTTGTTGTTGTAGATAATTTAATTGATTATTATTATTATTATTATTAAGATGAGATTTATTATTATTATTATTTTTAATTGTTACATGACCATTTATACCATTCTGAAAACAAACAGCTGTAGTACCACCATTCATTGTAATTGTTGATGGTGTCGTTGTTTGTAAATGTTGCTGTTGTGGTGATGATGGTATCATTATTGATGATCGTTTATGTTGAATAATAATATTTTTTACAAAAAATCGATAATTTGTCAAGAAAATTTGATAATCATTCGTCGTTTCATGATGTTGCAATGATTCACCTGCTAATAATGGAAACGGTACCTGTTGTTGTTGTGCTATTTGATGATGATGATGATTGGCAGTTGATTGTATCATTGTTGACGGTTGTTGTTGACCTTTATCACCATTATTATTATCAATTAAATGATCATGATCAATTTTGTTCGTTTCATTTTCATTTTGATTACGATTATTACACATAATAATACCGGCCATATGATTATGATGATTTACATCATGATTATCATCAGAATTATTTGATGATGATGATTCACTTGCTGTATCACTAATTGTTGTTGATGTTGTTGTTGTTGTTGCATCCAAATTTCGATCATTTAATTCATAATTATCGGTAATTAATTGTTGTTGATCTTGTTTTACATCACCATTATCGATTATCGATGGTGATGATTTTTCACATAAACATCCATCAACAACAGTAACAACATTATTATCAGTTGTTTCTACACTAATATCTTCTCGTTGTTGTGATTGTTCAATCTTCATTTCGGCTATTTTTATTGATTCTTTATCATTATTATTAATACCAGAACCATTCGGTAATAATGATGATGATTGGTTCATTTCGAAATATATATTATGATGAAAATTATTATTTAATTCGAATGTCAAAAATTGATTGGCTAAATTTCAAAATCATAAACAAAACAAAAACAAATTAGCATTAATCAACCAGACAACAAAAAAAAGTACATTGAAAGATAAATAAATGAATGGAAATTCTGTAATTGAATGATGACCATCAACTCAATTTTTTTCGTCAAGATTCATTCACACTTGCTCATAATACACATTTATAGACTTTGAAAAACAAAATTTCATTCTTATCACACACAAACAAACAAAACACTACATTACAGTTCAATCAATCAATCAATCAATCAATCGATCAAAATGGATAAGAAAAAAAAATGTACAAAACGAACCAAAAAAAAACAAATAGTTAATTGAAAATGTTGAAATTGATAACAACAAATAAATATTGCTATTGTTGATGATCAACGAAAATGAAAAAAAAATTTTTTTGACAAGAAATCCAATCGCGGAATTTTCTTTTCAATTATAAATCAATCAATCAATCATCAAATGGGATGAAATCAATCACAAGAAAAAAAAGGAAAATCTGATATTACAACACACTAATAAATTACATAATAATAACTACATCAGATTTTTAACAACAACAAAAAAAATTTCAAAATTAAAAGCAAATTATTATTTATATCTCACTGGTGGAACCATCCATACAACAAAAAAAAAAAAAAAAAAAACAACACATAACACCAAGTTTCATGATCAAATGACATCCACTATAGTAGAAGATAAGGGCGTTTTTCAAACACACACACAAACAAACAGGCCAAAACCAAATTTCAAGATCTAGCAGCATAAACAGCAAGAAAAAAAAATTGTAAAATTTTTCATTTCAATTTGGAACAATTTCAAAAGAAATTGCGTCATAACTATAAACGAATTTGGCCTTTTCTTTTTTTTTGCATTCATTTTTCAAGAGATTAACGGTGTTTCTTAATCAAATCGATCCATAGAAAAGAGATAGATAGAGAGAGAGAGAGAGAGAAAAAATTTGAGAGAAATGGAAAAAGACTACATTTGAACATACATACAGAGATAAAAAAAAATGTTGATGAGTTGATGATAATGATGAATCCGATGTTACAATGATTATTAAAAAATATGGTTACATTATATGAATGAATGAATGAATGGCTGATCAAATTGATGTTGTTATGATGATAATAATGATGATGATGAAAGTGAAACAGAAATGAGCAAAGAAAAAAAAACACGAATGAATGGGAAATGGAAAAAATTTTTTTTTCGCCAATTACAGCAGAAATACTTTTTTTTTGTTGTTCAGTTTCAATTTGTTGTTCAAAAAATAAAAAGATAAATGATCAATTTGTTCGGTGATAATCATCAATGATGAATGGGATAAATATATTCAAATTTACTTTTCTTATTTGATACATTATAAGGTTAACCATTTTTTTTTGCTGTTGTTGAAAGTCAAATTTATATATCTATATAGATAAAATTCAGGCAAAATGTTGATTTTCATACACACACACACACACACAAAAAAACAGGTGTCGAATAATTGATTTATATATTGTCAAATGATGATGATGATGATGATGAATGTTGTTTTTTATTGGTTGTTTGATACATTTTTTTTCATTATACTGGTCTAGGTCTGGTGCGTGTGTGTTTTACATTTTGGTTGTTGCATTTTTTTTTATTGTTTCCTATTGATGTTATTGAATTTAATTCAACATTATATCAACAATAAAGACACAACCAACTCGACGAAAACAAACACACACACACACACAATGAATGATGACGATGATGATTTGAAGAAGATGATAATTACGAAAACGACAACAACAAGATCAAAATGGTGAACGAAAAAAAAAAAAATAATAATAATTTATTAATTCACTTTGAAAGTGAAAGACGTAAACATTGAAAATTGAAAAAAAAACATCGAACGCTAACGCTAACAACAACAACGACGACGACGACGACGATTAAAATATATTCATACAACAATTATATGCCGCTAGTTGTTGTGTGGACTCACAACAAACAAACAAATGAATAAACAAGAGCATTATGTGTAATGAATAGTTGTAGTAGTAGTGGTATGAATTTTATAGTGACAAAATGACATTTTACCGTTTATCAGAACAACGTTTTTTTTTGTCGTTATGCTACTACCTTTTATTTTTTTTCTGGTTAAAAAAAAATTGTTACTATCGTTTTATCACGATTTTTTTCTGTGTAAATAAAATTTTTTTCTATATGTTGTACGTCTTATATGGATGGTTCAATTTTGTATATGATCATACATTTTTTTTGACAAAGTTGTTTTTCCATTACAAGATGAAACGGTAAAATCCAATGAGCTTAAATTGTGGGGTAGTGGTGTTGTTGATATCTTGATTACGCCATTGCGGCTCTTTTTTTTTCTCTCCTCAAAACATCTGGTTGGATTCAATCGATTAGCATACAACAACAAAAATGATCATCATAGATTATCACCATAAAAATTTTTTTTTCCTGAACGGAAATCAATAACGGTAATGGATTTCAGCATAATAATAAATATGAAACTGTTTCGAGGTAAACATTTTCTTTCCGGGTTTTCTGATCCCCGGAAACGAGATGATCGACCGATTGAAGTCATAATTAATATATATTGTTATATTGTTTTGACACCAAGTTTGGTGTCTGGTTTCTTCCTATTTAATATAACAATTTTTATTTAAACTAAAAAAAAAACAAAATCATTGGAGAGAAAAAAATTTAAACAATTCAATTCATTTTGATTGATTGTTGTTGATTATCAATCTGAATACTTGATGATTGTTGTTGTTGTTGATACAATGGTTCGGTTGAACTAGATCTTGATGGCGGTTTTTTTTCATCGGTTGTATTGACAACATTTGTCATCATTGTTCGATTGGTTCGAATCTAAATTGTCGTCAATTTTTTTGAACAGAAAAAAATATGAATCATTGGAAAATATTGAAAACAAAGATAATAAAAAAAAAAAAATACAAACCTTATAAGACTGATAGCTCCATCTGGCGATGTGAATTGTCAATAGTGAAAAACCACCAAAAAATAGCAGATAAATGATAATGTAAACAGCATAAATTGGATATAATGCTAAACGTAATTCACCACTTAGTTTATCATCAATTTTAGCACTTTTTTGCATCCACAATAATGGTAGTATAGTGCTATACGAACATCCGAATATCCACTTAGATATGGTATCGGTTCTAATAATGCATTGATTTGAATTTTATCTACACCATTAAATGGACTGCCGGTAATCTGATAAATGATTAAAAAATTCAATCATTCAAATCAATCCAAAAAAAAACAAAACACATACCGGATCTACATCAATATAAGCACGATGACGATTTTCAGATGGCCGCATATTTTCAACATTGGTACGAATATCCGAATGTGCATAAAGAAAATGTGGAAATGAATATGCTAATGGTGCACCGGCTAAACATTTGCTAAGATCAAATATTCCATCACAAAGATTTTCATTATCCATATGGCGACAAAAACAACGATTCAATGGATTTTTTCTTGGCGCTGCAAATGCATTACGATCTGGTCCAAAACGATATGTATGAAAACCATTGACCCATGTATCTTGTTGATAGATAACATTTAAACTTCGACATAAATCATGTGTGAATAAATAATAATAGCGATCTCTGTGTACATTCAAACCAAGTGTACTGCCTTCAGTTCCATTCAAAGCATTACATTCATCATTATCATAAAAATCTAATTGATATTGTCCTTTAAATGTGACCATTCGTAAAAGATCAGTACCATCTTGCCCGGTATATGTTTGATATGGACCATTTTTTGTACCATTTTTGGTCCATAAAAATCCAAATTTATTATCAGGCATACCGGTATCTGGTAATTCAATACCAAACAATCGTAATGGTGCTGCTAAACGATCAATAGTGTCCAATATACGAAATGGATAACCATTCAATAGTTGACCAGCTGTAAGATTTTGTTTGATCATTGATTCACCATGTGTAAGAAATAATAGGCTAACCAAACTGAATACAATCGGATTAAGTCCAAATGAAAATGGCATCGATGCAATCATTCCACGTACCATATTGGCCATTGCCTATTTATAAATTAATCAATCAATCAATCCATTAATTAATCAATTGTCAATGTTTACTTACATAGGCTGGAAAATTAAGCACATTCACACGGTCACTGAGTTGACCATGTGATTCATGATTTTTAAAATAAAATTTTTGCACATCAAAAAATGTAACTATCCTATTATCATCTTCAAATGAAACAATTTCTTTATGTATTGCCAAACTGAAACAAAAAATGATTAATGTTTTTTGTTTTGTTTTACAATTTACAAACATTCAAATATTCTACTGCTAAAAAAAATTACCGATATGAATATGGTCCCATTTCACGTATTTTAGCACGACTATGGCCACTAGCAAATTCTTGTGGATTATCAATAGAAAATATATAAGCATCAATGGTGATTGGTATCGGTGGATCTTGCCAATTTTTTGTAAAATCATTTGGATCTCCATTTATCTGTAATTGTGATTGTAATGCTATGACAAGAAAATCAGTAAATTTCATATATAAAAAACAACCAAACATTGTTATAATCAATAATATGATTGCCATTCTTTGTTGTTGTCGTTGATTTGAATTATTATCATTGGATTTGATTTCATTGGCCATTTTTGTCATTCGATAATCATTGGATAACCACCATGGAATGGATGAAAAAAATGAATAAATTCATATTCTTTGCTTTCATTCGAACAAAAGCAAATGAAACATTTATTATTTCCACATTATAAATCATTTTATTTCGATCAAACAAAAAAAAAAAATGACATTTATTCAGACACACACATGCGACCATGGTAATATAATCATGGTATATCATACACACAACACAATCTTCAAAATTTCATCTCAATATATCCACACTAATAAAAAAAAACAAACAAACAAACATAATTTCTGGATCAATAATGTTGTAGTGACAAGAAAAGTAAAATTCAGATCAATAATTCACCGATTTTTTTTTTGATCATCAAGATCATGGTCACCATCATGTGTCATATGAAGATGAAATAATCGATTCTGTAATCATCATATTTGTTGTCGTCATATTTGTTGTACTTAGATTATCTAATTCAGCAATATGAATATTATCATCATCCACACATAATGCACCATTATTATCATCATCAGTAATAACAACGCCCAACATACGAACAGCATTACTACCACCACCACCACCATTACCGTTACCTGCGCCAACTTGGCATTCTATCGTGTTTGTTGATAATAAATGTTTCTTTTTCTTCTTTTTCTTATTCTTCTTTATATTCATACAAAATAATCGATGAAAGTTTGTCTAGAGAAAAAAAAACCATGAGAAAAATGAAAATTAGAAAAAAGGTTTTCATATAATGAAATTAAAAATTTAGACAAACCTTGAAATTTTCACTCATAAAACCATAAATAAATGGATTAAGAAAACTATGTGCCATTGCTAGCCAATGGCAAATAAAAAATGATATAACATATGACATATAACCAATGTATGTTTGAAATCTAATTGGATGAAACCAAACAATAAAACTATGTATATGAATAGGTAGCCAACAAACGACGAAAATAATGACAATCATAATTAACATTTTAATAACACGTATTTTTTGTTGCCATTGTACAGAATCACGTATTATTTCCGGATTGCCAGGCATTTTTCTATACCATAAATGTATACCAATTGATGCATAAACAAATATCAATATCGATATTGGCAAACCGAATGTAAGAATAAATAAAAATATTGTATAATAACGTCCTTGTTGTTGATTCCATAATTCTTTACAATCAAATAATATTTCATCACCATAACGAAATGGTACGGCACGTGTTTGCATTAACTGTATGATGGAAAACAGAATTCCCGTTATCCAAATGGTTATAATAACATTTAAACGATGTGTTTTCAAATAAATAATTGGATGATTAAATGGATGTATGATGGCAAAATAACGATCAAAACCAATTACGGCCAATGTATATACGGAAACATAAACAGAACAAAGCTGTACGGATTGAATAAATGGACATAGCCATGATGGAAAAATCCATTGTCCAAGCATGAATGATGTATATGTGAATGGTATTGAAAACATGGCCATCAATATATCGGCAATAGAAAGATTAACAAGATATTTCCATATCTCTGACATGAAACGATCACATTTTATCAATATAAATATAGCTAAAACATTTGAAATTAATGATAAAATTGCTGTTGAACTATACCAAACAATCAAAATCATTTGCCATTCATTGTTCAATAATTCCAATTCATAAGTATTATTTAGACTTGCTAAATATGTTGGATCCATAATTTTCATTCAATAATTCAAAAAAAAAAATTTCCCGATGAATTGCTGGTTTAGTATGTCCACTATTGATAGGTTTTTTTTTAAATTCAAGCCACACACTGGAATAAAAATCGTTGTCAGTACTGATCATCATCATCATCATGATGCTTCTGCCATTTTGAATCGACCACCATACACATACACACACACACACACACATATCAGCATCATTATTGAATACGAATGAATGATGATGATCAGGATATGGGGATCCAGGATCGAAGAAAATCGATACGAAATAATAAAATAAAATTTGGCAATTTGTTTATTCAAGAAGCAATATATTTGATGAAAAAAACCAGCCACCCACGGCCAGCACCACCACCACCACAACAACCCCTAAAAATTGTAATAATCAAAATCGATCGATTAGATTCTAGATTCTGGAACAGAAGTGATAATAATAATAATAATAATAGAAAAGGGTGCGTCCGGGTTCATTATAATGTAATGTCGTCTATGTTGACATGAGATGGTACCGCTAACCAACCAACCAACCAACCAAACAACAACAAAAATTTTTTATTGATGTTTGGAACAATTCAAAATCGAATGATGATATTTTATTACATTTTATAGCCATTTTATGTGCATGTGTTCGTGTATAAGTGTTGAAAATGATTTGATAAAAAAACCGAACCAGAAACATTGATGATCAACGTGTTTAATGAATGAATGATGATAATGAAACATAAAAACCGGAAATACAGTAATACAGAATGAATCAAATTGAACAACAACAATACAAACACGTACACACATTTTGAATGAATCAAATTTTTGTCAACAAGAAAAATTAAATGTGCACAAGTTATGAATTAATTTCAATTAAAATTGACAGCACTTGATGATGATGATGATGAAGGCGGTGGTGGATGATGATGATGGTTATATATAATAAAACAATAATAATGTACTTGATTAATGTTAATTCACAAAAACAACAGTGAACTAGATGAAATGATTATTAAGAAGAACATGCCAGGAAATTTGAATTACAATATTTTTTGCAACATTTAACACTTTGGTTTCTTCTTGATGTTGAATGTGATTTTTGAATTTGGATCAACAATTTCCATTGTTGTTGTTGTTGTTGTTTGCAGAAAGTTTTCCTGCAACAAACAAATGAAAATATCGAATCGCCACTTTGTAATATGTGTGTGTGTGCGTATTATTCGTGAAAATTCCATGATTCAATGAATATTCATGAACAAATCACTTGTGATCTCCTGAATAAACAGCAACAACAACAACAACAAAGTAAACAAACCAAATCGAGAGAATTAATAAAAAATTTTTTTTCAAAGTGAAAACAAAAAAAAACAATTATCAATATCGTACCAAAAAGGTGGTGTGTGTGTGTTATGTGCGATGATTATCCATAGATCATATCATCATCGATGTTATCGATATAGTTGGTTTTATTGTTTGTTTCGATAATTATTTATGTAAAACGTTCATCGATTAGCATATCATCATCATCATTTTTTTTGGGTTGGTTTTCTTTCATCCACAAAAAGGTGAGAATTTCAATGATGATGATAATCAGAAAATCAATTACGCCCTGAATATAAAAATTTTTTGATGATGACAAAAAAAAAAAAACAAACAAACATTCGACGTATGATTTGCCAGTGTGATACAAAGCGTGGTTCGATGATTCATTCATTCATTCTCACTGTTGATAGTTATAAAATGTTTGCGAAAATCAAAACCGACACCTTTTGAATGAATAATGAAAACAAGATGAAAACAAAGAGAAAAAAAAAGATATCTGATCAGGCTTTGACCAGAAATGTGTAAAAACAACAACAACAACAAAAAATTACAAAAACAACAACAAGACGAAAAACAAAAATATACAACTTACTCGACAACAAAGTTTGTTTTTTTTTCTCTTTAAAATACCCAAAAAAGGTTTGAGAATGAAAGGAATGAATCATCGAAACAGAGTTGAAGAAGAAAAAAAAATTCAAAACACTTTGTTGTTCATTATAGAAAAAGAACTGAGAATAATAACGTAGGATGATGATGATGATGATGATTGAAAACTTGAATATTTCTTACCTGAAAACATTATCATTCTAATTTCGCTTCGTTCGTACATGATTATGATCACTATGGTGGTTGGCTGGTTATTTCACTCTTGTTAACTTTTTACATTGATTAATTGATTGATGATATTCGAATGAATCATACATTTGATAAGACATTTTTTGATGATGATTATGATGACCAAATTCAAATGAATGTCAATCATCATCATCATAATCATTGGCAATATTCGAATGTTTTTTTTTTGTTTTGTTTGTTTTGTTTGTTTTGTTGATTATTCGAACATTTGTTATTTTCACATAATACGTGCACACATATAAAATTTTATCATTTTTTTTTTTTTTTTGATTTTGATTTTGATTTTTCATTTCATTTCGTTTCATAGATCATCATCATCATCATCGCCATTATTCATCGTTCATAGGAATGTGAATAAGCAAAAGATTGTTGTTGCTGTCGCTGTTGTTGTTGTTGATATACAATGTTTTGTTTTTTTTAAATACTTTTTTTTCGGATGTTTATTGTTAGTGTCTGTGTCGATTGATCACCATTGGTTACTAGATCATCATCATCCACATCATCAAAATTGGATTGAATGAGTTCGCCATCGTTTCCATGTTTCAATTACCGTGTATTTAATTTATCCATCTTTTTTATTTGATCAACTATCAACGTGTCTTGTCGGCTTGATTTGATTCATTTTTCAGTTCATCCACACCCGATTTACCGCGTAGGAAAATAATTGAAAAAATGTCGACCAATAAAAAATTCTTTTCATCATTTCGAATGTTTAATGCAAATTTCTGCCTACTACAATTGATTATAATCATTGTAATAATGGTTCGAAATGTTCATCAACAACAATACCATGAACGGACACCAAGTCCAAACATACAACAACAAATGGCAACAACAATAAAAACATTATCATGTAAAGCATCAATGATACCACGTATGTTAACCATAAAACCATCATCATCATCATTATCATCTGGTTTAGATATTGTTACCACTCAAGATACAATAACTGTTCGTTGTATGGCTAATTTAACCGATCTGAATGATAATTTCATTCATCCGGTATTTGATTTATCATTTGGTGATACAACCAATACTGGTGTTTATATTGTACGTGGACAACCTGATTGTTTTGATAATTATACTAGATGTAAAAGTGAATTTCATGTATCAACATTGGCATTGATTAAATTATTATTACCATCATCATCTACAACAGCAAATCATCGTCCTCAATATTCGACATCATCACCGAATACAATAAAAGTTACATGTGATGTTGCCGATACATCTGGTTATTCACGGCTACCTATACGTTGTAATGATTCGGGTTTTTTTCATTTTCCAAAAGGTAAAGTTTTTTTTTTTTTTTTTTTTTTGATTTAAATTGCGATAATTATTTGTTTGTTTGTTTATGGATCAAGTGTTTAATTATGGTGATATGTGCTACGCCAAAACTGGTTCGACTGAAGATGTATGTGGAACAAATATGAAATGTTTGAAAGTTGACAAAAATTCACCATCATCATCAATGTCGTGTCAATGTAAACATGGATATTCAAATGTAACCATTTGGATAATGGCAATGAATTTAGCCAAAACAATTTGTATAAAACCGATTGGATTACAACAACAACAACAATGTTTAATCAATGAACAATGTATGGCAATGGATTCAAATTCTATTTGTCAATATGATAATAAATATGGCTATCCAATATGTAAATGTCGACATGGTTATCATCCAAAACAAAATAATTCAATCTGTCAATCAATTGAACGAACAACAGTACAACCATGTACTACTGATATTGAATCAACATTATCGAATCAGCCTAAAAACACTGTATCACCATCACCAATTATCGATAAACAAATGAAATCGAACGAAGAATCAAGTCCATTGTCGAATAAAATAAGCCATTTAGGTTTGGTCATATTTTTAATCGTACTATTATGGGCAATCATTATTGCAGCTGTTTTAGTCAGGTATGTGAATATTGGTCTTGTGTTGATTTATTATGGCATTCTTTTTTTTCATTGATTTTTTTTTCTCGTTCACCATTTCATAGATATGCAAAACAAAACAACATTTAGATATTCATTATCATCATCAAAAACATCGCCAACAACAAATACAACATGATAATGATGGTAATGATGAAAAATTGAAAAAAAATTCCAATATGATTAAAAATCATCATCCAGTAATTCTTAAATCACATGATCATCTCTATCATTCAAATAGTGATAATGATGATAATAATGATCAGATTGAAATGAGAATCGATGATAACCACGGTGTTCATGAATTGACAACAACAATACAATCAACAACAAAACAACAACAAATAATTCGTAATGAACCACCAAATTTTGATATTTTTGCCAAACAATCAGTTGTTTAATCAATCAATTCACAACCACTACTACTACTACTACTACAACCACCATCATCGCATATATTATCATCTTATCTATCCATTTATCTATCTATCTATATATCTATCTGTATTTTGTATCCAGATCTCTCATTATTATTATTATTATATAATTTAATTATATTCATTTATTCATGACACAACAACAATTTTTATTCCATCAAAAATTTTGCCAAATTGTCACACACACACACATAGGCATTTTTTTTCGTTTTAATATAAAAAACAACGACAACAACACTAATTGAACAATAAATAAAAAGATTTGACTTTGAAAAGGAAATCTGTTGTTTATTGGTGGTGTTTGATGATGAAATTCGTTTGTATTGGCCACTCCTTCTATAATGGCCATCATTATTGTTTTTGAAAAAAAAACAAGAAAAAAACATTAATTTTGTCGCCATTTGTGTTCCAAACATCCTGTAAACACATATACAGTATAAATAAACGAGAAATTTGATAATAATTTTCTTTTTCCTGTCACCATTGTTGATTTTGTTGTCAATTTGTTACAAACAAAAACAATATTGTGTTTGTCATTGCCATTATGATGATGATGATGATGATGATGATGATGGTGCCGGTAACATTCAAGCATCAGAATAAATGATCCAAGCGCTTGCGCTTGATTCATGAAAAACATTCTGGTGGTTATCGACAATTTATATCCGTATATATGGCTAGCGGTTGTCGAATTCTATAGAATCCATATATATAGATATTCGAATTCAATATTCTCGATTGTATATATTGTTGGTCGGTTTGTGTGTGTGTGTGTGTTTATATGTTGGAATCCAAAGCTGCTCGAATTATTATTTATTCACAAAGAATTGGAAAAACTTTTCGTCTTTTTCTTCTTCTTCTTCAAATTCCACAACAACAACAACAACAATAATAATTTTCTGGTAACCATTGGTTTCAGCAATGTGTGTCTCTCTGTGTGTAGTATTGAATTTTGAATTCAACTTTTATCGATTCTTCATTTGAGAATTGTCAATGTATGATAAATTTCATTCTATAGATGACCAACAACAACAACAACCATTGAATCGTCATTGCAATTACATTCATGTCATCTATATTTATAGAAAGAAATGAAAAAGAATTCGATTAAATTTGAATAGCTAAAAAATCTACATTTTACAGAACAACGACAAAAAATTTTCTGACAGAATCAGAATTCTTCTATTAAATTCAATATATAATTCTGTCTTCTGATCAACTGTTATTGACAACAATATATGTTTATTATATAGATGGTAAAAAAAATTGGGCCTTCACTTACATTCACCACAATTTGATCATCATCTGATATGAATAATGGAAGCCATCCTTTTTAATCGACAATGAAATTCTATTCATAATTCAAAATTCTTTCAATCGATTTCAATTAGAGAATAGCTGAGCTGTTCTTTTCATCTGTGTGATTTCGACTATATCGACATAACAATAATAAGAAGAATATATATTCTCAATTCATTCGGAATTTTTTTTTCTTTATTATCATCATATTTGGATCGATTCGAATTTCATTTCTTTGTTGGTTGAATTTATATATTGAAAATATAATTGTTATCGATCTTCTTCTTTTTTGCTCTATATATAACATCATCATATCGTGTGTGTGTCTTCTTTTTTCTTTTATAAAACTGCTATATTAACACATTTTGCTGCTTGTTGTTTTTTCATTCATTCATTTTTTTTGCCATTCTTCATTATCATCGAATCTTTTGTTTGTTCCATTCAATTCAGCTGCTGTTCCCTAACAACAACAACAACAACAATAAGATGCTCTGAATGAATCGTTCACAAACATATTCGTCGCTATCATCAGCCACATCATCTAGTGAATATCCATTCGATCGACCAACAGCAAACCGTCAACAACAACAATATGATGACGAAATTAATTTCGATGATGATGATGATGATGATGGCCAGAAAAATCCATCAACAACAACATCAAGAAAATCTTATGGTTATTGTGGTTGGAATCAAGTAAACTACAGTGGTCGTGGTGGTACAATATTAAGTGATCCATTATTTCAAAACGACACTAATGTTGAATTTCGTGGTCAAAAAATTAATCCTTGTATTATTAAATTAAAGTTGACAAAAAATAAATTTGTCCACCAAAACCGACATTGGTCATCATCATCATTATCATTAACATCATTATTATCATCATCAACATCGATTCAAACAGAAATGGATACAAATCAATCATCAGAGAATAATCATCGATCATCATTAGAACATGGTTCAGTAGGATTGATAAGCGGTTATGATGAAACTCAACGTCTTGTGGATAACACACATCATCAACATCACAATTCAGATATAGAATCTAGTCATCAGAAGAAGAAAAATCGAAATTCCAATGAAACAGCCAATATTAATAGCTGTAATTTTGCCCTATATAAAGGCATTTTTTATTCATCATTATCATCAGTTTTCTTTTCATTATCAGCTGTTATTGTTAAATATCTTAAGGTATGTTTTCTTGGCCTGTTTTTTTTCATTTCCATTAATATGATAATTATTGAATCAGGATATTCATCCCGGTCAATTGGCTGTATCACGTTTTTTCGGCATATTCATTCTGACCATACCATTGATTGTTTATCATGATTTGAATCCATTTGGTCCACCAGAATTACGTCCAATATTAATAATGCGTGGTATTGCCGGGGCTACATCATTGTTTCTACGTTTCATTGCATTTCATTATCTATCAATTGCTGATGCATCGGTTATTATTTTCTCTGTACCAATATTTGTCTCTATATTTGCTTGGTTCTATCTAAAGGTTAGTTTAGTGCCAATAAATGAATATATAAAACTTAAATATCTTTATCCATTCTATAGGAACCATGTGGCTTATTTCATACATTGACCATAATAATAGCAATGATTGGCCTAATTATGACGACAAAACTACCAATATTTTTCTCCTATAGTGGTAATCATATTATGGATGATAATTATTACAATTATTATCATCCATCATGGTCATCAACATCATCAATGTTTATGAATATGGCTGGCTATCATAATGGTAATAATGTGAATAACATATCATCATCATCATCATCACCAAAAATGACGATGATGATGATTAATTCAAATTCCACAATGACATCATCATCATCAATTGTTGTTGGAAATCATAATGATCGTCTAAATCATCTATATGGTGTATTGGCCGCGCTTAGTTCATTAATATTTTCATCATCTGTATTCATTTTTATACGTAAAGCAAAAGGTGCACATCATGCTGTGATTATGTTTAATTTTGGCTGGGTTGCCATCATTGAAACCACCATATTGACAACATTATTGAATGGTTTTTCAATGCCACGTACACCATTCGAATGGTATCTAATAGTAGTGTTGGCTGTGTTTTCATTCTGTGGTCAAATGTTATTGACACGTTCATTACAATTAGAACAAGCTGGCCCAGTATCCGTTGTACGTGCTACAACCGATATTACATTAGCATTTCTTTGGCAATTGATTATATTTAAAGAAACACCAGATTTATGGTCAATTTTTGGTGCCTTAGTCGTATCCAGCTGTATTGTATTGACAGCAATGCGTAAATGGGTTCTATCATTACCAGAACATTCACGTATTCGGGATAAACTTTATTTCCTGTTATTATGAATGATGAAAAAAAAAAAAGATTCACTTTTCATCTGATTGATTGATTAATGGCTGCCAAAAAAAACAACAAAAACAAAAATGCAAAGAATTTATCATGTGTATAATAATGAGAAACACATATAATGATCAAATTGTAATGAATCAATAAAAATGAATTTATAAATAAATAAATTTTTTTTTGTTTTTGTTTTGTTATCTTGAATTAGATTCTGGATTCTGGATTCTTTTTCTTTTCTTCACTTTTTTTTCAATCATTTGGAAAGAAATGCAAAACGTATACGCATCGGATGATTATCAGGCAATCCAATTATGTATTTACGAAATGATAATAGAAAAACGGCACTTAATACTAATATGGCACCAATCATGGTGAATAGATCCGGTATTTGTTGAAAGAATATTATTTGCAATATGAATGCAAAAAATGCCTAAATGAAGAAAAATGAGAAAAAAAAATAAACAAAACAAAACAAAACAATTTCACACATTACCTCGCTACTTGTACGTACGACGGAAACAACGCCAGCTTCTTCAATCTGTATGGCACGTGTTAATAATAATTGTGCATAAAATGATAATATACCAATCAGAAATATTAGATATGGTGTATAACCAGTTGTTGGTAATTGAATATCATAGAAAAAATAATCAATCATGACCATTTCAATCATTGATATGATGGAAAAATTGAATAAAATCACATATTTATCAACATGTTTGAGCTGTGTAAACAAAATTATATGTTAATTAATAAATCAATCAAGAATTTCAAGAAAAAAACACTTTACCTTACGAATAATCACATAGACAAAACAACCGACAAATGTTGCACCAAGACTATATAATGTACCAATTAATTGATCACTTAAATCCATTGATTTTGTTATTGGGTTATCATCAATATAATAATTGGTTTCATTCATTGTTTGATTACCATTATCATTGAAAAATTCTGTTGTGGCCATTGTCGTTGTCGTCGTTGTTGTTGTTGTCATTATCATTGTATTATTATTGATCACAAAATCATTTTCTTCACCCATTGGTTTGCCAAATATAATTTCTAATTTTGATGCAAAAATTATACCAACAATAGACATGACTAATGCTAGTACATGATATGGACCAAAATGTTCTTTAAGAAAAATTCTGGCAAAAACAAATACAAAAACAGGCATCGATAAAATGATGATTGTAGAATCAGCCATCGACATATAATGTAATGCTGAATAACGGCAAAAAACACTGGTACCACCAGCCAGGCCACGTAATGCAATCCATAGATATGTACCAGACATACCGAATAATGGTTGCGGTGATTCCAATGCCAATGGAAATGATAGTATAATGATTCCTGATGAGAATTTAACAAATGTTTCAAATTATTATTCAAAAATAATAATCATTTGCATTAAATGGTTAAAAATTTGCTTACCAAAATAACGGAAACCAGCCGTTGTACCAGGTGAAACATCTTTAACATATTTTACAACCAATGTTGTGATTGAAAAAAATAATCCCGAAAGAATTGTCAAACAAATTCCTTTTAAGAATTTTTTTGTACGATTTAAAAGATTACTTTTTTGACTATTTGTCATTGAATGTATTGAATTTCGTGGTTGTTTACCATTACCATTACCATTACCATTACTAATCTGTGATGATTGTTCAATAATTGGTAACATACGAAAATCACCATTTGGTTGATGATTCGTTGTTGTTGTTGTTGTAGAAGCAGCCGTAGTAGTAGTAGTAGTAGTTTGATGACCATTTTTCATTGATGATGATTTATCCAAATCATTCGATGTTGTTATTATCGATAATGGTTGTTGTTGTTGTTGTTGTTGTTGATTATTATGATGATGATGATGATTTTTACCACCATTTTCATTACCACCACCATCATGATTATTATAATGTTGTGATAAATTATTCTGTATAGACATTATTGATTGAATTGAATTGAATTGAAATGAATTTAGAAAAAAAAATTGATTCAATGACAAAAAGAGAGAGAAATCTGTAAAAAAAATTAAAAAGATAAATTATGAAAAAAAACACTTGTTGTGACTATGTTTATATAAACAATATATCAACAAAATTTTTATTTTGTTTATAACTGCAATATAAATCATATATATCAAGGAGTTTAGATGACCACTACACACAATGATGATTATTATTATCATTATCAGCAGCAGCAGCAGCAGCACCACACTAATCGTTTATTGTACGTGATTTCAATAACGTTATAATTTTTAGAACACATAACAAAAAAAAACGACCAGTTTAAGACAAAATTTATTGACATCTTTATTCAATGAAATCTTAAAACATTATGATGATGATGATGTTGATTAACTAACAATAAAATAGTTTTAATTGTAAAGAAAGAAAGAAAGAAAAAAATCATTAACCATCTCTCTCTCTCACCACCACTGACATTACATTTCTCCAGTCATTGGTTATTTTGTCCTTAAGCCAATTTTACACATCACAAGTATTTTCTGTAAATTTCTCCCCCCTCCCCGTTTTTGCTATCTCCAATGAGACAATATGTTGAAGAGCGGGACGAACCATTATATTATCTCCAAGTTTTATTTTATATGTTCGTACTATTTTTCCATCAGGAATTTTATCCATCACCACACCCGTAGTTCAAAGCGAAGTGTCTCCAATTTGCACTTGATGATAGTCATTTCCGTTCTGGTAAAACTTTCGTATATCTTTCATGTATACTCTTGCCACGAAGTGTTTATCATGTTTAGTTTCCGGCCCCAGTATGTCAGTAATTTGTCGGAATAAATTCTTGTTGATTTAACTTAAGTAAAATTCTCAGGTTATCAATATCATCGTCGATACTTCGTTTCCACTGATCAGGTTGTATTTAAATTTATTGGAGCCATTCGTCATACGAAATTTTTTTTTATCCAAGTCGATAATATATCCAGTATTTACAATTAGGATGCAATTGAAATGACTTTACAGAAACACTATATTAGCCAATTTACACATTACAAGTATTTTCTTCACATTTTCGTATATTTATTCAAATTATCATCATCATCAATCAATTTATTTATTTATCAAAATGTTTGGCACATTTTTGTCATAAATACCACTTGATAAATAAAATCATTTATCAAATAACATCAAATAATGACCAAATGACATAAGAATTGTAAAACAATTTATTATATCAATATATAACATTACGTGATAATTAACTGACGGTAATTATTCATAGAAAGATAATTATCATATCATCAACATTATCTAATGTACTAAAAATTTTGTCACATAATAATTATCATATATCCATTATTATATTATTACTAGGAGATGAAAATAAAAGTTAACTATTAGTTTTTTTACCATGTTTTTCTGGCCAATGTTTACCCAAAAAAAAAAATTTGGTAAACACAAAAAAGTTATTATTGAGGAAATGAACAATTTTTTTTTGTTTCTTAGATTTTCTCTTTTTCTTTTTTGGGCCGGTATTTTCCCCATTTTTATAACGTACATATCCGGTTATAATAAGAGACAACTACTTACTTGGTTAGCCAATTTGTTGTTGTTGTTGTTGTTGTTGTTGTTATTGTTATTGATCACAATCAAATAAAACTTGTAAAATGAAATTTCGAAAAAAAAGACATTTCCACCTTGTATAATGTCGAAATATAGAAAAAATCTGATCAATGAGATGAAAGGGAATGATTTGGTGAAAAAATTTTTCTTTTAAATCAATCACAAAAATTAAAAATCAAAATTGAGTCATTCCAACATCATCATCATCATCATCGATCGATTAATCGATTGATGAGAAAAAAAACAAATAAACAAACACTTGTTGCTTTTCGGTGCTCTTTTTTATCACATCATCATCATTCATTATTAATTAATTAATTTCAATTTAGAAGAAAAAAATTTCACATTTTAAAAACACTGGTTGGTTGTTCATCGTATTGATGATGATGATGACTAATAAAATCACTATGTGCAGTGTTTTAAAAAAAAAAAAAAAAATTTGAAATTTGAATTTCTTCAAACAACCGAGATTGTGATTGAATTTACAATGACAACATTTCAATGTCATTGAGCTTTGATTTTTGTTCAATTTGTTGCTGTTGTCACACACACACACACACACACACACACACACACACACTCATTAAAAAATCGGATGAATATGAATAACCGAAACATTGAATGAATGGAATAATCGGCCTTGGCATTGACACACACACACACACACACTATGTTAATTGACAACTACGACGACAATTAATCATTAATTATCAAAATTCGGATGTTTAAAAAAAACATTTGGATTTTTAAATTAAAAAAAAACCGACAATCACACCTTGATGGTGATGATGATGATGATGTCCAGGTGACATACAGCACACACATTCATACAAACTCAATTTTTGTCACCTGGACAAATATGTGTATTATTCAGAATGAATTTTTTTTTGAAACAGGATTTCCACAAAAAAAACATTCATCTCTATAATTGATTAAATGATGATGATGATGATGATGATGACCGGTATCAAATTGGGATCATCATGCATTTCAATTACATAAATATCACAAACACACAAACACATACATAGAAAGACAGGATGATGACAAATACCCACAAATAAACAAACGAACAACGACGACGACAACAACAACAACAAATGATGATAATATCCTGTTTTGAACTTGTTACGATTTTTTCTGTTTTGTTTTGTTTTGTTTTGTTTGTTCAGACAACACAAAACAGAAACAGAAACAGAGAGAAAAATAATAAATCTTGAAAATCTTGATAGGATTATCGTAGTCGTTGTCGTGGTGGTAGCGGTGAAGGTAGTAGTGGTAAAAAATTGAAATTCGTTATTTTTTTTTTTTTTTTTTTTTGGTTGACAAAATGTTCGACATCATCGTCGTTTGTTGATGTCATATACCACGATTATCATCATGACAACAACAACCAATGATGATGATGATGATGATGATGATCTTGATCAAGATTCTTGAATCAATGATCATAATGATGATGTCAAGACACAATGAGTTGGTGACTTTGATACGATATAGAAGAGTAAAACGATGATGAATGTGACAAAAATAGAAATTTTTTTTTTTTTTTTGAATGTAGCGAAAAAATGAAAACAATCGAATGTGAATGTTAAACATGAAAATGATGAACATGAACATGTGATCGAGCGAAAAAAAAATTTCGAAATTAAATTGTTACCAAAAAAAAAAAAAAAAATATTTAGCTGCTGTTGTTTTGATGATGATGATGATGATAAACATCCAGAAAAAGAAACCAAAAAAATTGCCAATTTGATATTGATCGGCCAGGTACACCTATTGATACAGTTGATCAAATTTTGATTTGATTTATTCGCTGCTTCTGCTGTTGATGATGATGAATTTCATTTTTTTCGCCATCTAAACAAACGATGTGTCTTTTTATATAAACGAAATGATCAAAAAAAAAAAATCAGAATTTCCCCCATTCAATTACAAAAAAAAAAATGTACCTGATTGATGTTCAATATACACAGATGTACTTGCATCGTATGAATGTGATGTGTGATATAATTATTTCATTTTTTTGTTGTTGTCTTCCTGGTTTTTTTTTTTTTAATTAAAAAATCATCATTATTGGGTACAGATGTTTTTTTTTTTCACTATCTCATGAAATCGATTCAATGTTGATGATGATGTAATTAATTTGATAATTATTTTCGTCAGGTAATTTTGGGTACTTTTATCGTATTATTAAATTTTAATTTTCCACCAAAAAAAATCATTCGAATTTAACGAATCTATTCATTCATAAATGACGTAACCGAAAAAACAAAATTCCAAAAAGAATTTTGTTTTCGTTTTCGTTTGGAATTGATTATATAGCATATATCAATATGGTTATTATATACTCATGTATCTAGGACACGCACATAAAGGACAAATTGAGGTTTTTGTTTTCATTATTCGGAAGAAAAAATTCAATATTTTCCGGATAAATTGAAAGAAAACAGAAACCGAATTCTCGATTCTATTATCTACCCAGACGACGGTGGTTGATTTTTTGGTCTACTCAACTTTGGGTAAGTTTACAATGTAGAATTTATAATTTTGTAAATCGTTGAATTCTTTGTTATGTCAAACATTTAATTGCCAGCATTTTTAACGATAAATGGTGGTGGTGATGATGGTGGTGGTAGTGGATTTTATAAATAGAAATTAACAAAAAAAAATTCGAATTAACAGATAAAAAGAAAAAAGGTTAGCTAAAGGTCTCAATGTGTGTGTGTGTGTGTGTGTATGTGTTGAATTCACTATAGTTTTTCTTTTGAACAAAAAAAAAATTTTTTTTTTGTCGAAAAAATTCGAAATCGTTCGTTTGTTAGAAAATGTCATCATCATCTCTTAGATTAAATTTCGAATTTCTATCGTGTTTGTTTGTCTGATTTATCATCGTTTAGATTCGGTTTTTTTTTCTCTGATTAACAATTTCACTGTCGTTTTTTGCTATTTTTGTCATTTTCATAATTTTAATTCAATTTTTTCCATTGTCCAATAACGACGATACAATTACTACTACTACTACTACTACTACTACTAATAGCAATATCATTGATATGGCACCAACAACGCAAACATCAACGACATCTACAAAACCAATCATTATTTTTGTTATTGGTGGTCCTGGTTCAGGAAAAGGTACCATTTGTGAACGAATAAAAACAAAGTAAGTCAGATTTCTGATTGTAACATTCGAACATTTTAACATGTTTTTTTGTTGTTGTTGGTTCGAATAAAACCCACACAGATATGGTTTCACACATTTATCAACCGGTGATCTATTACGTGATGAAGTTGCATCCGGCTCATCATTGGGTAAAGAATTGAATACGGTAATGCAATCCGGCAAATTGGTATCCAATCAACAGGTATTGACTCTGTTGAAATCAGCTATTGAAAAAAATCTTTCCAAATCCAAAGGATTTCTAATCGATGGTTATCCACGTGAAATAAATCAGGCCATTGAATTTGAAAAACAAATTTCACCATGCACAATGGTCTTTTATTTTCATTGTTCAGATCAAGTGATGATTGAACGATTAATAAATCGTGGTAAAACAAGTGGCCGTGTTGATGATAATGAAGAAACAATTCGAAAACGTTTGCAAGTATTTCATGAAAATTCTGATCCAATCCTGGAATATTTGAAAACAAAATTGGCAAAAATTGATTCAAATAAACCGGTGGATACAGTATTTGTTGCCGTTGAAAATGTTTTGTCCAAATTAATTTAATCTGATGATGATGATTTCTATCCAAAAAGCTTCGGTATTAAATACTCAAAAAAACAACAACATACACACGTGTGTGTTTGTTCATTTAAATTCAAAGTTAGATTAAAATTGTTGTTTTATGCTCATTGAAAAATTAAATGAATTTTATTCAAATTTTAAGCCTTTCAATCTTTTTTTTTGCACACAAATTTTAATCAATTATAATGGGTAGTCAAAATGACACCAGGTGTACGATGATTTGATGCTTTTGCTGTCATAGATGATGATGATGGTGCACTACTAATCTGTGAATAAATATTTTCAATCTGTTCATATTGATGATGATTAGGATTATTTTGATAATTGGCTGGCATTAAATGATTTGGTAATTGGTGATTATGATGTTGATGAATTGATGTTCGATAATAATGTTGTGATGATGATGATGGTGGTGGTAGTGGTGATAATCCATATTGTTGTGTAACTTCTTTAATTGCACGTTGACGTAAACGTGATACTTGTAACTGGCGCCAATCACGTATTAGTATACAATAGATTATTGTCAATAAAATAAGACAGGCCAATATCGATGTACGCAATATAATCCATCCGGCTGTATCGAATATTCGTGAATACATCAATAGCAATAGATAGAAAATCATTGATACAGCAAATATTAATATACATGGTACATGTTCTTTGATGATTGCAATCAATCCGATTAAGAATAATATGATGCCCAACTATATATAAAATTAAAATAGTAATAAAATATTAATGTTTGGTCAGTTTCAAGATAATCTTTCTGCTAACTTACCAACGAAATAATTCCAACAGCAAGATATGATCGTTCCAAAAATGATTCAGCAACAATTATGGCAATAATTGCAATGATTATCATTGATAATAACAATGATATCAATGTATATTTTACACATTTGAACCATGAACTTTTTGGTATAATATCTTCAGGTTGTATTTCAATCTTTTCAATATAATCGGCTTTTAATTGTGGTCGTTCCATTTTATTTATTATTATGATTATTATTCGGTTGTTCAATCATTTGTCAAAACAAAAGATTGGTAACCGTTAACACACAGACAAAATTATCGAACTAAACGAACAACAAAAAAAAACTAAGCTTTAGAGTGAGAAATAAAAACTTGAAGAAAGAATTTAGGACATACGAATTGGAAGAAATACAGAATAATTTTTTTTATCATCATCATCATCATCATCGTAGTCATCAAAGTTGCTCATCATTTTTGGCATCACAACCGATGTGGATTCTGTATGGATGAATGAATGAATGTTTGTAACACATTCTATACAAAGAAAAAGCAAGATTTTTATTACTTACTTACATTGCCAAAATCTTCATTACTTTTTTTTGATGACATCACATTTTTACAGAATGAATTTCAAAGAAAATATCACATACACACACACACACACATTAATGATGATTCAATTTCCGTTCCAATTACCGTAGCAATTTGGCCTAGATTTCTGGATGATGATGAGAACGGAAGATTGAATCTAATACACGTCGTCGTCGTCGTGTACCCAATATGAAAATTTGAATTATGAGGGGGTACCACGATGTTGGTGTTTCATTTTTTTTTCGGTTTCCAGGTCATATCGTCTAAATTTTAAAAAAAAATCTAGGTCTTATGGATGCGGACGGAATATCATGATGATGATCAAGTCAACATTTGATTATCATTATCCATGAGAAACGAAAAAAAATAGATTTCGGTGTTTTGGTGTTATGAACACACACACACACACTCACAACGACAATGATAATGATAACACATGCACGATGATTGGTCAGGATTGTGATTTCGATTTTTTTTTGCGGTCAAACTGTTACTTTTGTTTTGATTTTCATTTCATCGTTAAATCATTCAGTTAGAAAAAAAAGTTCATCGTCGAGAAATTCGTTCCAATTGGCAACTCTCGACGGTAGACGGATGGATATGGATGAAAGAGGGGGTCCATGTAATTGAATTTTTTGTTTCTATTTCGACTATAAAAATGCTGTGAACATCCATCGATGATAGATTCATCAAATCAAATCAATCAATGAAAATTTGAAAAAAAAACAAAACAATACAAAACAAAAAAATGTTTTCCATTCGACATATGTTGGCTTTTTTTCTGATGATGATCTATACACAAACAATGTACTACATGATTATTGCTCAACAAATTGATAATAATAATCTTGTTTCATCAACGACGACAACGACAACAACCGAATCAATTTTATCTACAAATAAATCAATATCAATTCGATGTGGTACATATCAAAAAATTACCGGATCAATTCATAATCAACAAGTACAACAACAACAACAACCATCATCATCACCAAGAAGACAACCACGTATAATTGGTGGTCAAGATGCATTGATTGAAGAATTTCCATGGCATGGTTCGTTGCAAAAACTTCGTCTTTTATTTCCATTACCAATACCAGATTGGCGTCATATTTGTGGTGCATCGATTATCAATGAAAATTATCTAATAACCGCTGCACATTGTGTTGATGGATTAATCAATTCATGGTGGCCAGGACAATTACGTGTTGTACTCGGTACAGATAGATGGCGTTACACATTGTTTCAACAAAATATTCAAATGATACCTGTTGCTAAAATCATTATACATCCAGAATGGAATTCACGTCGTGCACAGAATGATATTGCATTGATACGAACAACAAAACCAATTGTTTTCAATCAACGTGTACAGCCAATTTGTTTGCCTGAATCAAAGAATTATGAATTACATGGTGGACAAACCGTTACGGTTGCCGGTTATGGTTATACAACGGACAATCTGGTTTTTAATTTTCTACCCGATCGTTTGAAAGCTGTTCGCGTACCGATTGTACGTATGGATAATTGTCGTCAAACATATAATGTTTCACGAATACCAATAACGGATCGTATGATTTGTGCCGGTGTCACTACATATGGTAGATGTTCGGTAATTTTTTCATTGTTTTTTTACTTGAATTTCGTTTTTCACATTTCTATTATTTATACACACACACACAAACAGGGTGCAATGAGAGGTGATTCTGGATCAGCATTAATTACCTATACTAATGATAATAATGATCATGATGATGATGATCGACGTGCAATACATACTGGTATTGTTTCATTTTCACTTCCATGCCGTATGTTTGGTGCACCGGATGTTTATACACGAACATCATCATATATTGATTGGATCAATAATGTTATCAATGATAATAATAATGGTAAAAAAATGATTTAGGAATTTGTGGCTCCTTATCATCAGCTGTCAAAACCATTGATGTTATTATATTATTGAATTATTTCTTTTTGTTTTTTTTTTTTTTTTTGATCATTTTTTTAATCATGATTTCAATTTTAAATAAAAAAATTGAACATTTTGCAATATTGAAAAGGTACACAGAAAAAAAAGAGTTTATGGAGACGACCACGCATTTTTTTACCAATTAATAAATCAATAATTGCAGTTGAGTTTAAAAAACTCACTGCTTCTCATAATACCATATCTTCCAGGACTAAGTCTGGCTTCAGAGTAATTGCTAAAGAAATTACATTTAAATTACATATATTACAGATGTCTATTTAATATTTATGATAATCTAGTATTTACATGGTATGTATGTTCAGCGGTTTAGAAATCACTGGATGATCTTTATATTCTTGATAAGTGGGGCCGCAAAATCTTTAAAATATAATTAAATTATATGTAGATAAAACATAAAAAAAAAAAAATTAATTACCGGCAGACGAAATAGGTGGGAAAATTTTGTTTGAATCCTAACAGTTCTGACACCCCAAATTATCGCCTATCACAAAAGCCAATCAGACTTTTATAGTGATGCCACGTTCCTGGAAGAATAATCCTCGGTCCTGGAAATTAAAGTTATTGAAAAAATTATAATAACTTTGCAAAAACATACTTCTAGCCGCTTCAAATCTGAAACCAATGGTGAAAGAATTTGGTGGATCGAAGTTGCTTTTATGGTTTTACGATTAGCCAAAAGGAGAGCTGGGAAATCTTCCGATTTAGTCCTGTATTTGGTGGTATTGTCCGAATCCAAATACAAAGAAAAAATCTTTTGCGTGCATCGTGTAAAATTTGTTCACCTAAATTTTTTTAGTAATTTATCAATTGATCATTGGCGAAAATATATGAATTGTTAAAAGAAATTTCTTCAAGAAATATCGAAACATCTTGTTCAATAATCGTCACTTTCCGGATATAAAATAAATCTGTCGTTGTTGTTTTAAATTTGTCGTTAAAAAATATAACTTTTTCGTTTTCAATGACAAGTCGTTTTGCTTTGATGAAAACGATATAGTCATCTGAATCACCTTTAACGATAGCACGGACTATGTTTCTGTCCAACGATCAGGATTCAAGAGCTATTTTAAATGAAAAAATTAGATCAATAATTTTAAGAATCAATCACATAAATTTGAATGATCTTACAAGTTTGATTCGCTGCCTCGTCCAAATGACATTTTGTAGCCAAGAATTTCATTCTGGGCTAGATTATCGCTTATAACTTTGGATAATCTTATTTTCAAATTTTTCATCAAGTTCAGCGCTCAATTGGTAAATGCTACAAACGCAAAACTTTGTTTTGATCATTCATCAATGTCGAGAACATTTCGATAAGACGGCAAAAAAATTCAAATTTCTAAAATAATAAACACTAGAATAAGTCAATCTTTTTTACCATTTAAAAACTTACTTGAATCGCCGCCTTTCCCATTATTTGGAAGTTCGGCTCGAGTTAGTTGACCCACCTGATGGATTTGATCTTCCTCCTAATTTCTCACTTCCTTACTTTCAACCAAATCAAAATTGATTTGGTGACATCAGTCAGAATGCCTTCCTGAATGTCATGAAAGAGGTCGGGAAGGGCCAACTTGAACAGGTTGCAGTTGAGTTTAAAAAACTCACTGCTTCTCATGATACCATACTTTTTTGATAATTTCATTTATTACACAAATTTTTTAATTTAATTTTGATGGAATTTTTTTTTCACAATATAAATTCGAAGTGGAAATTCTATGAAAATGCTACACGCGTGTTTCCATGCTCATGCTTTATATTCCGTTCGTTTTTCATCCGCACATGTTCATAGATGATGTTACAGCTTAAAAATTGTTAAAAATCGTGTATACACGACGACCATCAATGTGTCACAATGGACACATTTGACTATTTCCACCCAATTGGATGAAAACACACAAACAAATAGACCCCCATTTTTGGGGTAGACTTTATATTATTTATACACACACACACACAAACAGGGTGCAATGATTCATGCATCCATGATGAGGTGATTCTGCATCAGCATTAATTACCTATACTAATGACAATAATGATCATGATGATGATGATCGACGTGCAATACATACTGGTATTGTTTCATTTTCACTTCCATGTCGTATGTTTGGTGCACCGGATGTTTATACACGAACATCATCATATATTGATTGGATCAATAATGTTATCAATAATAATAATAATGGTAAAAAAATGATTTAGGAATTTATGGCTCCTTATTATCAGCTGTCAAAATCATTGATGTTATTATATATTGAAAATTGTTTCTTTTCGTTTTTCGTTTTTTTTTTGATCATTTTTTTTACCCTAATTTAAATTTCAATTTTAATTAAAAAAAATTGAACAATATTTTGCAATATTTAAATTGAAAAACTAATTTGTTTTTTGTTGTGATGATTGATTTTATTTACAATCTATAAAAGTGCTGCCATCTATTGTTAATGGTGAAAAGAGTTTTTACAGAATTTATTTTTCATATAATAAATATATAACAAGCGTCATACATTTGAAAACGGAAAAAAAGTTGTTTCCGTAAGATCCATGCAATTTGAATAGAACATAATTATCATAAAAAATATATTAACAGAACACAATTACATGAATTACAACATAAATATTTGTGTTGCGGGCTGTACATAATTACCGCAATAATTTGGGTATATATGTCTTTGATTATGAATATCATTTTTTCATATATTAAACTAGAATTTTACCATGGTGGAAATTAAAATTTTCTAGTCGATTAATAATATGATGATCGATGGTGATGTTAGATCAAATCCATTTTCTTTGCACTTGATGATTACATTCAGTTAAATTAGATTCGTTATTGATTTCGAATGAAGGTGTAATATTTGAATTATGTGTTGGTTGCGATCGATAATTTGTCTCAAAAATTTTGTTGAGAAGTGTATAAATTATCAAATTCCTCAAGAGTTTTTAGTACGTCGTATTCGTAAAATTGTCATCTTGAAATTGTTGGAACCATGGTTGAACAGTACGAGAAGTGGTAGTGATTTCGACAGCAGCTCTCGTGGTGGTCGTCAATTATTTGATGTTGTATTTGTAAAAGGTTTCTTTGTATTTGGAATAGCTGATTTCGTTGGTTGTGATCCATGTTTCTAAATTGAATATATCAGAATCAATTATTGTGAATGTTTATTTTTTTATGTTTATATAAGCCACCTTTGCTGAAGAACGATTTTCCACATCCAATTTTCTTGCACTTATTTTTCTGTTCAAGATGGAATATTTTCTCGTGTTCATTATATTTTCCAATTTTCAGGAATTTTTTGTCGCATCTTGGTCAAGGACAAAGAAATTTAAAACTCTTCTTTATCATTACCATAATTTGGAAATAATGATACAGATGAGGATATAAAAATAAATGTAATTGTTGCAACATCAAAATCGTTCATAATTTGATCATGAATAGAATTTAGAATTTTTTTTTTTTTGATAATTTCATTTATTACACAGAAATTTTTTAATTTAATTTTGTTGAAATTTTTTTCACATAAATTCGAAGTGGAAATGCTATGAAAATGCCACACACGTGTGTTTTCCATGCTCATGCTTTATATTCCGTTCGTTTTTCATCCACACATGTCCATAGATGATGTTACAGCTTAAAAACTGGTAAAAATTGTGCCATCAATGTCAACATAGACACATTTGACTATTTCCACCCAATTGGATGAAAAGAAAAGATTTCTCCCGCTTTTGTGACAATAAAATAATCATCATATACATCCTATACTACAAATGTAGAACAACAAAAACGAACAAACACCACCAGATGCAGAGCATAGAAACCGAAACATATACGGATAAAGAATTTACACATTTCTCACATAAATTCTTTATATACAAACGAAACGAAAATTGGGGGCAAACAAAGTTATTTTTTCAAGTTTTCATTTATATATTGATATATAAACGCGCATGCTCAAATCATTAAAATTGCAATCCATTCAATGATGATGATGATGATGAAAAATTCTTCCTGTTGATATTCTTATTGTTGATCATTCGCAAATTATCACGATTCTTGAATGGTTACGCGGTGTGTGCGTGTGCTTGATAAAATATTGGTGGTTAACAAACAAAAAAAAAACGAGAACGAGAACGAAACATTTACTACGGGCATTTAATATTGGCCCGGTATTTGTTTCACGAATGAGATAATAATGTATACCAGCAGAGTGTGAATTGCGATTAATTTTTGAATTGGATGAAAGTGAAACAAAAATGCACACGAATAATATCAACAATGAACCATCGTAAACGAAAATACGAACTAACCTGATCGAATCATTTTTTTTAATGATTCGATTAAGGTTTTTTGTTTTCACATTCGAACGACGACGACGACGACGAAAAACCTTGTTTTGTTTTCAACGAATTTGTGATTTTTAATAATTTTAAAATTCAAACATACACACACAAAAAAAAACAACAGTTCATTTTCGAGAACCGAAAAATTTAATTCTGTTTCGTCCATCATCATCATCATCATCATCATCATCATCATCATCATCATCTTTTAATATCATCCATTTGTCTGCTTCTTACGTAATCGACTAACTAAAAAAAAGCTAAACTAAAAATTTCATCATCAGTCAATCATCGAGAATTTTCATCAAAAACACACCTAATAATTAATCATGGACACACAACAACAACAACAACAAGAAACGTAAGTTTTTTCCATATAAAAAAATCTAAAAAATTCGAATGTTTGTTGTTGATGACAATAACAACAACAACAACAACAACGACAAACATTTGAATTTTTTACCCCTTTTATGGATTTTCGAGTTCTTTCTTTTTTTTCTAATGTTCGGCGTTTCCTATATCCTTTTTCATTGTTGTTGTTGTTGTTGTTGTTCAACTCTCAACAAAATGAATGAATGAATTCAACCCATTAACACAGTTAAATAGAAATTTAGTTCGAAAAGAATTCGAACCAATAAGAGAATATTGTTGTTGTTGTGATGATGATGATGATGATACGAACTTTAAAAAAGAAAAAAAATTTTCTAATTATAGAATCGATTTTTTTGCCTGTTGAATATATATTCACTGTGTGTGTGTGTTTACGTGTTTTTTTGCTACACATTTTTTCTGTCAAGAATCATCAACAACGACAACGCCCCCCCCCACTATATTGCCGTCAATCCGTAATTTAGGAAATGAAAAAAATGAATTCATCATGGTGGTAGTGGTGGTGTTGTCTGGATGTTTGGCTGCCATCACCATTATTGTTGTTGTTGTTGCTAGTGATGAATAAAGATTATGATGATGGCAATGAGAGATGATCTTTTGAATAATAACTCAAAAGGAAATGAAATATTCAAACAACGTAACAGCCGATTGCTTTAGCTAAAAATATATTCGCTCTAGAAACAAAAAAAAGTAGAATATAAAATAATAAATTACAAACCCAGAATTTAGCAAAAAAAAAAAATTTAAAAGAATTTGAATTGCAAAAGTGTTATTTGCTGATTGGATTTGAATTGATTGATTAATATATTGATTTTCTTTTTCGTTAAATCAAATGCCGGAATCAAGGCCATATTTGGCACCGTTATTTGAGCGACCACCAGAGATTGAAAATATTCATGAAGGTGATGATGTATTGCTCAAATGTAAGATACGTGCACAGCCACCGGCTACAGTACGTTGGGTACGACATGGCTATATGTTGACACATACTAACAAGTAAGTAGTGTATCGATTGTTTAATTATCGATTGTATTGATTATTGAATTTTTTTCCCATTTTTTTTATTGAAGATATCTTATTTCAAATAATCCACAAACCGGATATCATTCATTAATTATAAAAAATTTTCACGAAATCGATGATGGTGAATATGTTTGTATTGCCAGCAATGTGGCTGGTGAATCATCAATTATAGCGGTAATTAAAAAAGGTGATAAAAAAGATAATAAACCAGAAATGGCAACTAGACAATTTGATTCATTCAAAGAATTACATGATTTTCAATTGAATCGTTTGACACGTCAAATCGATATGGTAAGCAATTCTGATTCCGAATTAATATTCTTGTTTCATCTCTCTCTCTCTCTCTATATCTCTCTCGCGACTTTTCAGAAATCAAATTTTGATTGCGAAAAATTCGAAAACGATCTAATCAAAAATGACGAATTTCGCCATAATAAATGTTCATTATTTGAACGTGATGAACATTTTAATCGATTAAATCAACAAAGTGATCAACGCCGTACGGATATGGTGGAATCGGCACCTGAAATTATTGAAAAACCAAAAGATATTGTTTGTTATGAAAATGATGATCTTGTATTCGATATTCGTGTCGGTGGTAATCCGATACCGAAAATTTATTGGTTCAAAAATGGTCAACCAATGCCACAGATAGAGAATAAATGTCGAATAAGTTATGATAATGATATTGTACGATTACATATTTCACGATTATTAAATGAAGATGCCGGAAGTTATACAATTCTTGCTGAAAATAATCATGGATCAGCAACATTTTCAATCAATCTGAATGTACATTATTTTATTGAAGATGATATCTATACAAAACCGCAATCGAAACCAACAAATGCAACTGGAACTAACCTGATGTCCGGTGGTATAAATACACAACAACAACAAACTATGACGACGAAAACAACAACAACAACAATAACACAACAACGACAAACTACAACATCAAGAAGGTGGGGGTGGTATGGATTCGGTAGTGTTTGCGGTAATTAATTAATTTTTTTTGTTACATTTTCAGTGCTGATACCGTAGATGAATTGCCAATCATAAGTGGTATACGGCCAAATTTCTATCTAATTCCATATGATATGGAAGCAATGGAAAATCAAATTGTACGATTCGAATTACGTGTTAGTGGACGCCCAGAACCGGAAATCACATGGTTCAAAGATGGTCGACAATTATTTGATTGTGAACATTTTAAATTAGTAGTAAATGAAGAAGGTAGTCATGCATTATTAATAATGGGAGCTGATCCACAAGATTCTGGCCTTTATAAATGCGTTGCTTCAAATCAAAATGGCCAATCATCATTTACAGTACGATTATTGGTGTTGGAAAAAGAACCAACGGTATCACCGAAATTTGTTGAAAGATTTCAAAATACCACAATCAAGTCTGGTGAATCAATTGTCTTTCATTGTCGTGCTGTTGGAACACCATCACCAATTTTGACGTGGCAAAAAGATGGTATACAAATTGATCCAAATCCACCGGCCGTTGAAATTCGTACGGATCAATGTTCATCATCATTATATTTGAATAATGTTTCGGCACGTGATTCTGGTTGGTATCAATGTACAGCACAGAATCAAGGTGGCACGGTTGCAACACGTGCACGTTTAAATATCGAATCCGATCAGAAAACTCTGTTGCAAGGTGAACCATTGAGATTGAATCTACCAAAAACACATCGTCGAATTGAACCAGAACCAGGACAGCAATCAGAAACAATTATTTTGAGACATGTTCAGCGATATTATGAAGAAATACCACCAGAACAACGTGATTTCATTACATATGAAGAACGTAAAACAAAACCAATATTTGCAACACATTTACGTGATGTTAATCTCCAAAAAGGAATGACTGGACATTTTGAAGCATATCTAAAAGCAGCTGATTATTCAAATATGAAAATTGAATGGTTTCTCAATGATAAACTATTGGAAAATAGTGAACGATTTATTATTACAGATAAATATGGTTATATTGCCTTAACAATATTAAATGTACAGCCAGAAGATTCTGGTATCATCACATGTAAAGTAACGAATCAATATGGTGATGCACAAACATCGGCTACATTGAAATGTGCCGATACAATAGCAGCACCAGCACCAGCACCAGTACCAGCCACAAAAACAACAACAGCAAAACCAGAAAAACCAATACAACAACAAATGAAACCAGAACAAGAAAAACAAAAAGAGACGACTATATCACAACAAAAGCAACAAGTGAAACAACAGGAAGAAAAAGACGAAGAATATCGACAAAAATACCAACAAATTGAAGATTCAGAATTTTATAGTTATCAAAAAGAAGTAGAAGAATCCTATAGAAAAATTGCACCACATTTTGTACGGCCATTACAATCACAAATTTTGACTACACAAGGTGCAACAATATTATTGGAAGCACAAATCACACCAGTAAATGATCCAAATATGCGTATCGAATGGTATCTAAATGGACAACCATTAATATCTAATGAACGAATAAGTTCTAAATTTAATTTTGGTTATATTTCATTGGTTATTGTTGATCTACGTGAATCTGATAGCGGCGTCTATATGGTCAGAGCCATTAATGGTGCCAATGAAGCTACATCAACTGCATCGATTCATGTGAATCCGCTTGAACCACCACCACCACCACCAGCACCAAAACCAATTATTGAGAAAAAACATCAACAAGTGGAAACGGAAACACAACAACAACAACAACAAACAACGACAACAGCAACAAGTAAAATTCGTAAACATACACGTGAAGAACATGTTTATAGTCCAACTGCTGCTTCGATTGTTGATATTCGACAAATACGTCCATATTTTAAAAAACATTTTCAAAATTTAATTGATACTACAAAAGGTGACACAATTCGTTTTGAAGCATTAGTTGAACCAAATGATGATCCAAATCTTGAAGTTTATATAGTGAAAGATGAACAAATAATTTTGCCAACACCAAAAATACAAATTCTTTATAATCGTGGTTTAGTATCAATTTGTATCAATGATTTAGCCACAGAAGATTGTGGCGTATATAAATGTACAGTAAAAAATTCATTAGGTCAAGCTGAAACAATTGGTGAGTTACGCGTAAAAGAACCAGTAAAAATGGATGATCAATATTTAAAATTTCAACAACAACAACAAATGGACACAATGACAACAAAAGAAACTGTTCTAGCTACACAAGAATTCTATACGCATACACAACCACCACCACCACCACAACCACCGGTAATAGCAATGAAACAAGAATCATCACCACCGGTGATGCAATTTCAGCCATCACCACAGGTACAAACAAAGCAGCCACCAATTAAATCTGTAGCAGTGCCAAAAATGACCACTGGTATGGCACCAATATTTCGTATACCGTTACAGATACCACCATTAATGTATAGTGAAGGTGAAAATGTCTATATGGAAGCATTTATTGAACCAGTTAATGATCCAAATTTGAAAATTGAATGGTATCTTGATAAAGTACCGGTTGTATTCACTCAACGACATCATCAAAAATTTGATTTTGGCTGTATTTCGATGATGATTGAAACGGTTAACATAAATGATGGTGGTGAATATACCTGTTGTGTACGTAATCATTATGGCCAGGCTGTATCATCGGCTAATGTTTCGATTGTAAGAATTCCTGGTGTAGAACAAACACAACCACCAGAAATTCCACCACCACCACGTCCTGCATTACCAATTCATATAGCACCAGCTATACCACCGCCACCTGTTTATTCATATTTTGATGAAAGTCAACGGATGCAAACCAAACAAGAATGGTTTGATACAACAAAAACAACAGTGACAACAGATCAGTATGAACAAATTGTACCACAAAGAGCTTATTATCAAGAAGTGTATCCGGTTACAACTGGTCCGCCACCACCAATTCTAACCACAACGGAACCACGTGAAATATTTCCAAAACCCAAATTTGTTACTAAAATGAATAATGTTACAATACCAGAAGGTAAAACAGCATGTCTGGAAAGTCGTATCGAACCGACATTAGATCCAAATCTAGCAATTGATTGGTTTTTCAATGGCAAACCATTAACCGTTGGTAATCGTTTTCAACCATATTATCATTTTGATTATGTTGTATTGAAAATATTGAAAACACAACCAAATGATTCTGGTTTGTATACATGTCGTGTATCGAATGAATCTGGTTTCGATGAAATGTCCACGACAATTGTTTGTTATGAAGAAAATCTTGAAACGGACATACAATTTCATGAACCAATAACAAAAACAAAACATCGAGATGATGAAGAAATTTCTGGACAACAACAACAAGCACCAAGAATAAAATCCACTTCGATGAAAGATATCCATACGATTGAAGGACAAAAAATTCATTTAGAATGTTATGTACAACCAATGGATGATCCAGATCTTGTGGTGGAATGGTATAAAGATAATGAACTATTGAGAAAAGGATCACGATTTGTAGAGATTTGTGATTTTGGTTATGTTTGTCTGGATATTCTTTGCGTTTATCCGGAAGACAGTGGATTGTATACATTGAAAGCAACCAATAAATATGGTACGGTAACAAAATCATGTAATATTTATTGTATGCCAACTGCAAATCTTGATACAAGATCATTGAATGAAATTAGTATGCAAAGTATACGTCGTTTAGAATTGCGTCATGAACAACGATTTGAACGTGAAACACTGATAACTGAACCACCAAAATTCTTGCAACCATTACAATCAGCTAAACGTATTGAAAATGAACGTGTTCATTTTGAAACACGATTGGTGCCCATTGGTGATGAAAATCTCCATGTGGAATGGTTTTTAAATGGACAATCATTGAAATCAAGTTCAAGAATTTCATTTATAAATGATTTTGGTTATGTATCATTGGATATTAAAGAATTAACACCATATGATTCTGGTACCTACACATGTCGAGCACGTAATGCTAATGGTGAAGATAGTGTTTCCGCTACGTTAACAGTACAAGCAACCGATACAATTATCAATGATACAATACATCCAGGAACGGTAGCAAAATTCTCGACATTAGAAACGAAAACATTTAAACGTAAAGAAATTGAAGATGATATCACCGGACAAACACGACCAACATTTAAACATTCATTGAAAGGAACACGTCAATTAGAAGAAGGAATGGCAGCACATTTTCAATGTGTTGTGGAACCATCGCGTGATGAAACAATGAATGTTGAATGGTTTCATAATGGCCGACCAATGCCCGTTGGAAATCGTTATCATACATTGTTTGATTTTGGTTTCATAACATTAGATATATTGAAAGTTACTGCTGAAGATTCCGGTGAATATCGTATACGTGTCACAAATCATCTTGGCATGGTTGAAGATAGTATCCATTTAACAGTTATTGAACGTGATACAATACTACGTGGTAGTCAACAACCACAAAGTTTGGAAAAAATTCAGATTCTTGAACGTACATCATCAGCACATAAAAAGAAAAAAATTGAAGATGATTATGTGATTATTGATCAACCGAAATTTGGTCAAAAATTACCAGAACTAATTGAACTAATGGAAGGACAACCATTATATGTGGAAAGTACGCTTGACACCTATAAATGATCCAACAATGAAAGTTGATTGGTATCTCAATGATCAATTACTGAAATGTGGCCACCGATTTCGTACATTGAATGATTTTGGTTATGTTTCATTGCAAATTCTATACGCTTATCCAGAAGATAGTGGTCGTTATGAATGTCGTGCCACAAATGATCTTGGTGAAGATCGTATTCATTGTAATGTACAGGTTAAAAGTCGAAAAATTATCGATACATCAACCATACATGATGAATCATTGGCTCGAATTCAACAAATTGAACGCCATACACGCGTGAAACAAGAACAAGAAATTTTTGATCAACCAATACGGCCAAGAATTATTCGACCATTGCGCAATTCACATGAATTAAATGAAGGTGATTCTGTGTGTTTAGAATTGACAGCTGAACCAGTGAATGATTCAACGATGATTATTGAATGGTCACATGATGGAGTTCCGATTAAAACTGGTCATCGTTTTGTTGTTATTCATGAATTTGGTTATATCGCTCTAAGGATTCTTTATGTTTATCCAGAAGATTCCGGTACATATACCGTACGGATATCGAATGCATCTGGTGAAGTGATACAAACATCAAATATAATTGTCAAGGAAAAAAGAAATATCATTTTCGATACAATTCATCCGGAAGGATTGGAAAAAATCCAAATGTTAGAAAAACATGTACAACGAACCACTAGAATTGATTATGAACAAATGGACATGACTGCGGCACCACATTTTGTTTCAAAACTTCGTGCCAATAATACTCAACTGACCGAAGGTGATAATTGTCATATTGAATGTCAAATTGAACCAATTAATGATCCAGATATGGTGGTTGAAATATTGCATGATGGCCGACCATTAAAAACTGGTTCACGTTTTCGTACACTTTGTGAATTTGGTTACATAGCATTGGATATTCATTCAATGAATCCAGAAGATATGGGCACATATAAATTTCGTATATCAAATCGTTTAGGACAAATTGAAGATAATATCAATCTGCAAGTAAGACCAATAAAATCCATTCAAACTGATACAATGTATGGTGAAACATTGAAAAAATTAAATATCCTGGAACAGCAACAAGCTCATCGAGTAACCGATGTAGATGATGGCAAAACACAGCAAAAACCAATATTTACACAACCATTACATAATGTTTATAATGTACGGGAAGGATCAAATGCTCATCTTGAATGTCGTCTAATACCGGTGGGTGATCCATCAATGAACGTGGAATGGTATAAAAATGGCCGACCATTACAGCATAGTTCTCGTTATCATCATATCAATGATTTTGGTTACATTTCATTGGATATTCATAAAGTTGAATCGAAAGATTCAGGCACCTATACAGTACGAGCAACAAATGAATTAGGTGAAGCACATACACTATGTACATTGGAAATACCGTCGGAAAAATCCATCATCACCGATACAACAAATGTTGAATCATTGAAAACCATACAATATTTGGAACGTAATTTAAGAGCCACCAGATCAGATCATGATCAACAGCAACGAATGGAGAAACCGAATTTTTTCGTACCAATTCGTGGTCCAAACATGGTGAATGAAAATGATCGCGTATGTTTGGAATGTCAAGTAACACCTATTGGTGATTCAACAATGACATATCAATGGTATAAAAATGGCCAAGAATTATCACCAAGTTCAAGAATTGCAACATCAAATGATTTTGGTTATGTTTTTTTGGAAATTGCTTCCGCCTGTGAAGATGATAGTGGTGTTTATATGTTGAAAATAGCCAACGAATCTGGTGAAGCAATTTCATCACATCAATTACGTGTGAATACATTTCCAGCAATCGATACACAATGTCAACATCCAGAAACATATAAACAGATTCAATATTTGGAAAAATTTAAACGTGGCTCACATCGACAACCAATTCAACAGCAGCCATCAATGGGTGAACCACCAAAATTTACCAAACATTTGAATAGTATCGATAATGGTAATGAAGGTGATTATATAAGGCTAGAAACACGTGTTGAACCTGAGATGGATGAAAAACTTACAATTGAATGGTATAAAAATGGCCAAATATTAACACTTGGTACACGTATTACATCGAATTTTGATTTTGGTCTCGTCATTTTGGAAATTATTGGCGCAAAAAGTGAAGATACTGGTGTTTATACTTGTCGAGCTGTAAATCAATTTGGAGAGGCAACCAATTCTTGTACGATCAAAATAAAAGATAGTAACCGCATTGAAACTGGATCATTTTTTCCGGAAACATTGAAAACCATCGAACAATTGGAACAACATCCATCAAAGATTCATAAATCAACAGGTCAATTAGAAATACGACCACAACAACAAGGAGGTCAACCTCCTTATTTTACAAATCATATACAGAATATGGTCATACCAGAAGGTCAAAATGTTACATTTGAATGTAACGTACAACAGCCAATACAAGATCCAAATTTAGAATTCCGTATTCTACATAATGGACGTGAAATTCAAGTAGGAAATCGAATTCTCGTACAACATGAATTCGGATATGTACGTATTGAAATTGATTCCGTTAAACCACAAGATTCTGGTATCTATACGGTAAAAGTGGCAAATAATTTTGGTGAATCCACTTCAACAGCATCATTGAATGTAATACCGACAACTAATGTTGATTATCAACCGGTACATCCTGCCGGTATGAAAGGAATGAAAGCAATTGAAAAAATTGAAAAACAACAACAAAAATATACATCGACTATTACCACCACCACTGCTACACAGCCAGAAAAAGAATTTCCATCTTCACCCAAATTTATACGATCATTACCAAATGAAATCCGAATACGTGAAGGTAATGATTTGGAATTGAATTGTGAAATATCAGATGATACAACCAGTAAAATTGAATGGTTTCTAAATGGCGTACCATTAAATGGTTCATCACCAAGAATAAATCTGAAACAAGAATCGGGTAAAATTCTTTTAACAATCAAAAAATCTGAACCAAAAGATTCTGGACTTTATAAATGTCGTGCATCAAATAATCAAGGTGAATCATATACAACCACACAGGTATATGTACAGCCAAGTGAATCAAATATTGTCAGGGAATCATTATTCTACGAACAAACAACGACAACGACAATTGATGACGAAATCCACGATAAATTGCCATCAATTATACCGTTAACAGATACGGAAATTTTTCTGAATGAAGGTTCAAGTCTTCATCTTGAAGTCAAAGTTGATCCGATGAATGATTCATCAATGCAAATTGAATGGTATCATAATGAAACCGAGCTAAAAATCGGTAATCGTATCACAACGTTTCATGGATTTGGTTTTGCCATCCTGGAGATTAATGATTGTAATCGTGATGACGGTGGAACATATGCATGTATCGCTAGAAATGATAAAGGATATTCACAACAAAATTTCCAGGTTAATCTGATTGAAACAATGATCAATGAACCAATGATCCAGCAACCACATCCACAGCCACAACAAGAAAAACCACAATTTCAACAACCATTAAATGAAGACATTCAAGTAGTGGAAGGTGAAAGTATTCATGTTGCAACAACCGTAATACCACATGATATACAATTAGAATGGTTTCATAATGGCCAACCATTACAACAAAGTTCAAGAATCAAAACAACCGGTGATTTTGGTTACGTAGTGTTGGAAATATCAAAAGTAGAACCAAAAGATTCTGGTGAATATCTACTTGTAGCTACTAACAAGTACGGTATTGATACATTAAAATTTAATCTTGATTGTCAACCAACAAGTAATATTGATCATGGTGCAATGTTGGATCCAAAATATCAATCAACATTACAAATGATGCCAAGGCCACAACAAGTGGCGCCAAAATTTAATCGTAAATTACCTGAACAAATTAATGTTTGGGAAGGACAAAGTGTCCATTTGGAAAGTGATTATCAACCATTTGATGGTACAGTACAAATTGACTTCTTAAGGGATGGAAAACCATTGGTGGCAAGTGAACGTTTTCAAACAATAAATGAATTTAGTTTTGCAATACTGGATATTGTTTATCTTTATGAAGAAGATAGTGGTATTTATGAAATACGTGCCACCAATCAATTTGGTACCGATCGTGTACAAACACGTGTTAATGTACAATCAAGAGATCAACAGCAACAAATACTACTACCAGGTGAAACAGTGCCAACAATCAATTATATTGATCGTGTTGTCAGTAGTAGAACAACACACATACAACGAGAAGTGGAAACACGTTATGAATCACCAAAATTTGAATTACCATTAAATGATCAAACAAATCTGAAAGAAGGTGATTGTGTTCATTTGGAAACACGTGTAACACCTTCGTCAGATCCATCATTATCAATTGAATGGTATAAAGATAATCAACCATTACGTGCATCAAATCGAATCCGTACAATAAGTGAATTTGGTTTTGTCATCTTGGAAATAAGTCCAGTCTGTCCAGAAGATAGTGGTCTTTATACAGTTCGTGCTACCAATAATGTTGGTGAAGCTGTACTTTCTACACGTATTTTCTGTCACGATAGCCGTAATATTGTTTATGATAGCCAAATATTACAACATACAACAACGATGGATCAAGCACAGATTTTCAGTAGTACAAAACAACAAAAACCACGATTTATTGATCAATTAACTGATCTGAATATGAAAGAACATGATTTTATTCATTTGGAATCCCGTTTAACACCGATTGGTGATCCAACAATGAATGTTGAATGGTTTGTCAATGGAAAACCATTTACAACTGGATCAAGATTTCGTACAATCAGTGATTTTGGTTATGTTGTGCTAGAAATCATTGAAGCATATGCACGTGATTCTGGTGTCTATGAATGTGTTGCCACTAATCAATATGGCCGAGATTCAATTAAAAGTCAAATAAATGTGGAAAAAACAAAAAATGTCATAATGGAAACACAATTACCGGTGGAACACAGCCGAACATTACAATCATTGGAACAACGTATCATGAATCAACAATTTATTCGTAAATCCGATGCTGATGATCAACGAGAATTTCCGATGCCAAAATTTTTCGGTAAAATTGAATCCACTATCCACAGAAAAGAAGGTGATGCATTACATGTGGATTGTCGTGTTGAACCGTCAAATGATCCTGATCTTACTATTGAATGGTTTCTTGATGGTAAACCATTAATTACAAGTTCACGTATACATTCAATCAATGATTTTGGTTTCGTTGTATTGGATATTGATTGGCTATTTGATCGTGATTGTGGTACATATCAATGTGTCGCTAGTAATCATCATGGTAGTGATACATTTGCATTTAATCTGGTTGTTAAACCAGAATCCAATATTGTTTATGATAGTCAATTACAACCAACTATTTCAACATCAACAACAATAACATCACCACAGCAACAGCAACAACAACAATTAATGGCACCACATTTTACAAAATCATTAGTGGAAAAAATAATCATAAATGAAGGTGAAAATATCCATTTTGATAGTCGTATTGAACCATTTGGTGACGGTGAAATGAAAATTGAATGGTTACATAATCAGGAACCATTACGTTCAGGTCATCGACATAAAACTATTAATGATTTTGGCTACATTTCATTGGATATTATTTCGGCTGACTTAGAAGATTCTGGCCACTATACATGTGTTGCAAAATCACCACGTGGTGAAGATCAAATCATGTGTTTAGTAGAAGTACGTCCTCGAAAAAAATTGGATTTTAAACCACAAATACCAAAAGAAATGTCTGCTGCATTCGAAAGAATTCAGGATCTTGATCAACAGCAGCAACAAATACCAACACCGGATTTTGTATCACCAGATGATCGACGTGAAAATATGGCACCAACATTTGTACAGAATCCTGAACCACTGTGCGTATTGGAAGGTGATGTGGCACGATTCTGTTGTCGTATAATTGGTTATCCAAAACCTCGAGTTATATGGACATTGAATGGTAAACCAATACCGAATGGATCACGATATAAAATTCGCTATGATGGTATACATCATTTGGAAATTCCAAAAACTCGACAATATGATCAAGGAAAAATCGAAGTAATTGCAAAAAATAATCTTGGTGAAGTTAGTGCATCGACAATGTTGGAAGTTCGTCCAAGAAATGCTGATTATCGTGCCATTTTGAAACATTCACCAAAAAGTAAGTGAAACTAATTAATTATTTTTGATATTCTCATTCTCGAATTCATTCATTTCATTTCATATATAGCTAATTATGATGATAATATGGAAAAATATCAAAAATCACGTAAAGAACTTGAAACAGAAAATGTGTTTGAAGAACGTATTAGTGATAAAAAAGAAGAAATTGTTTGGTACACTGAACAATCTGAAGATGGTGAACGGATAAAAATACGTGAACATCTTGTTGATTATGTACCGATAAAAGCGGATGCAACTTATTGTAAAGATGAAACAACCACAGCAATGAAACCTGCCATGGAAATGGAACCAAAAAAGAAATTTAAAATAATTTCTTCACCAAAACCAAAATCGACTATTTCTATTACACCAGATCAACAACAACAAGCCGAAACATTAGTACATGGACGTGAAGTTGTAACAAAAGAACAGAAACAAACACAAAAAGAAATTCGTGATCAAACTGAGATAACCAGAAAAATTAAAGAAACAAGTTCAATTGATCAAGAACATAAAATGATGACAGCTGAACGTAAAATTGCCACGAAAAAACCACCACAAGCCATTATAATTGGACCAAGATTTATAAAGAAAATTAAACCATGTCGTTGTGTGGAACGTAATCAAGCACGATTTGAATGTGAATTTTCAGGGAAACCAACTCCAGAAGTAACATGGTATAGAGAGAATTTTGAAATTCAATGTTCAGATGATTTTAAGGTAATGTTTCAATGATGATGATTGTTGTCAAGAAAATTAGAAAAAACTAAATTCAATTTCATTTTCATTCACACACACAGATCATAAATGAAGAATTTAAATCCACATTAATCATACAGGAAGTATTCCTGGAAGATTCCGGTGTATTCAGTGTTGCAGTACGAAATGATGGTGGAATCGCTAAATGTTCGGCAAATTTGATTGTTGAAGGTAAGATGATGATTAGGTTCAATTTATTCAATGATGAAAATAATGATAATTTTTTACTAAAAAAAAAAAAAACACAGAAATGCGTAAAAAATCCGATGATGTGCCACCAAGTTTTACGAAAACCATACAATGTATACGAACAAAATCCGGTTTGGTCATCACGTTGGACGCAAAAATTAATGGTTCACAACCGATGAATGTATTTTGGGCTAAAAATGGACAACGTATACAAGAGGATAAAAAACATCGTATCGTTGAACATGAAGATCAATATACATTGGTTGTATTGGATGCCCATGTCGATGATTCTGGTTCCTATGAATGTGTTGCAATGAATAATGTTGGTGAAGCACGTTGTATTGCTGAAGTATTCGTTGAAGAAGCTGAACCATTGTCGGTGGAAAATTTTCCGGAAGAAGAACCAAAAATAATTGAAAAACTCAAAGATATCACTGTGAAAGAAGGACAATCAGCTGTTTTTAAATGTCGTATTACATGTACGAATCAAGGTAATGAAAAAAAAACTAAATTAATGAATTTGTTCAAATCCTAATTGATTTATTAATTTCTTTCTGTAGAAGTAATCTGGTATAAAGATGATGAAATGATTAAACAATCACGTTATTTCCGTATGACATCAGATCGTGAATGTCATACATTACGTATATATGAAGCATTCACTGAAGATGAAGGCATTTATCGTTGCTGTATTGGTCGTGTATCAACATCGGCACGATTAAGAGTCATTTGTAAGTATTAATCAAAATTTACCCACAAAAAACATTCGACACAAATATATATCAAATCAATAATTGAATATATATCAATTTTTTTTATTTCCATCATCATCTAGCTGATGAAGCAGAAAAACCAAAATTATCCGAATTAAATGATCAAACAATAAAAGAAGATTCACAATTACATTCAACATGTACACTATCTGGTTCACCAACACCAAAAGTAACATGGTATAAAGATGGACAACAAATTTATCAATCCAGAGAAGTTCAGGTATAATCAAAATATATTTAAAGAAAAAATTTTCAATGAAAATTCAATATTATAAAATGATAACAACGCAAACAACATTTGCAAAAAAACACACGCATACACACACTCACAACATCAAAATTCATTCACAAATCACACAAGAATTTACTCAAAAAAAAATTTATGAAAATTTGCATCCTCACTACTACTACTACTTACACGCTCAAATTAATTACAAAACACAAACAGAATATTCTTTCTAATCACTATTAATTGATTACTAAAGATTCTTTCACTTTAGCTGTGAGTGCAAGAATATTCTCAACCACAAACACACACACACAAACATACATTCATTTATTCTTTCTTTTCATTTCTTAATTTTCATTTTTTCTTCCTTTTTTTCTTTTCTTTCTTTTTTCCTTTATGAATATATATAATTTGTCTATCGAAAAAAACAAACAAAAACAACAACAACAACAACTACATCAAAAATACAAAAAACTTGCCTTAAAAATGATGAAATAAATTCGTTGGAAAACAAAAAATTTAAATTTCACTTGATGATGATAATGATGATAATAATGATTAGATTTTACAAGATGATATATCATGCACATTGATTATTGCACAAATATGTCCCGAAGATGAAGGTCAATATCGATGTGTAGCAGAAAATAAGCTTGGAAAATGTGAAAAGAAATTCAAAGTTACAGTGGAAAGTATGATGATGATGATTTTGTTGTTTGTTTGCGATGCGATTTTGAAAATTGAATTTTTTTTTCTATTTTGCACTTGAACACACTTGTACTTTGCAAAAAAAACATTATAATTAGGAAAAAAACAACCAAGTAAAGAGAAATCGGATTCGGAAGATTGGTTGTTGGATGATGATGGTGGCAAAAAACCGAAAAAAGATTGTCAAGTAATATTTGTCAAACCATTACGGCCATTAACCATAAGAAAAAATGAACCAATCATGTTGGAAGCAATTGTTGAATCAGTACCATCACCAAAAATTTATTGGTTTCATGAAAATCGTAAGATAAAAAATTCACGTTTTCATCGTATTGATGAGCAACATGAACCGAATGATGATCGTACAAAAATTCGTACAAAAAGTCAATTACAAATTGATAAAGCACATCCAGATGATTCAGGTAAATATACTGTTCGTGCTATTAATCGTTGTGGTGTACGAACATCATCTGTAAATGTTAATATTCTGGGTAAGTTTGTTGAATTGGTGTGTGCACGTGATTTATGAACAAATAATCTATATACAGGAGAAAAACCAGAATTTATTGAAAAAATTCAATCAGAATTACGCGTTAAAGAAGGCAGTATAATGACAATAAAATTAAAAGCTCAAGGAAATCCAATGCCACGATTAACATGGTATCATAATCAACGAATGATACGTGATCGAAGATTTTTTATTGTTAAAACATTCGAAGAAATTGGTTGGACTGAATTGACCATATTTGAATGTTTCAAAGATGATGAAGGTGAAATTAAATGCGTGGCAGAAAATAAATACGGTCAAACTGAAACCGTTGGACGTATCCAAATTCAAGAAACCACACCATCGGAACAACCGTTGGAGGATGTTTACGCGGATCTAGTACCACCAGATTTCACACGAACATTACGAAATCAAATTGTAAAATTAGGCGAAAAAGATTTCCTATATGAAGTGGATTTTATTGGCAATCCAAAACCAGAAATATTCTGGTATCATAATGGTAAAATTATCGATGCTGATTCTGGTGGTGACCGTGAATATTATCAAATAATAACCGATGGTTATAATTCAAAATTAATCATCAAAAAAATGGATGAAGAAGATATGGGTGAATATCGTGCACGGATATTTTCCTATCTTGGCGAAGCCATTTCCATTGCAGAGATTCGATTTCAAGAACAAGAACAAGATGAAATTGAATTTAATGAGGAAAAAATTATTAAAAGAGTAATAAAAATAACTAAACGTAAATCCATAAAACAAGAACAACAAGAAGATTTACAACAGGAGGTAAGTGTGGCTATTTATACAGAAATACAAAAAAAAATAAATCTTAAAAAAAATCTATTTTAACATAAACAAAGGAAACAACGACAATGGCGGCTAAACCAATCGATGAAAAGAAGGATATAATAAAGGTAAAAATAGAGGAAAAACAACAACCACTAACAATGAAGACGACAATAATTCCTAAACCAATCATCGATGACCAAATCCCGAAGATTCCCATTGATAATAATGGTGATAAAAAACTAACAAAAAGTGTTAAAATAGCCAAAGTAAGTAGATTATTTAATGATGATGATGAAAGAAAGGTAAGTAAAATTGATGATGATGAGCGATATACAAAAACGAAATCAATTCTGAAGAAACCAATCAAAAGTGATGGCAAAATCGACGCCACTGCCATCACCAAAGTTAATGAAGAACTAATCGATGATAATGAACAACAGATTATTGGAGAAGAAATACTTGAAATTTTTCCACAAGAACAACAACAACAGGAAAAAGGAATGAAACCAACAACAACAACAAAAAGTCCAAGAAAATTAATATTGAGACAAAAATTGGGAAAACTCGGTAAAACGGAAATGATAACCGAACAATTAATCGATGCTGATAGTTTGACGGAATTTTCCGTCGGTCCTGGTAAACCAAAAAGGGTTATATTGAAACGAAAATTAAAAAAATCCGATGAAACAAAATGGATTGATCAACAACGTGATGTAACCAATGAAATTATAAAAATTATTGATGAAGAAATCTATGAAATACCAAATGATGATGAATATCAGCAAAAGAAATTTGTTCTACGTCGAAAATTAAGACGACCCGATGGAAAGGAAGAAATTGATGAACAAATTGTTTTGATGGAAGATATTGTTGAAGTATTACCGGCGATTAGTGGCGACAAACAACCGGCGGTAAAACCACGAATAATTGTACGAAAAGCAAAACCGAAACAACAACAACCAGAAACAAAGATGTTATTACCGGAAAAATCATCAGACAAAGAAGAAGAAAAGGAAACAATGACAATGATGATTTCAGAAGAAATTTTTGAATTTCCTGGTGATGAACAAGAAATGCCAAAAAAATTGATCATCAGACGAATATTGAAAAAACCCAATGAATCACAAATTATTGAACAGGAGATTTGTGCCCATGAAATCTGCATCAAAAAAGAACCGAGAATTATTGATGATGATGATTCAAAAATGATGAAAAAACCAAAACGAATGATGATTATGCCGAAGATATCTGAGAAAACCAAATCTGAACAAAAAGATGTGGTAGAAATAGCAGAAATTGTCAGTGAAGAATCAATAGAAATACCAACTGTACCGAAAAAATTTATTATTCAACGAAAATTACGTCGACCAGATGGTGCAGAGCAGATAATTGAACAACCATTAGACAGTCATCATAGATCAAGTATTCAGATTGATGAAATCAAATCAAAAATAATACGTGAAACTGATTTTGATGATGTTGAGAGAAAAGTGAAAAAATCTAAACCCGAAAAATCAGAACCAAAACAAGAAGAAATCATTGAAAAACCTGTTGCTGAGACATTGCAACAGGATATTGGAGATGACCAGAAACAAATGAAAATTGTACATAAACCAGTTATGATTGAAGCAGATAAAAAACCAGAAAAATTGAAAAAATTAATCGTCAGACGTGAACCAGAAAAACAAACGGAAAAAATTGAGATAATTTCCGAAGAAACAAAAGAAATGCCATCTGAAAAACCAGGCAAATCAAAAAAGAGAAAGACAATACAAAGAGTGAAAAAACCGGATATCACCAAAGAAATTGGTGAACAAATCTCGGCTGACGATGAAGATGAAAAGCCGAAAATGTTAGCCATTCATAAATACAAACCAGAACTTCAACAACAAAAACACATGACCGAAGTTATTTTTGAAGAAATCAACGAATTTTCACCAACAGAACAAACAGAACAACCAAAACAAATGAAAATAAAACGTGAAATTCAAAAACCAGATAAAACTGAAGAAACTATCAGTTTGAAAGAGGTTTGTGCAATCATACCCGAAAAAATTATTGAACAACAACCAGAAGAAACACATAAAATCAGAAAGAAAATTGTGAAAAAACCAAAATCAGAAACGATTGTTGAAACAGTCGTAAAACCATGCATTGAACCGATAGAAATTGAAGAAAAAGAGATTGTCATCGATGAAATAATCGAATATCCAGCAGAAAAATCTGGCAAACCTAAAAAACTTGTCCTGAGAAGAAAATCAAAGAAACCAGATGGCAGTGATGAGATTGTTGAACAACAAATTATCAGTGAGGAAATTATTGAATTTCCTGCTCGCACATCAGATGAACCAAAGAAATTGATCATCCGACGAAAATTACAAAAACCCGATAAATCCGAAGAAATCGTTGAACAAGCCGTACCGGTTGAAGACATCGTTGAAGTTCCATCAAAACAATCACATGAACCAAAAAAAGTGATGATCAAGAAAAAATCAAAAAAACCAGATGGAACTGAAATTGTCGAACAAAAAGATGTTACCGACGAAATCATGAAAGTGGTCGCTGAAGAATTGATTGAGATTCCAGCGGATAAAACAGCGCCAGTAGACAAACCGAAAAAATTGTTACTAAAACGAAAAATCCGAAAACCAGATGGAACCGAAACGATTATTGAACAAACTATCGACGAACAACAACAAAAACAATTCATCGAAGAATTGGACAAAGACGAAAAGAAAATTGTATTAAAAAAACCAAAAAAGAAGCCAGATGATGAAAAAGTTGAAAAACCGAGCCAAATTCTTCATCGAAAATTGAAAAAAGATGAACAAAAATTATTGGCTGAAGAAATAAATGAAATTCAAAATGAACCAGAAGAAAAAACAAAAAAATTAATAATAAAACGCCGATATGAAAAATCAGATGGCAGTCAAATGACGGAAATAATTGAGATTCATCATCCACAACGAATTGGTGATGATGATAAAGAAAAACCTAAAAAGATTATTATTCGTAAATATCAAGCAAACGATGGTGAAGAAAAACCAAAATTAATAACAGAAGAGAAAATCATTTCCGAAGAATTAATCAAAATACCGGGTGACAAACCAAAGAAAATATTAATTCAACGTAAATTGAAATCACCGGATTCATCGAAAGATTTTATCCAAGATATCGGTGAAGTTTTAATGGAAGAAATTATTGAAATAACCAAATCAACTGATGTTGATGATGATAAAATGGAAAAACCGAAAAAACATTTCATTAAACGTTTATTGTTGAAAAAATCGGATGGAAATGAAGAAATTGTTGAACGATCAATCGATTCTGAGATGGTGGTCGATTCACAAACCAATATGGATCAACCAGAAAGAATTGCTGTACCAAAAATTGATCAAAAAGTAAAACCAGAATCAGAACAGCAAAAGAAATTCATAACCGAAGAGATAATAAACGTGACCACTAGTGATGAAGAAGAAGTGGTAAGCAAACCAAAAAAGATTCTCATTAGAAGAAAACATGAGAAGAAACCAATGGATGAAATGATTCCGTTCATGTATCATCATCATCCAGACGAAGAAAAAGAAATAATCGAAATCATATCGGAAGAGACACAAATGATTCCATCGGATAAATCTGATAAACCAAAAACGTTGATAACGATTCGTCATATGAAAAAACCAGATAAAACAGAAGAAATTGTTGAACAAATTGTGGAAATCACAGATGATGATCGAGACAAAAAACCAAAAAAATTGACTATTCGTAGATATGAACCAGAATCACAACAAATGACTAAAGGTCAAATTATTATTTCAGACGAAATTATTGAAATTTCACCCAAAGAATCAACGGATAAACCGGAGAAAAAATTGACAATCAAACGTCGAATACGAAAACCAGATAACAGTGAAGACGTTGTCATCCTGAAAGATGTTCGTGAAGAAACAGCTGAAATTACATCTGAAGAAATTATTTCAGCACATGATGAAAAAGAAAAGGATGAAAATAAATCTAAAAAAGTGATAATAAGACGTAGTTTGAAAAAATCCGATGGCACTGAAGAAATTAGTGAAGAAGAAAAAATGATAATTTCGGATGTTGATCATGTACTACCCGTAGATGATGAATCAAAAATTGAACCGACCAAAAAAATCGAAAAAGAAGAAACTGATGATGATGGCAAAAAATTGAGAAAAATTGCACGAAAAATTCCTGCAATACAACAACAAGAAGAAAAAGTCATTATAAAAGAGCCACCGAAACAAATGACAATGGTGATCATTTCAGAAGAAATTCTAGATTATTTACCCGATGATCAAGAGGATGGTAAAGAAAATGTACCAAAAAAGATTCTTAAAATACGAAAATTGAAAAAACCAAAAAATAGTAAAATGCCTGAATTAAGCACGATAAAACCGGAAGATATTGTTGAAGAAACGGTAGAAATCGTTGCTGAAAAAATGCATGAAGAATTGCCCAAAAAATCGGGTGAACCAAAGAAAACAATCCTTATGCGTCGAATGAAAAAACCGGAAGAACAGAAAGAAATTATCGAGCAAACTGAAATCGAAGAATATGGAAAAAAACCGAGAAAAACTGTTGTACGTAAATATCGACAACGGCCAGAAGATCGGAAACCGAAAATTGTATCGGAAGAGCGAATAATTTCTGAAAAAATTATTGAAATTCCGACAGAAGAACCAGAAAAGTGGAAAAAAATATTGGTTAGTCGTAAATTGAAGCCCGGAATCGTGGATACGGAATTTATATTGGATAAAAATATCATTGAAGAAATCGTTGAAGTGGTTTCTGAAGAAATTTTCGCATTACCATGTGAAAATGATTCAAACGAACCGATGAAATTTATTATTCGACGACAATTAAAACAACCAGATGGCACGGAAGAAATTATGGAAAGACCGATTGATAAATCAATGATAGAAATTCAAGATGATCAAATCAAAATGAAAATCATACGTAGACCAATGACAAGAATAGATGATGAAATATTTGAATATTCCGTATTCGATTCGGAAAAAATAAAGAAAATTGTCCAAAAACAAATACCAGATACTGCTGGTGAAGAAATAGTGATTGTAAAGAAAACTGAAGATGAAAAAATCACTAAAGAAGAAATAATTGAAGTTGTAACTCCTTCCGAACAACCGGAAAAGGCAAAAAAATTCATTATAAAACGTAAACCAAGTAAACAACCAGAAGAAATTGGTGAAATAATTTCCGAACAAACACAAGAAATCAAAGAAGAACCAAACAAACCGAAAAAGATAATAACCATAAGAAAAATAAAGAAACCGGATAGCAGTGAAGAAATTGTCGAACAAATTGTGGAAATCGACGATGGTAAAGATGAACAACCGAAAAAATTGACCATTCGTAAATACAAACCAGAACCTGAACAAAAACAATTGACTGAAGGTGAAATTATTATTTCAGAAGAAATTATCGAAACAGAACCAACCAGAGATAAACCAGAGAAAAAATTGACAATCAAACGTCGAATTCGAAAGCCGGATAACAGTGAAGAAACTGTCATATTGAAAGATGTTTGTGAAGAAATAGCTGAAATTATATCCGAAGAAATTATTGAAAAAATTTCGGATGAAAAACCCGAAGAGACAAGTAAAAAATTGATCATTCGACGTAAATTGAAAAAACTCGATGGAAGTGAAGTAATCAATGAACAACCATTTGTGGAACCACCATCAATTGATAGAATAAAAATAGAAAAGAAAATTATTGAAAAAGAAGACAAAGTTATTGACTTACCAACAACATTATTGGATGATGATGATGAAAAGCAATCATCAAAACGGATGAAGATGATTAGAAGAAAACAAAAACACGATAATGAAAGACAAATCATGGATGAGCAAAAAACATTCGATGAATTGAAACCAAAATATATCGATGATGACAATCGACAATCGAAAAAATTAAGACAACAATCGAACTTGAACTACAGAAAACACCAGATGGCACCACTAAATTCACGGATGACAACAAAGAACTTGTTGATGATGAGATTCCCACCAAAAAATCATTCGAAGAATCAATTTTTGTTGTTGAACAACAACCGAAAAGAATCAAAAACATTGGATCGAAGAATCATTGAAGAAATTATTGAATTACAACCAGATAAACCGAGTGATAAGAAAAAATTGATTATAAAACGTAAAAAACCAAAAAATGAAACCACCGAAAATGAAATGCGACCAACCGAATTGATTGAAACTGTTAATGTTATCAATGAACAAATTGTTGTTGATGATGAAGAAAAACCGAAAAAATTCCACCTACGACGATTGGTAAGTAAATCTGATGGAACTGAAGAAATAATTGATGAAAATGATACAATGGTTAAAAAAATGATAATCACTGGTCCACGACACCAGCCATCAGAAATGGCCGAAATAATTTCCGAACAAATTGTGATGATACCATTGGATGATCAAGTAGAAAAACCGAAAAAAATTATACTTGAACGTAAATTACGAAAATCAGATGGCAAAGTGTTGATTGAAATGAAAGATGTAACCGAAGAAACTGCCGAAATTGTTGATGAAGAAATAATTTCTGTTGAATCATCAACATCAGAAACAAAACAGCAGCCATCAGATGATGATAATGAGATGGCCGCAAAACCGAAAAAATTAATTCTAAAACGTAAACTTCGAAAATTTGATGGCAGTGAAGAAACAAGTGAACAATTATTGCCGGTCAAACAATCCGATGATGTTGTTGATGATGAATTGACGCCAGTCGAAGAAGCTGAAATAATTTTCGAAGAAATTCTCGACGTTGATGGTCAAGTTGGTCAAGTTCAGACACCATCATCATCAGATGATGATGGTAAGCCAAAGACAAGTCGAATCCTTCGACGAAAATTAATACGAAAACCAAAAATATTTACCGAAGCAATGATTCCCGATTCCGAAGAAATGATTGAAGAATTTTTTGAAATTCTTACTGAAGAAAAAATCGATGAATCAACAGAAACCAAAAAGAGGATAATCAGAAGAAAATTAAAACGACCAGATGGAACAGAAATTATTGAAACAAAAAATGAAGCCACTAATGTTACAATAGCGGAAGAAGAAGAAATGAAAGATGGAAAAAGAAAAATGATTCGAAAAATGAAATTGAAAAAATTCGATCAACAACAATCGAATGATGATGATGAAGTGACAAAATTTCTAGAGAAAAAACCAATCGTCGAACAACAAATTCAAACACCAACAGCCGAATTCAAAATTATTGAACAAACACAACAAACAGTTCAAGAAGAAGAAGTATTCGCTGACATTGAACCGATTGAATTCATTGAGATTGCCCAAATTATCGAAACCATCGAAGAGATTGAAGAAACACCAGATGGTGATAAGAAAATTGTGCATAAAATCAAAAAAGTGAAAAAATCAAAAGATAAAAAATCAGAAGAATATAAAGAACAACCAGGCGATTTGGTAATCGTTGATGAAACGAAAAAACCAAAGAAAATCATTCGTAAAGTAAAAAAACCAGAAAAAGTAACTGAAGAAACGATTCCAATGACTACTGAATTCATTGAAGTTTCCGATGTTGTTGAAGTGGTAGAAGAAATTACCGAAACACCAGAAGGCAAAAAGAAAATCATCAAAAAGGTGAAAAAAATAAAGAAACCAGAAGACAAAGTAACCGAAGATTATGAAAAGAAACCAGATGAACATGTGGTTGTAGATGAAACGGGCAAACCAAAGAAAATTATCCGCCAGATTAAAAAACCAGAAAAAATTGAAGATGTACTGGTTGAAGAGAAAATTGATCTGACAAAAGACAAAAAGAAAATTGTCTTGAAAAAACCGAAAAAGCCAGATGAATGTGTTGAAGAAACTGAACCAGAAATTAGCTTTCAACCAACTATAGATGATAAACCAGACAAGAAACAAGAAGAAACGACCGAAGAAAAAACCGAAATCGAAATGAAAGAATTCATCGAAGTATCCGAGGTTGTTGAAACAATCGAGGAGATTGAAGAAACACCTGATGGTGAGAAGAAAAACCGTACATAAAATCAAATTGGTGAAAAAACCAAAAGCCAAAAAACCAGAAGAATATAAAGAACAACCTGGCGACTTGATAATCGTTGATGAAACGAAAAAACCAAAGAAAATCATTCGAAAAGTGAAAAACCAGATGAACAATCTGAAGAAACGTCTGAAAAGCCAACTGAATTCGTTGAAGTGGCTGATGTAGTCGAGGTTGTTGAAGAAATTACCGAAACTCCAGAAGGCAATAAGAAAATCATCAAAAAGGTGAAGAAAATAAAGAAACCAGAAGAAAAATTGCCAGAAGAATACGAGAAAAAACCGTATGAACACGTGGTTGTAGATGAAACGGGTAAACCAAAGAAAATAATCCGAAAGATCAAAAAACCAGAAGTCAAAACTGAATCAAAACAAGAGATTGAACTTAAAGACAAGAAAAAGATTGTCTTAAAGAAAACGAAAAAACCGGATGAAGTTGTTGAAGAAACGAAACCCGAAATTAGTTTCAAACCAACTATAGATGATAAATCAGAAGAAACGACCGAAGAAAAAACCGAAATTGAGATGAAAGAATTCATCGAAGTATCCGAGGTTGTTGAAACAATCGAGGAGATTGAAGAAACACCTGAAGGTGGCAAAAAACCATACACAAAATCAAATTGGTTAAAAAACCAAAAGAAAAGAAACCAGAAGAATATAAAAAACAACCAGGCGACTTGGTAGTCGTGGATGAAACGAAAAAACCAAAGAAAATCATTCGAAAAGTGACAAAACTCGATGAAAAATCTGAAGAAACGCCTGAAAAGCCTACTGAATTTATCGAATTGGCTGATGTAGTCGAGGTTGTTGAAGAAATTACCGAAACGTCAGAAGGCAAAAAGAAAATCATCAAAAAGGTAAAGAAAATAAAGAAACCAGAAGAAAAGTTACCAGGAGAATACCAGAAAAAAAACCAGATGAACATGTGGTTGTAGATGAAACAGGTAAACCAAAGAAAATAATCCAAAGATAAAAAACCAGAAGTCAAAACTGAATCAAAAGAGAAAATTGATTGAACTTAAAGACAAAAAAAAGATTGTCTTGAAAAGAAAACGAAAAACCAGATGAAGTTGTTGAAGAAACTGAAACCAGAAATTAGTTTCAAACCAACTATAGATGATAAACCAGACAAGAAACAAGAAGAAACGACCGAAGAAAAACCGAAATGGAATGAAAGAATTCATCGAAGTATCCGAGGTTGTTGAAACAATCGAGGAGATTGAAGAATCACCTGAAGGCGGCACAAAAACCGTACACAAAATCAAATTGGTGAAAAACCAAAAGCCAAAAACCAGAAGAATATAAAGAACAACCTGGCGACTTGATAATCGTTGATGAAACGAAAAACCAAAGAAAATCATTCGAAAAGTGAAAACCAGATGAAAAATCTGAAGAAACGCCTGAAAAGTCATCTGAATTTATCGAATTGGCTGATGTAGTCGAGGTTGTTGAAGAAATTACCGAAACGTCAGAAGGCAAAAAGAAAATCATCAAAAAGGTAAAGAAAATAAAGAAACCAGAAGAAAAGTTACCAGAAGAATATGAGAAAAACCGGATGAACACGTGGTTGTAGATGAAACTGGTAAACCAAAAAAGGTAATTAAAAAGATCAAAAACCAGAAGTCAAAACTGAATCAAAACAATTGATTTAACGAAAGACAAGAAAAAGATTGTCTTGAAGAAATCGAAAAAACCAGATGAAGTTGTTGAAGAAACGAAACCCGAAATTAGCATCAAACCAACAACAGATGATAAACCAGAAAAGAAACCAAAGGAAACGACTGAAGAATTCATTGACATGGAGCCTATAGAATTTGTCGAAGTATCCGAGGTTGTTGAAACAATCAAAGAAATTGAAGAATCACCTGAAGGCGACAAAAAAACCGTACACAAAATCAAATTGGTGAAAAAACCAAAAGCTAAGAAACCAGAAGAATATAAAGAGCAACCTGGCGACTTGGTAGTCGTTGATGAAACAAAAAAACCAAAGAAAATCATTCGAAAAGTGAAAAAACCCGATGAAAAATCGGAAATAATCATTGAAGAATCAGCAGCAGAAGTAGAATTTGTTGAAGTTTCTGATGTTGTCGAAACAATTGAAGAGATCATCGATACACCCGATCGCGAAAAGAAAATCATTAGAAAAGTCAAGAAAATCAAACGACCAAAAGAAACTAAATCTGAAGAATATGAACCAAAATCAGATGAACACGTGGTTGTCGATGAAACCGGTGAACCAAAGAAAATTATTCGTATAATTCAGAAGAAACCATGCAAAGAAACGAAACCTGATGTCCACCTGAAGGATGGAGAAAAAATTACTGAAAAAATGTCTCCGATAAGTTTTGATGAAATAATCGAATATCCAGCAGAAAAAGCTGGCAAACCGAAAAAACTTGTCCTGAGACGAAAATCAAAAAACCAGATGGCAGTGATGAGATTGTTGAACAACAAATTATCAGTGAGGAAATTATTGAATTTCCTGCTCGCACATCAGATGAACCAAAGAAATTGATCATCCGACGAAAATTACAAAAACCAGATAAAACCGAAGAAATCGTTGAACAAGCCGTACCGGTTGAAGACATCATTGAAGTTCCATCAAAACAATCACATGAACCAAAAAAAGTGATGATCAAGAAAAAATCAAAAAAACCAGATGGAACTGAAATTGTCGAACAAAAAGATGTTACCAACGAAATCATGAAAGTGGTCGCTGAAGAATTGATTGAGATTCCAGCGGATAAAACAGCGCCAGTAGACAAACCGAAAAAATTGTTACTAAAACGAAAAATCCGAAAACCAGATGGAACCGAAACGATTATTGAACAAGAAATGTCAATCAATGAAAAATCAGTTCAGCCACTTGATGATGACAAAACAATGAAAAAAGATGAAATGGTCAAAGATAAAAAACGACCAAAAGAAACTGAAGAATCAATCAAAAAAGAAACTGAAAAGCCGTCACAAAAACCTAAAGAAACATTGGTGACCATTTCGGAAGAAATCATTGATCAACCAATCGAAGATTCATCCGGAACCGAAACTAAAAAGATTCTCAAAACAAAAAATTGAAAAAACCAAAAGACAGTAAAATGCCCGAGTTAAGCACGTTCAAAGCCGGAAGATATTGTTGAAGAAACGGTCGAAATCGTTGCTGAACAAATTCATGAAGAATTGCCCAAAAAACCGTGCGAACCAACAAAAACAATCATTACACGTCGATTGAAAAAACCGGATGAACCAAAAGAAATTATTGAGCAAATTGAAATTGAAGAATATGGAAAAAAACCGAAAAAAACTGTTGTACGCAAATATCGTCAACGGCCAGAAGATCGGAAACCGAAATTGATTAACGAGGAAAAAATCATCTTGGAAAAAATACTCGAAGTTCCTTTTGAAGGTACGGAAAAACCGAAAAAAATATTGCTCCGTCGTAAATTGAAACCGGGTATTGTTGAAACTGAATTCATTCGAGACAAAGATGTGGTTGAAGAAATTGCCGAAATAATTTCCGAAGAAATCATCGAACTACCATGTGATAAACGTGGAGGAGAACCAAGCATCAAATCAATCATAAGACGGAAAGTGAAAAAACCAGATGGCACTGAAGAAATTATGGAACGACCTGTTGATAAGACAATGCAGTCGGGTATTGAAGATGATGAACAGAAAAAAGTGAAAATTGTCCGCAAACCAGTAATGGAAACAAAAGAAGATGTTGATAAAAAAGATGAAATCATCGATGAACAACAAAAATCAAAGAAACCAGATGGCAGTGATGAAATTGTTGAACAAAAAGATGTTACCGATGAAATCATTGAAAAGATTCCTGAAGAAATCCAGGCAAAAGATGAATCAGAAAAGACGAAAAAATTGTCGTCGCTTGAACCGAAACTTTTGACTGAAGGTCAAATATCAGATTTGGTTCTTGAAGAAATTGTTGACGATAAAACTGGACAACATTTACCAGAAGACAAAAAATTAGAAGAAGAAATAACCGAAATTCGATTTGAACAACCGGAAAAAGCGAAAAAGAAAATCATAAGACGTAAAACAAAAAAACCTGATGATGGAAATGAACAGATAATCGAACAAATAATCGAAACAGATGATGAGAAGGGAGAGAAACAACCGAAAATGATGATCATACGAAAATATAAACCAGACGACGACCATTCGAAAGAAATGGTAATTAACAGTTTTCTCACCGAAGGTATAATCATATCGGAAGAGAAAATCGAAGTTCAACCCAAAACACCGACAACAGATGAACCGAAAAAATTTACAATTAAAAGACGAATCCAGAAACCAGATGGTACTGAAATCGTCTATGAACAAAACGATGTTACAGAAGAAATTGTTGAAATTTCAGAATCACCAGAAAAACCGGATGAAACAATGAAAAAGGTTATTACACGAAGAAAATTGAAAAAACCCGATGGAACGACGGAAGAAGTTGTTGTTGTTGATCAGAAACAAGAAGAAATCGAACCAATGGATGATGACAAAATCATTGATGATGAAGTGAAATTAATTTCTGAAGAAATCATTGAATTTCCATCAACTGGAAAACCGAATGAACCAAAACGTATGATTATTGAGCGAAAATTTCAGAAACCCAAAGAACCATCATTGCTGCCATCGTTGGAGAAAACTGAAATTGAAATTCATAATCGAAAACCGAAAAAAATAATCGTACGCAAATATCGATCTGATAATAGTGGACAATCAAAATTAATTTCTGAAGAGAAAATATTGTTGGAAAAATTGATCGAAATACCCGTTGATGATGATGATGAATCTGCCAAGAATAAAATGATTCTGATTCAACGTAAATTAAAACCCGGCATAATTGAAACGGAATTCATCAAAGATAAAGATATTGTTGAAGAAATATCTGAAATTATTTATGAAGAAATTGTTGAAATTCCAACATCATCATCAACAACAACAACCACAACTGATGAACCGAAAAAATCTTTAATTCGAAGAATTCGATTACGAAAATCCGATGGTAATAATGAAGAAATAATTGAACGACCAGTTGATTATTTACTTAGACCAGATGGTGAAACCAAAATTCGAGATGATAAGTTCAAAAAAATTAAAATCATACGAAAGCAGCCAATCAAATTATCATCAATTGAAATAATTGACGACGAGAAATCATGCCATGAAATGATGATGATGGCAAAAGCCGGAAAAATAATTTCCAAACATGTGGCTTCCGATGATGAAGAAACGATTGAACCGGAATTATATACAAAAACATTATCGTTGAAAAAAATTTTACAAAAATCAGATGAGCAACAAGAATGTCGTGAAATTGCCATCACTGAACAAGTGTTTGATGAAAAGGAAATTTTCGAAGATATTCAGACTGAAATTTTTGAAGAAATAATCAATCTTCCATCGCAGGAAATTTCTGATGAATTTCCAGCAGCCGTATCTGAAGAAACAATGGTACCATTTGATCAAATAAAAAAAGATCAGAAGAAACATTCTGAAGAAGAAATTATTATTGAACATAAAGAATCAATGACACCAGATGGCGTTCGGAAGAAATTTGAACGAAAAATCAAAAAGATTCGAAAACCAAAAACTAAACCTGAATTGTCGATCAAATCAATGATGATGATGGAAGAAGTTGAACAACGTGTTCCAGACGAAATCATTGAACATCATCCTATTGTCGATGACGACTATATAATGATTGATGAATTGATTGAAGAAATTATTGAAGAAGAAACAATGCCAGATGGTCATAAACGAATAACGAAGAAAAGTCGAACGATACCAAAATTTTCGACTGAAATTCAGCCTCTCATAGATAAATCGATTGAAGAAATTGCCGATGATTTCCAATCGGAAAAACCGGAACAAAAATCAAAAATAAAAATAGTACGACGTAAAATGGAATCAAAATTAGATCATGATGATGATGATCATCGAGATCAAAAACGATTTGAAATTATCGATAAATCTCCAATAATCGGATTGCAACAACCAGGTATGTTTCCTGTAAATCACTGGAAAATTTCTAATTTTATTTTTCATTTAATTTAGGCGAATCAACTACCATTATCGACAATAATTATCGTGGAGACCATCTTCATCCTCATCATCATCATATTATTACTACTGACAAACACCTACCATTACTACCAACAACTCATACTACTACTACTATAACTACCACCAAACCCATCACAATAATTGCCAGTTCCATGATTGATTCATTTACCTGTGTAGAATATAGTGTTGTCATTAACCAAATTCATACCGATCACCACCACCAACCAAAACTAACGGTAACATTTACCATTACTACTAAACTATTGAGTTGTATATGAAAAAAAAATTTAATTAATCAATTTTATTAATTGGACAAAAAATCGTGATCAAAATCTCAAATGGAAGAATCAAATTAATACTTTTGAATTTTTTTTTTTTTGTTTCATCACATAATTTCAGGATGATCATGAACCACGTGCTGAAGAATCCAAGGAGCCAGAACTGGAAACAGAACAAATTGATCAAGGTATGTATAAAATTAAATGAATGAATGCAGCTTTTAAATTTTCTATGATGAAAATGGCCGAGAATTGGTATGATAAATCCCCCAAAAAAGCAATATGAAATTATCATTTAAGCTCTACTTCTGCTTGTGTATGATGATGCTGTGTGTGGCATTTTTCGCAAACACCACCGCCACCACCTTCTACCACCACATCACCATGCAACCGCAATCCATTGGATGTTTTCTGAATGGACACTATACGCTATAAAACGCTCCAAAAAATGCTCTCAATTTGATGATGACAAATAATCTTCAATTAATTCAAAAATTAAAAGATGTCGTCTATGAAGAACAACAACAACAACAACCGGATGATAAAATCATCAGGAAAATCGTACGAAAACCAAAGAAAATCGAACCGAAACAAGATCAACCAATCAAATTGGAACGTGTCATAAAGGCAACAGATAAGCAGCAGATTGACCAAGAACCAGAAACAACGATTGAACAACGACCATACGATTTAGATATCGAGGAATTTATTGAAATATCAGATGTCGTTGAAACAATTGAAGTGATCGAAAGTTATGACGAAAAAGAAAAACCAAAAATTCAACATAAAATTAAACTAATCAGACGGCCAGAAGATCAAAAACCGATTGAATATCGTGAAGAACCGGATGATCATTTTGTGATTGATGATCAAACAATGAAACCGAAAAAAATAATTCGGAGAAAACAACCAAAACCCGTGACAACTGTAGAAACAATAAAACCATCGCCGGAATCATTCGAATTTATTGAAATTTCCGATATCATTGAAACGGTGGAAGAAATGACCGAAACACCGGATGGCCAAAACATTATACGACATAAAATCCGAAAAGTTAAAAAACCTAAAGATCAAAAACCAATTGATTATGAACCTAAATCCGGTGATCATTTACTTGCTGATAAAATGGGTAAACTAAAGAAAATCATTAGAATGGCAAGAAAACCGAAAGAAATCGTTGAAACCAAACCTACCACCACAATATTAGCAACGATAACAAAACAAATCCCCGATACAGAAGAAGAATGTAAAAAACCAAAAGAATCAACAGAAGAAGAATATCCAGAAGAATTACCGGAATTTATTGAAATATACAAAGTTGTCGAAACAATCGAAGAGATTGAAGAAACAACAACTGAAGGTGATAAAAAATCGGTTCATAAAATTAAATTAGTACGAAAACCAGATGATAAAAAGCCAATTCCATATGAAGAAAAACCTGGTGATCATGTTGTCATTGAAAGTGAGACGAAAAAACCGATAAAAATTATACGTCGCTTACGAAAATCCATCGATGATGAGCAAAAAGATGATGAAAAAAGATTAGAATTTATCGAAATATCTGATATCATCGAAACAATTGCTCAAATTGAATCGACACCAGATGGAAGTGAACGTGTTTCGAAAAAAGTTATTCGAATCCGTAAACATGATGAGAAAAAACCCGAAGAATACGATAAACAACCTGATGATCATATGCTTTCGGATATAAGTGGAAAACCGAAGAAAATTATCCGAATTCATGCCAAACATCCGGATGAAAAAGATAAAAAGAAAATTTTATTGAAAAAACCAAAAGAAACCAAAGAAGAAGAAAAGCCAACAGAAATGGCTGAATATATGGAAATAGCTGATGTCGTCCACATAATCGAAGAAGAAGTAGACGACAAGAAAAAAGTGCACAAAATTAAATTGATTAAAAAACCAAAAGAAAAACAACCGGTAGAATATCAAGAGAAACCGGGTGAACATATTTTGATTGAAGAAACAACAAAGAAACCAAAGAAGATTATCAAACGTGTTAAAAAACCTACTACCGACGAAACAATCGAAATATCCGAGGAGGATAGACAAATCCTTGAATTTATTGAAATCAGCAACATTATCGAAACTGTTGATGAATTCGTGGCAACAACCACCGGCAAAAAAATCATCAAACGTAAGGTAACAAAGGTAAGTAAACAAGAAGATCAGATGCCGGAAGAATATCGACAGAAACCTGAAGAACATATTCTGACGGATATGTTGACGGATAAACCAAAGAAAATTATCCGAAAAATTCAAAAATCCGTCCATGAAACACCAGAACAAGACAAGAAAAAAATTATATTGAAAAAACCAAAGAAAACTGTGGAAAAAATTTTACCAGAATTTGTGGAAATATCCGATGTAATTGAAACTGTTGAACAAATCGAAGAAACACCGGAAGGCAAAAAGAAAAAAGTACATAAAATAAAATTAGTGAAAAAACCGGAAGATAAAATTCCGGTGAAATATGAAGAAAAACCGGATGATCATCTTTTGGTTGATGAAAAGACTAGAAAACCGAAAAAGATTATCAAAAGAATTCGTCCACCTAATGAAGATGAAATAGTCGATGACGCTAAACAAGAATTTATTGAAATTTCCGATATTGTTGAAACAATCGAAGAAACGATCGAAATATTTGAAGGTGATAAAAAAGTTGCCAGAAAAGTTATTCGTGTTAAAAAACCTACAGAAATTATGTCCGAAGAATATGAACCAAAATCAGAAGATAAAATGCTCATTGATGTGGTTGGAAAACCGAAAAAAATTATTCGAAAAATTCAAAAACCAGTTGAAGAGCATGTTGATGATGATGAAACATCCACCGAATACGTTGAAATTGCAGATGTCGTCCATACAATTGAAGAAATCGAAGAGATGCCAGAAGGCGAGAAGAAAAAGGTTCACAAAATCAAATTAATCAAAAAACCAGAAGAAAAACAACCGGTAGAATATAAAGAGAAACCGGGTGAACATATTTTGATTGAAGAAACAACAAAGAAACCAAAGAAAATTATCAAACGTGTTAAAAAACCTACTAGTGACGAAACAATCGAAATACTACCCGATGAGGATAGACAAATTCTTGAATTCATAGAAATCACAGATATCGTGGAAACTATGGATGAAATATCCGTAACAACTGGTGGTAAAAAAATCATAAAACATAAAGTGAAAAAAGTAAAGAAACCAGAAGATGGAAAATCTGAAGAATATCTCCAGAAACCAGAAGAACACATGTTATCCGATATTTCTGGTAAACCAAAGAAAATCATACGAAAAATCCAAAAACCCAAAGAAATATCAGATCAAGACAAGAAAAAGATTGTCTTGAAAAAGCCAAAGAAATCTGATGAAAAAGATGAAGAAAAACCAAGAGAAATTGTTGAAAAAATTGAACATGAACCAACACAAATAATACAAGAAAAAATTCATCCTGAAATTGAAACAATCACTGAAGAGTTTGTTGAAATATCAGAAGTTGTTGAAACAATCGAAGAAATAGAGGAAACACCTGAAGGTGATAAGCAAACAACTCATAAGATTAAATTAGTGAGAAAACCAAAAGCCAAGAAACCAGAAGAATACAAAGAACAACCTGGTGATCATATTGTGGTGGACGAAACCAAAAAACCAAAGAAAATCATACGCAAATCCAAAAGACCAGAGCAAATAACAGAAGAAACAATTCCAATGACCGAATTCATCGAAGTTTCCGATGTTGTGGAGACAACCGAAGAAATTATTGAAACACCAGAAGGCAAAAAGAAAATCATCAAAAAGGTGAAAAAATAAAAAAAACCTGAAGAAAAGTTACCAGAAGAATATGAAAAGAAACCCGATGAACATCGTGGTTGTAGATGAAACTGGTAAACAAACAAAAAGGTAATCAAAGAGATCACAAAACCAGGTGAACTGAATCAAAACAAGAGATTGATTTAACCAAAGACAAGAAAAAGATTGTCTTAAAGAAACAAAAGAAACCCGATGATGTGGCTGAAGAAACGACACCAGAAATCAGTTTCAAACCAATTGAAGAAAAAATGCCAGAAAAGAAACCTGAGGAAACTACCGAAGAATTCACTGATATGGATCTTACAGAATTCGTCGAAGTTTCTCAAGTAGTTGAAACTATCGAAGAGATTGAAGAAACACCTGATGGCGACAAGAAAACCATACACAAAATCAAATTGGTTAAAAAACCAAAAGAAAAGAAACCAGAAGAATATAAAAAACAACCAGGCGATCATGTTGTGGTAGACGAAACGAAAAAACCAAAAAAAATCATTCGAAAAATTAGAAAATCAGAAGAACATGAATCCGAGGAAAAGCCTGAAAAGCCAACTGAATTTATTGAAATGGCTGATGTAGTCGAGGTAGTTGAAGAAATACCGAAACGCCAGAAGGCAAAAAGAAAATCATCAAAAAGGTGAAGAAAATAAAGAAACCAGAAGAAAAGTTACCAGAAGAATATGAAAAGAAACCCGATGAACATGTAGTTGTAGATGAAACTGGTAAACCACAAAAGGTGATTAAAGAACTCCGAAAACCTGGTGATGTTGTTTTCGAGGAGAAAATTGAATTGGTCAAAGATAAAAAGAAACTTGTCTTGAAGAAACAAAAGAAACCCGATGATGTGACTGAAGAAACGACACCCGAAATCAGTTTCAAACCAACTCATGAAGTTGAGCAAGAAAAGAAACCAGAGCAAACAAAAGAAGAATTTGCCGATATTTACGAACTTACAGAATTCGTCGAAGTTTCTCAAGTGGTAGAAACAATTGAAGAAATTGAAGAAACACTTCAAGGCGACAAGAAAACCGTACACAAAATCAAATTGGTTAAAAAACCAAAAGAAAAGAAACCAGAAGAATACAAAGAACAACCAGGCGACTTGGTAGTCGTTGATGAAACGAAAAAACCAAAGAAAATCATTCGAAAAGTGAAAAAACCAGACGATAAAAAACCATTGAAAGAAGAAGTAGATGAATCAACAACAATTACTGAATTTGTTGAAATAGCAGATATCGTCGAAGTTATTGATGAAATAATCGAATCACCTGAAGGTAAAAGAAAAATCATTAAAAAAGTGAAAAAAGTAAAGAAACCCGAAGATGAAAAGCCCAAAGATTATCAAACAAAACCAGATGAACATTTATTATCCGATGATCAAGGTAAACCAAGAAAAATCATCAGAAAAATTCCAAAATTACCCGAAAAAGATGTAATCAGTGAAGAAAAAATTGAAATGATCAAAGATAAAAAGAAAATCATTCTTAAAAAACCAAAGAAATCTGAAAAAGAAGAATTTGAAGAGCCAGAAATAATAACAAAAATTAAACACGATGATGATGAACCTGTAATGCAAAAACCAATGGAAGAAACTATCGAACAATCATCAAGCGAAATAGAAACAATGGAATTCGTTGAAGTTTCTGAAGTTATCGAAACAATTGAAGATAGTGAAATCATCGATGATGATCAAAAGAAAACTATTCATCGAATTAAATTGATTAAAAAACCAAAAGTTACGAAACCAGAAGAATATGAGGAAAAACCTGATGAACATATTGTGGTGGATGAAATTAGTCAAAAACCAAAGAAAATTATACGAAAAGTGAAAAAACCACATGAAACGACATCAAAAGAACAGCAGCCAATAGAAAAATTGGAATTCGTTGAAGTTTCCGATGTTGTGGAGACAATTGAAGAAATCACTGAAACATCGGAAGGCAAGAAAATCGTAAGAAAAATCAAAAAAGTCAAAAAACCAGAAAATGAAATGCCTGAAGATTATGAAAAGAAACCCGATGAGCATGTTGTGATGGATGAAACGGGTAAACCAAAGAAAATTATCCGAAAGATTAAAAAACCGGATGATAAGAAACCAGAAGACCAAACTGAAACAAAAGAAGAAATTAAATTAGTCGAAGATAAAAAGAAACTTGTCTTGAAGAAACAAAAGAAACCCGATGATGTGGCTGAAAAAACGAAGCCCGAAATTAGTTTCAAACCAACCGAAGAAAAAATGCCCGAAAAGAAACTCGGGGAAACGACTGAAGAATTCACTGAGATGGAACCTAGTGAATTCGTTGAAGTTTCCGAGGTTGTTGAAACTATCGAAGAGATTGAAAAAACACCTGAAGGTGGCAAAAAAACTGTTCATAAAATCAAATTGGTGAAAAAACCAGAAGAAAAGAAACCCGTAGACTATAAAGAACATCCTGATGATCATATCATCGTCGATGAGACAAAAAAACCAAAGAAAATCATACGTAAAATCGTCAAACAAGAAAAAGTGACTGAATCAAAGCCATCCGAATTTGTCGAATTGGCCGATGTGGTTGAAGTGGTAGAAGAAATTACCGAAACACCAGAAGGCAGAAAGAAAATCATCAAAAAGGCGAAAAAAAATTAAGAAACCAGAAGAAAAGTTACCAGAAGAATATGAGAAAAAACCCGATGAACATGTGGTTGTAGATAAAACGGGTAAACCAAAGAAAATTATCCGAAAGATTAAAACACCGGAAAAAACTGAAGATGTACTGGTTGAAGAGAAAATTGATCTGACAAAAGACAAAAAGAAAATTGTCTTGAAAAAACAAAAAATGTCAGATGAAGAAATAACTGAAGAAAGTAAACATGAAATAAGTGAATTGATAGAAACTTCAGAAGTTATCCAAACAATCGATGAAATTGAAGTCAAAGACAAGAAAAAAATTGTTCGGAAAAAACCGGAAAAGACAACAGATGATGTTATTGAAGAAACTAAACCAGAAATTAGTTTTCAACCAACAACTATAGAAGAAAAGCCAGAGAAAACGACTGAAGAACAAACTGAAATTGAGATGAAAGAATTTGTTGAAGTTTCAGAGGTTGTGGAAACAATTGAAGAGATTGAAGAATCACCTGAAGGCGATAAGAAAATTGTTCATAAAATAAAGAAGGTAAAGAAACCAAAAGCTAAGAAACCAGAAGAATACAAAGAACAACCAGGCGACCATGTTGTGGTAGACGAAACGAAAAAACCAAAGAAAATCATTCGAAAAATTAGAAAACCAGAAGAACCTGAGCCTGAAGAAACGTCTGAAAAGCCAACTGAATTCGTTGAAATGGCTGATGTGGTCGAGGTAGTTGAAGAAATCACCGAAACTCCAGAAGGCAATAAGAAAATCATCAAAAAGGTGAAGAAAATAAAAAAACCAGAAGAAAAGTTGCCAGAAGAATACGAGAAAAGACCAGACGAACACATATTGTCCGATGATACCGGAAAACCACAAAAAGTGATCAAAGAAATCACAAAACCTGGTGATGTAATTTCTGAAGAGACGATTGATTTAACGAAAGACAAGAAAAAAATTGTCTTGAAGAAGCCGAAAAAACCGGATGAAGTCATTGAAGAAACTAAACCCGAAATTAGTTTCCAACCAACCCAGGAAGACAGACCAGAAAAGAAACCGGAGGAAACGACAGAAGAATTCACTGACATGGAGCCTATAGAATTTGTCGAAGTTTCCGAGGTTGTGGAAACAATCGAAGAAATTGAAGAGACTCCTGAAGAAGGAAAGAAAATCGTACACAAAATCAAAAAAGTGAAAAAACCAAAAGAAAAGAAAGCCGAAGACTACGAAAAACATCCTGGTGATCATATAATTGTCGATGAGATGAAAAAGCCAAAGAAAATCATACGTAAATCCGAAAAAACTGAAGAAAAACCAGACAAAATAATTCCAATGACCGAATTCATCGAAGTTTCCGATGTTGTGGAGACAACCGAAGAAATTATTGAAACACCTGAAGGCAAGAAGAAAATTGTAAGAAAAATCAAAAAAGTGAAAAAACCTGAAGATAAAAAGCCAGAAGATTATGAAAAGAAACCAGATGAACACTTGGTTGTAGATGAAACTGGTAAACCAAAGAAAATAATCCGAAAGATCAAAAAACCAGAAGATAAAAAACCCGAACATGAATTACATGAACGTATTGAAACATTAATTGAAGAAATAACAAAAACATTTGAAAAAGAAATTACCGATGAAAAACAAAAAGAAGAAACGATTAAATCGGAAATTCAGGAAATGCTGAAACAATTACAAATACCAACGGAACATGACAAAATGGAAAAACTTAAAGATGATGTTGAACAATTGAAATCACTGACAGAAGAAATGGATGAATTTGAAGATGTTCTACGGGAAAAACTTGGCAAACCACGAAAGAAAATTGTTCGTAAAATCAAAAAAGAAAAGAAACCAGACGAAGAAGTTAGTGAAATTCAATCAAAAGTCGAAGAAAAACCTGAATTAACTGAACATCAAATTGAATTGAAGGAAATTCTTGAAGAAATTGATGTTGTTGTCTCAATAACTGATGAAAAACCTAAAGAAGAAAAGCCAGAAGATATTGTAGGATCAAAAGAAGAAATTGAAATCAAAGACAAAAAGAAAATTGTCTTGAAGAAAAAGCCCGATGATGTGGCTGAAGAAACGACACCCGAAATAAGTTTCAAACCAACTATAGAAGAAAAACAAGACAAGAAACGACAAGAATCGACCGAAGAAAAAACTGAAATCGAGATGAAAGAATTTGTTGAAGTTTCCGAGGTTGTGGAAACAATCGAAGAAATTGAGGAAACACCTGATGGCGACAAGAAATCTGTACACAAAATCAAATTGGTGAAAAAACCAAAAGCCAAAAAACCAGAGGAATACAAAGAACAACCAGGCGATCATGTTGTGGTAGACGAAACGAAAAAGCCTAAGAAGATAATTCGAAAAATTAGAAAACCAGAAGAACCTGAGCCTGAAGAAACGTCTGAAAAGCCAACTGAATTCGTTGAAATGGCTGATGTGGTCGAGGTTGTCGAAGAAATTACCGAGACACCAGAAGGCAAAAAGAAAATCATCAAAAAGGTGAAGAAAATAAAGAAACCAGAAAAAAAGTTACCAGAAGAATATGAAAAGAAGCCAGATGAACATATTTTATCTGATGACACTGGTAAACCACAAAAGGTGATCAAAGAAATCACAAAACCGGGTGATGTAGTTTCTGAAGAGACGATTGATTTAACAAAAAGACAAATATATAAAAAAAGATTGTCGTTTGAAGAAGCCAAAGAAAATCATTCGAAAAATTGAAAATCAGAAGAATTGAAGAAACTGAAAAGCCTGAAATTAGTTTCAAACCAACCCAGGAAGACAGACCAAAAAAGAAACCAGAGGAAACTACAGAAGAAAAAACCGAAATTGAGATGAAAGAATTCATCGAAGTATCCGAGGTTGTTGAAACAATCGAGGAGATTGAAGAAACACCTCGAAGAAGGGTTGTTGAAACAATCGAGGAGATTGAAGCAACACCTGAAGGTGGCCAAAAAACCTTACATAAAATCAAATTGGTGAAAAAACCAAAAGATAAGAAACCAGAAGAATACAAAGAGCAACCTGGCGACTTGGTAGTCGTGGATGAAACGAAAAAACCAAAGAAAATCATTCGAAAAATGAAAAAACCCGATGAAAAATCTGAAGAAATGCCTGAAAAGCCATCTGAATTCGTTGAAGTGGCAGATGTAGTGGAGGTTGTTGAAGAAATGACCGAATCTCCAGAAGGCAATAAGAAATTCATTAAAAAAGTGAAGAAAATAAAGAAACCAGAAGAAAAGTTACCAGAAGAATATGAGAAAAAACCGGATGAACACATCTTGTCCGATGAAACTGGTAAACCACAAAAGGTGATCAAAGAAATCACAAAACCTGAAGAAATTAAAATTATAAAAGATAAAAAGAAACTTATAGTGAAGATGGCAAAAAAACCAGCTGATGAAATAGAAGAAAAAATCAAACCAGAATCGGACAAAAAACCTGAAGAAGAAATAACTGATCAACAACCAAGTGAAAAAATTGAATTCATCGAAGTATCTGATGTCGTTGAAGAAGTGATAACTGAAACGTCTTACGATGATAAGAAGAAAATCGTGAAAAAAGTTAAAAAACGAAAAGATCAACAACCGGTAAATCTTGACCAGTTTGATGAGCCAAAATTAATGGCCGAAGAAACGGTTCATATGAAACCAGAAGGAAAACCAATCGTGCCGTTTGAAGAATCGGATGAAGAATTAACCGAATCGGTTATAAAACCTGAACAGGAATTCATCACAGAAAGTAGAAAGAAAATTCAAACGAAATCAAAAAGAAAAGAACAACCACAAGAAATTTATGAAGAATTTTCTGCAAAAGAAATTGATGAAGATGTTATGACAGAAATTTTTGAAGAAATAATCGATCTACCAGATGATTATGATAATGAAGATAAAACTGAAGCCGAAGATTTAACAATAAATAAACCGAAAAAATTAATTCTTCGAAAAACGAAATCAGAATCCATAGAATCTGAACAATCTAAACAAGATGAATTTATTGTTCAAGAACAAAAAAAGAAGTGATTACACCAGAAGGTAAAAAGAAGGTTGTGAAAAGAATTAAAAAGATCAAAAAACCTGAAGAAACAAACAATTAGAGAGTGATTACGAATTAAATATAGAAAAAGAAAAACCGATGTCTGAAGAAATCGCTGAACAACCTGAAGAAACAGAAATGATTGAAACGATCGAAGTTATTGAGACAATTGAGGAAACACCTGAAGGCGACAAAAAAGTTGTCAAAAAGATAAAAAAAGTGAAAAAACCAAAAGTAACAACTGAAGAAACAATCAGCTTGAAACCATCTGATGAACCAATCATAGAAGTTCCTGAAGAAGAGATTCGTCCAGAAGCTGAATCTGAATCGACAATCGATACAAAAACAAAAAAGAAAATATTGAAGAAACCAAAACGAAAAGAATCGATCATCGAAATTCCAGAAATAAGCGATAAAGAAGTGATTGAAGAAATCAAAACAGAATTCTTTGAAGAAATCATTGAATTGCCCAAAGACGATGAGCAAAAACCAGAAGAAATTATTGAAACAATCGAAATGACACCTGAAGGTGATAAAAAAGTTGTCAAAAAGATCAAGAAGACAAAGAAACCAAAAGAGGAAAAACCAGAAGAAATTAAACCAGAAATCAAAGATACGAAACCAACGGAAGAAGAGAAACCGATTCAGGAAAAAACAACTGAACAACCTGAAGAAAGGGAATTGATTGAAACAACCGAAGTAATCGAGACAATTGAAATGACACCTGAAGGCGAAAAGAAAATTGTCAAAAAGATCAAGAAGACAAAGAAACCAAAAGAACAACCACTTGATGAAGAATCGAAACCAGAAAAACCAATAGAGGAAGAGAAACCGATTATCGAAGAGATTACTGAACAGCCTATTGAATCCGAAATGATTGAAACAACTGAGGTTATCGAAACCATTGAGGAAACACCTGATGGTGATAAAAAGATTGTCAAAAAGATCAAAAAAGTCAAGAAACCTAAGGCAGAAAAGCCAGAAGAGGTTAAGTCAGGAACTGATGAAATAAAAACAACCGAAGATGAAAAACCAACCCAAGAAGAAATTACTGATCATCCTAGTGAACCAGAATTGATCGAAACGATTGAAGAGACAATCGATGATGGAAGGAAAATTGTCAAAAAGATCAAAAAAGTCAAGAAACCAAAAGTGACAGAAGAAACAATCAGCTTGAAACCATCTGATGAACCAATCATGGAAGAATCTCTTAAAGAAGAGATTCATCCATTAGATGAATCGAAAATTGATACAGTAACAAAAAAGAAAATATTGAAGAAACCAAAACGAAAAGAATCAATCACCGAAATTCCAGAAACAAGCGATAAAGAAGTGATTGAAGAAATCAAGACTGAAGTCTTTGAGGAAATAATTGAATTGCCCAAAGATGAGGAACAAAAACCAGAAACAATTGAAACGACACATGAAGGTGACAAAAAAAACGTCAAAAAGATCAAAAAGCCTAAAACAAAAAAGTCAGAAGAAATCAAACCAGAAATCGAGGATATGAAACAAACTGAAGAAGAGAAGCCTATGTCTGAGGAAATCACTGTACCACTAGATGAACAAAAAGATGTGATCAAACCTGAAGATGAAACTCAACCTGAGATGCCAGATAAAATCATTGAAGAAATCAAAATGAGCAAAAAGAAAATTGTCAAAGAAAATCAAAAAGGAAAAGAAACCTGATGAAGTGACAACTGAACTTCAACCTGAAATTGAAGAGAAAATGAAGAACCAGAATTTCATCCATTACCCGAAATAACAGAACATATGGTTGAACCATCGGAAATTTTCGAAACAATTGATTTAGTCGAAACAATTGAAGAAAAACTTACTGAAGAGGATGAAATCGAATCCAAAAAGGAACAACCAACCGAAGAATCAAAAGTTGAAACAACAGTGACTCAAGAACAATTAGAAATAACAAAACAGAAAAAGAAATTGATACGTAAAAAAGATAAAAAATCAGAAGATGAAGAAAAACCAATTGAATCGGAATCAATACAACCAGAATTAGAAACGAGAAAACATGATGAAATTGAAGAAAAAGTTACTGAACCGAAAGAAATTACTGAAGAACTAATGTTGGAACAGCAAGAATTTGTTGAAATCATTGAAATTTACGAAGTGATTGAAATGGTGGAAGAAATTGAAATCTTTGATGAACAACCAAAGAAAAAGACTTATAAAGTGAAAAAGATAAAAAAACCTAGTGATAAAAAACCAATGGATTATGTGGAGAAACCGGATGATAAAATCATTACCAATTTGATAAATGGTAGACCGGAAAAAGTTTTACGAAAAACAAAAAAACCAAAAAAATTAATCGATGAATCTGAACAACAACGATCAGAAGAACAAATGGAAAAAATTGATGAAACTATTGACGAAATAGAAGTGGAAGAAATTGTCGATGAAATCGAAACATCAGATGGTGGGAAAAAGATTGTTAAGAAAATCAAAAAAATCAAGAAAAAGATGATCGATGAAACCGAGATTTTCACTGAAGAAGAAGAAGAAGAAGAAGAAGCAGAGCAACCCGAAAAAAGTAAAAGAAAAATTTTGAAAAAAGTTAAAAAACCAAAGAAACCTATCCAACAAGAATTGGAGGAAAAACAACCGACAGAAGTGATTGAAATGGTTGAAATCTATGAAGTTGTCGAAACCATTGCAATAATCGAGATTGTTCAGGGCAAAAAGAAAAAAGTGCATAAAATTAAACAAATCAAGAAACCAGAATCTATTGAATCGATTAAATATGAAGAAAAACCAGATGATCAGGTAATTTTGGATTCAGAAGATAAACCTGAAAAAGTCATCCGTAAAATCAAAAAGGATAAAAAACCTAAAGAAGATGAGTCTAAACCAGAAAAAGAAGAAATGTCGGAACAACCGACAGAAACCGATCAAACTGAAACAACAGAAATCATTGAAACGATCCAAGAAATTGAAACTCCAGAAGGCAAGAAAAAACTTGTTAAAAAAGTGAAAAAGACTAAGAAAACAGAAGCTACAAAACCAACAGATGAGAGACCAGTTGAAGAAAAAGATAAACCAGAAGAAATTATCGAATCCATTGAAGAGATTGAAACAACTGAAGAGAAACCGAAATCTGTAGAAATTATTGAACTGCTGCCACAAGAACAAGAATTGATTGGAAACAACTGAAGTCATTGAAAAAATTGAAGAAACACCTGATGGAGGTAAAAAAGTGATCAAAAAATTAAGAAAGTAAAAAAACCAAAAGATGAAAAGTCAGATGAAATAATAACAGAAATTGAAGATAAAAAACCAGCTGAAGAAGTGAAGCCAATTTCTGAAGAAATCATTGAACAACCAAAAGAAACAGAAATGATTGAAACGATCGAAGTTATTGAGACGATTGAGGAAACACCCGAAGGGGACAAAAAAGTTGTCAAAAAGATAAAGAAGGTGAAAAAACCAAAAGTAACAGAAGAAACAATTAGTCTAAAACCATTTGATGAACCACTCACGGAAGAAGTTCATGAAGAAGAGATTTGTCCAGAAGATGAATCGAGAATCGACACAAAACAAAAAGAAAATATTGAAGAAGCCAAAACGAAAAGAATTCATCACCGAAATTAACCAGAGACAAGCGATAAAGAAGTGACTGAAGAAATCAAAACTGAAGTCTTCGAAGAAATCATTGAATTGACCAACGATGATGAAGAAAAACCAGAAGAAATTATTGAAAAAATCGAAGCAACACCCGAAGGTGAACAAAAAGTAATAAAAAAGATCAAAAAAGTAAAGAAATCAACCGAAGAAGAAAAAACAATTCCAGAAGAAATAATTGAACAACCAAAAGAATCAGAAATGATTGAAACAACTGAAGTAACCGAGACAATCGAAATGACACCTGAAGGCGAAAAGAAAGTTGTTAAAAAGATCAAGAAGACAAAGAAACCGAAAGAACTACCACTTGATGAAGAATCTAAACCAGAAATCAAAGATACAAAACCAACTGAAGAAGAAAAACCGATCCAGGAAGATACAACTAAACAACCTGAAGAAAGAGAATTGATTGAAGCAACCGAAGTAACCGAGACAATCGAAATGTCACCTGAAGGCGAAAAGAAAGTTGTCAAAAAGATTAAAAAAGTCAAAAAACCGAAATCAGAAAAGCCAGAAGAGATTAAACCTGGTACTGATGAAATAAAAACAACAGAAGAAAAACCAACTCAAGAAATTACTGATCAGCCTAGAGAGCCAGAATTAATCGAAACCATCGAAACAATCGAAATGACACCTGAAGGTGATAAAAAGATTGTCAAAAAGATCAAGAAAATAAAAAAATCGAAAGAACAACCACTTGATGAAGAATCAAAACCAGAAATCGATTATGAAAAACCAATTTCTGAAGAAATCACTGAACAACCAAAAGAAACAGAAATGATTCAAACCACCGAAGTTATCGAAACCATTGAGGAAACACCTGATGGTGATAAAAAGATTGCCAAAAAAATCAAAAAAGTAAAGAGACCAAAGGAAGAAAAGCCTGTTGAAGAAGAATCGGAATCTCAAATCGAAACTAAAGAAACAACAGAAGAACAGAAAACAATTTCTGAAGAAATCACTGAACAACCAAAAGAAACAGAAATGATTGAAACCACCGAAGTTATCGAAACCATTGAGGAAACACCTGATGGTGATAAAAAGATTGTCAAAAAGATTAAAAAAGTCAAAAAACCGAAATCAGAAAAGCCAGAAGAGATTAAACCCGGTACTGATGAAATAAAAACAACCGAAGATGAAAAACCAACCCAAGAAGAAATTACTGATCATCCTAGTGAGCCAGAATTGATCGAAACGATTGAAGAGACAATCGATGATGGAAAGAAAATTGTCAAAAAGATCAAGAAAATAAAACCAAAAGAACAACCACTTGATGAAGAATCGAAACCAAAAATCGATTTTGAAAAGCCAACTGAAGAAGAGAAACCTAAACCAGAAGAAATTACTGAACAACCTGAAGGAAAAGAGATGATTGAGACAACCGAAGTTATCGAAACAGTCGAAATGACACCTGAAGGTGAAAAGAAAATTGTTAAAAAGATCAAAAAAGTCAAGAAACCGAAAATCACAGAAGAAAAAGTAAGTTTCAAACCCGATCAACAACAACCAATGGATGAAAAATCCCCCGAAGAGGACATTCGTCCAGAAACTGAATCGACAATCGATACAGAAACAAAAAAGAAAATATTAAAGAAACCAAAACTGAAAGAATCGATCAATGAAGTTCCAGAAATAAGCGATAAAGAAGTTACTGAAGAAATTAAAACCGAAATATTCGAAGAAATCATTGAATTGCTCAAAGATGATGAAGAAAAACCGGAAGAAATTATGGAAACAATCGAAATGACACCTGAAGGCGAAAAGAAAATTATGAAAAAGATCAAAAAGACAAAGAAACCAAAAGAGGAAAAACCAGAAGAAATGAAACCAGAAATCAAAGATACGAAACCAACTGAAGAAGAGAAACCGATTCAGGAAGAAACAACTGAACAACCTGAAGAAAGAGAATTGATTGAAACAACCGAAGTAATCGAGACAATCGAAATGACACTAGATGGTGAGAAGAAAATTGTCAAAAAGATCAAGAAGACAAAGAAACCAAAAGAGGAAAAACCAGAAGAAATAAAACCAGAAATCAAAGATACGAAACCAACTGAAGAAGAGAAACCGATTCAGGAAAAAACAACTGAACAACCTGAAGAAAAGGAATTGATTGAAACAACCGAAGTAATCGAGACAATCGAAATGACACCTAAAGGCGAAAAGAAAATTGTCAAAAAGTTAAAGAAGACAAAGAAATCAAAAGAGGAAAAACCAGAAGAAATGAAACCAGAAATCAAAGATACGAAACCAACCGAAGAAGAAAAAACATTTACAGAAGAAATAATTGAACAACCAAAAGAATCAGAAATGATTGAAACAACCGAAGTAATCGAGACAATCGAAATGACACCTGAAGGCGAAAAGAAAATTGTCAAAAAGTTCAAGAAGACAAAGAAAACAAAAGATGAAAAAACTGTGGAAGAAGAATCGAAACCTGAAATTGTAGAAGCGAAGCCAATTTCTGAAGAAATAATAGAAAAACCCATTAGTGAACCAGAAATTATTGACATGACGGAAATCGTTGAAACAATTGAAGAGACACCTGAAGGTGAAAAGAAAGTGATCAAGAAAATTAAAAAAGTCAAGAAACCCAAAGAAGAAAAACCCGAAGAATCAAAACCGATTGAAGATATTAGTAAACCAGATGAGAAATTTCAGCCCGAACCACAGAAGGAGGAAAAAATCGATCAACCCGAAATGCCAGATAAAACAATTGAAGAGTTGAAAGTGGACAAAAAGAAAATTGTGAAGAAAATCAAAAAAGAAAAGAAACCAGATGAAGTGACAACTGAACTTCAACCTGAAATTGAAGAGAAACCTGAAGAACCAGAATTTCATCCATTACCCGAAATAACAGAACATATGGTCGAACCATCAGAGATTCTAGAAGAAAGTAGTATCATCGAAACAATTGAAGAAATTGAAATAACACCAGAAGGTGAAAGGAAAGTTGTAAAACGAAAAACAAAGAAACCAAAACAACCTGATGAAAAAGAAGAATTGCCTTCTGAAGAAAAATTACCAATTGAAGAGGAAATCAAGCCAATGGAGGAAAAACACGAACCAGAAGAAGACAAACCTAAAAAAATAAAGAAGATTATTCGTCGAAAATCTAAACCAGATGTTGTTAAGCGATGAAATTGCTGAACCGCTTAAAGAAGATATCATTGAAACATTGAAAAATGAAGAAAAGCCTGAAGAACAATCAATTGATAATGAACAAACAAAGCCAATCGTTGAAGAAAAAATTGAAATAACCAAAGAAAAGAAAAAAGTAATCAAAAAGATTAAAAAAGAAAAGAAAGATGAAGATTCAGTGATTGAAGAAATTAAACCAGAAAAACCAATTGAAAAACCTGATGATGATATCACCGAAATAATTGAACAATTTATTGAACAAATTGAAATCTATGAAGTTATTGATTCAATTGCTACAATTGAGACTATTGATGGCAAAAAGAAAAAAGTGCATAAAATCAAAAAGGTGAAAAAACAAGAGGATCAAAAACCCATTGAATACAAAGAAGAACCAGATGATGAAGTGATACTTGATCATGATGATAAACCAGAAAAAGTAATTCGTAAAGTTAAAAAAGATAAAAAACCGAAACCATATGAAGAAGTGATGCACGAACAGCCAACTGAAACTACCGAAATCATGGAAATCATTGAAACAGTCAAAGAGATTGAAACACCCGAAGGCAAGAAAAAAGTTGTCAAAAAAGTAAAGAAAACAAAGAAAACTGAAGAAACGATGCCAACAGGTGATGAAATAAAGCCTGTTGAAGAAGAAAAACCCGAACAAATAATTGAAACAATCGAGGAAATTGAAACACCAGAAGGCAAAAAGACTGTGCTCAAAAAGATCAAAAAAGTCAAGAAACCAAAAGATGAAAAGCCTGTGGAAGAAGAAACAAAACCACTAATCGATTATAAAAAACCAATCGAGGAAAAGAAACCAAAACCAGAAGAAATCGCTGAACAACCAGAAGAAAAAGAGATGATCGAAACGACAGAAGTTATTGAGACGATTGAGGAAACACCCGAAGGTGACAAAAAGTCGTCAAAAAGATCAAAAAAGTCAAGAAACCAAAAGTGACAGAAGAAACAATCAGCTTGAAACCATCTGATGAACCAATCACGGAAGAAGTTTCTGGAGAAGAGATTCGTCCAGAAGATGAATCAAAAAATCGATACAGAAACAAAGAAGAAAATATTAAAAAAATCAAAACGAAAAGAATCGATCACCGAAATTCCAGAAACATGCGATAAAGAAGTAATTGAAGAAATCAAAACTGAAGTCTTTGAGGAAATCATCGAATTGCCGAAAGATGATGAAGAAAAAACAGAAGAAATTATCGAAACAATGGAAGTAACACCTGAAGGTGAAAAGAAAATTGTCAAAAAGATCAAAAAAGAAAAGAAACCAACCGAAGAAGAAAAACCAATTCCTGGAGAAATAATTAAACAGCCAAAAGAATCAGAAATGATTGAAACAACCGAATTTATAGAAACCATTGAGGAAACACCTGAAGGTGAAAAGAAAGTTGTCAAAAAGATCAAAAAAATCAAGAAACCAAAACAACCACTCGATGAAGAATCGATACCAGAAATCGATTATGAGAAACCAATAGAGGAAGAGAAACCGATTATTGAAGAGATTACTGAACAACTTGAAGAAAGAGAATTGATTGAGACAACCGAAGTTATCGAAACAGTCGAAATGACACCTGAAGGTGAAAAGAAAATTGTTAAAAAGATCAAAAAAGTCAAGAAACCGAAAATCACAGAAGAAAAAGTAAGCTTAAAACCAGACCAACAACAACCAATGGATGAAAAATCGCCCGAAGAGGACATTCGTCCAGAAACTGAATCGACAATCGATACAGAAACAAAAAAGAAAATATTAAAGAAACCAAAACTGAAAGAATCGATCACTGAAGTTCCAGAAATAAGCGATAAAGAAGTTACTGAAGAAATTAAAACCGAAATATTCGAAGAAATCATTGAATTGCTCAAAGATGATGAAGAAAAACCGGAAGAAATTATGGAAACAATCGAAATGACACCTGAAGGCGAAAAGAAAATTGTGAAAAAGATCAAAAAGACAAAGAAACCAAAAGATGGTAAATTAGAAGACATGAAACCCGAAATCAAAGATACGAAACCAACTGAAGAAGAGAAACCGATCCAGGAAGAAACAACTGAACAACCTGAAGAAAGACAATTGATTGAAACAACCGAAGTAATCGAGACAATCGAAATGACACCTGAAGGCGAAAAGAAAATTGTCAAAAAGTTCAAGAAGACAAAGAAAACAAAAGATGAAAAAACTGTGGAAGAAGAATCGAAACCAGAAAAACCAATAGTGGAAGAAAAACCGATTATCGAAGAGATTACTGAACAGCCTGTTGAATCAGAATTGATTGAAACAACCGAAGTTATCGAAACCATTGAGGAAACACCTGATGGTGATAAAAAGATTGTCAAAAAGATCAAGAAAATAAAGAAACCAAAAGATGAAAAACCTCTGGAAGAGGAAACAAAACCATTAATCGATTATAAAAAACCAATCGAGGAAAAGAAACCAAAACCAGAAGAAATCGCGGAAAAACCTGAAGAAAAAGAGATGATCGAAACCACAGAAGTTATTGAGACGATTGAGGAAACACCCGAAGGTGACAAAAAAGTTGTCAAAAAGATCAAAAAAGTAAAGAGGCCAAAGGAAGAAAAACCCATTGATGAACCAACTGAATTCGTCGAATTAATTGACATTTATGAAGTTGTCGAATCAATTGCAACAGTTGAACATGTTGATGGGAAAAAGCGAAAGGTCCACAAAATAAAGAAAATCAAAAAGCCTGAAGATCAGCAACCGATTGAATATGAAGAAAAACCAGATGATCAGGTAATTTTGGATTCAGAAGACAAACCAGAAAAAGTAATACGCAAAATCAAAAAGGATAAAAAACCAAAAGAAGAAAAATCAGATGAAAAAGTGATACCCGAACAACCAACTGCAACAGATATAACAGAAACAACGGAAATCATTCAAACTGTTCAAGAAATCGACACACCACAAGGCAAAAAGAAAGTTGTCAAAAAAGTGAAAAAGACAAGGAAAACTGAAGAGATGAAGCAAACAGAAGATGAAAAGTCAATTGATAAATCAGATGATGTTATGGAATCGATAGAAGAGATTGAAACACCTGAAGGTAAAAAGACTGTTTTGAAAAAAGTCAAAAAATCCAAAAAACCAAAAGAAGAAAAACCATTGGATGAAGAATCGAAACCATCGATCGATTATGAAAAGCCGATCGAAGAAGATAAACCGATCCAAGAAAAAATTATTGAACAACCTGAAACAACCGAAGTGATCGAAACATCTGAATTGATTGAAACCATCGAGGAGACATCTGAAGGCGATAAGAAAGTTGTCAAAAAGATAAAGAAGATAAAGAAACCTAAAGATGATGAAACTATTAAAAAATCGATCGAATTCATCGAATCGATTGAGATCTATGAAGTCATCGAATCAATTTCCACTATTGAGATCATTCAAGGTAAAAAGAAAAAAATTTATAAAATTAAGAAAGTAAAAAAACCAGAAGAAAAAGAACCGATTGAATACAAAGAAGAACCAGAAGACCAGATAATTCTGGATGAAGATGATAAACCGGAAAAAGTTATTCGTAAAGTCAAAAAAGACAAAAAGAAACCAGAAGAGGAATTACCCGAACAGCCGACTCAAACTGAAATGACTGAAACGACAGAATTGATTGAAACGATAGAAGAAATCGAAACACCAGAAGGCAAGAAAAGTGTTAAAAAGATTAAAAAAGTCAAAAAAACCAAAGAAGAAAAACCCGATGTTGAAACGAAACCTGAAGAACCAGAATTTCAATCATCACCCGAAATAACAAAACATGTAGTTGATGAACCATCAGAGATTCTAGAAGAAAGTAGCATTGTCGAAACAATTGAAGAAAGTGAAATAACACCAGAAGGTGAAAATAAATTTGTGAAAAGAAAAACAAAGAAACTAAAACATCCTGATGAAAAAGAAGAATTGCCTTCTGAAGAAAAATTGCCAATTGAAGAGGAAATCCAGCCAGTCGACGAACCAGTTGGAGAAAAACCCGAGGAACCAGAGAAACCGAAAAAACCAAAACGAAAATCAAAACCCGTGGAAGTCATCGAAGATCAACCATTATTATTGGATGAGAAACCAGATGACAAAGAAAATGTATTTGAAACGGCCGTTGCCACAACAATCGCAGAGGAAAAACCAGAAACAATTTTGGATGGGAAAGACGAAACAATCGTAAAAATTGTTGTTGATGATAAACAAGGTATGTATAAAAAATTTTTTATTAATAAAAAGAACATAGAAATGGCCGAGATAATAGGTACAAAAAATGCAAATGAAATGATGATGATGACTACGCCAATGAATGTTGATGAAACAGCCGATGTTGTAATGGCAATGGACAACAACGACAACGATGATGCTATGGCTATCAATGCTGCTACTGCTGCCCGTGTTGATGATGATAAGAATGCTATTGTTGCTATTGATGTTGCTAATGGCTATAATTTAGCCAATTATTCTGAATTAATTGATGATGATGATAAAAAATCAAAAATTTTAGAAAAATCACAACTACAACCAGAGAAAGAAGTGGCAGTGGAGATGATGGAAAAACCGATTTTGGATGACCATAAGGAGAAGGAGGAAGAACCACAAGTGAAAACTGGTGCTGATCAGATTGAGAAAAAAGTCGATGAACCAGAAGTTGAACAGCAGCCATTAGCTGAAAAAACGAAATCTTTGGAAATTTTTGAATCTAAAGAATCGGAAGAAAATACACAGAAAAAAGACGAAACATTAGAACCGATAAAACAAAAACGTAAAATTATTCGGCGTAAATCGGCCAAATTAGATGATGAAAAACCAGATTTGCAGCCTGAAAGTAAAATTGAAGAGAAACCTTCCGATGAACCGGAATTTTCACAGACTTCATTGGTAACCGAACATGTAATTAAACCATCAAAACCATCAGAGATTTCTGTGGAAATTGATATCGCAGAAACAATTGAAGAAATTCAAATGCCAGAAGGGAAAAAGAAAATTGTGAAACGAAAAACAAAGAAACAACAACAACCTGAAAAAGACGAAACGGTTTCTGAAGATAAATCTATAGAGAAAATTGAACAAATAACAATCACAGTAGATGAACATTCTGGAGAAAAACCATCAGTTGAAAAAGCAACAGTTGTTGATGAAGATGATAAGATTGAATTTGAAAAACAACAAATGATTGAAACAACTGAAGTCATTGAAATAATTGAAGAGACGCCAGAAGGTGATAAAAAAATTGTCAAAAAGACCAAAAAAGTTAAGAAACCAAAAGATGAAAAACCAGTGGAAGAAGAAACAAAACCATTAATCGAAGATGAAAAACCAGCCGCAGAAGAGAAACCAATTACTGAAGAAATCATTGAACAACCTGAAGAAAAAGAGATGATCGAAACCACAGAAGTTATTGAGACAATCGAAATGACACCTGATGGTGAGAAGAAAATTGTCAAAAAGACTAAGAAAACAAAGAAACCAAAAGAACAACCCCTTGATGAAGAATCGAAACCAGAAAAACCAATAGAGGAAGAGAAACCGATTATCGAAGAGATTACTGAACAGCCTGTTGAACCAGAAATGATTGAAACAACTGAGGTTATCGAAACCATTGAGGAAACACCTGGTGGTGATAAAAAAATTGTCAAAAAGATCAAAAAAGTCAAGAAACCTAAGGCAGAAAAGCCAGAAGAGGTTAAGCCAGGAACTGATGAAATAAAAACAACCGAAGATGAAAAACCAAACCAAGAAGAAATTACTGATCATCCTAGTGAGCCAGAATTGATCGAAACGATTGAAGAGACAATCGAAGATGGGAAGAAAATTGTCAAAAAGATCAAAAAAGCCAAGAAAATCACAGAAGAAATTAGTTTAAAACCAGATCAACAACAACCAGTGGATGAAAAATCCCCCGAAGATGAGATTGGTCCAGAAGCTGAATCGACAATCAATACAGAAACAAAAATGAAAATATTAAAAAAACCAAAAAGAAAAGAATCGATCACCGAAGTTCCAGAAACAAGTGATAAAGAAGTGATTGAAGAAATCCAAACCGAAATCTTCGAAGAAATCATTGAATTGCCTAAAGATGATGAAGAAAAACCAGACGAAATTATTGAAACAATCGAAATAACACCTGAAGGTGAAAAGAAGATTGTGAAAAAGATCAAAAAAGTAAAGAAACCAAAAGAGGGTAAATTAGAAGACATGAAACCAGAAATCAAAGATACAAAACCAACTGAAGAAGTAAAACCGATCCAGGAAGATACAACTGAACAACCTGAAGAAAAAGAATTGATTGAAACAACAGAAGTATTCGAGACAATCGAAATGACACCTGAAGGTGAAAAGAAAATTATCAAAAAGATCAAGAAAACAAAGAAATCGAGAGTAACTGATGAACCAGAAATAAAAGAATCTCATGAAGATGAGATCCAACCAGAAGATGAGTCTAAAATCGATACAAAAACAAAAAAAAATATTGAAAAGGCCAAAACGAAAAGAATCGGTTACTGAAGTAAATGAAACAGATGATAAAGAAATAACGGAAGAAATCCAAACCAAAATCTTTGAAGAAATCATAGAATTGCCCAAAGATGGGCAAAAACCGAATGAAATTATCGAAAACATTGAGGAAACACAAGAAGGTGATAAAAAGATTGCCAAAAAAATCAAAAAAGTAAAGAGACCAAAGGAAGAAAAGCCTGTTGAAGAAGAATCGGAACCTCAAATCGAAACTAAAGAAACAACAGAAGAACAGAAAACAATTTCTGAAGAAATCACTGAACAACCAAAAAAACAGAAATGATTGAAACCACCGAAGTTATCGAAACCATTGAGGAAACACCTGATGGTGATAAAAAGATTGTCAAAAAGATTAAAAAAGTCAAAAAACCAAAAGAGCAACCACTCGATGAAGAATCGAAACCAGAAATCGATCATGAAAAATCAATCGATGAAGATAAACCGATTATCGAAGAGATTACTGAACAGCCTGTTGAATCAGGAAATGATTGAAACAACCGAAGTAATCGAAACCATTGAGGAAACACCTGAAGGCGAAAAGAAAGTTGTCAAAAAAATCAAAAAAGTCAAGAAACCGAAATTAGAAAAAACCATTTATGAACCAAACGAAGTCATCGAATTGATTGACATTTATGAAGTTGTTGAATCAATTCCTGCAATTGAACAGGTTGATGGCAAAAAGAAAAAAGTTCATAAAATCAAGAAAATTAAAAAACCAGAAGATCAGCAACCGATTGAATATGAAGAAAAACCAGATGATCAGATAATTTTGGATTCAGAAGACAAACCAGAAAAAGTAATACGCAAAATCAAAAAGGATAAAAAACCAAAAGAAAAATCAAATGAAGAAGTGGTATCCGAACAACCAAGTGCAACAGATATAACTGAAACAACGGAAATCATGGAAACTGTTCAAGAAATTGAAACTCCAGAAGGCAAGAAAAAACTTGTCAAAAAGGTAAAGAAAACAAAGAAAATTGACGAAACAAAACCAACAGATGAAATAAAACCAGACGAAACAATCGAATCAATAGAAGAGATTGAAACATCAGAAGGTAAAAAGACAGTCCTCAAAAAGATAAAGAGATCCAAAACCAAATTGGAAAAAGAAGAAAGTGAACCAGACATCGAATCCGAAGTTGGCGTGGAAACCAAGAAAAAGTTGGTTAAAAAATTAACAAAACCAAAAGAACCAACAGCAGAATTACATGAAAAACCTGAACAAAAAGAAATTACAGAAGAAACGACAGTCATTGTGACTGAGGAAATCATCGAACTTCCCGATGAAGAACAAAAACCAGAAGATGAAACGAAACTCGTTGAAGAAAAACCGAAAAAGAAGAAAGTCATCAGACGAAAATCCAAACCAGATGCTTTGGAAACTAAACCCGATGAAGAGACGAAAATTATCACTGAAGAAATGATTGACTTGAAACCAACAGATGAAATTTTGGAAGAAAAAGCTCCAGAAGATGAAATTCAACCAGACATTGAATCAGAAGTTGATGTTGAAACAAAGAAAAAATTGATAAAAAAATTAACAAAACAAAAAGAACCAACAGCTGATTTACAGGAAGCTGAGGAAAAAGAAATAACCGAAGAAACAACAGTCAATGTCACCGAGGAAATTATCAAACTTCCTGATGAAGAGCAAAACCCAGAGGAAGAAATTCCAGAAGAGAAATGCGAAGAAGGTAAATCGAAAAAACCTTCAAAGAAAAAAGTCATCAGACGAAAATCCAAACCAGATGCTTTGGAAACTAAACCCGATGAAGAGACGAAAATTATCACTGAAGAAATGATTGACTTGAAACCAACAGATGAAATTCTCGAAGAACAAGCTCCAGAAGAAGAAATTCAACCTGACATTGAATCCGAAGTTGGAGTTGAAACAAAGAAGAAATTGGTTAAAAAATTAACAAAACCAAAAGAACCATCAGCTGATTTACATGAAGCTGAGGAAAAAGAAATTACCAAGGAAACTACAGTCACTGTGACCGAGGAAATCATCGAACTACCTGATGAAGAAGGTGAAAAATCCGAAGATGAAACTAAACCCGTTGAAGATAAACCGAAAAGAAAAAGTCATCAGACGAAAATCTAAACCAGATGTGAAGGAAGAAGAGAAACTAGAAAAACCTTCAGAAATGGCAGAGGAAGAAAAAGTTGTGGATAAATTGAAAGATGAAAAAAGACCATCAAAGAAAATCAAAAAAGATAAGAAACCTGAAGATGTAACAGACGAATTACAACCTGGAGTTGAAACTAAAAAAGTAACCGAAACATTTGAAAAAACTTCACCCGAAGAAACGACAGAACAACCTGGTGAAATTGAAAAAACCGAATCGGTTGATATTGAAATCACTACAGAAGAAATAACCAAAGAGAAAAAGAAAGGCGTTAGAAAAATAAAACCAAGACGACAAGAAGATATTGTGAAAGGTGAAACTAAACCTGATGATGAAGTTGTCGAAGAGGAAGATAAACCTGAAAAAGAAGAGGAGAATGTAATTGAAGGAAAAGACGAACCTATAAAACCTGAAGACGAAACCAAGCCTGAAATTGATGAACAATTGGTAGAAGAAAAACCAAAGAAAACAAAGAAATTGAAACCTAAAAAATCAACGGAAAAACCAGAAGATGAGGATAAAGTCATCACTGAAGAAGTGATTTCTATAAAGCCAACCGATGAAATTTTGGAAGAAAAAGCTCCAGAAGATGAAATTCAGCCTGACATCGAATCCGAAGTTGGCGTGGAAACCAAGAAAAAATTGGTTAAAAAATTAACGAAATCAAAAGAACCAACAGCTGAATTGCAGGATGCCGATGAAAAAGAAATAACCGAAGAAACTACAGTCATTGTGACTGAGGAAATCATCGAATTACCAGATGAAGAAGTTGAAAAACCAGAGGATGAAACGAAAACCGATGAAGATAAACCGAAAAAGAAGAAAAAAGTAAAGAAACAAATCACAGAACAAGTGATTGAAGTGATCGAAATCTATGAAGTAGTTGAATCAATTCCAACAGTTGAAATAATCGAAGGCAAGAAGAAAAAGGTTCATAAAATAAAGAAAATCAAAAAACCAGAAGCCATTGAACCGATTGAATATAAAGAAGAACCAGAAGATCAAGTGATTCTGGATTCAGAAGATAAACCAGAAAAAGTCATCCGAAAAATTAAAAAAGACAAAAAACCGAAGCCAGGTGATGAGTTGATACCCGAACAGCCAACTGATACCACTGAAACAACGGAAATCATTGAAACTGTTCAAGAAATATATACACCAGAAGGTAAAAAGAAAGTTGTCAAAAAAGTCAAAAAGACAAAGAAAACTGATGAAACCACTCCAATTACTGATAAAATTGAATTCGTTGAAGAAGATAAACCAGAAGAAATCACGGAATCAATAGAGGAGATTGAAACGCCAGAAGGCAAAAAGACTGTCCTCAAAAAGGTTAAAAAATCCAAAATCAAAGTTGAAGAGGAAGAAGAAATGAAACCAGAAGAAACAAAGACGAAAAAGCCGAGAAAATTAAAACCCAAAAATCCTACTGAGGACGATGAAAAAGCAATCACTGAAGAAATGATTGACTTGAAACCAACAGATGAAATTCTCGAAGAACAAGCTCCAGAAGACGAAATTCAGCCCTGCATTGAATCTGAAGTAGGTGTTGAAACCAAGAAAAAATTGGTTAAAAAATTAACGAAACCAAAAGAACCAACAACTGAATTGCAGGATTCCGATGAAAAAGAAATAACCGAGGAAACAACAGTCACTGTCACCGAGGAAATCATCGAACTACCAGATGAAGAAGGTGAAAAACCAAAAGATGAAACTAAACCAGATGAAGAAAAACCGAAAAAGAAAAAAGTCATCAGACGAAAATCCAAACCAGATGGTTTGGAAACTAAACCCGATGAAGAGACGAAAATCATCGCTGAAAAATTGATTGCCTTGAAACCGACAGATGAAATTCTCGAGGAACAAGCTCCAGAAGAAGAGATACAACCTGACATCGAATCCGAAGTCGGTGTTGAAACCAAGAAAAAATTGGTTAAAAAATTAACGAAAACAAAAGAACCAACAGCTGATTTACATGAAGCTGATGAAAAAGAAATAACCGAAGAAACAACAGTCACTGTCACCGAGGAAATCATCGAACTTGCAGATGAAGAAGTTGAAACTAAACCAGATAAAGATGAAGAAAAGCCTAAAAAGAAGAAAAAAGTAAAGAAACAAATCACAGAACAAGTGATTGAAGTGATCGAAATTTATGAAGTAGTTGAATCTATTCCAGCAATTGAACAAGTTGATGGCCAAAAGAAAAAGATTCATAAAATCAAGAAAATCAAAAAGCCTGAAGACCAACAACCGATCGAGTACAAAGAAGAACCAGAAGACCAGATAATTCTGGATTCAGAAGATAAACCAGAAAAAGTTATTCGTAAAGTCAAAAAGGACAAAAAACCAAAGAAAGTCCAACCAGATGAAGATGTGATTGAACCTGAACAACCCAGTGAAAAGGAAATCACTGAAACGGAGACCATTGAAACTGTTCAAGAAATCGACACACCAGAAGGTAAAAAGAAAATCGTCAAAAAAGTGAAAAAGACAAGGAAAACTGATGAAACCACACCAATCACCGATAAAATTGAACTCGTTGAAGAAGAAGATAAAGCAAGAAATCACCGAATCAATAGAAGAGATTGAAACACCAGACGGTAAAAAGACTGTTTTGAAAAAAGTCAAAAAATACAAAAAACCAAAAGAAAAACCACTTGATGAAGAATCAAATCCATCGATCGATTATGAAAAGCCGAACGAAGAAGAAATCAATGAAATGCCTGATGAATCAGAAATTATTGAAACAACCGAAGTCATCAAAACCATTGAGGAAACACCGGAAGGTGAAAAGAAAATTGTTAAAAAGATCAAAAAAGTCAAGAAACCGAAAATCACAGAAGAAAAAGTAAGTTTAAAACCTGATCAACAACAACCAATGGATGAAAAATCCCCCGAAGATGAGATTGGTCCAGAAGCTGAATCGACAATCGATACAGAAACAAAAAAGAAACCAAAACTGAAAGAATCGATCACTGAAGTTCCAGAAATAAGCGATAAAGAAGTTATTGAAGAAATTAAAACCGAAATATTCGAAGAAATCATTGAATTGCTCAAAGATGATGAGCAAAAACCAGAAGAAATTATTGAAACAATAGAAATGACACCTGAAGGTGAACAAAAAGTGATAAAAAAGATCAAAAAAGTAAAGAAACCAAAAGAGGATAAATTAGAAGACATGAAACCCGAAATCAAAGATACGAAACCAACTGAAGAAGATAAACCGATCCAGAAAGAAACAACTGAACCTGAAGAAAAGGAATTGATTGAAACGACAGAAGTTATCGAAATCATTGAGTACACACCTAAAGGTGAAAAGAAAATTGTCAAAAAGATCAAGAAAACAAAGAAACCAATAGAACAACCACTTGATGAATCTAAAATATCAATTGATTATGAAAAATTAATCGAGGAAAATAAACCGATTATCGAAGAGATTACTGAACAGATTGTTGAATCAGGAATGATTGAAACAACCGAAGTAATCGAAACCATTGAGGAAACACCTAATGGTGATACAAAGATTGACAAAAAGATCAAAAAGGTCAAGAAACCGAAGGCCGAAAAGCCAGAAGAGATTAAAACAGAAACTGATGAAATAAAAATTACAGAAGAAAAACCAACCCAAGAAGAAATTACTGATCAGCCTAGTGAGCCAGAATTGATCGAAACCATTGAAACAATCGAAATGACACCTGGTGAGAAAAAGATTCTCAAAAAGATCAAGAAAATAAAAAAATCGAAAGAACAACCACTTGATGAAGAATCGAAACCAGAAATCGGTTATGAAAAATCAATAGAGGAAGAGAAACCGATTATCGAAGATATTGAACAGCCTGTTGAATCAGAAATAATTGAAACAACGGAAGTAATCGAAACCATTGAGGAAACACCCGAAGGAGATAAAAAGATTATCAAAAAGATCAAAAAAGTCAAGAAACCCAAAATCACAGAAGAAATTAGTTTAAAACCTGATCAACAACAACCAATCGATGAAGAATCTCTCGAAGAAGAGATTCGTCCAAAAGATCAATCTGAAACCAAGAGAAAAATATTGAAGAAACCAAAACAAAAAGAATCGATCACCGAAGTTCAAGAAACGGGTGATAAAGAAGTGATTGAAGAAATCAAAACAGATTTCTTCGAAGAAATTATTGAATTGCCCAAAGATGAGGAACAAAAACCAGAAACAATTGAAACGACACCTGAAGGTGACAAAAAAATTGTGAAAAAGATCAAGAAGACAAAGAAACTGAAAGAGGAAAAACCAGAAGAAATGAAACCAGAAATCAAAGATACAAAACCAACTGAAGAAGAGAAACCGATCCAGGAAGATAGAACTGAACAACAACCAAAAGAAAAAGAAATGATTGAAACAACCGAAGTAATCGAGACAATCGAAATGACACCTGAAGGTGAGAAGAAAGTTGTCAAAAAGATCAAGAAAACAAAGAAGGCAAAAGAAGAGAAACCAGAAGATGAAAAGCCAGATGAAAAAGAGAAAGCAAAACTTGAAAAAATTATTGAACCTGGTAAACCAGAAATGATTGAAACAACTGAGATTATTGAAACTGTTGAAGAAACACCTGAAGGAGACAAGAAAATTAAAAAAGTCAAGAAGCCTAAAATTGAAGAAATTAAACCAACAGAAGATGAAAAGCCAATCATTAAAGAAATGACTGAAAAACATAACGAATCAGATATTGTGGAATCCACTGAAATAATTGAAACGATCATAGAAGACACATCAGGAGATGATAAGAAAGTTGTCAAAAAGACTAAAAAAATTAAAAAGCCAACAAAGACAACATCTGATGAAGAATTAGTGGAATTGATTGACATTTATGAAGTAGTTGAATCTATTCCAGCAATTGAACAAGTTGATGGTAAAAAGAAAAAGGTTCATAAAATAAAGAAAATCAAAAAACCAGAAGCCATTGAACCGATTGAATATAAAGAAGAACCAGAAGATCAAGTGATTCTGGATTCAGAAGATAAACCAGAAAAAGTCATCCGAAAAATTAAAAAAGACAAAAAACCGAAGCCAGGTGATGAGTTGATACCCGAACAGCCAACTGATACCACTGAAACAACGGAAATCATTGAAACTGTTCAAGAAATATATACACCAGAAGGTAAAAAGAAAGTTGTCAAAAAGTCAAAAGACAAAGAAAACCGAAGATACAAAACCAACTGAAGATGAAAAATCTGTTGAAAAGGAAGATGAACCAGAAGTTGTCGAAACGATCGAAGAGATTGAAACACCAGAAGGTAAAAAGACTGTGCTGAAAAAAGTTAAGAAATCCAAAAAACCAAAAGAAGAAAAACCAATTCAAGAAGAAATCACTGAACAACCTGAAGAAACAGAAATGATCGAAACTACCGAAGTTATCGAAACCATCGAGGAAACACCAGTCGGTGAAAAGAAAATTGTGAAAAGATAAAGAAGATAAAGAAACCAAAAGAACAACCCCTCGATGAAAAATCGAAACCAGAAATCGATTATGAGAAACCCATTGAGAAAGAAGAACCAACACCTGAATTGATTGAAACCACTGAAGTCATTGAAACTATTGAAGAGACACCTGATGGTGAGAGGAAAATTGTCAAAAAGATTAGAAAAGCCAAAAAACCAAAAGTAACAGAAGAAACAGTCAGTTTGAAACCAACTGATGAACCGATAATGGAAGAATCTCTTGAAGATGAAATCAGGCCCCAAGATGAATCGAAAATTGAATCAGACACCAAGAGAAAAATATTAAAGAAACCAAAACGAAAAGAATCGATCAGCGAAATTCCTGAAACTAACGAAAAGCAAGTGACTGAAGAAATCAAAACCGAAATATTTGAAGAAATCATTGAATTGCCTGAAGATGAAGGGCAAAAGGCAGAAGTTGTTGAAACGACACCTGAAGATGAGAAGAAAGTTGTCAAGAAGGTCAAAAAACTTAAGAAATCTGATGACAAAAAACAGGAAGAAATAAAACCAGATGAAGATATCAGCAAAACAGAAACAACAGAATCCGAGCCAATACCAGAACATGCAGACGAGAAATTGAAGATTTTCGATGAAACAGATATAATCGAAGAAATTGAAACAACCACAGAACCGGATGGCAAAAAGAAAGCTACGAAACGAAAACAAAGAAACCAAAAAAACATTCAGAAGAGGAAACAATTTCTGAAGAGAAACTCGATGAACCAATAGAACCAAAAGAACATGATGATATTGTTGAAACAATTGAAATGATTGAAATATACGATGTAGTGGAATTTACTCCAGACATAGAAATTATCGATGATAGTAAACAGAAAAAAGTACAAAAAATCAAAAAGATTAAAAAGCCAAAACACAAAGAACCAATCGATTACGAAGAAGAACCAGAAGATCAGGTGATTCTTGATGCAGAAGATAAACCAGAAAAAGTCATTCGAAAAATGAAAAAAGATAAAAAACCAAAAGATCAGCGAATTGAATCAGAAGAAATATTAGATGAACCAAAGACTGAAGAAATCATTGAAACTGTAGTGGAAATCGTTACACCAGAAGGCAAGAAAAAAGTTGTTAAAAAGTTGAAGAAAATCGAGAAAACTGATGAAATGAAACCAAAGGAAGAAGAAGAAAAAGCTCTGAAGAATCAACAGAAATGATCGAAGAAATTGAAACACCAGAAGGTAAACAAACCATATTGAAAAAAGTAAAGAAAATCAAAAAGATTAAAAAGGAAAAACCAAGTGAAGAACAAACAAAACCAGAAATTGAAGAAAAACTGATTCTTGAAAATATTGTTGAAGAGCAGCCTGATGAACCCGAAGTGATTGAAACAACCGAAGCCATTGAAACTATTGAAGATACACCAGAAGGTGAGAAGAAAATTGTCAAAAAGGTTAAAAAAGTCAAAAAACCAAAAGTCATCGAAGAAATGATTGGTTTGAAACTTTCTGATGAACCAACAATTGAAGAAATACCAGAAGAAAAGATTCAAAATCCAAACCGGATGAACAATCGATAATTGAATTGATTGAAATCTATGAAGTAATGGAATTAACATCAGATGTAAAAAATGTTGAAGGCAAGAAGAAAAAGGTACACAAAATCAAGAAAATCAAAAAGCCTGAAGATCAACAACCGATCGAGTACAAAGAAGAACCAGAGGATCAAATCATACTTGATCAGTATGACAAACCTGAAAAAGTTATTCGTAAAGTCAAAAAGGACAAAAAACCAAAAGAAGAGCCAGATGAAGAAGTTATACCTGAACAGCCCAATGAAAGTGAAATAAATGAAACAACGGAAATCATTGAAACTGTTCAAGAAATCGACACACCAGAAGGTAAAAAGAAAGTTGTCAAAAAAGTGAAAAAGACAAAGAAAACTGAAGAGATACAAGCAAAAACGGATGAAAAACCAATTGATAAAACAGACGAAGTGATGGAATCGATAGAAGAGATTGAAACACCTGAAGGTAAAAAGACAGTATTGAAAAAAGTGAAAAAATCAAAGAAACCAAAAGAAGAAAAGCCATTCGACCGAAAAATTAAAACAAGAAATCGAGTTTGAAAAATCTATAATGCAAGATGAACCTAAAATGGAAGAATCTGTTGAACAACCAGGCGAAGAAAAAATGATCGAAACTACTGAAGAAACACCTGATGAAGGACAGAAAATAGTTAAAAAAATAAAGAAAGTGAAAAAACCAAAAGCGTCAGAAGAAACAATCAGTCTGAAACCATCTGAAGAACCACTCACGGAAGAAGTTCCTGAAGAAGAGATTCGACTAGAAGATGAATCGAAAATCGATACAGAAACAAAGAAGAAAATAATAAAGAAACCCAAACAAAAAGAATCGATCACCGAAATTCCGGAAACAAGCGATAAAGAAGTAATTGAAGAAATCAAAACTGAAGTCTTCGAAGAAATCATTGAATTGCCCAGAGATGATGAAGAAAAACCAAAAGGAATTATTGAATCAATCGAAATAACACCCGAAGGTGACAAGAAAATTGTGAAAAAGATCAAGAAGACAAAGAAACCGAAAGAGGAAAAACCAGAAGAAATGAAACCCGAAATCAAAGATACGAAACCAACTGAAGAAGAGGTTACTGAACAGCCTGTTGAAACAGAAATGATTGAAACAACCAAAATAGTCGAGATGATCGAAATGACACCTGAAGGTGAGAAGAAAGTTGTCAAAAAGATCAACAAAATAAAAAAACCGAGAGAACAACCAGAAATCGATTATGAAAAACAAACCAAACCTGAAGAAATGATTGAAACCATCGAAGTTATCGAAACCATTGAGGAAACACCAGAAGGTGATAAAAAGATTGCCAAAAAAATCAAAAAAGTAAAGAGACCAAAGGAAGAAAAGCCTGTTGAAGAAGAATCGGAATCTCAAATCGAAACTAAAGAAACAACAGAAAAACAGAAAACAATTTCTGAAGAAATCACTGAACCAAAAGAAACAGAAATGATTGAAACCACAGAAGTTATCGAAACCATTGAGGAAACACCTGATGGTGATAAAAAGATTGTCAAAAAAATCAAAAAAGTAAAGAAGCCGAAATCAGAAAAGCCAGAAGAGATTAAACCAGAAACTGATGAACTAAAAACAACCGAAGATGAAAAACCAACCCAAGAAGAAATTACTGATCATCCTAGTGAGCCAGAATTGATCGAAACGATTGAAGAGACAATCGATGATGGAAAGAAAATTGTCAAAAAGATCAAAAAAGCCAAGAAACCGAAAATCACAGAAGAAATTAGTTTAAAACCTGATCAACAACAACCAATGGATGAAAAATCTCTCGAAGAAGAGATTCGTCCAGAAGATGAATCGACAATCGATACAGAAACAAAAAAGAAAATATTAAAGAAACCAAAACTAAAAGAATCGATCACCGAAGTTCCAGAAACAAGCGATAAAGAAGTGATTGAAGAAATCAAAACCGAAATCTTCGAAGAAATCATTGAATTGCCTATAGATGATGAAGAAAAACCAGAAGAAATTGTGGAAACAATCAAAGTAACACCCGAAGGTGAACAAAAAGTGATAAAAAAGATCAAAAAAGTAAAGAAACCAAAAGATGGTAAAACCAGAAGAAATGAAACCAAGAAATCAAAGATACGAAACAAACTGAAGAAGAAAAACAATTTCAGAAGAAAAAGAAACAAAAAGAACAAATGATTGAAACAAAGAAGTAATCGATTGAAATGACACCTGAAGTTATCAAGAAACAAAGAAACCAAAAGAAATTACACCTGAAGGTGAATCGAAACCAAAATTGCCAATAAAAAGAAGAAACCGATTATCGAAAGAAACCAAAAGAACAACCACTTGATGAAAACACCTGAAGGTGAAGTCGTCAAAAAGATCAAAAAAGTAAAGAGGCCAAAGGAAGAAAAACCCATTGATGAACCAACTGAAGTCGTCGAATTAATTGACATTTATGAAGTTGTCGAATCAATTCCAACAGTTGAACATGTTGATGGGAAAAAGCGAAAGGTCCACAAAATAAAGAAAATCAAAAAGCCTAAAGATCAGCAACCGATTGAATATGAAGAAAAACCAGATGATCAGGTAATTTTGGATTCAGAAGACAAACCAGAAAAAGTAATACGCAAAATTAAAAAGGACAGAAAACGTAAAGATGAGTCAAAACCAGAAAAAGAAGAAATGTCGGAACAACTGACAGAAACCGATCAATCTGAAACAACAGAAATCATTGAAACGATCCAAGAAATTGAAACTCCAGAAGGCAAGAAAAAACTTGTTAAAAAAGTGAAAAAGACTAAGAAGATAAAAGAAACACCAAAGGATGATGGAAAAGTCGTTGGAGTAGAAGATAAACCAGACGAAGTTGTTGAAACCATCGAAGAGATTGAAACTCCAGAAGGCAAAAAGACTGTGTTGAAAAAAGTGAAGAAATCAAAAAAACCAACGGAAGAAAAGCCTTTGGATGAAGAATCAAAACCAGAAATCGATTATGAAAAATCAATCGAAGAGAAACCCATTCTCGAAGAGTTTACGGAACATCCTGATGAATCAGAAATAATTGAAACAAGCCAAGTCATCGAAACCATTGAGGAAACACCTGAAGGTGATAAAAAGATTGTCAAAAAGATCAAGAAAATAAAGAAACCGAAAGTTACTGATGAACCAGAAATAAAAGAATCTCATGAAGATGAGATCCAACCAGAAGATGAATCTAAAATCGAAACAAAAGAAAATATTGAAAAGACCAAAACAAAAAGAATCGGTAACAGAAATTCCAGAAACAGGTGATAAAGAAGTAACGGAAGAAATCCAAACCGAAATCTTTGAAGAAATCATCGAATTGCATGAAGATGAACAAAAATCAGAAGAATTTATTGAAACAATTGAAATGACACCTGAAGGTGAACAAAAAGTTGTCAAAAAAATAAAGAAGACAAAGAAACCGAGAGCAGAAAAGTCAGAAGATATCAAACCAGAAAACGTATATGAAAAACGAATCCAAGAAATTACTGATCAGTCTAGTGAGCCAGAATTGACCGAAATCATCGAAACGATTGAAAAAACGCTTGATGATGGAAAAAAAATAGTTAAAAAGATTAAAAAGGTAAAGAAATTGAAAGAACAACCACTCGATGATGAATCAAAGCCAGAAATGGAGTTGGAAAAAAAGTTGTTCCAGAAACAGGTGTTGAAGAAGTGACTGAAGAAATTAAAACTGATATATTCGAAGAAATAATTGAATTGCCTGATGATAAAAAGAAATTGGTCAGAAAAAAGAAACCAAAACAAACTGAACCTGAAAAACCAATTGAGGAAAAAGATGATATGCCTGGTCGTGATGAGATCAGTGATGAACAACCAACCGACGACAAACCAATTGAAGAAAAGCCAATATTAGACGAGCAACAACTTCAAAAAAAACAAAAGAAAAAATCGGTGCGTATCAAATCCACCCCCGAAATAATAAATGAAAAAGATTTAGGAAAATCTCCAGTGGAAACAATTTTAGATGAATTAAAAGATTCGGAAAAACTAGATGAAACTACTGATAAACAAATCGAAACACTAGTTCAGCCACAATCTGAAGAAGAAAAACCTAGAAAACCAAAAAAATTGAAACACAAAAAACCTACTGAGGATGAAGAAAAAGCAATCACTGAAGAAATGATTGCCTTGAAACCAACAGATGAAATTTTGGAAGAAAAAGCTCCAGAAGATGAAATTCAACCTGACATTGAATCCGAAGTTGGAGTTGAAACAAAGAAGAAATTGGTTAAAAAATTAACGAAACCAAAAGAACCAACAGCTGATTTACAGGAAGAACCTGAACAAAAAGAAATTACAGAAGAAACGACAGTCATTGTGACTGAGGAAATCATCGAAATTCCTGATGAAGATTTTGAAAAACCCGAAGATGAAACGAAACAAGATGAAGAAAAGCCAAAAAAGAAGAAAAAAGTAAAGAAACAAATAACAGAACAAGTTATTGAAGTGATCGAAATTTATGAAGTTATTGATTCGATTCCAACAGTTGAAATAATCGAAGGCAAGAAGAAAAAGGTGCACAAAATCAAGAAAATCAAAAAGCCTGAAGACCAACAACCGATCGAGTACAAAGAAGAACCAGAAGACCAGATAATTTTGGATGCAGAAGATAGACCAGAAAAGATTATCCGAAAAGTCAAAAAAGACAAAAAACAAAAAGAAGAGCCAAATGAAGAAGTTATACCAGAACAGCCCAGTGAAAGTGAAATCACTGAAACAACGGAGATCATTGAAACTGTTCAAGAAATCGACACACCAGAAGGTAAAAAGAAAACCGTCAAAAAGTGTCAAAAAGACAAAGAAAACTGATGAACCACACCAATCACTGATAAAATTGAACTCGTTGAAGAAGAAGATAAACCAGAAGAAATCACCGAATCAATAGAAGAGATTGAAACACCAGAAGGCAAAAAGACTGTCCTCAAAAAGGTTAAGAAATCCAAAATCAAAGTTGAAGAAGAAGAAGAAATGAAACCAGAAGAAGAAACAAAGACGAAAAAGCCGAAAAAATTAAAACTCAAAAAACCTACTGAGGATGATGAAAAAGAAACCACTGAAAAAATGATTGCCTTGAAACCATCAGATGAAATTTTGGAAGAAAAAGCTCCGGAAGATGAAATTCAGCCGGACATTGAATCCGAAGTTGGAGTTGAAACCAAGAAAAAATTGGTTAAAAAATTAACGAAACCAAAAGAACCAACAACTGATTTACAAGATGAACCTGAACAAAAAGAAATAACCGAGGAAACTACAGTCATTGTGACTGAGGAAATCATCGAATTACCAGATGAAGTCGAAAAACCAGAAGATGAAACTAAACCAGATGAAGAAAAAGTCAAAAGAAAATCTAAGAAATGTGATGGAAGAAGAGAGATCGTAAACAAGTGATTGAAGAGGAAGAAAAAATTTATGGAAATTGATTGATGAAAAATTCCAACAAGAAAATCAAAAAATAAGAAACCTGAAGATGCATCAGAAGAATTAAACCTGAAGTGAAACAAAAATCAAGAAAAATCACCTGAAAAGCCTGAAGATCTGGTGAAATTGAAAAACCGATCGACATTGAAAAAGAAAGAACCAGAAGACCACAATAATTCTTGATGCTAAAACTGGAGAGAAGTCGAAGAGGAAGATAAACCAGCATGAAATTGAAAAGTTATGAAGACAGAAACCAAGAAAGTGAAATTGGTAGAAGAAAAACCAAAGAAAGAAAGAAAAATCAACGGAAGAAGATGAGGATAAAATACTGAAGAACTATAAAAGCCAACCGATGAAAGTGAAACAACGGAAATGAAATTCAGCCGGACAAACTGAAACCAAGAGAAAAAGTTAAAAATTAACAAAACCAAAACACCAGAAGCTGAAAAGAAAGTTGTCAAAAAGTGAAAAAGAAAAACAAAACACTGACTGAAGCCACACCAATCACAGTTGATAAAAGAAAGCCAAAAAAGAAAAAATTGAACTCGAAGAAGAAGATAAACCAGAAGAAATCACCGAATCAATAGAAGAAATTGAAACACCAGAAGAAAAGGCTCCAGAAAAAGACTGTAATCAAAAAGGTGGTGAAAAAGACTAAACCAAAAAATCAAAATTGCAAGATGCCGAAGAAGAAATGAAAGAAGACAGTCATTGTGACTGAAGAAAACGAAAACCTGATGAAAGCAAAACCAGAAAACTGAAAAAGTTGAAAAACTTCAAAGAAAAAAGTCATCAGACGAAAACTGAGGACCCGAAGATGATGAAAAATCAATCACTGAAGAATTGATTGCCTTGAAACCGACAGATGAAATTCTCGAGGAACAAGCACCAGAAGAAGAAATTCAACCAGACATTGAATCCGGAGTTGAAGTTGATACCAAGAAAAAATTGGTTAAAAAATTAACGAAACCAAAAGAACCAACAGCTGATTTACATGAAGCTGATGAAAAAGAAATAACCGAAGAAACGACAGTCACTGTGACTGAAGAAATCATCGAACTACCAGATGAAGATGTTGAAACGAAAAACCAGAAGATGATGAAAAGAAAGATGAAAAAAAGCCAGAGAAGAAAAAGAAAAAGTAAAGAAACAAATCATAGAACAAGTGATTGAAGTGATAGAAATCTACGAGGTTGTCGAATATGTTTGCGAAATTGAGATCGCTGGTGACAAAAAGAAAAAAGTGCACAAAATCAAGAAAATCAAAAAGCCTGAAGACCAACAACCGATCGAGTACAAAGAAGAACCAGATGATCAAATCATACTCGATCAATATGACAAACCAGAAAAAGTCATCCGAAAAGTTAAAAAAGATAAAATACCAAAAGAGAAGCCAGATGAAGAAGTTATACCAGAACAGCCCAGTGAAAGTGAAACAACGGAAATCATTGAAACTGTTCAAGAAATCGACACACCAGAAGGTAAAAAGAAAGTTGTCAAAAAAGTCAAAAAGACAAAGAAAACTGAAGAGATGAAACCAATGGAAGATGAAAAATCTGTTGAAAAAGAAGATGAACCAGAAGTTGTCGAAACGATCGAAGAGATTGAAACACCAGAAGGTAAAAAGACTGTCCTCAAAAAGGTTAAAAAATCCAAAATCAAAATTGAAGAAAAAGAAGAAATGAAACCAGAAGAAAAAGACGAAATGCACGAAGAAGAAACAAAATCTAAAAAACCGAAAAAATTGAAACCTAGAAAACAATCATCAGACCAGGAAAAAATTATTACTGAAGAAATGGTTTCTATAAAACCAACGGATGAATTTCTTGAAGAACAAATCCCTGAAGAAGAAATTCAACCGGACATTGAATCCGAAGTTGGCGTCGAAATCAAGAAAAAATTGGTGAAAAAATTGACTAAACTAAAAGTACCAACAGCTGATTTACATGAAGCTGAGGAAAAAGAAATAACAGAAGAAACTACAGTCACAGTGACAGAGGAGATTATCGAACTTCCGAGTGAAAAAGATGAAACCAAACCAAGTGATGAAAAAGAAGAACCAAAAAAGAAGAAAATCATTCGAAGAAAATCTAAACCTGATGTCACAGAAGAGAAGAAAGGAACAGAAAAACAACCTTTAGATGAAGAATCAAAAATAAAAGATCAAACCGAAGAAAAGCTTGGACAGCTTTTGGAAGAAACACAACCAGAATCCCTAAATAAACCAAAGAAAAGTAAAAAAGTTATACGGCGAAAATCAAAATCATCTGAAGTATTGGAATCTGAAGAAAAGAAACCCGATGAAAAAGAATCAGAGAAGATTACAGATTTAGAGAAAGATGAAATAGTTGAACAATTGATTGATGAAATCACAGAGATTTACGAAATTGTTGAGTTGATTTCTGAAGTTGATATTGTTGATGGTAAAAAGAAAAAGGTTCACAAAATTAAAAAAATCTTGAAGCCAGAAGATAAAGAATCGATTGTATATTATGAAGAAACAGATGATGTAGTGATTTTCGATAAGAATGATGAACCAGAAAAAGTTATTCGTAAATCTAAAAAAGGCAAAAAACCAAAATTAATATATGAACCAAAAGAGACACTTACCGAGAAAGCTGAAATTATTGAAGAATCAATCGATGAAGAATCAAAATCAAAACCAACAATTGATTTTGATAAACCAAGCGAAGAAGAAATATCGAATCCCGAAGAAGAAATTATCGAACGCCGCCAGGGTGCAGCAGAAATAATTGAAACGATTGTAGTGACATCTGAAGGTGAGGAAAAAATTGTCAAAAAAATTAAAAAAGTGAAAAAACCAAAAATCACAATGGAAGAAATAAGCTTGAAACCTTCTGATGAATCAATTAAGACAGAAATTCCTGAAGAATTGATTCAACCAGAAGATCAATCAAAAATTGACACTGAAACCAAGACAAAAATAGTTAAGAAAGCCAAACAAAAAGAATCGGTAACAGAAATTCCGCTGGCAGGCGCTAAACAAGTAACGGAAGAAATCCAAACCGAAATCTTTGAAGAAATCATCGAATTGCCAGAAGATGATGAGCAAAAACCAGAAGAAATTATTGAAACAATTGAAATGACACCTGAAGGTGAACAAAAAGTTGTCAAAAAAATAAAGAAGACAAAGAAACCGAAAGCAGAAAAACCGACCGAATCGATTGAATTGTTTGAAATCTACGAAGTAGTTGAATTATTCCCAATTGTTGAAATGGTCCAAGGCAAGAAAGAAGAAAAGTGCAAAATTGTTGAAATGGTCCAAGGAAGAAAAAAAGTGCAACGAATCAAGAAAATCAAAACCAAAGAAAAGCAATCACCAATTGAATACGAGATTAGTGAAGAAAAGAAGCCATTTGAAGAAATTAGGATCAAGTGATTTTGGATTCAGAAGATAAACCAGAAAAAGTCATCCGAAAAGTCAAAAAAGGCAAAAAACCTGAAGAAGAGTCGAAACCAGAAAAGGAACAACCGACTGAAATTGAAATGATTGAAACGACAGAATTGATTGAAACAATAGAAGAAATTGTCAAAAAGACAAGAAGAAAGAAAGGAAAGAAAAACTTGATGAAGAATCGAAACCAGAAAAACCAAAGAGGAGAAAAATCGAAGAGAAGAATCAGAAATGATTGAAACGATCGAATTGAGACGAGAAAAACAATTGGAGTTGAAAAATCAATTGAAACCGAAAGTGATTCGAAACCAGAAAAACCAGAAATGATTGAAACATCCGAAATAATCGAAACAATTGAAGAGACACCAGATGGTGGCAAAAAAGTTGTCAAAAAGATTAAAAAAGTCAAAAAACCAAAACTGACAGACGAAGCAATCACTCTGAAACCATCTGATGAACCAATCACGGAAGAAGTTCCTGAAGAAGAAATCCGGCCAGAAGAAGAATCGAAAATCGATGCAGAAACAAAGAAGAAAATATTAAAGAAACCCAAACGAAAAGAATCGATCACCGAAATTCCAGCAACAGGTGATGATGAAATTACCGAAGAAATCAAAACCGAAGTATTTGAAGAAATTATTGAATTGCCTGAAGAGATTATGGAAACAATCGAAACGACATCTGATGGCGAAAAGAAAGTAATTAAAAAGATGAAAAAATTAAAAAGCCAAAAGAGGAGAAACCAGAAGAATTAATCGAATTGATTGACATCTTCGAGGTGATTGAATCCATACCAACGGTTGAAATAGTCGAAGGTAAGAAGAAAAAGGTGCACAAAATTAAGAAAATTAAAAAGCCTGAAGACCAACAACCGATCGAGTACAAAGAAGAACCAGAAGACCAAATAATTCTGGATTCAGAAGATAAACCAGAAAAAGTTATTCGTAAAGTCAAAAAGGACAAAAAACCAAAGAAAGTCCAACCAGATGAAGATGTGATTGAACCTGAACAACCCAGTGAAAGTGAAATCACCGAAACAATGGAAATAATTGAGACTGTTCAAGAAATCTATACGCCAGAAGGCAAAAAGAAAGTTGTCAAAAAAGTGAAAAAGACAAGGAAAACTGACGAAATGAAGCCAACGGAAGATGAAAAACAAATTGATAAACCAGACGAAGTTGTGGAATCGATAGAAGAGATTGAAACACCAGAAGGTAAAAAGACTGTGTTGAAAAAAATGAAAAAATCCAAAAAACCAACAAAAGAACAGCCAATCGGCGAAGAATTTAAGCCAGAAGTTGAGTTTGTTATGCCAATCAAAGAAGAGAAAACAAAATCTGAAGAAATCATTGAACAACCTGGTGAACCAGAAATGATCGAAACAACTGAGATTATTGAAACTGTTGAAGAAACACCTGAAGGTGACAAGATAATTGTAAAAAAGATTAAAAAAGTCAAGAAGCCTAAAGAGGAAATATCTATGAAAGAAGAATTAAAATCTGAAATTGAAGAAATTAAACCAACAGAAGATGAAAAACCAATCATTGAAGAAATGACTGAAATAATCGAAACGATCATAGAAGACACACCAGGAGATGATAAGAAAGTTGTCAAAAAGACTAAAAAAATTAAAAAGCCAACAAAGACAACACCTGATGAAGAATTAGTGGAATTGATTGACATTTATGAAGTTGTTGAATTAATTCCAGCAATTGAACAGGTTGATGGTAAAAAGAAAAAGATTCATAAAATCAAGAAAATCAAAAAACCAGAAGCCATTGAACCGATTGAATATAAAGAAGAACCAGACGATCAAGTGATTCTGGATTCAGAAGATAAACCAGAAAAAGTCATCCGAAAAATTAAAAAAGACAAAAAACCAAAACCAGATGATGAGTTGATACCCGAACAACCAAGTGAAACTGAGATAAATGAAACAACGGAAATCGTTGAAACAATCCAAGAGATCGAAACACCCGAAGGCAAGAAAAAGATTGTCAAAAAAGTAAAGAAAATAAAGAAAACTGAAGAAACAATACCAACAGGTGATGAAACAAAGCCTGTTGAAGAAGAAAAATCCGAACAAATAATTGAAACAATCGAGGAAATTGAAACACCAGAAGGCAGAAAGACTGTTCTGAAAAAAGTTAAGAAATCCAAAAAACCAACGGAAGAAATAATTGAACCAGAATTATTAACAAAAAATTGATGAAATGGAAGAAAAACTTGTTCCTGATGAAGTAACAACCATTGAACAGCAGCCAGATGACAATGATAAAACTGAAACCATCGATATAACTACTACCGAAGATATTATCGAAAAGAAAAAGAAAGGCATCAAAAAAATGAAACCAAAACATTTGGATGATGATCAAACTGAACCAGAAGATGGTTCAATACAACGACGACCTGTTGACGAAACAATCGAGCAATCAGCTGATCAGGATCAACAGGTTGATGAAACAGAAAAATCTAAGAAACCATTATCGAAAAAGAAAATAATTTGTAGAAAATCTAAACCCGATGAATCATCATCATCAACAACATTATTAATGACAACACCATTGGAAATTATAACCGATCAAATAAAAGATGAACAGACTGAAATTCCCGTACCGGAAACATTAGAATTTCCAATGGAAACTACAACAATGGATGAAAATCATTCAATTACATATGCTACTGAAGAAATTGATGTGCCAAAAAGAAAAAATTACGAAAAATTAAACCATCATCAAATGATCAAAAAAGTAAAGAATCTAGTGATGATAAAATGCCAAAAATTGATGATGGCGATGATGAAATTGGCAAACATCCAGATATTACAATTGAATCAATTGAAGTTATGATCGACAGCAGCGATCATTATGATGATGATGATGATGACAAAACAATTCAAGATGGCATTCTTGGTGAACAAAAACCAAGTGAAGAAAATATCAAAAACAAAGGAAAAATTATCACAAAGAAAATCATTAAAAAGACAAAAAAGAAGCCAAAAGAATTTGCTGCTGCTGCTGCTGCTGCCACTACTGAACCAGATGAAGAAAAATTGGTCAAGGATGAAATAACTTCAATGACAATGGTTGGCATGCAACCAACTGATGATAAAGCTAAACCGAATGAAGACGAACAACAACAACAACAGCAGCCTGATGAGGAAATAATTGAAGCCAAATCTGACGATCAAACAAAAACATTTAAAGTTGATGATGATGATGATGATAATGTGGATGATTCCAGACAGAAATCGAAAAAGAAGAAACGAATAATTCGAAGAAAATCTAAACCGGAAATAGAACCGGAACAATTACCAAAATCTTTATGAAGATGATGATGATGATGATAATGTTGATGAAGACAACAAACCAAAAATCATCAAAGACAAAGATGATAAAAAAATCGATATGATACAAATTTTGGAAAAACCAAACGACAATGAAACATCAACAACAACAACAACAACAGCCACAAAACAAGGTAGTGTAATTTTGTTTTGTTTTTTTTTCATTTAGGAAATTATTTTGGCTTTCAATAGTAAAAATAATGGAAAATCAACAACAGCAAAAGAAAAAAAAAATTCATCACAGTCAAATATTCAATTTTTTTTCGCTGCCATTGATTTTTGCTTTTTCATATATAAATTTTTATTTATTGTCATCTGAAAATGTTGTTGTTTATGCGCAAAAAAAAAAGAAAAATGGAAAACGCTTTTTTTGAAAGCAACCAGTGTGTTTTTAAATCCGGTATTTATGAAATTATGAAAATTTTTTTTATTAAAAATTCGTTCAATTTTTTTCTATATTTTTTTAATCATTTTTTATCTTGTTTCTTTTTTTTCACACCCGTCCGTTCACTATTTAAAAACCAATCTCGGTCATTTTCATTTTATGAAAAAAAAACTTATGAATTATGTGTGTGGTTGAGAGTGTTGATATGCTTGATTAGTAGACACGTTGCTAACATCCGCTTTTTTTTTGGTTTTTTTCCAACAGAACTTCAACAACAAACTATTGTCGTTGGCGAACAAGAAGAAGAGATTCCAGTACAATTCATAACGATTGAACCAGAGATGATGGTGATGGAAGAAGAAAAAGTAAAACAGCAGAAAGTTGGAAAGAAAATCAAAAAATCGAAACAACCAAAAGAAGAAGAATCGAAACCTTTGGAAGAAGAAACACCAGGTATAGGAATTTGAATTTTGATGAAATTTTTTTCTGAATTTTTTTTTTGCAGCTTCATTCATATCACCAAATGAATTACGAATATCACCAATTGAAGATGAAAAACTTGAATCCGTACAGCCATTATTATATGAAGCTGAATGTAAAGATTTAAAATCAATCATATTGAATGAATGTTGTTTTGCTGAACCATTTAATCGAAAATCAACAACAACAACAATCAGTACGGTGCCAGAGAAAATAACCGAACAAACAGTGTATGATATAACGTTTGAAAATTTTACAAAAGTTTTGAAAAAAATCGATGGTGATGATGGTGATGATGGAAAGCAGCCAGATAAACAACAAGAAAAACAACCAGAATCAGCTGAAGAAAAACCAAAAGAAATATCCATCAAATTGAATCTTGTAACACCAGTGATTGCATTTGATAAAACCAAGGATTACATAATTCCATTAGAATTGTCTGGTGAACAATTGTCCAGATTTGAACAGCATATGATTGATGATCATAATATTGATCAATCATTATTGGATGAAATGAAACAATCCACGTGTCCAATTGAATGTCGTACGAATATCAAATTACAACTGAGTCAATGTTATGCAACCGTTACGGAAACACCGTTATATGAAACATATCAAATGTTGGAAGAATTTACAGCGGATGATGAATTTGAAAAGATCGATAAACCATCAACAATTGAAGAACATCGTGAAACACAATCTGTAATAACGGAAGAAACATTTGTATTTGAAACATGTAAACCATTCAAAATTCCAGATGAATTATGTCAAGCCACTGAAGTATTCGATGATGATCTAACCAAACCGGAAACCAAAGAAGATGAAGAAAAACAACCGACAAAGAAAAAAGTGAAAAAACCTAAAAAAGATAAACGTGAACCATCGATAACCATTGAAGAGATCAATGTTACATCACAAGATGAAGATCAAAACGAACAGCAACCAATGAAAAAACCAATGAAACCAGTTGTATCATTGTTTCAAGAGGAACGTGATATAAAAATTCAGATTGAATTGGATGATTTAGAAATCAAAGATTTCACTGAAGGTGATGATGATGATTTATCACGATTGGATATGTCGGGAAAAATTGAATTAATCAGTGAAGATGATGATCAACTAAAATCATTGGGTGAAGAATTGGAATCACTGGGCGAGGAATTGATCGAAGATCAACCAACGGAAACGACAAAAATTAAAAAATCAAAGAAAATGAAAAAAGTTTTAAGACGAAAATCAACACTCGATGATGATGAAGAAAAGCCGAAATTTGTTACCACTGAAGATTTGATTGAATTAAAACCAACGGATGATTTACCATTACAAGAAGAAAAGCAGACAACGATTGAAGATGAAATTCATCCAGATATTGAATCTGAAATTGATGTTGAAACAAAAAAGAAAGTGATAAAGAAAATGAAACCAAAAGAACAATTTGTTACCGAATTAGATGGATTTGATCAAAAAGAAGTGACAGAAGAGGTGAAAACAGAAATTTTTGAAGAAATTATTGAATTGCCATCGGATGAACAGCCAGAAAAACGGGAAGATGATGAAAAGCCTATTGATGATGATAGGCCACACGATGAAAAAGAAAAACCGAAAAAGAAAAAAGTCATCAGACGAAAATCCAAACCAGATGCATTGGAAACTAAACCAACCGATGAAGAGACGAAAATCATCACTGAAGAATTGATTGCCTTGAAACCAACCGATGAAATTCTCGAGGAACAAGCTCCTGAAGAAGAGATACAACCTGATATTGAATCCGAAGTTGGCGTTGAAACCAAGAAAAAATTGGTTAAAAAATTAACAAAACCAAAAGAACCAACAGCTGATTTACATGAAGCTGAGGAAAAAGAAATAACCGAAGAAACTATAGTCACTGTGACTGAGGAAATCATCGAATTTCCCGATGAAAAGCAAAAACCAGAGGAAGAAATTCCAGAAGAGAAACCCGAAGAAGGTAAACCAAAAAAACCTTCAAAGAAAAAAGTCATCAGACGAAAATCTAAACAAGATGCTTTGGAAGCTAAACCCGAAGAGGAGACAAAAGTCACAACAGAAGAAGTGATTGCCTTGAAACCAACCGATGAAATTCTTGAGGAACAAGCTCCTGAAGAAGAGATACAACCTGACATCGAATCCGAAGTTGGAGTTGAAACAAAGAAAAAATTGGTTAAAAAATTAACGAAACCAAAAGAACCAACAGCTGAATTGCAGGATGCCGATGAAAAAGAAATAACCGAAGAAACGACAGTCACTGTGACTGAAGAAATCATCGAACTACCAGATGAAGATGCTGAAACTAAACCAGATAAAGATGAAGAAAAGCCAAAAAAGAAGAAAAAAGTAAAGAAACAAATCACAGAGCAAGTGATTGAAGTGATTGAAATCTATGAAGTTGTTGAATCAATTCCAACAGTTGAAATAATCGAAGGCAAGAAGAAAAAGGTGCACAAAATCAAAAAAATCAAAAAGCCTGAAGATCAACAACCGATCGAGTATAAAGAAGAACCAGAAGATCAAGTGATTCTGGATGCAGAAGATAAACCAGAAAAGGTTATCCGAAAAGTCAAAAAAGACAAAAAACCTAAAGAAGAGAAAGATGAAGAAGTTATACCTGAACAGCCCAGTGAAAGTGAAACAACGGAAATCATTGAAACTGTTCAAGAAATCGATACACCAGAAGGTAAAAAGAAAGTTGTCAAAAAAGTCAAAAAGACAAAGAAAACTGAAGAGATGAAACCAATGGAAGATGAAAAATCTGTTGAAAAAGATGAACCAGAAGTTGTCGAAACGATCGAAGAGATTGAAACACCAGAAGGTAAAAAGACTGTCCTCAAAAAGGTTAAAAAATCCAAAATCCAAATTGAAGAAAAAGAAGAAATGAAACATAAAAAACCGAAAAAGTTTAAATCCAAAACACATACTGAGGATGATGAAAAAGCAATCACTGAAGAAATGATTGACTTGAAACCAACAGATGAAATTCTCGAGGAACAAGCTCCAGAAGATGAAATTCAACCTGACATTGAATCCGAAGTAGGTGTTGAAACCAAGAAAAAATTGGTTAAAAAATTAACGAAACCAAAAGCACCAACAGCTGAATTGCAGGATGCCGATGAAAAAGAAATAACCGAAGAAACAACAGTCACTGTCACCGAGGAAATCATCGAACTTCCTGATGAAGAGCAAAAACCAGAAGAAGAAATTCCAGAAGAGAAACCCGAAGAAGGTAAACCGAAAAAACCTTCAAAGAAAAAAGTCATCAGACGAAAATCCAAACCAGATGCATTGGAAACTAAACCCGATGATGAGACAAAAATCATCACTGAAGAATTGATTGCCTTGAAACCAACAGATGAAATTCTCGAGCAACAAGCTCCAGAAGATGAAATTCAGCCCGGCATTGAATCCGAAGTAGGTGTTGAAACAAAGAAAAAATTGGTTAAAAAATTAACGAAACCAAAAGCATCAACAGCTGAATTGCAGGATGCCGATGAAAAAGAAATAACCGAAGAAACAACAGTAACAGTGACTGAAGAAATCATCGAACTTCCTGATGAAGAACAAAAACCGGAAGATGAAACAAAACCAGTTGAAGATAAAGAAAAGCCAAAAAAGAAAAAAGTCATCAGACGAAAATCTAAACCAGATGCTTTGGAAACTAAACCCAAAGAGGAGACAAAAGTCACAACAGAAGAAGTGATTTCTATAAAGCCAACCGATGAAATTTTGGAAGAAAAAGCTCCAGAAGATGAAATTCAGCCTGACATTGAATCCGAAGTTGGCGTTGAAACAAAGAAAAAATTGGTTAAAAATTGACTAAACCAAAAGAACCAACAGCAGAATTACAGGAAGCCGGGAAAAAGAAATAACCGAAGAAACAACAGTCACTGTGACTGAAGAAATTATTGAACTTCCAGATGAAGAAGTTGAAACTAAACCAGATAAAGATGAAGAAAAGCCAAAAAAGAAGAAAAAAGTAAAGAAACAAATCACAGAACAAGTGATTGAAGTGATCGAAATCTATGAAGTAGTTGAATCAATTCCAACAGTTGAACTAATCGAAGGAAAGAAGAAAAAAGTGCACAAAATCAAGAAAATCAAAAAGCCTGAAGACCAACAACCGATCGAGTACAAAGAAGAACCAGAAGACCAGATAATTCTGGATTCAGAAGATAAACCAGAAAAGGTTATCCGAAAAGTCAAAAAAGATAAAAAACCTAAAGAAGAGCTAGATGAAGAAGTTAAACCAGAACAGCCCAGTGAAAGTGAAATCACTGAAACAACGGAGATCATTGAAACTGTTCAAGAAATCGACACACCAGAAGGTAAAAAGAAAGTTGTCAAAAAAGTGAAAAAGACAAAGAAAACTGATGAAACCACTCCAATTACTGATAAAATTGAACTCGTTGAAGAAGATAAACCAGAAGAAATCACGGAATCAATAGAGGAGATTGAAACACCAGAAGGTAAAAAGACTGTAATCAAAAAGGTGAAGAAATCTAAAATCAAAGTTGAAGAAGAAGAAGAAATGAAACCAGAAGAAAAAACAAAGGCGAAAAAGCCAAAAACAATAAAACCCAAAAAACCTACTGAGGATGATGAAAAAGAAACCACTGAAAAAATGATTGCCTTGAAACCAACCGATGAAATTCTCGAGGAACAAGCTCCTGAAGAAGAGATACAACCTGATATTGAATCCGAAGTTGGCGTTGAAACCAAGAAAAAATTGGTGAAAAAATTGACTAAACCAAAAGAACAAAAATTTGAATTGCAAGAAGTCGATGAAAAAGAAATAACCGAAGAAACAACAGTCACTGTCACCGAGGAAATCATCGAACTACCAGATGAAGAAGAAGAAAAACCAGAAGACGAAACAAAACCAGTAGAAGATAAACCGAAAAAGAAAAAAGTCATCAGACGAAAATCTAAACCAGATGTGATGGAAGAAGAGAAACTAGAAAAACCTTCAGAAATGGCAGAGGAAGAAAAAGTTGTGGATAAATTGAAAGATGAAAAAAGACCAACGAAGAAAACCAAAAAAGATAAGAAACCTGAAGATGAAACAGAAGAATTACAGCCTGAAGTTGAAACTAAAGAAATCGATGAAACCGAAACATTTGAAAAAGCTTCACCTGAAGAAACGACCGAAGAACCTGGTGAAATTGAAAAAACCGAATTGGTTGACATTGAAATCACTAGTGAAGAAATAACTAAAGAGAAAAAGAAAGGCTTCAAAAAAATAAAACCAAAACGACAAGATGATATTGTGAAAGGTGAAACTAAAACTGGAGATGAAGTTGTCGAAGAGGAAGATAAACCTGAAAAAGAAGAGGAGAATGTAATTGAAGGAAAAGACGAACCTATAAAACCTGAAGACGAAACCAAGCCTGAAATTGATGAACAATTGGTAGAAGAAAAACCAAAGAAAACAAAGAAATTGAAACCTAAAAAACCAACGGAAAAACCAGAAGATGAGGATAAAGTCATCACTGAAGAAGTGATTGCCTTGAAATCAACCGATGAAATTCTTGAGGAACAAGCTCCTGAAGAAGAGATACAACCTGATATTGAATCAGAAGTTGGCGTTGAAACCAAGAAAAAATTGGTTAAAAAATTGACTAAGCCAAAAGAACCATCAGCTGATTTACATGAAGCTGATGAAAAAGAAATAACCGAAGAAACTACAGTCATTGTGACTGAAGAAATCATCGAATTACCAGATGAAGAAGTCGAAAAACCAGAAGATGAAACGAAAACCGATGAAGATAAACCAAAAAAGAAGAAAAAAGTAAAGAAACAAATCACAGAACAAGTGATTGAAGTGATCGAAATCTATGAAGTAGTTGAATCAATTCCAGCAATTGAACAAGTTGATGGCCAAAAGAAAAAGGTTCATAAAATCAAGAAAATTAAAACCAGAAGCCATTGAACCGATTGAATATAAAGAAGAACCAGAAGATCAAATCATACTCGATCAGTATGACAAACCTGAAAAAGTTATTCGAAAAGTCAAAAAAGACAAAAAACCTAAAGAGGAAAAACCAGAGCAGCTGACTGAAACTGAAACAACGGAGCAGCTGATTGAAACGATCCAAGAGATTGAGACTCCGGAAGGAAAGAAAAAAGTTGTCAAAAAGGTAAAGAAAACCAAAGAAACAACAACTAGTGATGAAATAAAGCCCGTTGAAGAAGAAGATAAGTCAGAAGTAATCACCGAATCAATAGAAGAGTTTGAAACACCAGAAGGCAAAAAGACTGTCCTCAAAAAGGTTAAAAAATCCAAAATCAAAGTTGAAGACGACGAAGAAGAAAAGAAACCAGAAGAAGAAACAAAACCTAAAAAACCGAAAAAGTTGAAACCCAAAACACCTACTGAGGATGAAGAAAAAGCAATCACTGAAGAAATGATTGCCTTGAAACCAACAGATGAAATTCTCGAGGAACAAGCTCCAGAAGATGAAATTCAACCTGACATTGAATCCGAAGTTGGCGTAGAAACCAAGAAAAAATTGGTTAAAAAATTAACGAAACCAAAAGAACCAACAACTGATTTACAGGAAGAACCCGAACAAAAAGAAATTACAGAAGAAACAACAATCACGGTGACTGAAGAAATCATCGAAATTCCTGATGAAGAAGTTGAAACTAAACCAGATAAAGATGAAGAAAAGCCAAAAAAGAAGAAAAAAGTAAAGAAACAGATCGTAGAACAAGTGATTGAAGTGATCGAAATTTATGAAGTTATTGAATCAATTCCAACAGTTGAAATAATCGAAGGCAAGAAGAAAAAAGCGCACAAAATCAAGAAAATCAAAAAGCCTGAAGATCAACAACCGATCGAGTATAAAGAAGAACCAGAAGATGAAATCATACTCGATCAGTATGACAAACCTGAAAAAGTTATCCGAAAAGTCAAAAAAGACAAAAAACCTAAAGAAGAGAAAGATGAAGAAGTTATACCTGAACAGCCCAGTGAAAGTGAAACAACGGAAATCATTGAAACTGTTCAAGAAATCGATACACCAGAAGGTAAAAAGAAAGTTGTCAAAAAAGTGAAAAAGACAAAGAAAACTGATGAAGCCACACCAATCACTGATAAAATTGAACTCGTTGAAGAAGAAGATAAACCAGAAGAAATCACGGAATCAATAGAGGAGATTGAAACACCAGAAGGCAAAAAGACTGTCCTCAAAAAGGTTAAAAAATCCAAAATCAAAGTTGAAGACGAAGAAGAAGAAAAGAAACCAGAAGAAAAAGACGAAATGCACGAAGAAGATACAAAATCTAAAAAACCGAAAAAATTGAAACACAAAAAACCTACTGAGGATGATGAAAAAGCAATCACTGAAGAAATGATTGACTTGAAACCATCAGATGAAATTTTGGAAGAAAAAGCTCTAGAAGATGAAATTCAACCTGATATTGAATCCGAAGTTGGAGTTGAAACAAAGAAAAAATTGACTAAACCAAAAGAACCAACAGCTGAATTGCATGATGCCGATGAAAAAGAAATAACCGAAGAAACTACAGTCATTGTGACTGAGGAAATCATCGAATTACCAGATGAAGAAGTCGAAAAACCAGAAGATGAAACTAAACCAGATGAAGATAAAGAAAAACCGAAAAAGAAAAAAGTCATCAGACGAAAATCTAAACCAGATGCCTTGGAAATTAAACCCGAAGAGGAGACAAAAGTCACAACAGAAGAAGTGATTGCCTTGAAACCAACCGATGAAATTCTCGAGGAACAAGCTCCTGAAGAAGAGATACAACCTGATATTGAATCCGAAGTTGGCGTTGAAACCAAGAAAAAATTGGTTAAAAAATTAACAAAACCAAAAGAACCAACAGCAGAATTACAGGAAGCCGAGGAAAAAGAAATTATTGAAGAAACAAAAGTCACATTTACTGAAGAAATAATCGAACTTCCTGATGAAGTGCAAAAACCAGGGAAAGAAATTCCAGAAGAGAAACCCGAAGAAGGTAAACCGAAAAAACCTTCAAAGAAAAAAGTCATCAGACGAAAATCCAAACCAGAAATTACTGAAGAACAACCAGAAAAACCAGTGGTTACCGAAGAATTGATTGACTTGAAACCAAAAGACGAACTTTTTGAAGAACAAAAACCTGAAGATGAAATTCAACCAGAACTTGATGAATCTAAAATAGATGTTGAAACAGTCAAAAAGACTGTGAAAAAATCGAAACAAAAAGATTCAGTAACAAAACCACAGGAAACAGAAGAAGATAAAGAAATTACGGAAGAAACACAAATTACAGTAACTGAAGAAATTATCGAATTACCTGATGAAGAAAAGAAACCAGAAGAAGATAAAACTGAAGAAAAACCAGAAGAAAAAGGAAAAACAAAGAAGAAGCCTTCAAAGAAAGTAATTCGTCGTAAATCGAAACCAGATGATGTTACCGAAGAACAACCAGAGAAACCAATTTTAACTGAAGAATTAATCGAATTGAAACCAAAAGACGAAATCGTAGAAGAAAAACCAGAAGATGAAATCAAACCAGAACTTGATGAGTCTAAAATAGATGTTGAAACAGTGAAAAAGACTGTGAAAAAATCAAAACGAAAAGATTCAGTGACCGAACTACAGGAAGGTGAAGAAGATAAAGAAGTAACTGAAGATACACAAGTTACTGTATCGGAAGAAATAATCGAACTTCCTGGTGAAGAACAAAAACCAGAAGAAGAGATTCCAGAAGAAAAACCTGAAGAAGGTAAACCAAAAAAACCATCAAAGAAAAAAGTAATTCGACGTAAATCGAAACCAGATGTCGCTGAAGAAAAGATGGATGAAAGTAAAAAACCAGTCATGACCGAAGAATTGATTGAATTGAAACCAAAAGATGAGCTTTTTGATGAAGAAAAGCAAGAAGATGAAACGCGACCGGAAATAGAAGCCATAGTGGATGATGAAACAACAAAAAAGACAGTGAAAAAGTCTAAACGAAAAGATTCAGCAACCAAATTACAGGAAAGTGAAGAAGATAAAGAAATCATTGAAGAAACACAAGTTACAGTCACTGAAGAAGTTATTGAACTTCCTGGTGAAGAACAGCAGAAACCTGAAGAAGAAAAACCCGTGGAAAAGATGGCGGAAGATGAAGAAAAACCAGAAGAAGAAGGTAAGCCGAAAAAACCATCAAAGAAAAAAGTGATTCGACGAAAATCGAAGCCAGATGTCGTTGATGAAGAAGAAAAACAACCAATTGTCACTGAAGAATTAATCGAATTGAAACCAAAAGACGAATTTGTCGAAGAACAAAAACCAGAAGAAGAAATCCAACCAGAACTTGAACAAACCAAAGTGGATGTTGAAACAACAAAGAAAACGATTAAAAAGTCGAAACCTAAAGATTCAGCAACCAAACTACAGGAAGGTGAAGAAGATAAAGAAATTACGGAAGAAACACAAATTACAGTCACTGAAGAAGTTATTGAACTTCCAGATGAAGAACAAAAACCAGAAGAAGAAATTCCAGAAGGGAAACCTGAAGAAGGTAAACTAAAGAAACCATCAAAGAAAAAAGTAATTCGACGTAAATCGAAACCAGATGATGTTACTGAAGAACAACCAAAGGAACCGATTTCGGTTGTCACCGAAGAACAAATTGAAATGAAACCAAAAGAAGATATCTTAGATGAAAAACCAGAAGATGAAATCAAACCCGATGCTGTTGAATCAACAGTGGATGTTGAAACAGTGAAAAAGACTGTGAAAAAGAAAACTAAACGTCGCGAATCGAAATCAGAATTGGAACAACCAAAAGAAGAAACAGAATTTGAAGAAGAAACAGAATTTGAAGAAGAAACTGAAATTACAATAACCGAAGAGATTATAGAATTTCTTGGTGAAGAATTGAAACCTGAAGAGGAGATTGAAGAAAAACCCGAAGAAGGAAAACCAAAAAAACCATCGAAAAAAGTTAAAAGACGTAAATCAAAACCAGATTCATTGTTATTGGCTGAAGAAGAAGAAGATCAGCCAATCAAAAGGGAATCTAGTCCTGAAGAAGAAACTGAAGAAATCACAAAAACACCGAAAAAATTGAAAAAAGATAAGAAACCAGCCGATGTAATGGCGGAAAAATTAGAGCCAGAAATTATATCGAAAAAAGTAACCGAAGATGAACAACCTGAAGACGAAAAGGAAACAACCGTCACTATGGAAGAATATCCAGCTGAAAAAGATGCAGATGAAATTGAAGACATAGAAATTACGACCGAAGAAATAACTAAAGAAAAGAAAAAAGGTGTGAAAAAATTAAAACCAAAAGAAAAGGAAATTCTTCACCAGAAACCAACAGAAGAATTACAACAGCCTGAAGAAAAAGATGCTGTTACAACGACGGAAGAAACAATTGATTTGAAAACATTCGATATCGATGAACAACGACCAGAAGATGAAATTCAACCGGACATTGAACATACCGTTGATGTTGTGACAATGAAAAAAGTGAGTGAAAAACCAAAACGTCGAAAATCACAACCAACATGCATTGAGGAAACAATTGATCAGAAAGATATTTCGGAAGAGACCACGGTTACCGTAACTGAAGAAATAATTGAACTACCAGATGAACAAGAAAAACCTGAAGAACAGCAGCAGCAACTCGAAGAAGGTAAACCGAAAAAATCTTCATCGAAGAAAATTCGACGTAAATCTAAACCGGAAATTGTTGAAGAAATCAAAGATGTTGATGAACCAGTGATAACTGAAGAATTTATCGAACTGAAATCAGCCGATGAATCTGTGGTTGAAGAACAAAAATCTGTTGATGATGCTGAAATTAAACCCGAAATGGATGAATCAAAAATTGAAATTAAAACTAAAAAATCGGTTAAAAAACCAAAACGTAGAGAATCGCTAACACAATTAGATGAAACAAAACCCGAAAAAGAAATGGAAGAAAAAACACAGGTAACAGTGACAGAAGAAATTATCGAATTACCGGATGAAGTGCAAGAAGAACCGGAAGAAATTCCAGAAGAGAAACAACCAGAAGAAGAAAAACCAAAGAAGAAACCATCAAAGAAAATTCGACGTAAATCGAAACCTGACGATATCACTGAAGATAAACCTGAAAAACCGGTTGTAACCGAAGAATTGATTGACTTGAAACCCAAAGATGAAATTATTGATGAAAAATTGTCAGAAGAAAAAGAAATAAAACCCGATGAAGTCGAATCAACAGTTGATGTTGAAACAACAAAAAAGACAGTGAAAAAATCCAAACGAAAAGATTCAGTGACCAAAGTACAAGAGGGTGAAGAAGATAAAGAATTCATTGAAGAAACACAAATTACAGCAACTGAAGAAGTTATTGAACTTCCTGGTGAAGAACAGCAGAAACCTGAAGAAGAAAAACCCGAGCAAAAGATGGCGGAAAATGAAGAAAAACCAGAAGAAGAAGGTAGACCGAAAAAACCATCAAAGAAAAAAGTGATTCGACGAAAATCGAAGCCAGATGTCTCTGAAGAAAAGATGGATGAAAGTAAAACACCAGTCATGACCGAAGAATTGATTGAATTGAAACCAAAAGATGAGGTTTTCGATGAAGAAAAACAGGAAGAAGAAATTCAGCCTGAACTTGAAGAATCCAAAATCGAATTTGAAACCAAAAAATCAGTGAAAAAATCCAAACGCAAAGAATCTGTAACTACAGAATTGGAAGAAAGTAAAGAAGATAAAGAAGTAACTGAAGAGACACAAGTTACCGTATCGGAAGAAATAATCGAACTTCCAGATGAAGAGCAAAAACCAGAAGAAGAAATCTCAGAAGAGAAACCCGAAGAAGGTAAACCAAAGAAGAAACCTTCGAAGAAAATACGACGAAAATCAAAACCAGATGTCGTTGATGAAGAAGAAAAACAGCCAATTGTCACTGAAGAATTAATCGAATTGAAACCAAAAGACGAACTTGTTGATGAACAAAAACCAGAAGAAGAAATCCAACAAGAACTTGAACAAACCAAAGTGGATGTTGAAACAACAAAGAAAACGATTAAAAAGTCGAAACGTAAAGATTCAGCAACCAAATTACAGGAAGGTGATGTTGATAAAGAAATTACGGAAGAAACACAAATTACAGTCACTGAAGAAGTTATTGAACTTCCAGATGAAGAGCAAAAACCAGAAGATGAAACTGAAGAAAAACCAAAAGAAGAAGGTAAACCAAAGAAACCATCAAAGAAAAAAGTGATTCGACGTAAATCTAAACCAGAAATTACTGAAGAACAACCAGAAAAACCAATTGTAACTGAAGAATTGATTGACTTGAAACCAAAAGACGAAATCGTAGAAGAAAAACCAGAAGATGAATTCAAACCAGAACTTGATGAGTCTAAAATAGATGTTGAAACAGTGAAAAAGACTGTGAAAAAATCGAAACGAAAAGATTCAGTGACCGAACTACAAGAAGGTGAACAAGATAAAGAAGTAACTGAAGATTCACAAGTTACTGTATCGGAAGAAGTTATTGAACTTCCTGGTGAAGAACAGCAGAAACCAGAGGAAGAGATTTCAGAAGAAAAACCTGAAGAAGGTAAACCGAAAAAACCTTCAAAGAAAAAAGTGATTCGACGTAAATCTAAACCAGAAATTACTGAAGAACAACCAGAAAAATCAGTGGTTACCGAAGAATTGATTGAATTGAAACCAAAAGACGAACTTGTTGAAGAACAAAAACCTGAAGATGAGATTCAACCAGAACTTGAAGAAGCCAAAGTGGATGTTGAAACAACAACAACAAAGAAAATGAGCAAAAAATCGAAACGAAAAGATTCAATAACAAAACAACAGGAAAGTGAAGAAGATAAAGAAATTACGGAAGAAACACAAATTACAGTCACTGAAGAAATTATCGAATTACCTGATGAAGAACAGAAACCAGAAGATGAAAGTGAAGAAAAACCAAAAGAAGAAGGCAAACCAAAAAAACCATCAAAGAAAATACGACGTAAATCTAAACCAGAAATAACTGAAGAACAAACGGAAAAACCGATTGTAACTGAAGAATTGATAGAATTGAAACCGAAAGACGAAATTATCGATGAAAAGTCCGAAGATGAATTTAAACCAGAACTTGATGAATCTAAAATAGGCATTGAGACAACAAAGAAAACGATTAAAAAATCAATACGTAAAGATTCAGCAACCAAATTGCAGGAAGGTGAGGAAGATAAAGAAATCACGGAAGAAACACAAGTTACTGTATCGGAAGAAATAATCGAACTTCCTGGTGAAGAACAGAAACCAGAAGAAGATATTCCAGAAGAAAAACCAGAAGAAGAAATTCCAGAAGAGAAATCCGAAGAAGGTAAGCCAAAGAAGAAGCCTTCAAAGAAAGTAATTCGTCGTAAATCGAAACCAGATGATGTTACTGAAGAACAACCAGTGAAACCAATTGTCACTGAAGAATTGATTGACTTGAAACCAAAAGAAGAAATCTTAGATGAAAAACCAGAAGATGAAATCAAACTTGATGAAGTCGAATCAACAGTTGATGTTGAAACAGTGAAAAAGACTGTGAAAAAATCTAAACGAAAAGTATCGATTACAAAATCACAAGAAAGTGGAGAAGATGATAAAGAAATTATTGAAGAAACAAAAGTCACAGTTACTGAAGAAATAATCGAACTTCCTGGTGAAGAACAAAAACCAGATGAGATAAAACCTCAAGACGAAATTCCTGATCAAGGTAAACCAAAGAAACCATCAAAGAAAATACGACGAAAATCGAAACCAGAAATCCAAGAAGAAGAAAAACAACCCGAACAAGTTGTTACCACTGAAGAAGTGATCGATTTGAAACCAAAAGAGGAAATTATCGATGAACAAAAGCCAGAAGAAGAAACTAAACCAGAACTCGAAGAATCCAAAATCGATGTTGAAACAAAAAAATCAGTGATAAAACCAAAACGTCGTGAATCAAAAACAAAATCTGAACAGCAGCCTACAGAGGACAAAGATGTAACAGAAGAAACCAAAATAACAGTTACTGAAGAAATCATTGAATTACCTGGTGAAGAACAAAACCAGAAGAAGAAGAAAAGATAACGGAAGAGGAAGAAAAACCAGAAGAAAAAGGTAAACCAAAAAAACCATCGAAGAAAATACGACGAAAATCGAAACCAGATGTCGTTGATGAAGATAAACCTGAGGAATCGATTACGGTTGTCACTGAAGAAATGATCGAATTGAAACCAAAAGATGAGATAATTGAAGAAAAATTACCCGAAATAGGAGAAGAAGAAATAAAACCCGATGAAATTGAATCAAAAATTGATGTGGAAACAACGAAAAAGATTGTGAAAAAATCAAAACGACGTGAATCAAAAACAGAAGTAGAACAGCAGCAACCAAGAGATGAAAAAGAAATTGATGAAAAAACCGAAATAATTGTTACTGAAGAAGTGATTGAATTACCGGGTGAAGAGAAACAACTCAAAGAAGAAGATGAAGATGATGAAAAACAGAAGCCGAAAAAACCATCAGTGAAATCACAACCTGAAGATAAACCAAAAGAAGATGAACAAATTAAACAGCCTGAAGAAGAAAAACCAATCGAAGAGGAAACTGAGGAACCTCAAATCAAAGAACAAGAAAAACCAAAAAAACCATCGAAAAAAGTCATAAGACGAAAATCGAAACCAGAAATTGTGGAAGAAGAAGAAAAACAACCTGAAACAATCATCACTGAAGAATTGATCGAACTGAAACCCAAAGATGAGCTTGTCGAAGAAGAAAAGCCAGACAAAGATGAAATCAAACCAGAACTTGATGAAGCAAAAGTGGATGTTGAAACAACAACAACAACAACAAAGAAAATGAGCAAAAAATCAAAACGTAAAGAATCGATAACAAAAATGGAAGAAACTGAAACTAAAGACATGGTGGAAGAAACTAAAATAACTGTATCAGAAGAAATTATTGAATTACCAATGGAAGAAAAACCAATTGAAACGGAAGAATGGACAGAATCGAAACCAACGATGGATGAAAAACCAGAAGAAACAATCATTGCCAAAGAAGAAGATGTTGGTGGTAAACCAAAGAAACCATCAAAGAAAAAAGTGATTCGACGAAAATCAAAACCAGATGTCGTTGTTGAAGAACAACCAGAAAAACAACCAATTGAAACAATGGTGACTGAACAACTGATTGAATTGAAACCAAAAGATGAAATCATTGAAGAACCGAAACCACAAGAAGAAGATGTGATTCAACCAGATATAGAATCAACAATTGATGTTGAAACTGTTGAGAAAAAGACTGAAAAGAAGAAAATTAAACGTCGTGAATCGAAAACTGAATTGCAGGAACCAAAAGAACAGCCGAAAGACGTTGAAGAAGAAACTAAAGTTATTGTCACCGAAGAAGTGATAGAATTACCGGGCGAACCGAAACATCCAGAAGAAAAAACCGAATTCGATGAAGAAGAAAAGAAACCCGAACATGATGAAAAAGAAATTCCCGAAAAACCAAAAGAAAAGAAAAAATCAAAGAAAGAAAAACGAGAATCATTGAAACCAGAAATTGAAAAAATGCCTGTAGAAGAAACAAAACCGGTTATTACCGAAGAAATGATTGAATTGAAACCAAAAGATGAATTGATTGAAGAACAAATGCCGGTGGATGAAATCAAGCCGGAAATCGATGAATCTAGAATTGATGTTGAAACAAAAAAATCGTTGAAAAAATCTAAACGACGTGAATCTCAACCACAAATTGAAGAAAGCAAAGAAGAAGGTACCGGCATTGAAGAAGAGACTAGTGTTACAGTTTCTGAAGAAATCATTGAACTTGCTGGTGATGAGAAAAAACCCGAACAACAACCAAAAGAAGAAGAAATTCCCATTACTGAAGAAAAACCCGAAGAAGAAGGTAAACCAAAAAAACCATCGAAAAAAGTCATAAGACGAAAATCTAAACCAGATGTTGTCGACGAACAAAAACCCATTGTCACGGAAGAAGTGATCGACTTGAAACCAAAAGAGGCGATCGTCGATGAACAAAAACCAGAAAAAGAAACTAAACCTGAACTTGAAGAATCCAAAATCGAAGTTGAAACAAAAAAATCGGTGAAAAAATCAAAACGTTCTGAATCAAAAACAGAATTAGAACAACCGAAAGCGGATAAACCGGATGTAGAAGAAGAAACCAAAGTAATAGTAACTGAACAAGTGATTGAATTACCGGGTGATGATCAAAAACCGGATGAAGAAAAACAACAGGAAGAACAAATATCTGAAATGGAAGAAAAACCCAAAGAAGAAGAAGAAGGTAAACCAAAGAAACCATCGAAGAAAATACGACGAAAATCGAAACCAGAAATCCAAGAAGAAGAAAAACAACCAGAACAAGTTGTTACCACTGAAGAAGTGATCGATTTGAAGCCAAAAGAGGCGATCATCGATGAACAAAAACCAGAAGAAGAAACTAAACCAGAACTCGAAGAATCTAAAATCGATGTTGAAACAAAAAAATCTGTGAAAAAACCAAAACGTCGTGAATCGAAAACAGAAATGGAACAACAACCTACTACAGAGGACAAAGATGTAGCAGAAGAAACCAAAGTAACAGTTACTGAAGAAATCATTGAATTACCTGGTGAAGAACAGAAACCAGAAGAAAAAACCCGAAGAAAAGATAACGGAAGAAGAAAAGCCTGAGGAAAAGATAACGGAAGAAGAAAAACCCAAAGATGAAGAAGAAGGTAAACCAAAGAAACCATCGAAAAAAGTCATAAGACGAAAATCGAAACCAGATGTCGTTGATGAAGAAAAACAACCTGAACAAGTTGTTACCACTGAAGAAGTAATCGATTTGAAGCCAAAAGAGGAGATCATCGATGAACAAAAACCAGAAGAAGAAACTAAACCAGAACTCGAAGAATCCAAAATCGACGTTGAAACAAAAAAATCTGTGAAAAAACCAAAACGTCGAGAATCACAGCCAACAACGGTTGAAAAACCTATGGATGAAGATAAAGACGTTGAAACCGACGCAAAAGTCATTGTTTCAGAGGAAGTAATTGAAATGCCTGCTGATATCGAGAAAAAACCAATGGAAAAACCAAAAGATGAAACTCCCATGGTTGGCGAAGAAAAACCAACACAGGAACAACCAACAAAAGAAGAAGAATCAAAACCCGAAGAAGAAAAAGGTAAACCAAAAAGACCATCGAAAAAAATTATCCGACGTAAATCATCACAACCTGATGAAGAGAAACCTGAACAAGTTGTTGCTACCACTGAAGAAGTGATGATTGATTTGAAACCAAAAGAAGAAATTATTGAAGAAACAAAACCCGAAAAAGATGTTGATGAAATCAAACCAGAAGAAATTCAACAATCTACAGTTGAAATTGAAACAACAAAAGTGATAAAAAAATCAAAACGTAAAGATTCAAAATCCGAAGTGAAAGAAGAAGATCGTAAAGATGTGGATCGAAGAAACAACAGTAAAAGTGACTGAAGAAATCATTGAATTACCGGGTGAAGAAAAACGGCCAGAAGAAAAAGTTGAACCAATCAAAGACGAAGAAAAACAACCAGTGCCGGAGAAAGAAGAAATCAAACCAGAACCACAAGAAGAAGGTAAGCCAAAAAGACCATCGAAAAAAATTATCAGACGAAAATCATCACAACCTGAAGTGAAACCAGAAGACGAAAAGGTCGAAAAGGAGGAAATTTCGAAAGAATCACCTGTTGAAGTTGAAACAATAAAAATCGAGAAGCCTGAACAACAACCAGAAGAATCGTTACAATCACAACCAGAAGAAATTCCCGATGATAAACATGTTGATGATGAAACAAAAATTACCGTTACTGAAGAAATTATTGAAATTCCATCGGAAGAAAAACCCGAAAAACCTAGAACTGAAGAAACAGTTCAATTGAAACCGATTGAAGAAACGGTGACCGAACCGACACCCGAAGAAGTGATAAAACCACAAATTGAGGAAATCGCCACCGAAATTGAAACAAAAACAACAACGGTTAAGAAATTAAAACGTAAAGAATCAGTACCTGAAGCGATCAAAAAAGATAAAGATGTCGAAGAAGAAACAGAGATCAAAGTGAGTGAAGAAATTATTGAATTACCAGGTGAAGAAAAACAGCCACTGGAACCAGAAAAAGAAAAACCAGCACCAGAAGAACAACCTGAAGAAAAATCTGAACCCAAGGAAGAGGAAAAAATCGAAACGACAGTAATTGAAGAAAAGAAAAAGAAAAAACTCAGCATCAAACGAAAATCGAAACCAGATATTATGGAAGAGGAAAAACCATTGAAACCCGAAGAAACAACTGTGGAGGAAATTGTGAAATTGCAAAAACCAACAATCGAACAACCTGAAGACGAGACTACGGTTGAAGAGGTGATCAAATTGAAACCAACAGTTGACGAATCGATTGTGGAAGAAATTATTCAATTGAAAAAAGAAAAGACCGATGAACCGAAAATTATTTCCACTACCGAAATAGTGGAACAAAAACCACAGATTGATGAAGAAAAACCTGAACTGCAGGAACCAATTAAAGCCCAAGAAGATAAACCGAAAAAAATTGTTCGCCGAAAATCAAGCACAAAAATTGTTGTTGAAGAAGAAAAACCAAAAGAACAACCAAAAACTGAAGAAGACGAAATCAAACCAGAGATTGAATCAACAAAATTCGACATAAAAACCGAACCTAAACCGAAAAAAGAAGAACAGCCAAAAGTAGAGGAAAAACCCGGAGAACAAATGGATGTAACCGAAGATGTAAAGACAATTGAATCGGAAAAAATTGTTGAAATACCGGCAGAAGAACAACCGAAAATTGAAACAACCGTTGAGGAGGAGGTGGTGGTGGAAGAAAAGAAGAAAAAGAAATTAAGTGTAAAACGCAAATCTAAACCAGATATCATGGAAGATAAACCAAAAGAACAACAGCAACCAGAAACAACTGAAGAAACAACAGTGCTATTACCGAAACCATTGAAAGAACCAGAAATCGAAGAACAGGTAATAAAATTGAAACCAAAATCAACCGATGAATTGCCGGAAGATACAACGGTAGAAGAAGTGATAAAATTAAAACCAACTGTTGAAGAACCAACTGAAGAATTGGTTGAACAGGTGATTAAATTGAAAAAACCATCTGAAGAAACTGCTGTCGAAACGACTGAAGAAATAATTCGATTGAAAAAAGAAGATGCAAAAGAACCAGAAATCATTTCAACCGCAGAAACATTGGAACAAAAACCAGAACCTAAAACTGAAGAAACGATAACATTGAAACCACAAGAAGAACAAATTCCAGAAGAAAAACCCATAGATGAGATAATCAAACCAGAAGAACCTGTAAAAGTAGATACGGTTATTGAAACGAAAGAAACACCAGAAGAAAAGCCGTTGCCTAAACCTGAAAAAGTTGAACAAAAAGATGTGATTGCAGATGTGGTCTCTGCAACAACAACAACAACTTCAGAAGAAATTGTTGAATTACCAAAACAAGAAGAAGAGAAAAAACCACGAAAATTGAGTATCAAACGAAAATCTAAACCTGATATTATGGAAGAAAAACCAAAACCTGAAAAGGAAATCACAGTGGAAGAAACATTCAGATTATCGAAACCAAGTGATGATCAACCGATCGAAGAACAGGTAATAAAATTGAAACCAACAGATGAATCACCGGAAGAAACAACGGTGGAAGAAGTGATAAAATTGAAACCGACCACTGTTGGTGAAGAATCACCAGAAATTGTAGAACAAGTGATTAAATTGAAAAAACCAACAGAAGAAACAGTAGTAGAATCTATTGACGAAGTAATCCGATTGAAAGAAGAAAAAACTGAAAAACCAGACATAATAACCGTTGAAAAGGTAATCGAGCAAATACCGCAAGTGGTGGATGAGCAGCCTTTGAAAGAAGAAGAGAAAGAGGAAAAACCGAAAAAGATTATTCGACGAAAATCTAGTATAAAATTAGTCGAAAAAGACAAACCAAAAGAAAAAGAAACACCAGCCGATGAAGTAGAAGAAGAAGTATTGAAACCAGAAATTCCACAAGCACCTGTAATTGAAACAGAGAAAACGATAGAAGAAGAAAAACCAAAACGAAAAGAATCGATACCACCAATGGAATCGGAAAAACCTGATGAACAAAAAGAAGAAAAAGTGACCGAAACAATAACCGAAGAAATTGTCGAACTATCCAGACCAGAACCAGAAAAAATTGTTGAAAAAGAAGAACCAAAAAGCGAAACAACAAAACAGCAGTGGAAGAGAAAAAACCACGAAAATTGAGTATCAAACGAAAATCAAAGCCTGACATAATGGAAGAACAAAAGAAACCTGATGAAGAAGAAAAACCTGAAGAGAAAATCGTGGAAGAAACGGTAAAATTACCAAAACCATCGGAAGAACAACCGGTAGAAGAACAGTTTATACGATTGAAACCAAAACCAAAAGAAGAATCGGAAGAACAATCGACAGTAGAAGTGATAAAATTAAAACCAACTGTTGAAGAAACAACCGAAGAATTGGTTGAACAAGTTATCAAACTTAAAAAACCATCAGAAGAAACTGCTGTCGAAACGACTGAAGAAGTAGTCCGTTTGAAACCCGAAAAACCTGGTGATAAAACAGAAGAGATTTCTGTGGAAAAAGTTGTCAAACAAACACCACAAATTGAAGAAAAACCCAAAGAAGAAGAATCAAAGAAAATTGTTGAAGAAAAGCTTAAAGACGAGCCAAAAATCGAAACACAAGCAGTTGAAGAAAAGAAACCGAAAAAATTGAGTATAAAACGAAAATCTAAACCCGATATAATGGAAGAGAAACCTAAACCAGAAGAACCGAAACCAGAAGAAGAAACCATTAAAGAAACGGTGAAATTACAGAAACCAAAAGATGAAGAACAACCAAAACCAATCGATGAAACACCGGAAGAAACTACTGTTGAAGAAGTGATAAAACTTAAACCAACAATTGAACCATCAGAAAAAGACGAAGAAACTGTTGAACAAACGATACAATTGAAAAAACCAATCGAAGAAACAGCTGAATCGATTGAAGAAGTGATTCGTTTGAAGAAAGAAGAAATCAAACAGCCGGAAGAAATTTCCGTTGAAAAAGTTATTCAACAAACACCACAGGTTGAAGAACAACCAGAAGAAGAAGAAAAACCAAAAGAACAGCCAAAGAAAATTGTGGAAGATGTGCACAAAGAAGAATCAAAAAATGAAACTCAAGTAATTGAAGAGAAAAAACCACGAAAATTGAGTATCAAACGAAAATCTAAACCCGATATCGTGGAAGAAGAAAAACCAAAACCAGAAGAAGAAACCACGGTGGAAGAAACATTTAAATTACCGAAACCAAGTGAGGATCAACCAATAGAAGAGGAACAAGTGATAAAATTAAAGCCAAAACCAAAAGATGAAACACCAGAAGAGACAACTGTTGAAGAAGTTATCAAACTAAAACCGACGGTTGTAGATGAACCGGATGAAACCATCACTGTACAGCAGGTGATAAAATTGAAAAAACCAAAAGATGGTGATACAACAGTTGAATCTATTGAAGAAGTGATCAAATTGAAGAAAGAAAAACCAGTTGAACAGCCGGATGAAGTTTCAGCCGAAAAAGTTATCAAAATAACACCACAAGTAGATGATGAAGAAGAAGAAAAGAAACCAGAAGAAATTGAAAAACCAGTGGTGGAAGAAAAACCGAAAAAAGTTATACGACGAAAATCAAGCACCAAATCGCTGAAAGATGAAAAAATCGCATCCAAAACACCGGTTGAAAAACCAACTGCTGAAGATGTGTTACAACCGGAAACAAAACCGGTGGAAAAACCGAAAAAAATCATACGAAGAAAATCAAGTACAAAACTTGAAGAAAAACCAAAAGAAGCAAAACCCGAAGAAGAAGAAGTAGAACAACCAGAGGTTGTATCCACTGTTGATATGGAAACAACGAAAAAAGTTCAACCAGAACGTAAAGATTCAACAACAAAATTAGAATCAATCACTGAAGATAAAGGTACAATTTCTGACGATGTTGTGGAAGAAGAAACAATTACCACTACGACAACAATCAAAACTGTAGAACCACCACAGGAAGAACCGAAGAAAATTGATGAGAAAAAATTGGATACAAAACCACCAATAATGGTGAAACCAATAGATGAAGATGTTTTAAAACAGGAACCAAAACCAGTGGATAAACCAAAGAAAATGAAATTGAAACGTAAAGAATCAAAACCTGATGTTAAACCGGAAGAAAAACCAAAACCCGGAGATGATGACAAAACAATTGATGAAACAATTAAATTGAGAAAACCAACAGAAGAAAAACCAGTGGATGAAATTGTACGATTGAAAAAGAAACCCGATGAACAGGAAGAAGAAGAAGAACAAACGGCGCTGCATACGATAAAATTAGCCAAACCAAAAGAAGAACCAACGGATGAATCTGTATCGGAAACGATAAAATTCGTTAAACCAAAAGTTCATGAAGAAGCATCGGCTGAAGCGACATTGGAAATATCGACAAAAGAATATGATGAAATTTCTACGGAAATTATTATTAAACGAAAATCAAAAAAATCTAAAGAACCAAAAATTATTGATTCCGATGAAGTGACGGTTAAATTGCCGACAAAACCGAAAAAATTTTCATTCTCTGAAGCTAGTGCTGAATTGAAAGTGACGAAAAAAATTGATGTAACATTGGACGATGTTGTCATCGTTGATGATATAGTGACCGTAATTGAAGAACGAAAACCAAAGAAAAAAGATGAACCGGAATCCGAAGAAGAGGAAGAAGTACAACCGAAAATTGAAATGCCCGAAGAATCGGATGAAGAAAGACCACAAGAATCCGTAGAAGAGGAAGATGAAGAAATGGAAAAACCGAAAATTGAAGAACTTCAAACCGAAGAAGAAGAAGAAGAAGAAGAAATATCTGAAACATTTAGATTGCCAAAACCAAAAGATGATGACACCGTTGAAGAAGAATTACGATTATCGAAACGAAAACCACGCGGCGAAGATGAAGAATCTGTCAAGGAAACAATTACAGTAATCAAACAAGTAGTAGATGATGTGGAAATAGTTGAAGAAATTGTACGATTAAAGAAAAAACCAAGTGTAGACAGTATTGAAAGTGAATCAACAATCGAATCATCATATCGATTAGTGAAAAAGCCAAGTCAAGAATCAGAAACTGAAGAATCAGTATCGGAAATCATACGGATACAAAAACAAGCCGAAAAAGAAGAAGAAGAAACAATAGCACAGATTATTAAATTGAAACGGAAATCTATGCCGGAAGATGATGAAGAAACGGTTGAAGAAACATTTCGATTACCGAAACCTGGATTTGATGAACAATCAACATTTGCATCATTGGATGTGACGAAAATTGCTGACAATGAATATGATGAAGTATCCACAGAAATTGTCATAAAAAAACAGATGAAAAAATCCAAAACAAATGATGAAATATTGGATGAATCATATACATTAACAATGCCAACGAAACCACGAGAAATTGGTTATGATGAAGCTGCAGCTGAACTTAAAGTGCAGATTGAATCAAAAATTGATCAACAATTATTGGAATCCAAAATGGTTGAAGAAATGATCAGTAAATATGCTGTTACATCGGAAATACCGAATGTAATGTCATTACGACAAGGTGATCGTATTTATGTTGTTGAACGTGTCAATCAAGATTGGTGGTTTGTCAGGAAAAAGATAACAAAAGAATTTGGTTTTGTACCAGCAGAATTTCTTACAGATGAAATTTCATATACATTACATTTGGATGATACATTAAAAGAATTTATGGAAACTGAAGAACAAGTTGCTGAACATATTACTATAAGAAAAAAACAGCCAGAAATTATTGAAGCACCTGATGAAATGATAAAAGTTGAATCCGGCCAATCATTGGTATTGGATTTCAAATTCGATGGATCATTTCCAATGCATTTTGTTTGCTTTAAAGATTCACGGCCACTGCAACCAGATTCAAGAATTAAATTATTTTGTGATGAAAATAATGTTTTACATCTGAATTTTGATGAAGTTTATTGCATTGATTCTGGTACATATTCGATTGTGATGAAAAATCCAGCCGGTGCCGCCAAACATACATTTACATTGGAAGCTGATGGCCATATGTCGTTTGTGAATGAAGAAATCTATTTCCATAATTTGCCATTTAAAGATGATGAACAACCATCAAATGTACCATTATTCTCGAAATTTAATGATTCCATTGAAATCAATATAAATGAACCGTTCAATATTGAATTCACTGTTTATTCGTTGGAAAAACCACGACTGAAATTGACAAAAAATGGAAGAATTGTTTATAATTCCAGTAAATTTCAATTGGAACATTTGGAAACTAATGAATATTTTCATCGTTATCGTGTACAATGTACCAATACGGATGAAAATGATGATGGTATTTATGAATTGTGTGCACAAAATTTGGATGGTGAAAATCAAACCACATTTCAGGTGGTTTACAAAGATCGCATTGAAAAACCAACATTCAAAAAACGATTTAAATCGATTCGATTACAGGAAGGTAATCAATTATTATTGGAAACAACGGTGAATGGTTATCCAACACCAACAATAACATGGTATCGAAATGATGATCGTATTGTATCATCATCACAATGTTTGATACGACAACATAAAAATGATGCAACATTAGCGGTGAATAATGTGTCGAAAATGTTACACGAAGGTCAATATAAAGTGATTGCCCGTAATAAATATGGTAAATGTCAACATGAAGAACGTGTTGTAGTGATAAAAAAGACACCAAAATTTTTGGAACGTTTAAATGACATTGAAGTATATGAAAATGAAAAAACATTCCTTTCAGTGAAAATAACCACAAAAGAAGATGATGTTCAATGGTTGAAAGAAGGTGAACCAATAGATCAAGATGATGATGATGATTATCAAATGATAAAAGATGGACATTATAGAAAATTATTGATCAAAAAAGCAAAAGTATCACATCAAGGTGAATATTCATGTGTATTGGAACAAGATAAATGTACTGGTTATCTGGAAGTGATTGAATTACCAGCTGAAATTGTTAAAGATCTTAAAGATTGTAATGTAAAATATGGTGATAAAGCACAATTTTGGTAGAAGTATCCAAAGGTGATGCTATATTACAATGGTATAAAAATAAACAACCAATCATGTTTGATGATCGTGTTTATTTGGATATTGATGGTAAACAACAAACATTATCCATTGAGGATTCAAAACTTGAAGATATTGCCGAATATTCATGTCAATTGAATCAACAAACATCAAAAGCACGGTTACTTGTATCATATCCATCGACAGAATTTTTACGACGTTTACAAGATGAATATTGGATTGATGAAAATTGTGAAACAGTTTTCACTGTGGAAATATCACGGCCAGATGTTGATGTATTTTGGTATCATAATGGTGAAGAATTATGTGAAACATCCAATATTAAAATGATTACCGATGGTATGGTAAGAAAATTGATCATTCACCACACACGAATGACCGATATGGGTGAATATATTTGTATGGCCAAAGGTGATCAAACACAAACCACGTTGAATGTATCGAAAGATCCATTAGTATTTTTATTGAAACTTAAAGATTTCAATGTAAATGAAGGTGAAACGGCAACATTATCTGTTGAAGTTATTGATGAACATATGAATATCGTATGGATGAAAGACGATGAAATTATTGAACCGGATGGCAATCGTATGATGATGAGCAATATTGGTAAACATAAAAAATTGATCATAAAAAATGTCAACATACAAGATCGTGGTTACTATACCGTTGTTTGTAATGATCAACGTTCAACAGGTAAACTTTCTGTGTTGACACCACCAAAAGTATTGACAGATACAAGACGTTTTACTGCTGTACGTGGAGAAAATTTTTCATTGGATATTTCATATGAAGGTTATCCATCACCAAAAGCTGAATGGTATCATTCTGGTAAAATCATTAAAACATCGAAAAAAGCATCAGTAGAAATAATGATGAGCCGTACAATATTGACAATTAAAAATTTTGATGATGATGATATTGGTCTTTATAAATTGAGTCTGGAAAACACCATTGGACAATATATAACACATTTTGAATTGTTCATCATCGATAAACCAGATCCACCAAGCAAACCGGAACCGATGAATATAACAAATAATTCATTGATTCTAGTATGGCAAGCACCGAAAAAAGATAATGGTTCACCTGTATCGAATTATGTGGTTGAATATAAAGAATCAAAAGCTAAAAATTGGAAAGAATATAATGAATTTATTAATGAACAACATGTCAAAATAAGGAATTTGAAACACAATATTTGTTATGTATTTCGTGTATATGCCATAAATAAAGCTGGAAAATCATCACCATCCACAGAAAGTGAACCAGTCACAATGAAAGAACAATATCTACCGATGGCACCGACATTTATACAGCCATTACCATCGACCATAAGTACACAACCATTTACAACGACAACAATGGAATGTAAATCCATTGGTAATCCAACGCCGGAAATCCAATGGTATCGTAATGATGAACCAATCGATGAGAATGATGATAATAATGTTATCATTAAATATGATCAACATTCATCCACATTGATTATAAAAGAATGTTCATTTGAATGGGCTGGCCATTATAAATGTGTGGCACGAAACGATGAAGGTGATGCCATAACGAAAACAAAATTATCTGTAGAAGAAAAACCATATGCTCGTTTCAATAATGATGCCATTGTGGCGAAAGTTAAACAAGGCAATGAACATTTAATTGAATGTGAAATTTATGGCTATCCTGAACCGGAAATCAATTGGTATAAAGGTTTAATAAAATTACGACGAACATCGAACATTTTCGTTGATGATCAAGAAAAAGGAATGACAAAATTGGTGGTGAAAAATTTCTCGTTCGAAGATGCTGGCATTTATACATTGCATTTGATCAATGCAGCCGGTGAACGTAAATATGATTTTGAATTACGAATGTTGAAACGACCTGGACCACCGGAACAGCCAATTCGTTGTGTACCGGGTGGTGAAAATTCCATCGAATTATCATGGAATCCACCGAAAGATGATGGTGGTTCACCGATTCTATTCTATTTGATTGAAAAATATGAAACAAAAATGGGCAAAGAATGGATCGAAGTTACCCGTGTGAATGGTAATGAATTTTCCCATACAATTCGTCATCTAATCGCTGGTTCACGTTATCGATTCCGTGTCAGTTCAATCAATGAATTCGGTACAAGTGATCCAGCAATGACTGAATCGGTTGTTTGTCGTAAAATACTTGAACGTCCATCACCACCAACTGGTCCGATTAAAACAAGTGATCATACTGAATCATCATTTAATCTGCATTGGAATTCACCCGAATATGATGGAAATTCTCCATTGATTGAATATCTTATTGAAACACGTGAAGTTGACGAAACAGAAACCACTATTACAAACACGTGGAAAAAATCAACAACCGTAAATGGTGAAACATTGACAGCAATGATTGAAAATCTAGAAAAAGAAAAAACATATCAATTACGTATTACATGTCGTAATGAAATTGATTGGAGTGATTCATATTATCCTGAAACAACCGTTATGGTTAAATGTCGATATGGACCACCAACAGCACCGGTTGGCCCGCTGGAAGTGAATGAAATGACAAATGCATCATTACGTGTGGCATGGAAACCACCAATATCGAATGGTGGATTAGAACTGATCAATTACATAATTGAAAGAAAATTAACATTTGAAAATACCTGGATTCGTGAAGCAATTGTTAATCCGGATCAATTAACATATACGATACCGAATTTATCATCTAAATATGAATACAATATACGTGTGTTGGCTGAAAATGCATTGGGACAAAGTGATCCATTAGAATCCGATTATCCGGTACAATTATGTAAAGATGCCACACCGCCAGGTATACCAACAGCACCATTAGAAATGCGTTCCGTTAGTCCTAGTGCAATAATGATTGAATGGGGTAAACCAGAACATGATGGTGGATCACCAATCACTGGTTATGTAATAGCAGCAAAAGATGCACGTCGTACAATGTGGATACAAGTTGGTAAAGTAGATGCCACAGTACATCGATTACAAATAAAAGATTTCCAAGAAAATCGTTCATATAAAATACGTGTTATGGCTGAAAATGAAATCGGTTTATCCGATCCATTAGAATCAGAAGAACCAATTACCGTGATACGGCCACCTGGATTTGAAGAACAAGAAGCTGAACGTGAACATTTAGAACGTGATGATACATTATCATTATCATTTACAACATCTGAAACAACATCATGGATGCGTGAAGCTAATGTTGAAGCACGTGTTGAATCATATACAGTACATTCATTATTGAAACGTAAAGAATATTTCTTTTCATTATGGGTGAATGCAGATAAATTGTTCAAATAAATCAAACGAAAAACGAACGAAAAAAATCACCGAGAATTTAAATTGCCGCTATTTTTACCTAACGAAAACAAAAATCAATTAATCATCATCATCATCGACAATGAATGAATATCCGGTTTTTTCAATAATTTAATTTTAAACACAAAAAACAATAATATAATACTAACCTTGCTAATCTATATTTTCCGCAACAAAAAAAAAAAAAATATATTTCCCGTTATGTTTATGTTTTTGTTTGTTTTGTTTCAAAAAAAATTGTCTATTTTAACCCGATCAATAAAAAATAATCTTTATTCAAAAAAAAAACAAAAAAAAAAAAAATTTGTTTTTTCATCTGTTACCATCAACAAATGGTGAAAAAAATGGGCAATGAATTTTTTCTCTTTTAATTTAAAATTTATTTTTTTTATAGAAAATTCAATATATTTTCGCCGTTTTAATTCATCGATATTCGATCGATCCATCCAATCAATCAATCAATCAATCACCGTCCACATACACACACATACAGATACAGAGATTACGTGTGTGTATATCAAAAACAAAAATTGATCGAAATATAATTCAAAAATGGATAAACAAAGGAAAAAAGAAGAAGAAGAAAAAAAATCATTTAAGCATTCTATAGATTCTTTTTGTTTGTTTTGTTTTGTTTTGTTTTGCTTTCTAGTCATATCATGGTTTATAAATAATAAAAAAAAATTCTGTATTTCTGTAGTTGCTGTTGTTGTTGTTGTTTTTCATAATCCATCACATCATTACACACACATATATAAATCATCATCATTAATTGTTAGTAGTAGGTAGTAGTAGTAATATAAAAGAAATTCATGAGAAAAAGATTGAGAGTATAAAATTAGAAGCCAAATTATAGATTTTTTTTGTTTGGGTGTGTGTGTGTGTGTGTAGGTGTAATGTTCAGGTATCATTAAAGACATTTTGAATTCAGTCTAAAAAAAACGTAAAACACATACATATTATTATTATAGAAAGAGAGCAATGAAAAAAAGGGGACACCATTGATAATAATAAAATATTTAGGTCCATCATTTTTGGATCGATACATTGTTCATTGAGGATAATTAATTGTTTGAATGTGTATGTGTGTGTGTGTGTGGATGTGTGTATATTGGGTGGATGATAAACAACGAAATTACAGACTTTTTTTCTTCTTTTTCATTATTCACCGATAATAAACACGATGGAAGAAAATTATTCAATTATGAATTTTGATAGCTTTCTCCAGATGAGTATAACGTGAACGTTTAGGCGTTTTGTTCACATGATCCAAACCGAGCCATGTTTTTGGCAAATGAGTATTGACTGAATCTGGATAAAAATAGAATGAATGAAAAATTAATATCAATGAAAGATGAAAAAAAAAAAAAAAAATGAAATCTTACTGCATGTAGCAAATTCTTCTTTGTTGAACACAAAGTTTGTTTCATCATTTATATATTGAACTCGGGCCGTTATGATTGCAAATTTGTACTGTTTGAAAAAAACAACAGCAAAAGGTAAAAAATAAAAAAAAAAACAAATTGGAAATTACTATATAACCTTTTCATATTCTTTATCCGGTATGTCGAGCTTTTTCTGTATTTTTTCCTTGACCGATGCGAATGTTTCTTTCTGTGATCATGATTGGAAACCGAAACAACAGAAAATGATAAACAATGCCAATGATGAGAGATTGAACTGAAACTTACATTTTTAACTTTCAACAAAAATGGCACACCAAACGTATGATAGGATTCTTTTTGAAAATGAGCAACCGGTAATAGGAATTCATTTGGTTCCATTTTCAGCTGATCTTTAGGTATCTCTTCAATACGATAAGATTTTGTTCCAGTTGCATTCAGACATTCAAGCAATATATCATTTGTTATGACATAATTAATTTTACTTGAAACCACTTCCAATAGACGTAATTCACGTGATGAATCTTCACTGAATTCAATCTGTTTTTTTGCTTCTTCAAGCAAATCATTGACAGTGCCATTCTTATTGGGATACAATTCCATTTCCTTCTGGGTGATATGGTCGTTGATCAATCAACATTATGAATCAATGAAAAATAACGACAATAGTGATTAGAAAAAAATTCAATTGAACAAAAAAAAAAACAAAAAATCCTACCTCTTCTTTGAGTTTACTATTGACATATGTACATTTGAATGATCGTTTGTTCTCAAGCTCATGTATGCTTATTGTCAACTGATTGAATGGGATAAAAAAAATTAAATGAATCAAAATGCCTAAGAAAAATGAAAAAAAATGTCTGCTTACATGTTGATAGAAAATCTTTTTCGGTTGTCGTGGTTTAAAATAGAAAAGAATGTCTTTAAGTGTTCCATCATAATTGCAACGAAGTGGACATCCCGGTCCTTCACGGTAACTGCTACAATGTTCATCGAATGAGAAGAAAAAACAAATTTAATTTTCAAGTCAAAAAAAATTCCATATTGAAATGAAAAACTTACCTTTGATTTTTGAAAAATTGAATCAGATATGGTTCCGTACCTAGACGCATGGCTACAGCATCGGCCATCTGTGTATAATTCATTTTCATTGACAATTCCAATACAAAACCAGGATCGTTTGGATTGTTTTTATCACAGAACAGTACTTCAACCTTATGTATTAAATCTGTATAATATTCTTTGACCGATGCACATTCATCGATCACAATATCATCACGATGGAAAACAAGTATATCACCATCGGATAGATCGACAATAGCATCAGACAATGTTTTATCCAAATCATTAATTCTATTTACAGTAGCTAAATATTCTTCCTCATAAATGGCCAATGGTGTTGATTTCGGTAAGCCAGCTTTTTCACATAAAATGGGCATCAAATCAGCAACTGTCATGACACGTTCTATATGTCCGAGGCCACAATAAGTTAAATATTTTTGATTCGGATCATAATACTTGAAAAATAGCAAGACTTGTACTGTGAATAATGAAAGAAAATTGATAAGAAAAAAAAAAAAAAAAATTCCATGTCAAAAACATACCATCATTTTCCGAATCAGGCAACATTTTATATGGTAATTCCGGTGGTATTGTTTCCACAAACAATGTCATATTATTCAATGATTCAGTTACATTACCCATATCATTGATCATACGTGTTGGACGAAATGAATGATTATTACGTGTAATGAATGGCCATAAACGGATACCATCCGTTGGATAATTCATTTGTTGCGCTATTGTGGCCAGATTTTCTCTATATGAACCCAATTTATATATTTTAAATGTATAACATGGTGTCTTTTCTGGATTGATCAAATCAATACCCTTATGTGACATAATATTGTCTTCAGTGTATACGGTTATATTATTGAAAAAATGAGCTTCATTTCGTTCTTTTCGCCGTAATGCTTCCTGTTTTTTCTCCTCTTGTAATCGTTCAATCAATTGATCGGGTATATCTTCTTTGGTTACTGGTTGTAATACATCACTAATAGCCGATTCACGTATATATACCAACATGTATGCATTTGTTGAATGTTTTCCAGGTAATTCTTCATCATTACCGCCGAAATTATGATCAACAGCTTCTGTCTTTGAACAACATGATACAACATCATCATCAAATTTACACCATTTTCCATCGCCATTCGGATTGATAAATACAACATAGTGGCCACCATGATTATCACCAGAATGTACCAATACAGCATGTAATATATAATTGGCCGGTGTACTTTCCGGACTTTGTAAATATTTATTTAGTGTTAACTTCTCCGGAAATTCCAAACTAAAGTAGAACAAAAAAAAAATAAAAAAATCATTTTTCAATAGAAAAAAAACAAACAAACCGATCATTAATCTTGACATTTGCATCGGTCAATGGATCATATTGAAATCGTAGTAAATGTAAATGCAATACGGGCGGAAATGATTCAAATGTGATGCCTTTTTCCGCTTCTTGAAATCCATGTTCACCGGCATCATATTTATTTTCACCATCCAATGTTTCAACTTCCACATAATCATCGAATGATTCATAGATATCTTTTTTATCTTTTATATTCAATTGTATATCATAAAATGGTTCGGTACGTGATGATGAAAAAATCACATGTTTACATCGAACAAATGACTGGAAAAAACAAATTTAAAAAGAAATTAAATTAAAAAATCTTTTAATTAATTAGCAAGAAAAACCTACAATCATTTTTCCTTCGAATAATTTCGGAATCGTACCCTCAACGATAGTATTCTTCATTTTACTTTCCATATTATCGAGCAATACACGACACAATTCTTGTACATCATGTTGCATAAATGAATCAAGCGTTTCCCAACCAAATGATTTGGTTAATTTTTTCGTTCCAACTGGTTTATCCGAAAATTGTAGATCATAAAATACACGTTGTAATGCCAATGCAACACTTTTGGATGAATCATCACTTTCGGTGGGCATTTGATAAACAGCTTTACGTAATTTGTTTGTAAAAAATAATGTTTGTAATAATGAATTCATATAGCATGTAGCTCCTTGATTTTTTAGGCCAACATATCCGGTATGTTTTTTTGAATCCCAACTAACACCATGTGGTGCATCGGCTTGTACCCAAACTTCGAATGTAACGGCATCATCTTTAATATAGCCTTTGTTTGGATCGCATAAATCCTTTATTTCATTTCAAAAATGAATTTAATGAATTAATTAATAATCAAAAATCATTCAATTATAAAACTTACATTCCAGCCAATATAATAGCTATAACCCCAATCATTTTCTTTATTATAGAAAATATGCTGAATTCTTCTTGACATATTATCAACACCTTCTTTTTGTGAAAGAATTCTTAATTCAGCTACGGCACTACATGACCATGCTCTATATATATTAAATGAATGGATGAATTTAAGTGAATGAAATTAAGAAAAAAAACATTTTATAATGAATGACACTTACGTTGATTCGGATTCACCATTACATTGTAGGAAATAGCCTAGACTTTTTACCGCTTGTTGATTTGGTTGTCCAGTACGTGGCATTACCATTATACGCCATGGTAGATTACGTACATATGTTGCTGGACTTAGTTCAGAATCTTTGATTTTGCTAAAATTTTCAATTTTATAACTGAATGTTGCTTCAGATCGTGATTCATCTACTGTTTAAAATGATTGATTATTTATAAAGAAAAATTTTTTTTCAAAAACAAACCTTCTTCCATATTGGCATCAACGTTCTCTTCAAGTGTTTCATCTGGTTTAACTTGTGGACTAGGAATTAAATGACGGACAGCTAGTATATCTATAATTTATTAAATTATCGTTAAATTCGAATGTGTAAAAAAAAAATAAAATCAACCAACTATTATCATCCTCGACCATAGAATTTTTTGGATAATCACGCCATCGCCATTTTTTCATATCAACATCCATTTGTTCTTCATCTTCATCGGGCCACATTTTATTACTCATCTTTAATAATGATCTATATTTCTAATCAAATTAAATTAAATGATGATGATGATGATGAATTTATTGATGGCAAAAAAAAACTTACCGATCCAGAATGTGTGAAATTTAAAATAGCTGCTAGACTCACACACTGCTGCGGTGTTCAATGGATCAAAAATAGCCGGCCGGCTTATTTTCAAATATAATAAATATATGGAGAAAAAATGGATGATTGATTCGATAAAAATAAAAAAATTCCGTTTAAATGTTTTTCACACTTCCTTTGGTTGTTTTCGTGTGTGTAGTGGTAGTTGTCACAATTAGTCATCAATATAACAAGGAAAATATATCAACTATAATACAACATAACATCCAAGATGAAATATATTTTTCACAAATTTTTCGATGTATCGATATTATCGAAATAGAATCGTTGTGTGTTTGTTGAGTTGTTGTATATAGAATTCGAAGAAACAAACAAACAAAAAAAATTCATTCAGAATTAATGAATTTGAATTTCAACAATAAACAAAAAAAATAATTCAATTTGAATTTCGATTCCTGGTATATGATGATGTTGTTTGACAAACTTTTCGATTGTTGTCATTGATTTTTTATATTCATATAAGATTTACGTGTTGGCAATCATCACAATTGATTTAATGTTTTTTTTTTGTTGATGTTATTGTCGTCGTCGTCGTTGTTGTTTGATTTTTGTAATTTAAATTGCTGAGCACAACATATACACAAAAAAAATGAAAAAAAAACTTTGAATAGGCCCGGTTTATAGACGACAACATATCATCATTATCATTAAAAACCAGAAACAAAAAGAAGCAGCTGAGACCATATATAATAATAATAATATTCGATACCAGGATTATTTGAGAAATCCAGAAAAAATATAAAAAATCATCAACCAGAAAACTTGGAAAGAAAAATTTTTTTTTTTTTTTTTTGTTTAACTTGAACCACCACTAACCACAAATAGATAGACGAATACACACACACACACACATACAAGTCGAGCGACGACAGAGAAAAAGGGAGAGAGCGTAGTAAAAAGGCAGAACACGCAGCACATTCGATTATGTGGTGGTGTTGGTGGTGGTGATGATGATGATGATGATGAATTCAATTTGTTGTTAATGTCGACTATATCCACCTAAATGGGTAAATAAAGGGGGTTTGGGTATTTTTTGAAATTTAATTCAGTTTTTGCTTTCATTTTCATTTATCACAAATATATTTTTTATTTATTTATTTAGTTAAAAATATGATGGCAATAAGAATATGAACAAAAAGAAATAAATAAACAGAGAAAAAAAAGAAAGAATCAGATGATGACCATCGGTTTTTTGTTTCTGAAAAAAATAATGTTTATGGCTGCCTGTGTACGCGCGTTTAGTGGTAGTAAAAGTAGTATATATATATGGTTTCCAAATTCTGGTTTCGTTATTTTGAGAGGGTAGATGATGATGATGATGATGATGATGAGAGATAGTGGGGAGAAAAATGATGAAAAATAACAAATAAAAAAATAGATCACAAAAAATAGTATAGATTAGAATAGAATAAGGTAAGATGCCGGTAAGAATTTTTTTTTGCTTCTTCAAGATAGTAGCCGATCGTGTTCTTTTTTTTTAATCAATTTTTTTTCAAGAATTATCCGAATCATCCGATGAATGATATTGAAAACCGTGATCATCTTGATGATTTACAACTGTTGCCTGTTGATGATGATTTTGTGATGAATGTGTGGATGAATCATCATTATGCTGTTGTTGTTGTTGTTGTTGTTGTAAATCATTCGACGATTGTATGGATAATTTTTTCAATTCTCTTCGTAAACAGGAAACATATACACGATAACGTTTTATCTAAATTAATATACAATTAAATTGAAATTAAAGTTAATTTTATATGATAAAATCTAATCCATTGTTATACCTCATGTTGTAGATAGGTTTCTTTCTCCATAAATCCTTTACGATATTTAGAATTTTGGCATGATTTTTCCAACAATTGTTCCAAATCTTTTTGTAATGATAATAATTTATTTTCTTGATCTTTTAGTTGTTCACGCTAAAAAATTTTTTTTGTTAAGTAGAAATAATTAGGACTTGTTATTCACAATTTCAACAACAACAACAACAACAAAAATTCAACTTACCAATGATAATTTAGTATGGCTAACAGGAAATATTTCTTTTGTTGTTTTAAATTTTCGACTATCCGAACTTACTGCCATTGGTAATGTTGGTGCCGAGAGACTAGCTGCAGTTGTATTGATCGTTTCGATCCATGATTGTAATTCTTTTGAATCACTGAGGAAAAAAATAAATGCGTTAGTGTAAAAAACAAAAAGAAATTTTTTTTTCTTACCTAGTTTCAAATAAATATTCCGCATAATCAGCTGTGATTAAACGAAATACAAATTTTTTCTTAGGATAATCATCCGCTTTCGATGCAATTGAATGATGTATTCTTATTGAATTGGCAAAACTTTCCTGTAATTGTGATTTACGAAATCCATTTTCATCTTTATGTAGATAAAGAACTAGATCTCGTAATGTTGCATAGAATAATTTCCAGTTACGTTTACCGATTGAAGCTAAATAATAATAAAAATAACAACAACAATAATAATCAGATGACATTAATCAATCAATCAATCAATCAAGGATTATGGAAAAGAAAATAAAAACACTTACTTTTATGTCCATTTGAATCATAACAACATTTACGACGAATATAACCTTTTTTATATTCAATTGCAACCAATGGATTTGGTAGTTCAATAAATGGACTTGTTGCTAATGCTGATGCGGCTGTTATTGTTGCCGTTGTTGTCATCATTGATGATGATGACGATAATTGTTGATTAAATTTTCTAGGTAATGTTGCATATGGTGAACTAATCGATTTCGATATTGTTGTTATTTTAGCAAATACATTATTATTATTATTACGATTTTTTATTGTTGTTGTTGTAGATTTTCCTCCCATTGTTATAATTTGATCTTCATCACTATACAACAAAGAAAAGAAAAAAAAAAAATGAAAACAATTTAGAATTATACACACACACATACACAGACAATTATATAATAACATTATTATTATTATAAGTAAATGAACAACGAAACAAAAAATAACTAAAAATAAACTTACTCAATCCAACCAAGTGGATTATTCTTGACCGAATAATAAAGATATTTCAATAGATTACTTGGATAATCATCACCATCATTCATACCGGCTAAATTGAGTATAAAATTTGAACAAGTCATTTTACGTTGAATGTTCTATTTTGTTAAACAAAAATTATTTCAAAGTGAATAATAGAATGAAAATTGACCACTTACCTCTTCATGTAAATCCGTATTCAATAACATCAATGCACATGTCAAGGTGTGTATTGAATCAATACTTTTAAATTCGGTATCTGGATTACATTCATGATAACGTTTAGAGAAATAAACTAAAACACGTTCACGTTCTTGTGTTTCACCAATCAAATGAAAATAGGAGAAAAAATTCCGTAATGCAACATCCAATTCTTGATTAGTAAAATTAAATAATTTCAGATATTCTTCTGCCACTGTACGACAAAATTCATTATTCTTCGATAAATGTCTGGCTACATCAGATTTTTTAAATCCTTCAAGATTATATAATCGTCTTGCTAGTCGTGATGCACTCGGTGTATCGATTCCTTGTTGTTGCTGTTGTTGTTGTAGTTGTTGTTGACCATTTAATTTTATTGGTGATGAATAATATAACAGGCTACTATTATCACTTTCAATCGATAATTCATCCATTGATCGAGAATAATCATCATTATCATCATCGTCATCATCATCATCATCAGGAATTAAATTATAAAGATTTGATTCCTGTGATTTGAATAAACAATCGCCAATATTTTCATAACAATTTTCTTGTTTTTTATCTGATTTTTGTTGTTGTTGATCAAAAAATGAAAAATGTTGATAATCACTTGAACAATTCGATGATGGTGGTTTTGATGAATGTGATGGTGATGATGGTGATTCATGTTTTACAGATTGTTTTCTACTACCACCACCATCGTCATCGCCATCATCGCATACAATACCAGATGATACATTTCCCGATGATGTCGTTGCTGTTGATGATAATGAATTTGATATTTTTGATGATGATTTGAATGTATTATTATTATTATTAGTAGTTTTGGTCAATTCTACATTTGTTGGTCCAGTATTTGTTATTGATTCATCATCATTATTGATATCAGTCTCTTTTGCATGTTGTAAATTTTGTTCCAAATTTGAACGTATACAATCAAGACAATCATCATGATCTGTATCATTTGAAATGATTTTACAATTATCATCATCATCATCACCATCCGTGATTAATTGTCGTGCTTTTGATTTCACTGATGATGAAGATGGTTTAACTTGATTTTGATTATCATCCAAAATTGTTGTTATCGTTTGATCATCATCATCATCATCATGAATGTTTGAAAATTTTTTCAAATTTTGTTGTTTCCCATTCACAAATGTTGTTGTTGTTGTTGTTGTTGTTGTTGATGATGATGATGATGATGATAATTGTCGTCGATTTTTTCCATTCAACAAATTATTTGTATCACCTGTTTTTGTACTACGTAGATTGATAATTAGATCACCAGTCATAAGGAACCAATCCTGATTATTTGATGTTGTTGTTGTTGTTGCTGCCATTGTTTTTGTTGTTGTTGATGTTGTTGTTCAGTCATTAATTTATTCTTCATTCACATCGATTGTTGTTTGTTGATCATTATTTTATTATTTAAAGCCGTCATTATTTATTTATTTTTTTTCGAATTCACGAAAACGTCAACGAAAAAAAAGCACAACCCAAATTTTTTTTTTCAATCAAATAAATACACATACAATACAGGCAAGCAACCACACAGCGATTTATCGATCGATCAATCACACAATTAATCAATCAATCAATCAATTTATGTGGCCACAGATTGAAAATAAAAAAACACACACACACACACACAACAATGATTTGATTATGAAAAAAAGAGAAATGTGAAAACAATTGTTTTTTTTATGTTTTTAATGAATGAATAGGATCTTATTTTTATATCAATTCGACGAGAGAGAGAGCGATGTTGTTGTTGTGCAATTCAATTTGTATTCGGATCAATACAAAAAGATCAATATCATCATCATAAGCGTTGTCGATTTTTTTTTTACATAAACATGATTATTTGGTGATGGTTGATATTTGTATCCATTTATAGCTTTCACATACATACACACACACATAAAATGTGAATTGTTGAACGAATAAAGAATTTCACATCATACACGAAAAAAACACGATTCTATAACGAAAATATCGAGAATTTGTTGTTTCGATTGTAAAACGTATTGTTTACGATGAACATATCCATGTGTGTGTGTGTGTATGTATCGATCACATCATATCATAATCGTTGATAATCATCATCATCATGAAAAAAAAAAAAAAAAATCTTCAGTGTTTATTTGCTACCCCATTATAACAACCAACAAATATATACGGGCCTGTTGCTTTGCTTTTTTCTTGCTGCCGATGATGATGATGATGATGGTATAGTTTTATAGTGTATATCATTCACGATGAATTTGAATGTGATGGTGATATTTTTGGTTGAAAGTTTTCAAAAACATCAAAGACGACAGATTTTGAATGAATATAACTGTGTTTTGTTGTTGTTCAATGTTGCAAAATATAGAAAAAAAAGACAGGCCATAAACCACCAACATGTGTGTGTGTGTGTATGTATGTATGAAAAATAATCTATATATCGAGATAAAGATAGAAAATTGAAATGGTGAAAAATGAGAAAAAAACAAAAACACACACACAGTAAGAATATCTGGTTGAATAATGATTTTTTTTTTTTTTGAGTTTAAAATGTACAGAAAAAAAAAAAAAAAACAAAACAAATGAATGATTGAATCACAGGGAAAAAACAAAACAAAACAAAATTTTAAATTAAAAAAAATCAGTCTTTTTTGATGCTGCCGCTGCTCTCACACATCAACCGACAGATCGACCAACCAACCAACCAACAAATCAACCAACCACAAGGAGTGCCAAAAAAAAAAAAAAAAATCAGTCTGTAAAGGGATAATCTCAATCCTATACCAACTACATCGACTTTGAGGATAAACACCATTTATACGCACAGCACACACACATACAAAATATTGGTGGTTTAACACATTTTGAAACTTGACTTCAAAACCATCAATTTCATCATCATGATCATCAGTATAAATGGCAATGGTTTTATTTTATATTTGAAACCATCCACATTTTTTTTTTAACCGACGACTACGACTATGACGACGACGAAATAGGAACATTCATATATGAAAAGAAAAAACTAGAACTAATCATAATCATTTGTGTATATAGCATCGGAGCCATAAGGAAAGAAAAAAAAAAAAAAAATTGAAAAAAAACTATAATATTTTTGATTTTCTCGCTTTTTTCTTGCCAAATTGCTATATGTATGTGATTGTGAGCAATATATATTGATGATGATGGAAGAAAATCTCTAAAAATTGTGTCTCTATATGTCTCACATCAACATATCTATGTGTTTTTGTTAATGATAAATGATGATTTCAAACATTTATATACTTACTTTATAAACTCGGCATGAATAGAAAAAAAAATGAATGAATTGTAAATAGGAAAATGAAACAAGAACACACAAAGTTATAAGTTCAAAGTTATGAACTAAAAAAAAAAATGAAAAATGAATGACTGAATTATGAGAGAAATGAGAGGAGTTGTGAGCATTGAAAAAAAATAAATATAACACACAAACACAAACACTACTATGAATTTCGAATTCGTCGTCGTCATATGATGATGATGATGAGAATGATGATTGGATTCAAAATCCAAAATATTCGACAGTTAGACAAAAAAAATGCTGTTTGCTGTTTTCATCATCATCATCATCATCATCAATTGATCATTCATGATGATCATTGCAATTTTTCTTTGCCGTTGTTGTTTTTTCTTCTTCTTCGATTCAGTATTTTTTTCTATTCGTTGATATAATCATCACATTCATACACCAACACACAAACATACAGTTGCATGTATATGAATCAAAGATGTTTTCATCATCATCATCATCATCATCATCATGATGAAAATCAATTTTTCTTCGCAAAAAAAAGAAAAAATTTTCACATAGATCGTTGTTGTTGTTGTTGTCGTTTTTGGCTACATTTGGAATTGAAAAACAAGTGAAAAAGTTACTATTGTCGACATGATATATTGATTAATTTTTTTTCGTTGAGAAAAAACAAATTGAGAGACAAACATAAACACAAACACAAACAAATATTTTAATTCTATTGTTCCTGGAACAACAACAATAACAAAAGAATGAATGAATCGTCCCAAAAACAGAAATCGAATGTTTTGTGTGTGTGTGTGTGTGCACGAAGAGAGAGAGAGAGAGCAACAGAAAATTCTAGTCGAATCGTTTTTAAATAAATAAATGGCCACAATGCAAACATAAATGTAGCTGTTACAATAAACATTTAGAATTTGTTGCATTCATTTTAAATTGAAAATAGAGTTGGTCACATTGTTGTGGCTATAATGAATTTCAATGTATCAAAATTAATTGTGACCGTAGCTGTAGTATGTTCATTTTTTTTCTCTTCATCGAATCATTTCGAATGATGCATTTTTAGGCTCATTTTTGGCCAACGCAAAATCGGTTTGTTGTTCATCATCATTTGATTGATTTGTTCGTTTTTTTTTTTATTTGGATCAAAAAAAAAAAAATTGGCGCGATAAAATTCAATTCATCTCACCAACACCTGATGATTAATGAAGATTATTAAATCAAATCGATCATTAATCAATCAATCATTTGATTTTTATTTGATATGAATTTCACCTGAAAATTAAAACAAAAAAAAAAAAATGATATGTGATTGATCAATCATCTTGATGACATGATGATTGGTGCATACTCGATCAACAACCTCATCTTCATCCTACGCATGAGAAACCTATGGCCATCACTATCACCATCATTATCATCATCGACATTGAATTGAATTAAATTGTGTTTAATGTGAAAAGAACACGAAAAAAAACTATGTTCCAAAATGGTAATAAAAAGGCGGCGTACAGGATTTGAAAATCGCAAAAGTTTAAAAAGTAAAAACCAAACCATTATGCAGAAGCAAAGATGATATAATCATCGCCAAAATAAGATGCTCATCATTCGTTTACCATAAATGATTTTTTTTTTTTTTTTTTTGATATTCAAGTTTCTCATTTTCATTTCATTTCACAATAAAATAAAGACATATTTATTTATTTATTCGGTTTGTATATATGAAGGAAAAAAAATATATCTATGTTGTGTTTTAAGAATATATATGAAAGATGAAAAAAATGATTGAAATTGATGATGGCGACAGATGAAAAAGAAATAAGAAATAGATAAGGATAAATATTGAAAAAAATGTGATTGGTTGGTAGTAGCATTTAAAAATTTGATATTTTAAGAGGATACGATAAGGTGTGTTCTGGTGGCTGGTTAATAATAAATTTTAAAGATTCCATGAGATATATAAATTTGGCTGAAAGCAAATGTGATAAAATTGGACATTGAAAATTGTGTAATGAAATTTTTTTCCCATGAATATAACCGGATTGAAAATGATATTCTTGGCGTTTTTTTCTCGTTTGGCTCTATATTTTGAATTTGTTCTTGTTGTTGTTGTTGTTTTTGTTGCTGTTGTGATGAAATGGCACTGATAAAAATGGAGGTTTGAATTTTCATTTTCGGTTTGTTTTTTTCGATGTAATACTTGGGCCATGTAATGATAGCAGTAGTAAAAGGATGAGGATGAATGTGATAAAATGATTGACACATTTTTGTTGTTTAAAAAATTGATTGATGATCATTCAAATCGATGGGTGTTGGGGGTTAAGCGAAATGTGGAAAGCAATGAAAATTCATTATATCGATGATCGATTTCGGTTCATTTTCCTATTTTGTTCGTTTATTTAAATCATTCAATGTGTTTCACCATTATTTGTACGTGATGATTCATCAGTATCCAATGTTATATTATGTGCTGCTAATGCTTTTTCTGTATCACGAAGTCTAATCTCATGTTTCAATACGATTGCCTTCAATTTATGTACTTCATTAGCTAATTCTTCGAATTTTTGCAATTGTTCCGGTGTCATACCGGGTGGTGGTAATGATGATAATAATGCATCAAGACTATCACCACCACCACTACTACCAGTAACAGCACTTGATTCACCATCAGCTGTTGATCGTTTTGATGCCGGTTTCGTATCCAATATGTTGCTCTTCTTTTTAACAACTTTAAGGTCCTGTTTTTTTGTCGATTGATAACCTTCTTTCAATGACACCTAAAGGCAATAATTAAAATTTTTGTTAAAAATAGTACAAATCCATATCCATTTTAATTAAAATAATATATAAATAAAACTCGTTCATACCAGAATCGGTTCAGCATCTTCACCATTAATCCATTGTTCAGCTGTTAATGCTGGTTCATCGCCTGCTGTATCCGGATAGAGATCATCTTGAAATAGTTCAGACTAAAAGAGAGAAAGAGAACATTAATTCAAAAAATCCAAATATCGATTCCATCGATTGATTGATTTTTTTCCTTACTTTTCTTGGCACAGTAAAACTAATTACTTCACATAAACCTTTTGAATGTAATTTAAAAAGCCTAGCAATTTCATTATTATGAACATCACAGCCACGTTTTGGCATATAACCAATACCACGTTGTGGTTCACTTGATTGGTATGTATTTATATAATGAACAAATGGTGGTTCATCGGTGATTTCAAAGTAACGTATATTACTATCACCCTATGTATGTGCGTGTGTAATTGAAAAAAAAAAATTACAATTAGAAAGATTTGTTAAACGAAAACAAAAAATGACAAACCTTAGCACAAAGATATAAAAGATTAACATCCGGATCATAGAATGGATATAATACACCATTACTAGTGTCCAATGTTTCCAAAACGATTGGCTTTAGATCCGATTCACTACGTAATGAATATTGTCGTTCACTCATTTTAGAGAATCCGGTTGTGAAAATTAAATCATCACGAAGATAGATGGCTCGTTGTGGTTTAGCGCCTTCATGACCTTCACCTTCCTGATGTTATATAAAAAATGTCATTGTTTTATACACACACTCACAAAAGATTATTATGAAAAAAGACAATACCTGTTCCATATCTCCAGTACGTGGATCATATATTCGTATTTTTTTATCTTTCGATGTTGTTACAATACGTGAACCATTCCAACACCATGATACATGAAAAATAAGATCAGGCAAAGAAATGGCTGATAATATTTCACCAGTGCCAACATTCCAGATGATAATTTTACAATCAGCACCAGCTGATAACAGTACATTATTAGCGGATGGATGCCAGGCAAGAAATCCAACACGACGTTGATGACCAACAAGATCGACAACCGGATCGGTTAATGTACGTGATAGGCCATGATCAGGAATTTGCCAAACTTTAACCGTTGTATCTTCCGATGAACTTGCAATAATATTATCATTGAATGGACACCATGCAATATCCAATACAGGTCCTTTATGACCGGCAACTAATGGATGATTAATATCAACACGTCCAGGCTATAAATATGAAAAAAAATATTAATCAAAAATCATCTGTTAAAATATATATTCAACTTACCTGTTTCAATGGTAATACGAGGAAAGCACCACCACCGGCAGCTTCAATAACGATGGCAACAAATTTTGAATTTACAGCACAAAAATTACCATCCCATGAATTTTTCGATATCCGTATATTATCATAACAATTTTCACGTTTAAATGCTTGACCAAATACATGACGAAATTTACTTGTACGTACAATACCACGTGATGCCATTATTGTTGTTGTTGTTTTAAATTTTATCTAATCTGTTATTGTTGATCAATGTATTGTGTGTGTGTGTTGTTTCGAACAACAATCAATTGAAAGAATTTATTTTTCTTTTGCACGAATCGACCAAATCTGTTGAAAGGGAAGAGAAGAAAAAAATCGTTAAATACGTGTTATTCTCGCAAACATTTCGAGGACAAAAAAAACAAAACAAAAATGAAAAAAAATCACATTTCCACACCCAAAAATTCAAAAATTGACATTTTTTTAATTTCATTGCCTTGCTCTGATGCCTGTATATTTTTTTGGTACAAATCCAAAAACAAAAAAAAAAATCTTTTCATGGTTACCATTCGGGCCTAATATAATAATGTTTTCATCATCAACATCGTCGTCGTTGCAATCATGATCATGGTCAGTGATTCTCAAATTCAATCATTGAATGAATGAAAAAATTTGAGAATCTCTGATTCATTTGATTATTTACCCAATTAAGACACCCATCATTTACAACAAAACCATAACCACCTACAAACAATGATGATGATGATTGCATATTGCAACAATTGAATTTAGCATTCGACATTCGAATGTTTGTTTTGTGTGTGTGTGTGACATTCGAATTCGAATATAAAACAGAATTCATCAACATGATCATTTACATAAATCTCAAAAAAAAACAAACAAACAACCATCAAAAGAAATTAAATGGCACACACACATACCATGAAGAATTATCAACGAAATGAGATTGTCAACAAATTATTTTATTATAATGATGATGATGATAATGATGCGGCAACGATAATTATCACAATAATTCAATAGAAAAAAAACCGACGACAACAACCAAAGAGAATTTGGAAATGGAAAAAATTTATTTGACAAATTATTGTGTGTGTGTGTGTGTGTGGTTTAATCGTTGTATCCTCATACCGATTATGATGGTTTCATATCAATAACAAAACACACACACAGGAACCGAAAAAAATCAAAGAAAAAAGCCAATGTAAAAAGACAAAAAAAATCCATATCTAAAAAAATAACCAAACCCAAAAAAAAAGTTTTTCATTTTGGGTGTTGACAACAACTTTTTTTTTGTCAAGTGGTTGCCTCTCTCTCTCTCATTCTTTTTCTTTTGTATCTCTCTCTCAAACAGGAAATCCAATCTCTCAATCTCTATCGTTTTTGACTTTATTATATTTCGATATTTTGGGCTATTATCGAGCTATTAAAACACACACATTAACCAGCATAACAACAACAACACAAAACAGATATAGACAATATAAATAAACGACAAAAAAAACAACAAACAAACAAACAAACAAAAAAATCATCCAGCATAATCATTATCAAACAAATCAATCGAACAAAAAAAAATCGTCACCATAAAAAAAATGGGAATTTTTGTCAATTTTTAAGGATTAAGATTTTCAAAACACAAAAAAAACTTAATCATCAAAATTCGAATGGCCAATGGCATACAAACACAGAAAAAAAGACTATTTTGACTTTATTCATATTTTTAGATTTTCCGATTGTTGTAAATATCGATATAATCGGTTCGAATGTTTGATCTATACGGCCATCATTATTAACATCATCATCATCAATGATATTCGATCAATAGATGAATGAATCGGATTTTGAATTTGAATTTTTTTTTTGAATCGAAAATCGATTTTGAAATATGATGAACAATGCAACAAAAAAAAATAAAAAAAATTAGAAATGTAAATAACAAACGAATGATGACGACCTGAAACCTAAAAATAGTTTTTTTTCAACCATCATCATCATCATCATCATGTTCAATGCCTGCCCTAAAGACGTCGAAAAATTCAACATTGAAATAATCAAACTAACACACACACACACCGACTGATGATGACTGGCATCGCACCAAATTGGGATACCGAATTGTCGACGATTATTACATTATAATGATGATGATTCCATCACACATCACACCGAATTCGGATGAAAAACAAAAATTTAAAAACTAAGACACACGTCAATAAAGAATTTTACTATTTAATGAAGTATGTGTATTATTGCCTAACAACAACGACAACAACAACAACAACAATTTATTATTGAATGAGATATTTAGGTAGGTAGGTGTGTCAGAAACAAGACAGACACACATTTTTTTCACAAATACAAATTTTATACAAAGAAAACTTACCAGTTTTTTTTCTTCTTTTCTCAGAATCTGGATCGTATAAAATTGGTTCAGATCATAGATAATATATATCGGAGGGGAACAAAATTTCAGAATCGAAAAAAAAGAAAGAAAGAAATCAAGGCAGATTGAAAAAACCGCTCAAAACCAAACACAAATGAACAATGAATGTCGATGTTGATGGTCAGTGGCACTACTTAATCGAATTTTGAAATTAATTTAATATAAATATAAAATTTTGAAAAGTTTCATTGTTTTTTTTTTTTTTGAATCAAATTTCAATTTTTTTCCCTCGATTCTTTGATCTGATGATGATAATGATGATGATGATGATTTGATTGTGTGTGTGTGTGTCTGCTCTGCCCACAGTTGTCGTTTGTAATTGTTGTCGTCGTCGGCATCCATCAGCTTACACAGGCAGTCTTATTTTACTGTCTGTCTGTCGGTTCTTTTTTTTTTTTTTGTTTTGTTTGTTTGTTGTATGCCTCTGTGTCAACATTGTTAATCTGTAGTAGAGGCATTTGGTATATATATGGTATAGAAATAAAATTACAAAAAAAAAAAATGAATGAGTCATCAATCAATCGATTAATCGCGATACAATCGATTATTTTAAAATTCAAAAAAAAAATTTATTAATTTTTCAAAACTAAAAATTTATGATTGAAAATTATATAAATCCAATACAATACAATACAACACAATAAAATAAAATGATTAATAATATGAAAACGAACATTGATTTTGGATGAGTTGGTAATGTAATCGGTGAACAAAATCGGGGATCAAGGCACCACCATTATCATTCACAAGTTTTGTGATGAAGAATTCATTTTTTCTTTTCGATTTTTCATCATCATTTTACCACCACATTTACCGACAACTGTTGCATTCAACACGGCAGGTAATGATGATAATTGTAATTGTCGTTGTTGTCGTTGTTTTCCATTTTCATCATGTAATTTAAGCATTTCTTCTTTCAATTTATTCAATATTGCATAATTTGGTTTATTCGAACAGGCATTATTTTGTAATTCAGTTATTTTCTGTGCTTCTTCCTATAAATGTTCATTTAGATGTATTGATTAAAATCCAAAAAATCAATTTTTCAATCAATCAATTTTCAAACCTTTTTCTCTTTCGATGTTTTACATGAACCTTGTCCATATAATTTTAATAATGCACCCCAACATGTTAATTGTGGATGAATACTTTTTAGTATTTTCTGTGCTGCACGTTGTTTACCTTCACGTTTATTTTTACAAATGACCACAGCTTCATGTTGTCCTGCTGTCATTTTAAATTCAATTTTATGATGTTTAACAATTCTTGTATCGGTTTTTATGTCCATATCTTCGAATCCATATAATCTAGTCATCATCATAATCATAAAAATAAACTTTTCAATTACACAAAAACAAAAAAACCAACCTTTTGATACATTCAACCAATATCTGATATGGTGAATATTGGCCAGCTTTCAAACATAATTCACTAACACGTTGATCTTCAATGGAAATTGAATCAAAAAATTTCAAATCATTCAACGATTCAGCTCTATTCTGTTCTTGATTTAATGTCTGTTTCAGATCCGGTATCAATATATCTAGACTGGCACGTGCTGTTTGAAAAATGAAAAAAAGTTTTTTTTCGATTCCCTTTTTTTTACAAATTCATTCACAACAAAACTTACCAGCTTCAGTTTTTGCTTCTTTTTTACTACTACCATAACCTTTACCATATTCCATTTCATTGATAAAAACTGTTGCACAATATGGTTTACTGACATTTTCCAATTCTTGAAATTCATATTTTGGCTGCGTACGTTCAGTATGTTGTACATATTCATGTAGAATACAAATATCGGATTTACCAACTGGATTCATGATGAATTCTGTTTGGCAAAAAATAAATGAAAAAAATCCACACAACCGGACAAAAAAAAATTTCGAACCTTTTTTAAATGGTTTACCGATGGTAGCGGCAGAAACACCACCACCACCACCACCACCATTAACCGTTGCCGGTATCTTTGGTATCGTACAAGTAATTAATTTTGTAGATTCAGGCAGTGATGGACGTTGTGCTAATTTTTTCGATTGTTCATGTTTACGGCGATCGGCCCAATTACTAAATTATGGACAAAAATCAATCAATTTAAATTTTAAATTTAAAATGAATAAATTATACTAACGTAAATTTTTTCACTGTAACTGTTTTAAATTCAAATAATCGTCGACAATATTCACGAACTTTGGCCGCTTCTAATGAACGTTCTTTTTTATTCTCTTCAAGTGTTTCAACTTTTGCAATTGGTTGTGGCGGCTGTAGTGATTGCTGTCCACTACCATCATCGCCATTGCCATTACCATCGACATTATTATTATTCAAACATTTTGATTCCAATTCTTCACGTATTTTACGTTCTTTTTCCAATTCATTTCGATATTGTAAACATGGTATGGCTGATAATGGAATATGATGTTTACGTGCACTACCAGTGCCAAGATGATATGGTTTCGATAATGTACAAACACGACTTCGTTTATCCAAATAGATTGGCATACCACTAAAATGTGTTATCTCTACCCAACCTTCGGGTAGAATTTCAAATAGATCATGACCACGTTTGACTAGAATATTTTTCTGTTTAGTTTCAATTCGTGATTTAGTTGCTCGTTTTTTACCCGGTTTTCCTGTAATACGAGCAACAGCAGCAGTAGTAGTGGATGATAGTAATTTAATTTGTTGATCAATTTGTACATCTTCATTATCAAGATCATCTAATTTACGTTTAACCTGTTCACATCGTTTTAATGATTCAATATCAACACTTTCTTCAAGCATATTATCAACAAATGAATAATCATCATCATCATCATCATCTGAATCGAATGAATTAATTGAACATTGATCATCAACATCATTATCTTGATCATTATTTGATATTTCATTCATCATCATCGATATTGTTGTTGTTGAATCATTATGATCACATTGTTGCGGATCATTGTTTGTCGAATCATCAATCATCGATGTTTCATTCGTTAACATTTCAACAACATTACAATTATCAACAGCGACACTAGAATCCGTTTCATTTTCAGTTATTGTTTCCGACATGATTTTGTTGTTTTTGTTTCGTTACTAATTTTCATTGTTTACAATTTTCTGGTGTCTGCACGCGTTAACCACCACCACCACCACCACCACACTTTTAATTGTCTATCTATGTGTATGTTGGGTTCAGAATTTTTTTCAACAAATAATTCACCAACAGATGGCGTTGACTATAGAATTTTTTTTCACAATAAAATATTTTGCCATCTAGTGGCCAAAATCTTTATTAATTGATTATTTTAAAAAATTCAATCATCTTGGCACGTATTTTTTAGATTTAATTTAAAATCAAACGAAAAAAAAAAAAAAAAAAAAAAAAAATAGTCAAAATTGTATTCAAATAGTATGAATGGATAATAATAATTTGATTGTTTGATTCAAATTCAATCATATAAGTAAATAGAAAAACACACACACACACAAGCTGTTATTGTGACACGCAAACACACTTATCTTCAAGAAAATGATGGTAATTTAGCTACTTTTTCATCAATCATTGCTAATAATTTATCCATTTTTTCATTTTTTCCTTTATATTTATTTAGATCGGGTCCAAGCATTTTAATCAATGCCGGTACATCTGTTGGACTAATTTCAATAAATCTTGTAATAGCCGTCAAGCTAAGCAATGCTTGATCATCTGGTAGATCACTATGCATATATTGCAATACAGCTGTAGCCAATTCAATTGATACGTCTTCGAAAACTTCTTTCAATGATAGATTATAGATAAGATAAACACCATTACGTTGTAATGTTGTTAGTTGATCATTGAGCAATGTATGTACCGCTGCACGAATTGTAACACGTGAATTACTATTTGGATGTCCATTTTCTTCACACCATTCACTAATATACATTAGCCAATCGATTGTTGATGGTTGTCCACAAAGATTACATAACAATTTAACAATTTCTTCTTGTTCGGCAAGTGTTAAATTTTCAATACGATTTATATAGCTCATTATACGATGATCTTTACGATCCTGATGTAGAATCAAAACAACATCTTCTTTTAATGATGCTGCTTGTAACACTTCTAATGTTAATAATGTTACATTTGGTGCAAATTTTCCATCACCACCACTATATTATTGTATGGATAGAAATTTTTAACCACAAAAAAATTCTGACAAAATCTAACTTACTTGAGTAAATAGGCGATAAGATCCAAATGTTCATCACCGATAGCCCAGGCACCTGATTCTGATTGTAGATATTCATCAATTTCTTTCAGACATTGTTGTTGTTGTGGATTCAACATTGTAAATACCATTTCTTCTACTTTACGAATGGCTGCAAGTCCCTAAATATATAATTATAATTTGAATATATCGATTATCGGATCCAAAAATTTAAACTTACATCAATATCTTTGAATACAATTGGTGGATCTTCATATTTATACGAACGTCTTGATGTTGATGTTGTAAATTTATCACCAATGGCTTTATCATCACCATCATCATCATCATCATTATTAATATTTTCACCATTATTATTTGGAAAATTTTCCACCAATTGATCATCCGACATTTTTAATTTGTTTTGTGATGATGTTGATGTCGGTATTTCGTTATTATGATCAGAAACAGATTTCGATATTGTCGTAGATATTGATGAATCCGTTGAAATTTGTTTCGGATGATTATTATTATTATTATTATCTTCACAAACGTCCGGATTATAGAAACGTACACCAGAACCTTTTGGCCGTATTGTTAATGTATTCAAATATTGTTGTAATGTTTGCCCAAGTGGCCTGAAATCATCATCACCATCATCAACAACAACAACGACAACAACAACAAAAAAAATCAAAAATTACGAAAAATAAAAAAAAATTTCAATTTTGCAAATGAAAATGTGAAGCAATCCAATAATAAACAGCAAGCACAGAAAAAAAAACATGCAACAAATCACAAACAACACCACAAGCACAAAGTTTGGAATCGATCCAAACATGAAAAACTGTGAAACCGAATACACACACACTTACATACAGAGAGAGAGAGAGAGAGAAGGCTTCAATAGTGGGGCAAAACTTTGACTTTTTTTTTGCTAGAAAAAGAAAAATTCTCTCAATCACAATTCTATGAATAGATTTTTTTTCGTCTCAACTTTTTACCATACACACACAAATACACACATTATATGGAATACATACAAACTAAAAGATTTCACACTGTCTAGAAATTCTTCTCAAATCATCATCACTACGCTGTAGTTGAAGAATTTGTTTTTTTCTTCCTCTTACCATAATCATCTAATAATCAAAATGGATAAATTTAGCCCATTCTGAAGAATCACGAATCATGTCATCATCACATTATCGTTATGAATTTTTTTTTTTTTTTGATTCCTGTATATATGATAATGCGTGTGTGTGTATGTGTTGGGTGTGTACACACCATCACCATCTCTTTCGTTATAGCTACTTGATTATTATATAAAGAATTTATATAAATAAAACAAGAAAAACATGTAATACATACGTGGAAAGAAAATCATTTGGTAAGTTCAATATCTCATCCGGAATGCCATTACCAGTAAGAAATAGGGCAATTTCATTTGAAAAATTATTACAATTATTTTCAAATATTTGATATGAACTAGGTCTATAGGTAAAAATTTTTGTCATAGAATCATTCATCGGCAGTATAAATCATTTATAACTTACGAAAATGTTGATTCACCCATTGAGAAAAGATATTCAAGAAATAGATTGTACGATACTTCTGTATGACCCAATGCTAATATCTGATCCGGTTCACCTAATTGGCTTGAACCCTTGATTTCCGTGTTAGAGAAAATAAAGAAAATTTAATTAATTTCCTGAAAAATCTCAAAAAAAAAAACAAACTTACAGCAATACAGCTTTCAATTCCACGACCACCGAAAAAATATTCACGGTCATATACAACAATGGCCGTATGCCAAATGGCCGGAATTTCACGACCTGACCAAAAAAAAAAAAAAAAAAAAAATGAAACGAAATCCACCGAGAATAATAAATGAAAAAAAATAAAAACCTAAAAACAATGTCGATAATGATCGTGCCATCCCTTTGGATAGATCATAGATATAAAGTGAAACTTCATAACGTTCTTGATGATGATGATGATGATGATGACTCATTATGGAACTATATCGAAATTATCGCAGGAATGAATATGTTCGATAAAAAAAATGATGAACAACAAATATCGATTATAATCGATATATATAGCAGCAGTAGGAGAAGGAGGGTATTTCGGGAACAATTGAATTTTTTTGGAACTTAATTTCGTTTTTTCAATCAATACACAAAATTGCCAATCGACCATTCAATTACCATTGATTTTATTTGATTAAAATAAAAATCATCATCATTTTCTGCCAATTCATCGTTGTCGACTACGACGACGACGACGACGACGTCAATGACGCAAACTCCACCTTTTTGAAAAACATCAATTTATTTGTTGTAACATTGTTGATATATACAATCAACTGTTGTGCAGTTTGAGTTTCTCGGTTTTTTTTATCATGATAAAAAAAATTTCAGAATGAATAAGTTTCCTGTATGTGTGAATAATAATCAATGAATCAAACACATTCATCAGCATTAGTAAGCAAAAAAAAAAAGAAAAGAAAAAACAAATTCAAGGCAATGACCAATCACAACAAAAACACGTGTTGTTTACCTTGACAATGTTCAATTGATTTTCATTTGATCTGAAGAATTTTTTTTTTGTCTTGACAATGAATTTTTCAAAAAAAAAATATTTGTTCAAGTTGAGAAAATTCAGTGAAAAAAAACTATTTCGATTGTTTTCATAAATCTGGACATGAGACATTATTCGGGTAGAAATAGCGTGAAAAGAATAACGGATCATAATAATTTTTTTTTCTAAATATAAATATTCGATTCGATCGATTGATTTGAACATCTAAGAACGAATATTCTTCGAGATATGATGAATAATATTCCAGCAGAAATATCTGTAAATCCGGTGCCTTATATATCATTGCTTGGATTAGATGCCGCAAATAATCCAATACATTCTATAATATGGAATAGTTTTGCAATAAATCGGTCAACCGATCGACCAGTTTTATATTATAAATTATTACCCATTGATTATCGATTTCCATCATCTAAAAATCGAGTAAGTATTTTTTTCCAAATAAAAGAAATCTCGAATAATTGAAAATTTATTATTTAGCGATCATATGATCGTTATATACCGGCCGGTATAATCAAAACTAAATGGCTAAATAAACATCTGTTTGAAATACCATCAGTGGTCGTGGTGTTTGTTTCATTGCAAAATTGGCAACAATTAGATCGTCATCGATTAATTGATGAAATTAATTCATTGAAAATGGCACTAATAAATCGTCAGATAAAAATCGTCGTAATTCTATTACAAAGTGAACCAATATCATCCATTACATATAATCATCAAGATAATCATCAAGATGTTAATCAAATTAACAAAGATCAAGCTACACGTTTATGTGAAGAATGTGATATTAATCCAAAATCATTATTCATCATACCAGTACAGGATGAACAATCCATTCCAGGTTATGTACATCGTATTGAATCAACATTGAATGAATTGGTTAAAGCACATTTTTCATCGAAAGTAAAACAAATTAAATCCTATCGTGATCAACTAAATAAAATTACACAAAATTATCTATTCGTACGTCATGAATTTAAACTTGGTTTCTATCATGAAATTCGTCAAATTTATAATCAAGCATTGGTTCATTATAAAAATGCTTATGCATCATTGATGGAACTACGACAATCATCAATTAATCTGATTGAAATTAAAAATGTTGCTACCGTTTTAAATTATAAAATCATACGTTTATCATTCTATTTAAACATTCCGTTGGATGCAATTTCATATTTTCGTAAACATATCGATATATTTCACAATCGTTTTGCCGATGATGAACGTATTGAATTTGAACATTATGCATGGCTTGCCAATCAATTTTATTTGTTTGCCGAATTATTCGATATGTCAATATCGATGTTACATCTTTCACCGTCGTCATCACAGAATCCTGGTGTTTATTATTTTGAATCCGCTATGTATACGATAAAACGTCGTGAATCAAGTCAACGATCATCATCATCATCATTATCGTCGTTGAATCATGAAGAAATTGCCCATGTTGAACGTGCACTACAGAATGGATCAGAATTCATTGGACAGCTTAGTTGGTATCGACCTGGTGAATTGAATGATGATAGCTATGTGAAAATATTTCATCATATTGAACGTACAACCGATCTGGCACCATTTCTTATAAAACTTTTGGTTAATGTATTGAATCAGATCAAAAAATTCAAGAAACCACGTTTTATGCGTTTTGTTATGTACCTGATTGGTCGTGAATATTTCTTGCAAGGTAATTACAATGATGCCTTAAATTATTTTGGCAATATCCTCGGTTATTATCGTGAAGAACGATGGAAACCAATTCATCGACGTCTTGCTCAACTTGCGTTGCAATCTGCATATCTTTGTATGGATTATATTAGTGTTATAAAATGTTCATTCGAATATATATCAAATGATACGATTGATCCACAGAGAAAAATTTCACTACTAAAATCATTGCTCCAATTTTTACAATTAGAATTTCAATCATTCATCACTGATGATACAGATGTGGAAATGAAAATAAATTCGAAAACTTTATCAGAAGCTGAAATGGAATGGCCAAGAAAATTGATGGAAATCGAACAAAATGGTCTACCTTCGAATATTGGTGGTGAAATACTAATCAATGCTGATCATGAATTGAATTTTATGAAATGCAAAGTTACATTTGATCGTCGACAATATACAATTGAAGATGATATTCGTATTAAGGTGGCAATTTTCAATCAACTCATCGAACAACTTGATCCAATAGACATACAAATTAGATTTGAAATACCTGAATTTGATAAACAATGTCAATTATTATCACCGCAAGATGAACAACAACAATCTATACTTTATTCAAATTCATTAAATTTATTTGAATTTCGTCTACGATTACGACCATCCAATGATCGTCAATATTGTCGAATTAAAATCAGTGAAATAGCAGTGATATTGAAATCGAAAATTTCCGTTCGTTTTCAATGGCTTTATACATCCACAATGTTGACGATGGCAACAACAACAACAACAACACCAACAATTACTTTACCAATTTCATCGATATCCGATGATTCAATCAAATTTAATAAAATTGATAATAGAATCGATGCTGATTTGTTGGACTTGGAATCACGGTTACAATTGATTGGCATCGAAATGAAACAACGTTTATTTCGTAATGAAAATGCATCCATACGGATTCGATTACGATCAAAAGAACGTCATGTTATTGGTAATTTAAAATTATTGCCGAAAATTATGATCCAGCAGCAGCAGCAACAACAACAACAACAAGTGGCTATAGCTGCAACCGAGATAAACATTGATAATACTGCTACCGTTATGAATATTATCCAGGATACCAATTGTCAATGGTCAATTCGTCTTGTTAATCAAACTGATGCTTTTGAAACCATTCCATCCGATTCAGCGGGCATTTTAATCACTGATCAACTTGAACCTAGCCACGATGATGATGGTGATGATGATTTCATCATTGATCTTATACTCTGCTCACGTGATCTTGGATTGAAAATATTATCATTCGAATTTAGTTATGATTTAATGATGAAAACAGATGATGATGATGATGTTCAATCGATTCCGATAACAAAAAATTTTCAAACATCAATCAATGTTGTCGAACCATTTCAATTTTTAGCCAAAGTGGCTAATTTTGCTAATCCAGATACATCAAACATACGATTAGATGAACCATTTAGATTGAATTGTCATTTACGATTACCAACGAATGGTGATGAAGAAGATGATTACAGCAGCAGCAGCAACAACAATAATCAAAAAGATGATGATTCATCAATAATTGAAATTGATTCGATTAGTTCGAATTTTGATGAAAATATCAAAATTATTTCACAAAAAATGACCAAATTACCAGCATTGTTATCGAAAGATTCAACTACGCCTATTGATTCATATCTAATGAATTGTATTAAATCTGAACAAAACCACAACCATTAGGATCATGGTCAATACGATGGCATCGAAAATCGGAAACCACCACCGCTATTCATGCTCCAATACTATCGGAAACCACGTTTCCATTACCAGCAATTACAATGATACCGGCAATTATTTATGTGGAGCTATTCGTTCCGGATAAATTATATGCACGTAATCCATTTATGGCTAAATATAAAATTACCAGTCGTTTAGATGTGGATGTTAGTCTTGAAATACAGATTGGACAAGCCGAATATTTTATGATTGCTGGAAATCGACAAGTAAGTAGAAAACAAATAATCGATATTCGATAAATCGTCCATCAACTAACTATCGATATTTTTTTTTTTTTATTAGGTAAAAATTATTCTTCCATCACGTTCGATTATTGAACAAGTGTTTATATTTTTTCCTCTTACCTGTGGTCAACTTGTTTTGCCTAAACTTGATATAATGGTACATCCAATGGCTACAATGAATTCATTATCATTAACATCCAGTAGTAGCCAAATTGGATCAAAACAAACCATAACACATCCAATTAAAATTGATTATATTGGTCAAATGATTTTACCGACAGTATTTGTTCTGCCAAAACTTCGTACCAATATTAATTTGTAATAATTACCAACATGATGATGATCTTATGTGATTGTGAATTATTTCAAAAAAAAAATTTTTGATTACAATCTAAATCTGTTCATTTTGTTTGTTTGATTGTATGATGATGTTTGATGATTGCAATACCCCAATAATGATGATGATGATGATGATGATGATCAATGATTATATATTGTATTAAAAAGAAAAATTATTTTTAGAAAATTCATTCGATTCGAAATAATGATGACATTTTTTTTTTTTATTCTCCACCCAAATTTTTATTGTACATATTTTGACTTTGATCATCAACCGATTGTTGTTGTTGTTGTTGTTGTCGTTGTAGTTGTTGTTGTTGGTTAAAATCGTCGAACAAGTGAAAAAAAACTACATCATCATTGACCTTTGATCCTGATTGTAAATCATCATTATAAAAATCAAACAAGTGTCATCGATTTTGAGTAATGATGATGTTGATGATGATGTTTTTTTGTATTGATCATCATCATCATCATTATGAGGAAGAGATAATCATCAAATAATTATCATCATCATCTTTATCATATGACGTCATCTGCATTACATGTACAACATGGTGAATAAAAGATTCGAAATTGTTGATCCAATCTGTGTGTGTGTTTTTGTGTTTGAATCAATCAATAAATTATTATTATTGAATAAATTATGATCAAATTTTTAAATTGTGAACAAAACAAGAGAAACGAAGACGACAAAGATAACGATGATGATGATGATGATGATGATAATGGAACACGAAAGAAAACGACCAAAAAAGTAGTCAAACGACATCCACATCGAATGTTTACATGACGACATTGTGTATACGCCCACCACAAAAAAAAATATCATAAACATCTATACACATAAGAAGATGAAGAAAAGTCGAGTGAGAGAAAAGAAAAGGAGCCAAAACAAAATTTTCAGTGAGGCCAAAACGATGAAAAGACAGAAAAAAAATGATGATGATGATGATCATTATTATTATTATTATTTGATGATTATGATTACCAATTCGGCATATAGAAATGATCATCAAATGATCATCAAATCACACATTGTTTGATTGATTGATTGATTCGGTTTTTTTCTTTTTATTCAATTCATTGATTGATTGATGGTGGTTGGTGGTGGTGGTAACACATCATCATCATCAACAGCAGCATCTTAAAATGGTCTGATGATGAATGAATGAATGAAATACGGAATGGCCCAACAACAACAACAGCAACAACATTATTATCACCGTCATCATCATTATAAGATTAGTGGTGGTAATAAATAAAAAAAAAGTTTTTCTGAAAAAATTATTTAAGTATTTGATTTTTAGTAATCATCATAATTGAACATATATTGGTGGCGATAATATAAATATTAAAGATTCAAAAATATTTCAATTCAAACACATCACATACACATTTAAACAGATCATTTTCAAATCATCATATCAACCAAGCAACAACATCATCGACAACGTTAAATCAATGTTAAATCATCATCATCAAGAATTTTTACTATAGTAGAAAAATTATGCTAAAGAATTGATTGTTTTTTTTTTTTTTTTTTTTGGAATTTAAAAACATCAATCATCATCATTATCATCAAATTTCATTTGTTATATGGAAGGACCGTAAAAAAAGAATGTAAGTTTCATTCGATTGTTATTTTCATTTTCATTTTTTTTGTTTTAAATGTTCGAATGTAGAACACATTCGAAATTGAGATCATCGTCAACACACATCTTCGATGATGATGATGATAATTTTTTTTTTCATTTCTAATTTTTTTTCCCATATTCGATGGCCACTGTCAATTGTTATCATCAAAACATACACACACACACACAAAAACAAAACAAAAATAATATTTTTAATCATCATCATCATATTATCATCATTTGTGTGTGTTCTAAATGTCGATGACACAAAACATGGAAGCACTTAAACTATCCATTCGTTAAATATATTTATGATTCTAATATCTATCTATCTTTATATATATATATCATTTATAATCCAAACAGAAGATTATTATTTTACTACGTACGTCATATATATAGCCGATATAAAATCGACAATTAAAAAAAAAGCGAGGGAGAAAAAACCTATACCAATAACAGTTTGGTTCAAAATTCAATCAATCAATCAACCATAATAAATAATAAAAAAACATTCTTAAACAACGACAACTAACACGACGAACGATAACAACGTTGACCGAATTATTTGGACATTGGAACCATTTTCATATTGGTGGTAAGTGTGTGTGTGTGTGTGTGTGTGTGTGTGTCTATGTGTTTATATACATGTATGTTAGTATGGATCATGATCATTTGAATGATTTTTAATTTTCATAGTAAAAATGGAAACGATCACGAATAATATCCCAAGTGGTGTTATGGATGAAGATGCCGTACGACGGATATTTCGTTCATCCGATGCTGTTTGTTTTGATGTGGATTCCACTGTTTGCCGTGATGAAGCTATCGATGAATTGGCTAAATTTGCCAATAAAGAAAAAGAAGTTATGGAAATGTAAGTGTAAAAAAAAAAAAAAATAAGATTTTTTATATAATTTAATTAATTTCAATTTTTTTTTCGAAGGACTCGACGTGCAATGCGTGGTGGTTGTAGTTTTCATGATGCTCTTAGTAAACGTCTACAATTAATTCAACCAACTGTGGATATGGTTAGTGATTATATACGTACACATCAACCACGATTTACACCTGGAATTAAGTATGGTTATCATCAACAAAAACTATTGTGAAAAAAAAATTCTAATAACCAATTTTTTTGTTCCATTATTCAACAGAGAATTAGTATCATTATTACATGCAAATGATGTTGCCGTATATCTTGTATCCGGTGGATTTTATTCAATTATTGAACCAGTTGCCAAAGAATTACACATTCCATACAAGAATATCTATGCGAATAGAATAAAATTTTTCTATGATGGAAATTATGCCGGTTTCGATGAATCGGAACCAACAAGTCAACAACATGGTAAAGCTAAAGTAATTGCATATCTTAAGAATCGTTATAAATATCGCACAGTAACGATCATTGGTGATGGTGTTACCGATATGGAAGCCTATCCACCAGCGGTAAGAATAATAATCGATTTGATTGGAATTTTCATAACTAAAATTGTTGCATTTTTTTTAATAGGATGCATTCATCGGATTTGGTGGTAATCAAATACGTGAAAAAGTTAAAAAAGGTGCTAAATGGTTTGCCACTAGTTTCTATGATCTAATCGAAGAGCTTAAGGTGGATTCATAGAATTTATGAATATTTTTTGTTTGTTTGTTTGTTTGTTTTTTTCGGAAAAATCTATCTCTTAATCACTGTATACGAAATGATGTAAAATCAATAATGCCAAAAAAAAACAACATACACACAAACAAACAAACAAATATTTTCAACAAGCTAGGAAAAATGAAAAAAAAATTTTTTTATCACTTCCTTATCACATACCCCTCTGCCTTCACAAGAATAAGAAAACAAAACAAAACAAAACAAAAATTCTGTATGTATAAAATGAAATGAAAAATAAATGACATCAAATTTTCTAAAAAAAAAAAAATAAATTCAAATTCTAAATCCTGGAACTGTCTGTCTGTCTTTCCATGTATCCGGGAATTTACCAGCAACATTAATGTTCGAATTTTCTCATTTTTGGATCCACCTCACCAACACGACCAAAAAAAAAAAAAAAAAATTGGATCCAAGCTATATAATGATTGTAATTGATGATTATAACTTGAAAAAAAATTGGATCCAATTACAATTAAATAGTGATTCTATGCTTTTGTCTATCTATATGTGATGTTGATTCAACAACAACAACAACAACAACAAAATTATACGCAGATCCATAGAATAATGAAATTGAGCAGCCAGAATTTGTTGAAAAGTTGTTATATAGAATGAATGAATGAATGAATGAATGAACGAACGAACGAACGAAAAAAAAATATTCCAGAAATATGGAATAACCGACAAAACCAGGATCAGTGAAAAACAAAAAAAAAACCAAATTTTTTCCACCCATTACGTTTCAGGAATTTTGTTATCGTTTTTCTTTTGCTCACCTACATTCATCAAACACCGTAAAGTGTTCTCAAACGAAAAAACAAACAAACAAACAAAACGATCCGAAGGAAAAAAAAAAAAAAAAACGAACCTTGAACGAAAAATTTTTCAACAACTCAAACAAAGAAAGAATTCGAGTTTTTTTTCTCTCGTCAATTTAATATCGATTTACGTTCTATTTTGCTGTAACAAATATGAAGATGAAATTATCATTTCCATCATCATTCAATCTACAGAATTTATCATTGAAATCAATCACCAAAAGCCTTGGACAACAACATCAACCAATGTATTCCTCATCATCATCATCATCATCATCATTAATTTGGTTCATCATTATTTTACAATATTTTCTACATCAATCAATAATTCAAGTAGTCAATGCAATCGATAATGGCCACATCAGCAGCAGCAGCAGCAACGGTGGAGGAGGTGGAAGTGGAAATAGTTGCCCAGTACGATCATTAATAAAACCATGCCTTTGTAATGAGATAACAAAAGGTCTTGAAATCATATGTGAAGGTGTACAATTGGAAATGCTCAAAGAGATTTTTGATCGATTACCTGTTAATAATAATAATAAAAATGGTGGTGGTGGCGGTGAGCATCAAAAAAATCAACGTACAACAATAATGTATTTAAAAATGAAAAATAATCATATCCATTCATTTCCGGCACGTTTATTAAACAATATAAATGTTCGTCATTTAATGGCACATAATTGCAATATGATTGCTGTTGATTCAGATGCCTTTTTATCAATACATGATCAGATTGAATCATTAGATTTATCGCATAATAAATTTCAGAAGGTAAGTTTTTTTTCATGCATTAATTAAATTACTAATAATAATAATAATTTGATAATGAACCTGAATATTTAGATACCTGATGCCCTAAAAGGCCTTTCAACATTGGTTTCATTGAATCTGAATTATAATGAAATTGAAACCATTGAACCAGATCAATTTGATGGCCTGGAATCATTATTACGACTATCATTATTTGGTAATCGTATATTTGCCGTACATGAACGTGCATTTATTGGTATCGGACCGAATGTAACACAAGTGAATCTTGGCGGTAATGAATTATCACGTATACCATCGGATTCATTACAATATTTAGGATCATTACAACGATTACAATTGCATGAAAATCGTATACATACAATCACACGTATGGATCTAAAACATCTTCGTCAATTAGCCCATTTGGATGTATTGATTTTAGCCAATAATCTAATCAAACAATTAGATGCTAACATATTTGCTGATTTATCTGTATTAAATTATATTGATCTTGAATCAAATCAAATATCGATGATTGATGAACAAGCATTCAATGGTATTGAAAAAACATTAGAATGGCTAAAATTGGATAATAATCAATTGCAAATAATACCATCAAATGCATTAAGAAAAATAACACGTTTGAGACAATTGGATTTGAAAAATAATCAAATTGAACATATTGATCGTCATTCATTTGAATCATATGGTAAGAATATAAAATTTTTATATTTACAAAAAAATCGTATCCAACATATTGATGATCAAGCATTTGAATCATTCGAATCATTGGAATGGCTATATCTACATTCAAATCATTTACAACGTTTATCAAGAAAATTATTTGAAAAAGTTATTGATAAAAATTTAACAATTCTTGATCTTCATGGTAAGTTTGGTTAACATTTTTGGAAAATTTTTTCCATTTTTTTCATTTTTATAATTTTTTTTCTTTGATTCAATCCAAAAAGATAATCCATTCATCTGTAATTGTGAATTAAATTGGTATAAACAATGGATTGAAGATAATGAAAAAAATCAAATGTCTCATATTTGGAAAGAAACAAAGTGCTATTATTATGATGATGATGATAATTATAACGATAATGAACCAGTTTCAATAATGGATCAACAACAACAACAACAACAACAAAAGCAACGTAAACGTGAAATATTTCTCACTGAAATGGATAAAATGATTGAATGTCATGCATTTACAATGGATCGATTATCAATGACAACATTATTAACAATGACTATGATGATGACAATTATTATAACGTCAATATAATTATAATTATTATATATATGTTTGGTGTTCATATAACTCGACAAACAATATTAGACATGTATGTATGTCGACCATGGTAACGTGGAATGGTGATAATTTGTTTAAATACAACGACGACGACGACGACAACAACAACAACAACTAAATCTGTGAAATACAATCATAATCCTCATCAACAAACAAAAGAGAGAGCCAGAGAGAGAGAGAGAGAGAGCCAAAAAAAAACCGGAAACCAAAAATCAAAAAAAACAAAACAAAAAACAAACATAACGAGCAAATTCAATCCAGATTCGACAACGAGATGATATATATTGGTGATAGGAGAAAAAAAAATTAGACATTGAATGAAAATCAATATAATACAAACAATGACGAATCATAAATTTTTTTTTTGTTCTCTAAATTCTCGATGATACAAAAAAAGTGAAATTATTTCATTAAAAAAAAAAAAAATTCAATCACTTTTCTTTTCACTATTCGTTTCTATGAATTAATCTCAATGCAGAAACAAAAAACATTCGAATTCGAATTTTAGGTTTTTTTTTTTTTTTTTTTGTTTTTTTTGAATACGATCTGATTTTGTTTTCCACAATATTGATTGATTTGTTGTTGTTGTTTTGATCGATTTGGTTGTTGTTGTTGTTGTTTTTTTTTCATTGGCAGGGCGTGTGTGTGTGTTTTTTTTCCGTTTGATAGATTTGGCAATGATGATGATTTGCATCGATTTCAATAAACAATAATTTAATGATGACAGTCTTGATATTGATTTTGATGATGATGATGGTGGTGGCCATCAAATCAAGGTAACTATGGTGAAATTTAATTATGATGATGATGAAATGTTTAACATGATTCGATTAAAACATTTTTTTTTTTGTTTGTTAGTTGAATGAAATCTTGATCTTAATGATTTCTATTCTTTATCTATATCAGCTATATTTCCGATCCGAATTGTTTATCAAAATAGTGGGTCATTTCTTTGGAATTTTTTTTTTCATTCGTTTTTAAATTTTTATTTTTTTTTTTTTTTCAAATAAAAAGATTCTAGCGACAAATGGTGAAAAAATTTAGCAACAATTGTTATCTTTACAATTTCAACATCAACTTCAACTTTATTTTATTTTGGTAGTAGGTGGCATAACAAAAAAAAAACCCGAGGGGTTAAAACAACAAGTGAAAATAATACCACTACTACCATATACCCTATATATATAAATATGGGCGTGGATCAAAGAAATGTGATGCAACAGCCAAAAGTGAAAAATAAAAAAAAAATTCCTCTTTTTCCTCCTCCTCATAAAAATTGGTTATAGTCACAATGATGATAACAATCAGATTTATTTTCTAACACAAACAATGTATATATTGTATAAAGTTAGTCAGATGTCCATATAGAGTAATTTTTTTACATTTATCTATACTACTAGTTATAAACGTAAATTCGAACATAATGCATTGTAACCATTGCCCGGTATTTTATGTGTAATTGATAAAAAAAAATGGCCTGATAACCGTTGCTGTTGCTACTTGTTCTCGCTCATTGTGTGTCTGTGTGTGTGTGATGAGTAAATGTTCAATGTTTTTTCTTTCCCCCCCTCTCGTCAACAACCATTGAAATATATTGAAAGACCATAAAAAATTGTGCTTACCTCATCTTGTATGTATGTGTCTGTGTGTCGATGCTCAAAAAGGAGAAGAATAAAGAGAGAAATAGAAATAGAAATAGAAAAAAAATTATTATTTGCAATTTTGTTAAATCAATTGGCTCATCATCATCATCATCATCATCATCATCATCATCATCATTGACATCGCCATTGAATTGTCGTTGAACGAACACAAGAAATTAAGTGAAAAGTAAAAAAAAAAATTTTCATTTTATCTTTTTTTGTTCAATGTTCATTTCTCTAAAGATCAAGATCTTTAATTGATTGGCAATCTATCGAAATCGAAAAAGCCAAGTTTTACGGTAATTCGAATTGAATTTTTTTTTCTATCGTCAAACAACGAAGATAGAGAGAGAGAGAGAGAAGAAGGTGGTTTTTGAGCTTTCATTTGATTCGAATATTTGTTGAGGAAATCTATTGCTTATCATTGTGATTGTGTTGTTTGTGTGTGTGTGTGTTATTTATTTGCTTGCTTGCCAAAACAATTTTTTTTGTTTAGAACTGAATTTTTTTTGACGTTTTTTTTCTGCCGGTGTTTTTTCTTCCCATCATCAAATTTTGACGCACATACATTCCTTTTTTTTCATTCATTTGAACCGGTTAAAGAACTCGAATAATAATTTAAATATATATAATACAATGGCTGAAACCCGTGATGATAGTGTATATAAGGCTAAATTGGCCGAACAAGCTGAACGTTATGATGGTAAGAATTTGTTAACCGTTTTTTGAAGTTTTTAAATTTTATTTTTTTCTCACCATTTTTCTATAGAAATGGTGAATGCAATGAAAAATGTTGCCATGGTCGATGGTGATCTAACCGTTGAAGAACGTAATCTTTTATCTGTTGCATATAAAAATGTAATTGGTGCACGTCGTGCTAGCTGGCGTATATTATCATCAATTGAACAAAAAGAAGAAATGAAAGGTGGTGAATCGAAATTGGAATTGATTAAAAATTATCGTTTACAAGTGGAAAAAGAATTACGTGAAATTTGTAATGATATATTGGAAGTATTAGAAAAACATTTGATACCGGCTGCAGCCAATGGTGAATCGAAAGTTTTCTATTATAAAATGTAAGTTTTTTTTTATGAAATATTCTGAATATTTCTTCTGAACATTGTCAATTTAGGAAAGGTGATTATTTCCGTTATCTAGCCGAATTTGCAACCGGTAATGATCGTAAAGATGCTGCAGAAAATTCATTGGTAGCATATAAAGCTGCAAGTGAAATTGCTACTACTGAGCTACCGCCAACACATCCAATACGTTTAGGTTTGGCATTGAATTTTTCTGTATTCTATTATGAAATTCTTAATTCACCTGAACGAGCTTGTCGATTGGCAAAGACAGCATTTGATGATGCCATTGCTGAATTGGATACATTATCCGAAGATTCATATAAAGATTCAACATTGATCATGCAATTATTGCGTGATAATCTAACATTATGGGCATCGGATGTTAATCAAAATGGTAAAAGCTAAAGATTACAACTGATGATGAGATTTTATGTCAATAATCAATTTTTTGAACTAGGTGAACAAAAAGAAATATCCGGTACCGGTACTGCTGGTGGTGATGCAGGTGGCAATACAACAACTGAGGCTTGTGCTGCTTCATCTGAAGAACCAAACGCATAATACCACCTGCATACATTTACATCCATGATGATGATTGATGGGTGTAGGAGTGGATATCACATCACCAATTTAAAAATATATAATACATGTGTTGGAACCAATTTTTTTTCAAATGAAAATCTTATTCCATTTAACAACCAGCCAATTAATATTTAATGTCCCAATATATAATGATAAAAAAAAACATACAAAAAACAACCCCATTATATGATGATGATGATGCCAACAACAACAACAACACTATTTGATCCCTTGATATTTTTCATGTTTCAAACACAAACACACCCAACATACATACACACATTAAAAACGCTCATTTATTATTATACACACAACAACAAAAAAAAATAGTCAAACTATATATTTCTGTTCATTTTTCACTTGATGAAATCATTTTATCATAACACACCCATAGAGAATATCAACAACTTATCACCACCACCAACACACCCACACACACAAACCTCAATTTCATAATTCATTCACACTGATAAAAAAAAAAAATAATTTTCTTTTCTTTTCTCTTCATTTAATGATTTTTGATTTTGTTTCACATATTCCAAATTTGATTTGATTTAAAATTATTCTTTGTTGAATTGAGTAGTTTGATCAAGATGAAAAAAAAATCGAATGTTTAGATCATTATACACACAATACACACACACACACCGGACACAATGAATTTATGAACACAAATAACGTATAATCCGGTTCTAGTCGTTTTGTTTGATTGTTTTTTTTTTTTTTTTTTGTTGTCGTCGTCGTCGACCAATTCTGAATCAATTTTAGTTATTTGTCTTTAATCACCACACGCACACACAAACAGACACGCACACACCCACACACACACACACACACACCCACACATCCACCCAGACCAGAATTTCAATAGAGTCCAATCAATACTACCATCATCAATTATATACTGGAATACAAATACAAACACATATATATGTCTTAATCCGGGAATTATTATTTCTCACTTTTTTTTGTCCCTTATATGTCCCAACATTCTTTTTATTTATCCTATTATGAATCCATTTTCTTTTCTTTTTTCTTTTCTATTCTATTCTTTTTTCCATGAATTTTCCATGAATGAAAACAGATAATGAAAATGAATAAATTTTGATTTTTAAAATTCAAAACAAACCAAAAATAAAAATAAAAATTTCGAATGCAAAAAAAATAACTTGAAATTCTCATCAAAATGATTGTTGGGAAAAATTCTTTCCCAGAAACATTTTCTCTCAATTTGATGATTCTTCGAATGTTTGTGTGGTTGTTGTTTTGGAAAAGTTGATTGATTTTAAAAAATTTTTTTTTTTGGTTTAAATTTAATCAAACTTGACATCGACAACGATGACGACAACGTCATCATCAGAATCGAATCAACAATCAATGATGACAATGATTGATTCAAATCTTGAATCATCAATATTCTGGCAACATATTATTGCATTGGATGTTCAATATAATTCATCACGTTACTTTTGTACCTATATGAGTGAGTAATGATGTTTTTTATTTTACTAATTATTAATCACTTCATTATGACAATCATCAATTTTTGATATACAATATAGAAATTCTATACATAAAACGTCGAAATCAATTATTTCGTGAACTAAGTAAACAACCATTGAATTCATTTCGTAAACAATATCTTCGTTTACGACATACGATCCTTTCGAATTGTTATCAGCAACAACAACAACAACAAAAGTACGATTTACAATTGTCATTGTTTTTTATTATCTAAATCATTCAATATTTTGACAGAAAACATGTTCGAAATAATAGCGATAGTAGTTTTCTATCATTCATCTATGATGATTTACGATCATATTCTGGTGGTGATTGGAAATCTAATATTACATTGACAAATGATGTCAATCAAATTGAACATCTCCAATTTCATCAATCAACATCATCTTGCAATGCCGACAAAAAAACAACCACAACAACAACAACAATAGTAATATTGCATTCTGTGAAAATTTTGCTTTCTCCGGTGTTCATCATATATTTGATCAACATAAATCAGCTGTAAATTGTGTAAAATTTGCCAATTCTAATAAATCATTAATTTGTTTTGCATCGGATGATCATACGTTATCGATTTGTCAACTAACACCATTGCCAGCTACGATATTGTTTGTTTTACGTGAACACCAAGCACCGGTTACGGCATTCGAATGGTCACAATCAAATGATTTGATTGTCAGCTGTTCATTAGATTCAACAATAAATCTATGGTCAACAATGAATGGCCGTTGTTTGCGACGATTTAAAGATCCACAAAAATGTTCCATTCTTACCTGTACATTTTTACCGACTAATAATAATATGATATTCACTGGAAATCAAAATGGTATCGTTAATATATTGAATTTATCCACAGGAATTTATTCGAAAAATTCCGTCAACATTTGTGATGGTGGTCATATTGTATCGATGTGTTTCGAATCAAAAGGTCAATTACTTTGGTGTGGTGATTCTAAAGGTTTTATATCAACATTTCGTTTTGAAATGGAAACCTGTAAATTATTGTTGGTCAATAAAGTGATTATAGTACCTGGATGTCCAATTACATCATTATCATCATCATCATCAACAATTATTGGTTATGATATGAATCAAAATCTTCTGCTAGCAAATTGTGCATGTAATGCTGTCGTATTATTTCGTACTGGTATTGATAATAAATTGGAATTTCTTAAATGTTTTCCAATTAAACATCAAAATTCTAAATTAAAAATTAAAAGTTCATTCTGTCCAAATAGTGATAATATTGTCAATAATCAATTACCCACATTACCATCAACATCATCATCAACAACAACATCGACAACGACAACACCGGGAATATGTCTAGTAACCGGTAGTGAAGATACCTGCATCTATTTTTATCATTATCAACCACCAGATTTGAATACAAAAACACCAGCCATAAGTCGTTGTGTAAATAAACTACAAGGACATTCGGCAACGGTTCTTGATGTTCGTTTTAATCATGATGAAAGTTTACTTGCATCAGCCGATTCAAAAGGTTCAATTATCATATGGAAACGTAATAATAATTCATCTGTTTCGAAAAATTTTTAAATTTTCTTTTTATTTTATTTTTCAAAATTTATAAATCAATTTATAACAATTTGTTTTGACATTTTTTGAATTAAAAAAAATAAAATAAAAAAAATTATGATCATCATTTTCAAAAACATTCAATCTGTTGTTGTCAATGATGATGATGGTGATATTTTCTTCGATAACGTTGTTGCTGATGATGATGAATGGATAAGAAATTTTTTGCTGATAAAAATATTGAAATAGGTGTATCGTTATTATCAGATTTTGACCAGTCAAGTTCCGGTAGATTCAATTGATGATGGTTATCATCGATTAGTGTTGAAATAGAAATCGAATGATTTTGTTGTTGATCATTATTTAGATTTCTATGAACAGTGGTAGCAACTAATGATGTTGATGCAATCACAACACCAATGGCTATTGTATATGCAGCTGTACAAATAAGTATTCCATTGATTAATGTGACCAGATTTGACCATAATAATTCATTATTTTGATCATAAAAATGACGTAAATAATTGAATGATGATATCATTTCCATATATGTCATTGTATTACGATTACGTTTACGAAATTCATTCAACGATATTAATCCTTCCATTTTAATCATTTGTTCTTGAAATGTTTCTGGCCGTACATAACATGACCATTGTATGGCATCAAGAAAATCACGTTCCAATTGATTTAAATCATCCAAATCGATATTGGTAAATGTAGCCCATTCATCATTGTAAACCAGATCGGCACCACCTTTATCATATAGAAATTTCGTTGCAACAACCAATGATGCTACAAATAATTCCGATGATGTCATACTTTCCAGATAAGTGGAATTGGTTTTTTTCAATCGATCCAAATAAATCATTGCCAATATTACCGATTCAGGTGAAAGAGCCGCTTGATGTAATATATATGATGCATAATTTACATCCAATTTTCCTAAACGTTTAACCGTTTTTGATCGTCGTCCTGATGTACCACCACCATTACGATATAATGTTTTTTCAATCAAATCAACAGTAACTTCGGTTAATGGTAAATTTGATTCAAACGATGCAGTTAATTCAGAAATCGATGTTGATGATGTTACCGTTTGTGGTGATGATGATGATGACGATGATGATGATGATTCACCATCCATTGATTGACCATAGAAACCAAAATCTAAAGCTCGTATTGTTCGACATAATCTATTCCAAAGTGATTGTGTTTTATAATCATCCATTGTGAACCAAAAAAAAAAAAATCGAGATCAATTTACGAAAACAAAAAAAAAATCAGACGAGTCAAACTAAAAAAAAACAACGCGTCCAAAACAAACAGCAAAAAAATCGCAACAGTTGTAACCAGTTCCTTCCGTATAGTACGTATTTATTTATTATTATCCAGCGATTTCCAACTTTAAAAAACAAAAAAAATCCCGTATACGGATACTATGTTTGGATATACATACTACTACTATGACATCATCATCATCATCATATATATGATCTGTATATATACAGACTGTTGGATTTGCATTGAAATATCGTGTCATAACTAAAAAAATGCTGCTGCAGCTGCTTTCTTATTACATGGTGATGAATTTTGACATTTCAATTTTTCTCTCTTTTTTTTCAAGAAATTACAAATCAAATCGCCATTTAAAAAAAAGAGAACAAAACGTGTGTTGTGTGTGTTTGTCGTGTGTTTGACCATAAAACATGTTGTCCTTGAAACTATTCATCTTGAATGAATGAATAAATGAAACAAACATCTTCCTCAATGTGATCAAATAAGCGTGAACTTTTTTTTTAATACTCGTTGGACTATATGATTGAACGATTTGATTTTTTTTTTTTTTTTGAAATTGAGGAAAAAAATGAACATAATTTAAATTGAACACTTTTTTTATGTTGGTCATACAAATACTCTGTCTTAGTGAATTAAACAAAAACAATTTTTAAGAAAAAAAATGGTAAGTTTCTACATGTTTTTTTTCCCAGTTGTATTGACTAATTTGATTATGAAAAAAAAAATTCTTTATGAATTCAGGAACAAACCAAAGAATTTGATATTAAAATTTGTTGGCTACAAATTGATGGTCTTAGCTGTCATACATGTATAAATACAATAAAGAAAAATTTAGCCAATTTACATGGTTGTTCGGTTAATATTGAAATCTATTTGGAAGATGGAAAAGCATTTGTTGAATTTGATCCACAATCCATTCGAATTGATAATATTATCGAAAAAATTGAAGAATTAGGATTCGATTGTCGTCTATTGGATGATGATGATGATGATGATGATAATGAAATTAATAGTGATTCAAAAATCGATAAATTTACCGTATTGGTCAATGGAATGACATGTAAATCATGTACGAATAATATTGAAACGAATCTAATGAAAATTGATGGTATCAAAAATGTCGTGGCTGATCTCCATACCAAACAAGTTTCTGTTACATATCAATCTACATTGATCACAAAACATGTGATTCTTGATCGGATTGAATGTCTTGGTTTTGAATATCAAACTGAATCTGAAACGGTGAAAAAAGATTCAAACATTGACAATGCTACTGTGGAAACAGCAGAACAAATCAAAACAACATCATTGCCGGTAATGGATAAAGAACAAGAGAATTCAAGAAAATTTTTAAACAAATGTTTCATCACCATAACTGGTATGACTTGTTCATCGTGTGTAGCAAAAATTGAACGTAATCTATCGAAAATAACTGGAATACATGGAATACTCGTTGCATTATTGAATCAAAAAGCTGAAGTTCTTTATGATCCTGGTTGTATGGATTCGAATCGAATTATTCAATCAATAATTGATCTTGGATTTGATGCTAAACTTATTGTTGATAATATTCATGATTCGAATGGTGAATTATATGAACTTTGTTTATCTATACCTGACGTATCATCATTATCATTATCAAATCCATTACAAATTGAATCTACATTGGAACAAACTGTGGGTATAAAATCGGCAAAATTTGTACCATCATCATCAAATCAATTAAATATTCAATATTATGGTGATCAAATTGGTGCACGAGAAATTGTACGAATAATAAAATCATTAGGATATAATTCATATCCATTGGATTGTGATCGAAAACAACAGGCTGAACATCGCCAGCTACAACATCGTGAATTATTACATTGGCGACATTCATTTCTATTTTCTCTGGGATTTTTCATACCATCAATGGTTCTTATGATAAATCATATGACTAGTGAACATTCATTTCATGAACATCTATTATTACCCGGTTGGTCAAAGGCAAATTTTCTTCAATTTTTGCTTGCAACACCTGTACAATTTTATGGTGCAAGATATTTCTATTATCAAGCATATAAAGCGATTAAATATCGTTCACCAAACATGGATGTATTGATCATGTTGGCTACGACTGTTGCATATTTCTATAGTTTTTTTGTATCCATATATTTCATGATAATCGGTGCTGATCGTAGTCCGAAAACATTTTTCGAAACACCACCAATGTTATTAACATTTGTATCATTAGGCCGTTGGCTTGAACATATCGCACGTGGTAAAACATCCGAAGCATTAACACGTTTAATGTCATTGAAAGCAACAGAAGCAATACTAGTCGAAATGGATGAAAATAAAAATATAATCAATGAAATGGCCATTGATATTCAATTAGTTCAACGTGGTGATATGATCAAAGTGTTACCTGGTACAAAAATTCCTGTCGATGGTCGTGTATTTGATGGTACATCAACAGTGGATGAAAGTTTGATTACCGGTGAATCACGTGCGGTTATAAAAACAGCCGGTTCTTCAGTGATTGGTGGATCAATCAATATGAATGGAACATTATTGATTTGTGCAACACATATTGGTCGTCAATCAACATTAGCATCAATTGTTGATCTAGTTGAACAAGCACAAACCGATAAAGCACCTATACAACAATTGGCTGATCGTATTGCCGGTATTTTTGTACCTGTCGTCATCTTTTTATCAGCATTGACATTGATCATTTGGATTATCGTTGGCCATAAAAATTTAAATATAATTCAAACATATAACATTGAACATCGATATACGAAAATGTCATCCATGGAAATGATTTGGCAATTTGCATTTCAATGTGCCATCACTGTATTGTTGATTGCATGTCCATGTTCATTAGGTCTGGCAACACCAACAGCTGTTATGGTTGGAACCGGTGTTGGTGCTTTAAACGGAATACTCATAAAAGGTGGTAGTGCATTAGAAAATTTCTGTAAAATTAATTGTCTGGTATTCGATAAAACCGGTACAATAACATATGGATCACCACAAGTTACACAAGTATTTTTATTCGCACCAACCAACGTGAATGTTATCGATCATTTCAAAAGAATATTTTTAGCTATATGGAGTGCTGAAAATCAATCAGAACATCCAATTGCAAGATCATTAGTGAAATATTGTCAAAATATTTTCGATTATCAACAACGTTTATGTCGATGTGAAGATTTCCAATCAGAAAGTGGTTCTGGTATTCGTTGTCGAATTTCCATGGAAGAATTTAATCGACAATTGACAACATTTCAACCGAAATCTGTCTGGTTCGTTTATTGTGAATTTTTTTTTTTTTTTTGAATAATTTATTTTTCTTTCTTTTTTTTTTTTGTAGCATTAAAATCGACAATAATAATAGCAACAATTTTGGAACAAAACAATTTTCCATTGGTAATTCAATTGTTACAACGGTAGAATCGATGGAGAATTCCTTTTCATTAATTTCCAAAACAACAGATCTAGTGATTCTAATTGGTAACAAAGAATGGATGATAAAAAATAATGTCAACATTTGTAAAAAAGTTCAAATTGTAATCGATGAAATGGAACGACAAGGATCGACCATTGCTTTAGTAGCCATGAATGAAATAATCGTATCAGTAATATCGATGTCTGATACGATTAAAATGGATGCAAGACAAACAATTCGTGAACTAAGACGTCGACGTCCAAATCTTAGGATAATGATGATGACTGGTGATAATGAACGTGCAGCACGTAAAGTTGCCCGTCAAATTGGTATCGATCGTGAAGATGTTATTGCCAAAATATTACCATCAAATAAAACGGAAATTGTTCGCCAATTACAATTGAAAGGTCATTGTGTAGGAATGGTTGGTGATGGTATCAATGATTCACCTGCATTGGCACGTGCCGATATTGGTATTGCATTTTCCACTGGTACGGATGTTGCTTGTGAAGCAGCCGATATAATACTCATTAATAATGATCTCTATGATATTGTTGATGCTTGGGATCTAAGCTATCGTACTGTACATCGAATACGAACAAATATTGCATTTGCAAGTGTTTATAATCTAATTGGTATACCAATGGCAGCTGGTATTTTTCTACCATGGGGTATTGTATTAAAACCATGGATGGGATCAGCTGCAATGACATTATCATCAATATCGGTTGTATGTTCATCATTATTATTGAAACGATGGCATCGATCAACATTGAAACATACCAATGATAATATTGATCACCATTATAATCGATTTAATGATTCTGATAATGATAGTGATGAACAAAAATCATCATCATCATCATCATCATCATCTGAAGAAATGAAATTATTTACATTTCGTGAAAAAAATGTCCATTTATCAAAAATTCTAAGTTTAATGCCATTATATAGTCGTCGTAAAATTATTAATGATAATTTATCAATTAATACTAATGGCTATCGTCCATTGAATCAAAGCGATGATGATGATGATGATGATGTTTACAATGACGACGACGACGATGATGATAATGATGGTGTTTGTATCGCTTAAATGGTATGTGAACAGCAACCATAATTGTTGAATTTGAAAAATTATTTATATTCCAAATTTTTTTTTTCGTTACGTAAAAACAAATTTTTTTTTATTTTTATTATTTATGTTACATTTTTTTTTATTTGAAAATTGTAAAATTGAATTGATTAAAAACGAACATTTCATTTCATTTGGCCCCCTTTTTTGTTGTTGTTGTTGTTTGGTGATGGACGATTCGATTCGATTCGAATTGCACAGAAATAATCGATTTTCATTCAATTTCATATGGCACATTTAATTGTTCGATCATGTCGTGCACGATTTGTTAATCGTTTCCATTGATCTAAACCGATTGAACATTCGATAAAATATTTGCCTAGAATTTGTTTCCCAGTGAACAATTGACGAATATTATCAAACATCAACATTGATCGATTTGAACAGATTGGACGATTTAATATCAAGGTTTGTTGTGTTGAATTTGTATCCATATCACTAAGAATTATTGTATTATTTTGGCCATATGGTATACGATGAATATAGAATGGTTGAATACGATATTCCATTAGATTTAAATCGATTCGTTCATGATAGTAAATAATACGACCAGTCAATACAAAATCAGCACGACAATATGAATCCAAAATTTTATCATCTGAACATTGTTCGGTTTTGGCCGTTATACATTGTGGATCATCATCATTATCATCTATGATTGATTGATTTGACGATGATGATGATGATGACGAAGAGGAAACAATTTCCTCGAGATCATATTGAAAAATCACAGGATCATTGGCATATTTGATCGATATATTTGAATCAATGATTGATGAATCAATGAATAAGGCAATAAAATGATTGACAGAAACAAAACAACGGAAACGATCAGGATGTTGACCATCATCGGCGGCAAAAATTTGTAATAATTGTCTTTTACCTTCAATATAAATACGAACATTACGGCTAGTATTCTGAGCAATACGAATACATCCACGAAAATCACGACTATCATCAGTGCCCAATTTCAATACAACACGTAAACCACCAGTTGGATAGAACCATTTAATCTGGCCACGTGAACAACGAAGATATATTGGCATTACTAAACGTTTACCATTATTATTATCATCTAATGTCGACAATAATGATGATTTCGATCCAGACCAATCACATTGATCGCTTACATAGCCATGATGTTGTTGATGATTTACATTAATTGTCGAATCTGTTGTTATTATCGGATTGTATTCATCAATCGTTTCAAAAGTGATGGCTATTGATGAAACGATGAATGATACGATAAAAAATATCCACAATGGCAGTAATATTCGATGATCCATTATCATCGAATAATTTCATTCATGATTGATTGAAACAAAAGTAAAAGTAAAAAAAAAGTTGAATGAATTCTTTCGAATGAAACCTGTGCAATGTTGCTCACACCACAGTTTTTTTTATCGAAATCGATCGATCAAATCAATCATGGTGGTTGTGATGGGCGTTCTCAAGAATGCCTCTGTGTGTGTGGTTGATGGTGGTTTGAATATCGATGAACAACAAGTGTTCAAAGTTCATTTGATTTGTATGCTATAGCAGTGGTCATGCACAGAATGGATCCATAAATGGTCATAAAATACCACTACAACAAACCGTGTGTGTGTGTGTGTGTGCCATATTTGTTTTTTTTTTGTTTTGGTGTTTTGTTTCAAGAATTTTTTCATGATTGGTGATAATTTTTAAAATTTTTTTCAACTTTTCAATGATTTTGGTTTCATTCGCGATGTGTGTTCCAGTCCAAATTTTTTGCAAAAAAAAATGTTTAAAATTCGGTAATTTAAAAAAAAATTTCATTTCAATTCCTCAATCACCGACCAGATGGCGACACCAGGTCCGCATTCCAAAGAATGAAATCTGAATCCAAAAAAAAAAAAAATAGTAGTAGTAGTAGCATTGATCAATGTTGTATATTTTATATGTGTGGGTGTGAAATGAAGAATCTTTTTTCATTACGTTATATGCCACTACAATTACAACATTGTTTTCATTTCCCCCCCAAAATTTTTTTTTTACTATTTATAACACCTGCTATAATTTTATTAACCACTACTACTAATCCTTATTTGAGATATATCAATGACAAAAAAAACACACCTGAGTCGCGTAGGTTCAGATTCCTCATTGTAAAATTTTTTTTTTTTTTCGTTTTGTTTTGCTGTGCTGCATGGCTTTTTAGGTTTTGGTCTGGTTTCTTTTTTTTCTGCTTTACTTATTATTATATGTTGTGCCCGTGGCCGTCCGCCGTCGTCGTCGTCGTCGTCGTTGTTGTTGTTGTTTGTTTGTTTGTTGTTGATTGTTCAATTAATTTTCATTCATTCATTGTGGTGGTTTATGATTCAAAACAAAAAGAATTCGTTGAACAACAACAGAAAAAATAAATTTTTGTTTTTTATCTATAAATACATCATCATCATCATCATCATTCGAAAAAAAAATACAAATACACACACCCGACAGGGACAGACAAACATCTTTAACTCTTGTATTTTTTTTCTTGTCTTGTTGTTGATTTAAATATATATAAAAATATCACACCCACTTTGTTCATCATCACTAATCATCATTATTATTATCATCATCATCATCATCATTGACATCGACAAGAAAGTGCAAAAAAATTTATCATCAAACAAACAAACTACCATCGACCAGCCAACCAAGCAACAACAACAACAACAACAACAAAAAATTATACCAAATATCATCAAATAAGTAAAAGACAATGATAATATGCAAAATTGAACATCAATGAAATTGTTGAAGAAAGAAAGAAATGTAAAAATTTCATTCCATAATTCATATTTATAATTTTTTTTTTTTGCAATTCGAATGTCATTTTTTTTTCTTTTTGCTTGTTGCCTTTTTTTCCAAATCATACGATTCAATTATATATATAGTTTGTTAGTTGAGTGTGAGCATCATTTTTTTTTGTCATCATCCTCATAATCATAATCATTCATCGTCTGTCTTTTTTTTTTTTCTTCTTCTTCTTCACCACACTATCAATGTCTTTTTTTTCTGTTTGTTTGAATGTGTTTGATTCAACAATAATAATAAGCTGATTTAATATGTTTGCTTGATTTTCGTTTTCCTTTTCTACAATAATAAATATTTGAGATGTTGATGTTGATGATGATAATAACAAACTACCAGCATAACCACTCCTACCAGTTAAAAGTTAGATGAAAATATACGAAATTGTCACCAGAAAAAAATAAATGATAGATCTATCTATCATTTTTTTTTCTTTACCAAAGAAAAGACTCCAAGGTTCAATCTGTGTGTGTGTGTGTGGCAAAATTACAAGTGGTCTATATGTTGATTTGCCTATATGTTGTTTTATACAGGAAGAAAATCTGAGATTTATAATCATTATTAAACGATACAATTTCTAGTCCCCATAATCATCAATATCATCATCATTGCAACCATACAAAATCATTTAATGATTTAATCCTGGGACTATCCTTTCTTTTTATATTTTGAATCTGATTATTATTATTATTTTGTTTATCTTGGTTATCATCATCAACTAATAGTAGCAGTAGTAGTAGCATCAGCAACAACAACAACAGTAGCAAGTGTTTTATGAAAAAAGAAGAAGAAAAAAAAAAATCCTATCCTTCCATCCATCCAATTAATTCAAGGTGTTTGGTATGAAGAAGAAAAAAAAATTTTTTTTTTTTTGTTGCCTCTTATTTACACTAGCATAAATCTTTCTTGTTCCTTGTTGCCGATGTCATCGTCATCATCATCATCATCCGTGTTGATGATATGTGATCATTTAATTGGCAATTAATTTTCTTTATTATTTTCTCTTCTAAGAAAATAAAAATCCAATGATGATGATCTTTGCTTTAAAAAAATTAAAAAAAAATCATAAATCTAATACGTTTCTCTTTTGTTTTTTTTTCACGTTTTGTTACAGCAACAGATATATTGCAGCAAAAAAAAAATTTTCATATGTGCCCTCAACCTCTCGCTACAAGGCAACCTTTTTATGTCTCATGTTTGTTGTTGTCGTTGTATTCACCCGTGATTATCATCATTATTATCATTTAATTTCAACAACAACAAAGAAATTATCAGATTGTAATTGAATATTTTTTTTTTTGCCAATTCACCGATTCATCATCACCATCATCAATCAATCAATCAATCAATTGATATCAATTTTGTTGCTTTTATAAAATCAATCAATACGCCTTAAATTTACAAATACACACACACACACAAACACAAACACAAACACAAAACACTTGTATCGGATAAGCTGAAGATCCGGATTTATATATTTTGATTATTGATTACTATTATATACCAACAACAACAACAACAAATTTATGTATATCATGAAAACATTGAAGAATCTGTGATTCGAATCTTTTTTTTTCGTGTAAATATTTTTTTTTGTGTGTGTGTGTGTATGCAAACCATTCACTCTTATCGAAAAAAGGAAACTATTTTTCTTCCAATTGGCCCTTTTTTTTAACAAAAAAAAAATCATAATTTACGAATTTAACTGGAAAAAAAGAACTTGCAAGATTTTTTTTAATATATATAAATGGACGGCCAAAATCATCATTATAATCATCCACAACAACAACATCATCATCATCATCAATCGATCATAACACAAGTAATGACAGATGGTGATGTTGGTAGTAATATTACATCACCAACACCAATAATAAATACTACGAATATAAATGTGAATAATTATCAGAATAATGATACTGATTCTGGTGAGTGGAAGAAAAGGATTTTTTTTTTTTTTGGTTACTAATGACAATTGATTGATTTTGGTTTTTGTTTTGTTTTTTCACAGATACAAAAATAACGAAAAAGAAACGACATAAAAATATTTTACATACATTATTCTGTTGTTTTCGTTGTGTTCGTACACCTGAAGTTGCCTCTTCCGAGGAAAGTGTTTCACTTGCCGTAAGTTTTTTTTGTTGTTGTTGTTGATATAATTTAACATTTTTAAACTAATTTTTTTCTTATTAAATTTCTCATAGTATCAACATCTATTGCCAAGTGTTCGTAGCCAAGATGAGAATAAAATTTGTCTGGTCATCGATCTTGATGAAACACTTGTGCATAGTTCATTCAAGGTATTGTTGTTAATTGGATTTTTATTTTTTGTTCATATGAATATTGATTATTATTATTTTTTTGAAATTTCTTTGTTTTTTTAGCCAATAAGTAATGCCGATTTTATTGTACCAGTCGAGATTGATGGTACTACACATCAGGTCTATGTTCTTAAACGGCCACATGTTGATGAATTTTTACAACGTATGGGTGAAATATATGAATGTGTCTTATTTACGGCTAGTTTAGCTAAAGTAAGTTTTTTTTTTATATAACAAATGATGATCAACGATGTAACAATGGATTTTTGTTTTTTGGTGTTTTGACATTGTGTTTAGTATGCCGATCCAGTTGCCGATCTACTTGATCGTTGGGGCGTTTTTCGTGCTCGATTATTTCGTGAATCTTGTATATATCATAATGGAAATTATGTTAAAGTAAAGTTATTTTTGAGAATTTTGTTTGAATTTTATTTGTAAATGTTGCCATTTCTTATTATTATTATAGGATTTAAGCCGACTTGGTCGTGATCTAAACAAAGTTGTGATTGTCGATAATTCACCAGCATCATATTCGTTTCATCCGAATAATGCTGTAAGATATTTTCAACAAGAATTTTGTCATTTAAAACATTGAAATTTTTAATTTACAAATAGGTTCCAGTTGCATCCTGGTTTCAGGATATGAATGATACTGAATTAAGTGATCTGATACCATTTTTTGAACGTTTAGCCAAAGTAGATAATGTTTATAAAGTGTTGAAAAATGCACAAATTCAACAACAACAACAATCAACAAATAATATGATGTTACCTTTGATTACAACGGGCAATAGTGGTAATAATAATAACAATACGGCAACAACGACAACAATGACAAAAACTGCTACAATTGTTGTTGATCATCGTGCACCATTAAATTCACCGATGACAACATCGGTATTATCACCTAATCCACCTGTAGCTGGTGGTGTTGTATCATTCATACCGAATGTTACTGTTTCATCGTCATCATCATCAACATTATCATCACAATCATTACAATCATCATCGTATCAAAATCAAAATCTTCAACAGCAACAACAACAACAACAACAGCAGCAATATTTAATTCAAGGAATATCATCTTCATCATCACCTGGAACGATGGCGACGACGACAACAACAACGGCAATGGCCGTACCAAATGGTGCTACATCTTAGCTACAATAATTTTTTTTCATATTTGTTAAAAAATTATAATTTTGAGATTTTAGTTGACCATTTTTCTTTCTCATTTTAATTCAAACACATTGTCATCAATCAATTGATCATTGAAGCCTACCAATCATCAATTATCACATCCCGATCATAATCATCATTATGTCGTCGTCATGATTATTATATTATATTATTATATTATTGTTGTTGTTGTTATTCTTATTATTAATTAATTAATTGATTATTTGATCATTTCATTATATATAAAAAAACTTTATATAACATCTAACAATTCGTATATATAAATATAAATAATTATTATATTTGTCAAATTACAACATGGATATATACGATTATTATTATATATTAATACAGTTCTATATTTCAGTAAATGAAATTAATTTTTTCTATAAAAACCAAAACAAAATTTCAAAATTTTAATCACAAAAAATTTGTTTATTACTCAATTAGGATGATTAGGTCCAGTCACCGGTATTAAATTTTTTCAATAAAAGTGCTGCCATCTGTTAACAAAAAAGAGCTATTATTTGACAATTTCATTTTTTTCTGACATTTCAAACTATAATTTCGTTTTCATTTCATTTTGGAACAAAAAAAATATCACAATGTTTGTTTGTTTGTTTTTTTTGAATGGAACAAAATTTAATTTACAAATTTTATTCTCCTTTTTCACACTTTAATTTGATCAATACTAATGTTTAAATTATAACGATAATATTCAACAGTTTTATTCCATAATGATATAATCGTATGACTTATTTCATTTGGATCATTATAATGATTAGCATCGATTAAGCTTAACATCGGCGGTATTGAAATGGCAGATGATTTGGTTGATTTAATGAGCCAATTTTTTACATTTTCATTTTTATAACAATGTATTGATTTACGAAAATCAAAATGATCAATATGAAGATCATTTGCTAATATGCCGGATATGAATACATCATCGATCCAAAGTAATGGCCGATTACCGGCTATTCGATATAGATCTAATGTAATATCATTCGACATTATTATTGTCCAACCATCACAATATGCAGGATAATATTGTTCAGAATATTCCTGATGATTAATAGAATATATAAATGTTAGATCAAGTTATCATCATTATAACAAATCCAAATACATTACCTTATAGCTAACACGCCATTTATTACGATAACTACGTGATACACGACTATTTTTATTAACATAGCATGCCATTAAACGTTGTGGATGATCACCGAATTTGCCATGTAAATAATAGATTAATTGATGAAGATCAATAAATATATCATCATCGGCTTTCAATATATATGAAGCATGTGGACAAAAATGGTTTATCCATTTTAATCCCATCACATGTTTATAGGTAATATTTCTATACGTATCCAAAAATGAACCTTGAATAATGTCACCATAGTGTTGACTTTCTTGTTGAATTTGATTCTGAATAGTTTGATTTTTGGTTGTTCCCAACATGAATACTAATCGAACATTGTAATGATTATCGATACCGAAACCAATTGAATGATTGCCCCATGTTTTACGGATGATATCACGTTTATCAAAATTTTTTGTGGCACTATGAATAAATATTGCTAAAAATATGTTTGAGTATTGTTGTTCACTATGATCAAATGATGATCGACAAATATTAGGTTCATTTATAAGAAATTGAAAATCTTTTAGATCCAATAATGTGGATAGATTATCATTTATAGTGATGGAAAAATTCATTTTTGATCGATAATAATTTGGTAATGGTAACATTCTTTGCCGTTTGATAGAAATATTCGAATTGTCATCATCATCATCATCAGCATCATCATAATCATCATTATTTGATGAGAAAATAATAATCAAAACAAATAGAATGAGCAATGTTATGATGAAAGAATTGAATGAATTTAATTTTAATTTAGTAACATTCATGTCTCTTTTTGGAATTGATTAGTAATTATATCACAATTTTGATTAGATTTGATTTTTTTTAGTGGAGAAAACATTGTAAAACACAAACCAAACATCAGCACTAAAGAATTTTTGAACGTCATATTTGAATCGATCGCTGTGTGTGTTTGTTTTGGAAAAAAAAATTTAATCAAAATTTTTTGATTTGAATTTTTCTTTTTTGTTTTGTTTTGTTTTGAGAGTTACAAGTTTCAAATCTAAATCATCATCATCATCATCATTATGGATTGGATGTATAAAGGTGTTTCAGGTCATGTTGATCGCGAAGATTATCTTACTGGACGTAAAATTGATAAATCATTTGAAATGATTGATCGTGAAGAGAATCCACATTTGCATCGTAATGATGATGATGAATTTTGTTTGCCAACAACATCAACATCAACATCAATGAACGATAATTTGGAACAATCCATAATGAACATGTCAAAAACAGATATTGTTGCCAAAATGCGTGAAGATCCATTATTTCAGATTAAAATGAAACAAATGGAAAAACGAAAAGAATTATTGAAAAATCCATTGAAATTGAAAAAATTGAAAAATCTATTACAATCATCGTTGGCAAAAGAGGAAAAGAGTAAAAAGAGAAAAAAGAAACGAAAATCAAGTGATAAAAAGAAAAAACAACGTAGTAAAAAAAGTCGAAAACATTCTAAACATTCATCAACTTCATCATCATCATCATCATCATCATCATCATCGACATCTGAATCGGAATCATCAGATTCAGAATCAGATTCCAATCATCGATCAAAAAAATCCGCTCATCGTCATCATCATGATAATCGTGATCAACGAAAACATCAAAGTGATAGAAAATATCATTCTAATCAAAGACAATCAGAATCAACAAGAAGACATTCAAACAATGATAGCCATGATCGATATCGATCTTCAAAATCCAATCACCAATCATTGCCATCATTATCGAAAAATAAATCAAAATTAACGGAAGAAGAAATTGAACGAAAACGACGAGAAATGATGTCAAATGCAGAATGGCGTGAACAAACACGTAGTGAAAAAGTGACTAAATTAAACCAACGTGATCATCTTGAAGATCATCTTGCACGTGAATCATTTCGACGACAACATGATAATAATAATGATTCAGATGATGATCATGGCAATCATTCTGGTCGAAATAATAGTGGTTTTATTCGTTCAATGTTATCAAAAATGGCCGATAAAAATACTGTTGAAAGATCCATACAGCAGAAACGTTTTCATTCACAACGTGATCACACAGCAATGGATAGGAATTTTGCAAGAAAAACCTAATTAATTAATTTTGCATCATTGACCATTTATAAATTCTTTTTTTTCCCATTTATTTTATAAATTAAAAAAAGCTGTTTTCAAACTAAAAAAACTAGGCCAAATTCAAAATTTATTGATCGATCGGAAATATCTTTTTTAGATTCGTTCTGCGATTGATTCATGAATTGATGGATAAATAAATTGATGATGTTACATAAGCATAAGAAATGTCATACATTTCTCTTCATTCAAATGACACACCTTCGGGTTTTTTTAAAAATACGGACGGATGCACAGATTTTCGCTTTCATCCACATAATACAAATACACACACCCAGAAAAATTTAAATCGAGGCTAAAGATGCTTCTTCTTTAAGAAGAATAGAGAAGAGACCTAGAGACCTAAATTCATCATCATCATCATCATCATCAATATCGTTATTCATGTGAAAGTGAAATTCATAAGCCACAGATTGTGTTGCCTATTCAATTCAACTTTCACATCACTGAAAATTTTTTTTTTTTTTTTTTTTAATTTTGAAACATACCGTATATATTTACCGATATCGGTGATGATGATGTTTGATTGAGGGATTTTCGGATTTTTTCTTTTCTTTTCTTTTCTTGTTGTTGTTGTTGTTGATATGACCTTGTCCATGTCCGGTTTTTTTGGTCCACCATCGCCACCGACAACCACCATCACTATCAACAACAACAAACCATAAACACCATCGCCACCGACACCCGTATTACATCAAGATTGACAAAAAAAAGAGAAGAGAAAAAAATCAAACAAAAGATTTTTTTTTCTTTTTCGATAAGGGTCCATGGATAAGAGTACAGGTAATGATGCGGTCGAGATTCATTCGATGCGTTTTTTTTTCATCAGAAAAAATGTTCCCACGCATCGCGCAAGCTATATTATATATAGCAAGCGTGGAGAGTGAGAGTGAATTTAAAAAAAATGAAATGAAATGAAAAGAAAAAAAAATTGAAAAGACTTACAGAGTGGGAGAGAAAACAGAAAAAGAGAGAAAGAAACAAGGCCAGTAGTGTATCAACAGTGTTCCAGAAAAAAAAATCTCATATATACCAAAGAGAGAGAAAGAGAAATGGTTGGTAGGTAGGTATAGGTATACAGGTTACAGGTTTCCAGGACCAAGGTGTGCAACACCAACAACAAGAGGTATATACAGTTGTTGATGATGTAAGCTTACATCATCAACAGGCGCGGCATTAGGGTCGGGATTTTTTTTTATTTCGTGCTTGACCCGTAATAATGGCCTAATGAAAAAAACGGTACCTACACACACACACACACACACAAACACAATACCAAGATGCATCAAATTTTGAGAAATTGAAAGTTTTCAATATAGACAAGAGGTTGGGGTGGGGGTTTATATCTAGAATGGGGGTGGATATGAAGAAAAAGAAACAAAAAAAAGGAGGAGGAAGATGGTGACAATCAGATCAAATGATCCACCTTTTCTTCATATTGAACATCATATATATTTGAATCATAAGAAAAAAATTTTTTTTAATTTGAATTTGAAAAAAATTTCATCTTCGGGTCATGTATATATAAAAAGCGTACGAGATTTGTTGGAAATTTTTTTTTTTTTTGATGTGACATTTTTCATCAAGTTCAACAACGACGACGACGAAAAAAAAAATTTCATCATTCTCATATTGGTGGACAGAACAGAGAATTGAAGAGAGACAGAGAGAGAAAAAAATTCTGGGATTCAAATTCAGAATCGACATTTCAGTGATCATCATCATTATTGTTTTTGTTTTCAACCTCCACAAAAAAAAAACCACCAAATGTGTGTATACCCAAATGAAGAGAAAATTTAAATAGCAATGTCGTCATTTCATTTATTATTATTATTATTATCGGCCCAAATGAATGAATAGAAAATAGAAATGAGAAAAGAAAAGTTTAAATGTCATCATCATCATCAACAAAAACAACAGTGAAAAACATTCCAGAAACATCGTCAACTGATAAAAATGAAAATAAAATAAAATCCGGGCATCATGATGATGATGATGATGATGATGATCATTCCCAGATCAAATGCATTTCCATTTGTTTGTAGTTAATGATGATGATGTTCAACAACAACAACAACAACAACAACAAAAAGAATTTTTCTGTTGCTGTCAAAACACCGGTCTGGGATATATTCTTCATCTGTGTGTGTGTGTGTGTGTGTGTGTATGACATCATTCATTCATTCCAAGTAAAAATGATCCATGAGAATTTAGTGAAAAAAAAAAATAAATCACAGGACCTAAGGGACCTGGAACAAAATAAAAAAAAATTTCATCATCTTCATCATCTGCTTTCGACTAACTTGATTCGGATTTTCAAAAAAAAAATACTGGACTAGAAGAAAAATCCTTACTCATCCTCTTCTTTATTTTACTCTAATACCAGAATAAAGAATTTTCAAATTCCAATTTGTAAATGTCGATTCGATAAACGAAAGATCGACCTGATCAACCGAATGATTGAAAAAAGACTGAAAAATAATCACTACAATACACACATATATCGAGAGGGAAACCAAATGTTTTTGTAAAAACTTTGTGATTCTGTGTGTGTGTGTGTGTGTGTGTGTGTGTGTAGGTGTGTGTGTGTGTTCCATAACAACATCATCATATGAAGATCAGAATCAGAAGATCTGAATATTAATAATAAAAAAAAACAACAAGAACAGACTATAGAAATATTCTGGATTCGTCGCAAAGAAAAAAAAAATCCAAATGTAATAAAGGTACCCTCTATTATATAACAATAATGATGATGATGATGATGATGAAATGAAAGAATTTTAACCCCTCCCCGCCACTAAATCAACCACCATAAACAACAAACAAAGTTTCAAACAAAATTATCGTGCGCGCCAAACTAAAAATCACATATTAAATGTAAAAAACAGACGATGGCTTTTCGTTTTTTTTTTTTTTGATCATGATCGTCATCATCAACATCAACAATAATAAATAATAATAATAACAACATGATGATGATGATGATGATCGTTGGATAGTCGTCGCACACCTTGAACTTGAAAAAATATATGTTTTTTTTTCATCTTCGTTGTCGTCGTCGTCGTAGTCGTCGTCCGTTCATTCGACACATTTTATTCGATTATAAAACAACAACAACAACAACAACAGAATATTATTTTATTCTTTTTTTTTGCAAATTTTCAAAATAAAAATGATGAGCTTTTTTCAACAGAAAAAAATCTGATTAAAAAATCTGATTATCAGTGACCATTGTCATCATAAATAATTAAATACATTTCAAAGAGTTTACATTATTATTATTACTGTTATTTTTTTTTGCCAATTTCATTCCAGAATCGAAATATAATCGGGTAAGTTTATCGAGAATTTCATTTGTTTATCATTCATTCATTATTATTATTATGGTATTTGCATGGCAATTTTGCATTGTTGTTTATTAAATTTTGTTGTGTAGTTTTTTTTTTTTCTTGTTCATTGGATAATATTTCGGCCACTTGTTAACCCATGATCACACATTGAATGAATTTTTCATTTTTCATTTTTTTTTTTTTTGAAGAATTTTTTTTCACTATTTTCACAATAAAAAAAAAGTTTGTTGCATTTGGTAGAAATTGCAGAAAAAAACACAAAACATTAGCCTTGAACATGAAAAACATTTCTTGATTTTCAATCAACAATGTTGTGTTATTTTTTTTTTATTCGTTTGTTTATTTGTGATATGGATCACATTGTGATGAAGGTGAAGGGTCAAATTCGTAGAAAATAATTGAAAATTAAAATGACAAAAAAAATAGAGAGAGAGTGGGAGAGAAAGAAAAAACAGAAACCCGGATTGTTTTCACGGATTGTGGAAATAATGACAAGTAAATAGTACAATCAAAAGCAACAGCGAGAATAATTTCATCGAATCCAGAACCCAGAAGGAAAGAGAGAGAAAAAAAATCCAAAAACAAAATGAAAATCGCCAACGATGAAAGAGAGAGAATGAGAGAAAGAAATAGAAAAAAAAGAAAGAAAACAAACCAAAGGAATGGCACAATATATCTGGTTTGTTGTGTTAGTTTATTGACGTCAAACGATTCCCGGGAACATATTTTCTTCTTTCATTTCCAACAGAATCAAAAAAAAAAAAACCAGAAACCAGAATATATATGGTATATATATTGGTATAAGGGTTCCCGGTGCGTGCATCTGTATCTACATACTCTACATACAAATACCATATATATATATAATAAGTAGAATTGAAATGAACAGAATATAACACGGGAAATCTTCTGCTTACATGCATCAAAAAGAAAAAAAAATAAAAAATAGATGATGGTGATATATTCAAGACCGGACAAAATGAAAAGTAAAATAAAATAGAAAATGAAAAAACAAAATTTAATTCTTATGATGACGCCAGTATGAATTTATTATTATTTTTTTTCTCGCTAATTCACATGATGATGATGCATGATCAATCCGAATTGATAGTCAGCAAACATATTAGTGAGATAATAATTAATGCAAAAAGTTATGATTCTGTTGATGATGATTCTAGTGGGCGTAATTGCATTGTTTAACTACATCATCATCATAAACAACAACAATTCAATTTTATTATTGTTGTTGTTTGCCTTTTATTTGTTGTAAAAATTCATTTGTTGCTATGTGCCCCATTAGGTTTAGGTGTGTGTGGGTGTGTATATTTGTTTATTTCAATTATAGATTTCTTTTTGTTTTTTTGTGTTATATTGTGTTCAACCAACCGACTTGTATTTGACATTATCAAATTCAAGTAGAGAGATAGAGAGAGACAGAAAAAAGTGATTGCAAAAGCTTCAACTGGGTGTTCATAATCATCATCATCATCAAATCACAGAATAAAAATCAGAATTAAAAACAAGGATGATGAAAATGTAGAATGGGGGGCTATCATCTATTGATGAGATTCAAACAATAATGATAGTCTAAAGAAGAAAAATATAAAATAAAAATGACTATACTCGATGATGATGATGATGATGATAAAGAATGGGCAAGAGAATAAAAAACAACCTACCCTACACTTTACCATAGGAATATTTTTTTTCAATTCTGGTAAACTCGAGCGCAATTTGCGTCATTACTTTCTGTTGATGGTGGTGGTGGTTTTTTGCACTCAATAGAGAAAGAGAGAAAGAGAAAATCCTCCTCACTGGTTGGTTGTTTTTTTGGATCATTGATGATTGGATATCATTTTTTTTTGCTGTTTGACGTCATTGAAAAAAAAAATTTTTCGGCTACTGACGAATAATAATGAAGATGATGGGCAAATAATTTTTTTTTATCCGGGATTCTACTTCTTTTTCATCTGAATAGCTTTGTATTTGTGTGTGGGTTTTTATTTTTGGAACATTTTCTGGAACATACACACACACACACACACAAACAGTGGAAAGCAAAAAGTCCCAGACATACTATATTGCCTTATAAATTTTTCTTGTGACATATAGCATAGACACCCACGCATGGCGCCCACAATTGAAAATTCTCAATAGTCATAGCCAACTATGGTGAATGGAATTTTTTTTTTCTTTGAAATAGGAAAAACGTTACATGTTAATGGAACACACACATATACAAAGAATGAATGTCTGTTTTCAATGTCAATGTCGCAATACAGGCCAATAAAAGCAAAGATGAAAAAAAATGTTTAAATATCAAAAAAAAGGAAAAGGAAATTAAATAAATAAAATAAATAATTAGATCAATCTATATCCTGAGAATTGGTAGGAAAGGTAAGAAAATTCGATTACTTACCAGTTGTACGTCATCATCATCATCATATTCAATGACCTTTGACACACACAACAAAAATGAAATCAAAAAAATTCGACGAAGAAGAAGAAGAAGAAGAAATCTTTCAATACAAGGTTCTTTTTTTTTGCTTCTATCTATTTGTTGTTGTCTTACTTCTGTATATTAGATTCTATTCTGTCGATAAAAAAAAAAAAAAAAAAAATATTAAATGGAATGCCCTGCAGTGTTGTTGATAAATTGCTTGTTGAATGGTAAATGATATCAATGATTTGATGATGATGATGATGATGGCAGTTGTGGGTGTATATGTTCGAAAAACGAAAGAAAAGGAAAAAAAAAATTTTTTTCCCATTTTTAATCATTCGAATTCGAATATTTAAGAAGTGGATGGATGGAAGGAAAGATACAACCCTGATAGCAAGTGGATTCGAATTTTTTTTTTTCATTTCATTTCATTTCATTGCGCTTCAATATATTATCATCATTGGTAATGGTAACGATGATGGTTTGTGTGTGTGTGTGTGTGTGTGTGTGTGATGGCCATATTGAAATTCATGCCTTAGGCAATTATCGTTGGCGGCGGTGGCGGTTGTCTTCAAAAATGATGATGGTCGAAGTCGTTGATGGCTGGTTGGTTGGTTGGATAGATGATTGGTCGATGGTTAGTTGATTGGTTGATGGTCAAATTGAAATGAAATATCACAATCAATTCAATCTTTTGAAAATTCGTCGTCATCATTTGACGAATCTGTATGTGTGTATTTATGTCGATGTGATGTGTCGACGATATGACGATATGATGATGATGATGATGATGATGATGATGAGATCGTCATTTTCATCTGGAGCTTCTGTTTAACAAATAAAAATTTATAATTTTGTTAATGAAAGAAAAAAAAAATTTAATTTCTTCGTGTAACCAGATTTTTACGTTTTTTTGTTGTTGTTGTTGTTGATTTATTTGCAGGGGCGTGTGAACGTGTGGGTTTTTTTTTCTTCATCTTCTTGGATGTTAACGAAGAAGAGAATAATATTAAATATGTAATTGATATAGCCACCAAATGTCGAATAATCGTACACCATCAATCAATACGACAACAACAACAACAACAGCAACAACCACAACAACAACAGCGACGACGACGATATTAACATCAATTTCCCAGATACCATTATTATCACCATCATCATTATTAACCATTTCCTCTTGTTCCTCTATTTCCACCAATATTTCCTCCCATTTCTTCCACAACATCGACAATTATTTCAACAAAAACATTCGATTCGACTATTTTGACTGCCGATGTATTAACAACCCAACAACCAACAACAACTACAATAACAATAACGACAAAATCCTCAATAATGCCTTCATTAGTACATAATACCAAACGTAAACGTTTGGATGCTGTTGTAACAAAATTATCAATGTCAAAAATACGTAATCCATTATCATCATCCACCGCATCATCATCATCATCATCATTATTGTCAACAACCATATCCGAAGCATCAACAATTGTTCCAATTTGTTCCAATTTGGTTGATTATGATGAATTATCATCATCATCTATAATTGACGATAATGATAATTCACCATCATCATCAACAGCCATAATGATTGTTGATGATGAAACAAAATCATCACCAAAAAAACAATTATCATTAGATTCAGAAATGAGCTTAACAGTTGGTAATTTAAATTTAAATATTTCAACATCAACATCATCATCAGAAATTATGGAAAAAAAATTTCATCATCATGCATCGACATCGACATCACCTTTATCATCACCATCATCAACGACAACGGCAACATACACAACATCATTGATTACTCCACCCACAACAAAATATTATGAAGATAAAAAAATTGAAACTACAAAAAATATTGATGAAATTATTGTTTCAGGCAATATTTTTGAAAGTAAAGAAAAATATTTTACTGATGATAATAAACAGGAGACGAAAATGAAAGATAATAATGATGACCATGAAGTTGTTGGCGGTAGCAAAAGAAGCAACAGCAGCAGCAGCAATGAACAATTATTATCAGGACCTAGATCATCATCATCATCATCATCTATATTATCAGGTAGCAACAAGCTACCAGTGATGATCACAACAACAACAACAACAACAGCAGCAACAACCACCACCAGTAGTCGATCAGGTAATTTGTTTTCAACATCGTCAACAGACGATAAAGTAAAAAACTTGAATACGAATCAACAACAACAAGAACATGAACAGGAATCTCAATCAACGAAAACTAATGTCAGTGAAGAAAAAATGATGATGATGATGATGATGGTGATGGCAAACTCTTAAGTCACGATTTAGCTGTAAGGCCAAAACAACAAGAACAGGCCAAAACATTAGAAATTGGTGAAAATGTTAAAGAAGAAAAAAATTCAACTTTGACGTCGTCGTCGACATCGTCGGCGGCGGTGGCGGTGGCCAAATTCCAGCAGCAGCAACAACAACAACAACTACAAAAGCAGAAGCAACAGGTGACCGATCATCATCATGATGAACAGCAACAGCAGCCATTGCCACCGTCGTTGAAACAACAAGAAGAAAAAGAAAAAGAAAAAGAAGATGATGATGATGATGAAAATGAATACCAGCAGCTAAATCTAAAAAATAAGCAACAGGTCAAAACCGAATTGGCTATTCAGTCGATTTCGACCGGCGAACCGATCGTATCGACTTCGATATCACCGTCATCATCATTGAAACCATTTAAATTACCATTATTTGATTGTCTACCATTTCAATGTAAATGTCAACATTGTCACCAACATCAACAACAGCCACAACATTCGATTCGAATACCAACCATACAATCAACATCATTGATAATACCTATGCCAACTAGTTCAACATCACCGACCATGACTGGTCATCATCATCTTCATCATCATTCTCATCATCAGAAATCAACATATTGGCCACAACCACAATCATCATCCACATCGTCATCATCGGCTACATCAACAGCAATATGGTTTAATAATCCAAAAAAATTTTCATCAACCGGTGGCGATGGCCGTTCAACATCACCAACGACATCGACAACAACACCACCGGTTATGATGGGAAAATGTTCACCACCAATATTGGAATCGGCACGTATGCCAAATTATAAGAAACAAATTTTATCCGCTGCATTAAAACCACAACAACAACAACAAACGTATGAACAACCTGTAATGACATCCGGTATAGATATGATAACACCCGGTAAAAAACGTAGCTATTCCGATTCTGATGTACTAGTCGCTGATTATTTAACAATGAATGCAGCAGCTGTAGCCAAAAGTAATACTGCCGCTTTATCGTTATCACAACAACAACAACTACAACAACAACAACAACAACAAGAACCAATTCCATTAATTCGTACAGAATCTGGTCTAATTCATGATAAAATTGGACGATCATTGCCAAAATTGAAAACACAACATCAACATCATCATTATCATCATCAACAAGAATGTCCATTAGATTTATCTTGTAAAACAATAATAAAAAAACATCCACCACCACCGCCATTACCATTGAAAACTATTTCTACAACAATGCTCAATATTGCTCATCCATCATCATTATCATCATCATCATCATCATCATCGTCGGCAAAAACGACATCATCATCCTCATCAGCATCATCATCATCATATACACAGAATATATTCTTTAATGAATCCGATCCTAATACTCCAAATATTCCGGTTACATATCCATTCAATCAAACAGCAACAGCAGCAACTACATCAGAATTATTGTTAAAATATTCAAATTTATTATTAACAACAGTTACAGCATCTTCATCATCATCGGTACCACAAACATCGCCAAAACAAACAAAATATTCGCCACAAATATTACCATCAACAATATTATCATCACCGATTATAATTGCTGGACAATCTTTTAAAACACCATCAACAACAACAACTACAACGACAACTACAGCCGATAATATAATCACTAGTACAACATATCAACGTCATATAAAAAAATCATTTAAATCGAAAAGTTCTGAAGATTTTTCATCAACTTCAGCTACTTCGGAAATTACTGCTGCTGCTGCTGCCGCTGGTGGTGGTGGTGGTGTTGGTGGTGGTAAAAGCTGTTCATTAACCGATCTAGTAATTGATAGTAGTAATCTTGGTACAATAACGAATCGTTTATCGACCAAATCATTTACTTGTACCATTTGTAATGAAACATTTGGACAACATGATAGGCTTGCTAAACATATTGCAAGTAGACATAAAAATCGTCAACAATGTGATTCGGTGGCGAAAAAATATCTATGTGAAATTTGTCATCGTTCATTTGCACGTAGCGATATGTTATCAAGACATGGTCGTGTACATACCGGTATTAAACCATATGCATGCGATATTTGTGATCAAGCATTTTCACGTTCCGATCATTTACATACACATTTGCGTACACATTCTGGTGAAAAACCATATAGATGTGAATTTCGTAATTGTGGTTATGCTGCATGTCGTCGTGATATGATATCTAGACATATGCGTACACATTTTCGTTATGAAAATTCAACAACAACAACAACAACAACAACATCGACATCGACATCGACATCGACAACAAATCAACAATCATCATCATCACCATCAACTGGTGATTTTTAATATATAATCATTAAAATTCATATCGATAACCAGAATCGGACCTCAAAAATATTGAAATTACTGTCCACTGTCCAAACATACTTTTTTTGTTTTTCATTTTTTTTTACACTTACCACCATCTTACCTAATGCTGCACAACCATGAACAACAGTGATCTCTAATTTCATTTTTTCAATTTTTTTTGCATCTTACCTTTGTCTGTGTGTGTGTGTGTGTTTATGTCCAAATCAATTAATGAAAAGGAAATTCATGTATAACAACAACAACAAACAACAACAACAAAAAAAACAAAACAAAACAAAACAAAACTTGCCATAATAATCCAATGATTCTGATATTTGTCTATTTTTTTTACCTCTTTTTGTTTTAATAATGAAAATTTAAATATGCAAAAATAAAAAAAAAAATTTAACGAAAAAAAATTACTTGCTTGCTTGCTTTTTTTTTGCTGAAACGAAATCAACCAAAAAAACGAAAAAAAAACTGGAGAAAAGAATTTCAATTTGATACCATTATCATCATCATCATCAACGTCGTCATTATTATGGCACATGGAATAGTCAAGAGTAAAGGTTAAAAGTCAACGATAATCATAGCTTGTTGTATTTTTCTTTTCTCTTTCTCTCTTGAACAATCTTTGAACAACAACAACAACAAAACCGAACAAATGAGTGGGTGTTTAAAAAACATAAAAACGATTCTATTGATCGATCGATTTGATTCGAATGTTTTTTTTTTCGTTTTCGTTTTGTTCGTTTTTGTTCGAAATCAACCTAACCTGTCATTATAGCCATATTTTGTGTGATTTGGCCGGTTCATTTTGTTGTTGTTGTTGTTGATCCATTTTCGTTTGAATTTGAAACAAAAAAAACAAAACAAAACAAAACGAAAATTCAATTAATGGGTAGGTGGTGGTGGGTGGGTTGGTTCATATAAAAATGTTTTTCAAAACAACAACGAATGATGAATGAATGAATGATGATGATGACCACAACATGATTATTATAAGTGAATCTTTTTCTTTCTTTCTTGGATCATCAATGATTGTCGATTTCATTTTACCATTCATTTGTTGTGAAAAGAAAAAAAATGAAAAGAAATGAAAAGGAAAAAAATTTCTGCTCTCAAAAAAACGTCATAATACAAAAGATGTTGTCGTCATCGGTCAAAATTTTCTTTTTTGTTGACGAAATGGAATGATTTTTTTTTTTTTTTTTTTTTTTTTTAAATTTTAAATTCAATGCCTCCTCCACATTCTATTACTACGAAATTTAAATTAATTTTTTTGTTCCCATTTTGTTCTTTTATTCATTTCATTCATTCATTCATTCATTCATTTGTATTCGATTTTTTTTTGTTATTCATTACAACAAACAATCAACAGGTAGGTATATATGCACGTAATAATAATGAGATTTTTTTTTACGTTCCTAAAACTAGAATGGTCATAGAAAAATGACCAAGTCAATTAATTTGCATTTAAAATTCCATTGACCATTGACCACCATCATCATCATGTGTCCCTTTCATAGGCCCATTTTTTTTTTTTTTTTTTGTTATCACAATGTTAAATTGGAACAACGAAAAAAAAACTAAAAATAGCCAAGACAACAACAACAACAACAAAAGCAGCAGAAGTAAGAAGGGCACCGACTAATGGAAGTCCACACACTGAGGCCATAGGGTAATTTATTTATTTTTTTTCCATTTTGTTTGTCATTATTTTTTTTTGTTATTCAAGTTTTTTTTTCATTTAATTTTCAATCAAAAATTTTTTTTTCGTTTGAATTTTAAATCTAAAAGAAATAGAAAGTCTTTTTGTTGTTGTTGTTGTTGTCCGTAAACATATTGGTGAAAATCATACAAAAAGACCACCACCAAATGTGTGTGTGTAATGTGTGACAAACGGTGAAGTGACAATTATTCAATTTTTTTTTTCGTTAAATTATACAACAGGTTTTTTCTCTTGCCTTTTTTTTTTTTTTTTGTCGATTACGCAGTATAATAATAATGTGTAAATAAGTTGATTTGTCGATTTTTGTTGAATATAAAATAAATAATTTCGTTGATTGAAATGAATGAATGTAATAAATGTAAAACGAACAAATGATGAAATAAAATTGATTACAAATTAATTCAATCTATTTTTGTAGCCATTGTTGTTGTTGTTGTTGTTGTTTTGTTATTTGATTGAATTTGTTTCATTGATAAATTTTCTGTTGATGGACGTGTTGATGTTGTCGATGATGATGAACCACCATCAATCATGTCTAATTGTTGTCGATCACTAGATTGTTCATCACTATCATAGCAATCATTGTCATTATCATTATCACTTTGATATGGTATATAAAAATAGGCCATTACAGCAAATATCAATGCATCAATAAACATAAGACCAAAAAATAGGAAAAATTCATGTGATTGTTTTTTGAATTTTACCAATGTTATAAGGGCAACAATAAGATTTCCAAATGCAACGGTCATCAGCCATGCTGCTTGTAGTACAGATTTCATTGATTTTGGTGCTTGTGAATAGGAAAATTCCAATCCAGTAATGGAGAATAAAATTTCTGCAGCTGTCATTATAAGATATTGAATCAATTGTAAAAATATTGATAATTTATTCTCATCAACGATCCGAGATAATCGTGATTCTGGTTCAGTATTTAGATCACCAATGATTACTTGGATATATGTAGCACCTTGTCCCATCATTGGATATGTCATGCGTTTATTTTCACCAATCATTAAGACAATATCTTCACCAATAATATCCACTTCGAATGGATTTAAATAGCCAATTGTTCTACCAGTGTCAATATTGTGCTGTACAATATTTGTAACCAATCCATCTTTATGACCGTCGATGGCGAATTTATCAAGAGTTTCATTGAAATTTTTCAAATCAAATATAGTGAACAATTTAGCGCCGCTTGTATCTGGTTTGACTAATATATTTTCCCATACGAATTTCAATGGTGTTTCAACGGTGGTATAATAAAGAACTAATGTTTCATCATCCGTGAAATTCGTGATTGGACCAAATTCTGATTCCAATGATGATCGTTCAATATTGTCTAGAACTTTGATTTCATTTGGCATTAGTGTAATGTTTGAGAGAATGGTCAAATTTTTGGGCATATTATTAACGATGGCTAAATGATTATGACCAGGCATCATTGAAACAGGTGCTTCAGCTTCTATTGATAGCTGGAAAAAACCACAAACACCAAATGATAATGATGCTAATAGACCACCGATAACTATTCGTTTCAATGGGGTATAAAGACCAATTTTGTTCATCATTGGATAGATAAGATAATCGAAAATTGGTACGAAAAATATGACCAAAAATGGATTAATGGCTTGAATTTGATCTGGTTTTATGGTGAAATGTTCACCAAGTTGTCCGTTCATACGAATTGCTTGTAATGTCCATCGAGATGCTTGTTGATCAAACAATGCCCAAAATACAGGTAATGGTATATACAAGAATAGTATACGAAGCAATGCTTTTACATCTTTACGTGTTTTATTCTTTCAAAAAAAACAATGAAAAAAAACAATGAGAAAAAAAATTCTAGATAAAAATCAATAAAAAGTTTCTTACATCATATTTATCATCAGCATAATCGATCCAATGTTCTTTTTTCGTTGAATTTGATGATGAAAAAAATCGTCGATAAAATGCTCGCTATAAAATGAAATTTGAAATGATAAAAAATTGTAAATTCTAAACAGAAAAAAACTTACCCCAATACAGCTAAAAACACGAAATACAATATTATTTTTTTCCGGTGGATTAATAGTATAACCAGTTATAAATTTTCCCAATATAAACAATATCAAAGCAACAACCATCAATATGGCTGGAACTCCGAATGCTAATGGATAACAATCGGATCGACCTAAACATGAGACATTTTGACGTAGAACTGGTGTTAAAAATGTTGAAATTAAACTGCCCGAATTGATAGCAATATAGAATAATGAAAAAAATTGTTGCAATTGTCGTTCTTGTCCTGGTTTAAATTGATCGCCACCAAATGCTGAAACACATGGTTTTATGCCACCGGTACCAATTGCAATCAATGCCAATCCAATAAATGATATCCACACGGTACCACCAATGGATGCACCAGATATAATAATATTACCAGCTGCATATATACAAGAAATACTCAAAATGGTCCAATATTTTCCCAAATATGAATCAGCAATTATAGCACCAAAAACTGGTGTAAAATAACAGACCATAACAAATATATGATAAATTTGTGTGGCTAAATCTTCATTGAATAATAATACATATTTGAAATAAAGAACCAAAATTGCTAAAAAAAAAAAGACAAAAGATTAATAATCAGATAATATTTATGAATCATCAAGTTGGAACTTACTTCGCATTCCATAAAAAGAGAAACGTTCACAAAATTCATTACCAATAATGAATAGAATGGATTTTGGATATGGAATCTTTTTTTCACCACCATTCTCTTTATCCACTGTATATGAATTTGAATTCTGTTTTGTAGAGTGATGAAAAAATTGACATTTAAAAAAAAAATCAGGTAAACATTAAATTTATCATCTGCCATGCTATACTAACAGCCATTTTGAGTGGATTTTTCATTTTTCAATTGTCATCAATCAATCAATCAATCGAAACAAACTTAAACCAAAATGAAAAACAAAAAACAAAAAAATTCCAAAATATTTTCGATGTAAAAGTGTTGCATAAAAATTGGCAATCGTTTTTTTTTTTTTTGGTGGTTATCAATAATCAAAAATTCTTTAAAAAAAAACAAAAACTTTTACAAACACAGACACAAATGAGATGAAAAAATTTTTTTTTCTACAAATAAAAGTCAAATAAAAATTTTTGCTGCTTCTTGTTTTTATTGTTTTTTCTTGTCTCAATTGAACTATATGGTTGTCATTGGGCAATGAATTTGGGTTATCAAATACATACACACACAAATATTATGGCCACACAATAATCCGATGATTATCAATGCAATGGATGATGAAAAAAAAAAAAAAAAACGGTCGTTGGACAAGCAATATATAAAGAAGCGGTAAATGCAACAAAATTTGATTATGATAATAATCAGATAATGATGATGATGGTTATTTTTACAATTTTTAATTACACGTGAATCAAAAAGAATCTGATATCATAAAAAAAATGGAGAAAAATCGGGTAAAATTAAAAAATTTTTTTTCCACGGATTAATTGATTGTGCCAAAACAGCAATCATATAATGAGACACACGAATTATATAAAAAAAAAATTTGATTTTTGATGATTCGATGAACAACAAAAACAAAACATTCGAATTCTATTCACAGGAAATAATTATCGTACATACATAAATAACGTAACCATGCCAATTGATTTGATGATGGATGAGCATCATCAACTTAAATATATAATATATATCTGAGCAACGATAATCGATTTTTTTTTTTTTTTTTGATTTTATTTTTCATAATAATCTTTAAATTACTAAATACATTTAGATTGAATGTTGATTGAATTAATAATTGGTTAATTGATCTCCTGGATACAAATGATGTCAACAACAACGACAATAAAGCATTGGCAGAAATATTGAAAGAAATCAAAAAAAAAATCAATTCTTACCTTTGACATGTTTGGTTCAAATGTTCGTTGATCCGATGATGATTACCACGCTGGTTTTTTCACAATGTTTAGTAAAGAATCCAAAAATAGGAAGGGTGTTGTTGTTGTTGCAATCAAAATGTTCGAAATGATGATTTGAACATGTGTGTGTGTGTGTGATGGATGGATAAAAATAGACTGATCCCGGATATATTCGAATTCGAATTTTTCATACACACACACACACACACACAGAAAGATGGAGAAATCAACAATCCATGAATGAATGGTTAAGAATCTTTTTTCAATTTTCTAAATTTTTGTTGTTGTTGTGTTTTTCACCAGATCAAAAAAAAAATCATAGATAAATTTGAAGAAAAATTTGAAAAGAAGAAAAACAAGTTGTGAAATAATAATGTGAAAATTGAATATCGAGAAAAAAACCCTTTATTATCTCAGTGGTGCAAAAGAAACTTTGTTTTTAAATCAAAAACAAAGAAAAAATTTTTTTCTCTGTTGTGTTGATCATCAGCCAGTCAGCCAACCAACCAGCCAACAATATAAAACCGGAGCCAAAATGTGAATATTATTCGACTGTTTGTGTGTGTGATAAGTTATCATCACAAGATGAACGAAAGATGACAAGTTGATTTTGTTTCCATTATAAAAACCATGATGATGATGATGATTGGTGTGACAACTAAATGATTGATGACCGACCACCACCACCATCATCATCATCACCGGATGAGAAACATTTTTTTTTAAAAAAAAGAAAATTTTCTTCAAAATCTAAGAGTTCAATGTACAAAAATCTATATGGAAAAAAATTTGACCGAAAAAAACAACCAACCAACCAACCAACAAAAAAAAAACACATGTGTTTTTGTTGTTGTTTTTTCATTACAAACTCGTTCATTGATGTCTTTTTTTTTGTCGATGACTTTTAATTTCATTTAAAAGAACAACAAAAAAATTCATTTCTGGTATTGTGAATGATTCGGCTGAAAAAAAATTGATGAAATTCATTTTTTCTTTTCATTTTCAATTTGGCTTCCAGGTTTTTATCCTTCAAATACCATAAATCAATCAATCAATCATTCATTGGTATCGAATGTGATCGACACACACACACAACTACATTGGATCCCTTTATTTGTTTGTATAATTTGGAATTTTTCTCCCCACCACCACCACCACCACCACAACCATCGTTCGATGATGATGAAATCAGGTATGTAACATATGCCAGCATAATTGACAATGTAATTTTAAATTTTTTTTATTATTATTATTTATTAATTATCAGGTAAGGATTAAGGTAAAAAAAAAAAAGAAATCTAGCACTCACGTGAGATAATAAATCATGTGTCTGTGTTTTGTTTGTTGTATGGAACAATGACATCCTATCATCATCATCATCATCATCATCATCACACATCATCAAAATCCTTCATAGGTGACCTGTAGTTATGTTAATTAAAATTTTTCTGTTCCAATAATAAGACACAAAGTAAGTGAAAGTGGTGTGATTGGAAAAAATGAAAATTGGAACAACTTGTCTGGATTTCAAGATGGTCACAAGATTTTTCTTTTCCTGTCAAATCGGGTAAAAATTATGGAAAAATTTTTATTTGTTTATACTCAAATGCAAACAAAGTAAATAAAAAAATAAAATAAAATTGAATCAAGAAATCAAGGAATTTTTTGTTTTGTTTATTTATTTATTCATCTGATTCAAATACAAGAAAAAAAAATTCAATGATTTACTTGGAATTTTTTTTTGCACTACAGAATTACAGAATTTTCAAGAAACTATTAATAGGAGGAAAAAAAACGGAAATCTTGATGAACAATCTTGATGTTCAAAGATGATGGTCACTTGAATTTTCACATTTGTTTTATTACATTTGTGGTAAACTTAATAATGTATGTTGACCAGGTGGAAGATAGGCAATATTACGTGAACGTGATAATTGTTTAGCAATTTCTTCAGCAGCTTCCATACGACGTAATTCAACCAATGCTTCACCACAATCACCAAATGCTTTAGCCAATAATGATGCTGCTTGTGAATCACCTTCAGCACTGATAACTGCTGCTTTTTTCAAATGTTCAGCTTTTTCCACAACAAAACGGGCACGTTCTGCATCCTGTTGTGCAACTTGTTTCATTTCAACAGCAGCCGTAAATTCACGACCAAAACCTAAATGTGTCTAAAGAAAAAGGAATTGTTGAAATCAAATGAAAACAAACAAAAAAAAAACAAGAATTTTACCAAAGAAATGTCATCAAGTACAAGACCAAAATGAGAGGCACGTTCAGTTAAATCTTCACTAACACGACTTGATACAATTTCACGTTGTGTAATCAATTCGCCGGCATCAAATTGTGCAACAACAGCTTTTAGTACTTCATTTGTAATCGATGGCAATACACGTTGATCATAATCTTCACCTAGACTACTATATAATTTCGGCAATTCCGATGGTATTGGACGGAATAATATCCTCAATGTAATATTGACTGTTTGTAAATCTTTACTGCCGGTTATTACTGATACCGATTTTGGTCGTGATCGTATATCATATATGATGGCACGTTGTACCCATGGAATCAAAAAATGTGTACCTTCACCGACAACATTTTTTTAATGCCAGCAAAACGATCAAAAATAACAGCTCGTGATCCACCGTCGACTGTAAATAGAAAAATGAAAATGAATTTTTCAAATGTGAAAAAACACAATTCGCTAAAAAAACACAATTCTTACCATTATACAATGAAGTATTCAGAACACTAGCACCAATAGCTAAACCAATACCTAGCCGGCCAAGACTGTTGAGAATTTGTGCAGCCATTATTATTGTTGTTTCAAAAAAAAATCAATAAATTCCGCAAACAAAAAAATCAAAATTAATTCAACAAGAAATTAGTGACAATACAAGATTTGGCGAAAAAAAAAAAAAAATTCTCACGCAATGACATCAAGCATGGTTTTTTTTTTTTTTTTTTGGTCAAGCATCAGCCAAAGTATGGAATCATATGTTCGAAAGTAAAAGAGAAAAAAAAATTCGAATACCATTCATAAATGATAGGACCGATGGAATTTTTTTTTTTTTTTTTTTGGTTTTTAATCTTCATCAAGAACCAAAAAAAAAAAAAAATTAGAAAAATAAAACAACCAAAAACATTTAATTAATAAAATGAATTTAGAAATTGTGTACACCTAAATTCTCATTGAATTATCATAGTTCATTTTTGAAACAAAACCAAAAAAAACAAAAAAAAAAAAAATCCAGAATTCATTCTGATCAAGAATGGATGTGTATGTTCTGTGTGTTCTGTGTGTTTGTGCATTCAACTATATAGCATCCCCTTTATTTATTCCAAAACAAGAATTCCATTCATTTTCTATTTCACCTCCAACGCTTTTTTTTGTATGTTCTTTCTTTCACTGTTTTATTGTCTATTCCACCATCATCCACTATCATCATTGAATCGTATATATCTGAGCTTTGTTTACCATTTACATTGACACATAATAATACACCCGTGTTTTGTGTGTGTGTGTGTGTTATATGTTATATCCCACACACACAAAATGATAATGATAAACAAAACAAAACAAAAAAAAACAAACGGCTCGTTTTGTTTATTCTCCAGAATTTGATTGAATATTTGATTGGCGATAAATATTTGAATGGAATCAATGAGAAAATGATGCTAAACAACAACAAAAATTTACATAACATCATCAAGCAATAATTAATAAATTCAATCATCAAACAAAACATGCTCACCATTATACGATCTATTCGATTTGAATGATGAATGAATGAATGTGTTTACATTAACCAAACACACACAACAATTATCTATAGATATGGTCAAACCGATAAATGTGTGTGTGTGTGTGATGTCAATTCTGAATTAAATTCATGAAAATTAAAAAAAACACCGCTGATAATATTGATTCTGTGGAGCCAAATTTTTTTTTGCCCCAGCGATCAATCAACAATTATCGAATATCGATTTTTTCTTCACTCTCTTTCTCACCTTCGAATCTCTTTTCATAAATCATTCGCGAATCAATGGCCAAAAAAAAAAAAAAAATTTTTTTTTTTCATTCGAATAATAATTTGATTGATAACGTTGTGATCACGAAATTGAATTTTTAAATTTTTTTTTTCGTTCACCATGTTTTTTTGGGTGTAGATAATTTTAGTCAATCATCATCGAATAATAATCAACAATCGATTATATTATATCAAGATCTCTATAAACATTCGAACATTTTTTTTGGACCGAAACAAAACGATCTTCATCATCATCATCACTTCCATTTCTTCCATTATCAACTGAACCAAATTCTTTGATTATTAAACATTAGAATTTTCAGTACAAGAAATTACAAAACAACAACAACAACAACAATGGATCAAGATACATTATTATCCATATCACATCTGCATAAACAATTTGCCGATATTAAACAAAATGCACCATCAATTGGTTCATCACAATCGGCAAATGAATTACATGAACAAAAAATTTATAACATTTTACCATTATTTTGTAAAATATTCAACAACAACAACAACAACAATTATCAACAACAACAACAGACAGAAAATTCGAATGAATCGATTGCTCAACAACAACAACAACAACAACCAAATATCGATATATTCGAAACATTTGCTGATGCAACATCATTCACACAAATGGTATCACGATTAATGGTCACTGAAATAAGACGTCGTGCATCGAATAAAACCACCGAATTAGCATCATTAGCGATTGTGGAATTTTTAGAAATAAGTCCAACGGTTACAAATATTCCGGCAAATAAAAAAGGATGGATCCTATTGTCTACGTTGAATATACTGGTATCATTTAATTCATCACAATTGATTGCCATAATGACAAACAATTCATTGGCATCAACATTGGTTAAATGTCTTTATCTTTTCTTTGATTTACCACCATTTGATGATGATGATGATGATGAAGATGAAAAATCAAACAACAATAATGATTATTATCTATCCATTGGTGAACGTCGTCAATTATTACAAAAAGTTTTTTCACAATTATTACAACGATTATGTACATCACCAACAGCATTGAATGATTTGACTAGAAAAGATGATTTAATATTATTATTCAATGTGATTACATCATGGTGTCCAGAACATAATAGAATGTGGCGTAAAACAGCCGCCGATACAATCATAACGATGGCCAAACATGGCAATATAAATGTTGATTATTTACATTCGAAAAATTGTATCCATTTATTTGTGGAAAATGTACAAAGAATATTGGAATTAGGCACAGCACCGAATAATGAAATATTATTGATGATACGTACATTTATTGGATTCATGTTTGAATATGTCCACTATTATTATCAACATTCATCGATTACAAACAATTCAAATGTTGCCATACAGATTTTATTGGATGATTTTAATGAATGTTTTGGTTATCAATTTTTTGTCGATTTTGGAACACGTTTAGAACAATCTGAAGATTTTGATTTATTATCAGATTTTTTAATATTAATCTGTTTGTTCACGAAAATTGGTGCAACACAATTGAAACCACGGCCATTATCAGTGAATCAAGTGTTTATTATTGAAAATTTTTCCATACCAAAACCATCGATAAAGAATTCGATAAAAAATTTAAAAGCATTCAGTATTTATGTATCATTATGGCAAAAATCACGTACAATAGAATTACAGCGAATGATATTGAATCAGATACAAAAAATTTATGCCGAAGATAAAGCCAATTATTTTCTACTTGAATCACAGAATACATTAAGTTCATTTGCCGATCAATTGGAAGAGAAAAATGAAACAATACAATCGATATATTATTCATTATTAGAATATATTGTCACTGAATTGAATTATGTTCCATGTAAAGAATTGATAACCATTGGTATGATATTGAAAAAACAAAATTCAACACCACAAAGTTCATTATTGGCATTGAAATCATTGAATTCAATGTTAAAATTGAATACAATATTCAAAGAAGTATTTCGTGAAGTTGGTCTTGTCGATATACTTTGTACGACATTTAATTCATTTATTGAAATTCTTGAACAACAACAACAACAACAACAACAACAGATTGAAATAAATCTAACTGAATTATTGGAAATTCTCATACAGCTATTGATTGATTGGTGGTGGTGGATCATCAGTGAATCAAAATTGTCAAATATTTCATGATCTTGATTCATCAACACATACATTTCAATTGATTAAAATACTTACCACTAGTAGTAGCAGTGGCAACAATTCCGGTAGAAATAGTTCATTATCATCATCTGGTGGAAATAGTGGTAAAGAATCATCACGAAGTAATAATAATCATCGTGAATCAATCAATAAATCCATTCGTAAACGTGCATTCACATTGATACAACAATTAATATTATCGAATAATAGTGAAGAAAATTTATCACAATTATTAGTACTATTACATCGTGATCGAAATTCATTCAATAGTGTACAAGAAATGTTGAGTTTAAAATTATCCGTTTTAAAATCATTACTTATTGTATTGAGTGAAAATCATCGTGTTCGTGCCCTATTCCGTAAGATTGGTGGATTCGTATCCGTCATATCGGTTATTGTTTATATGGAAAATTATCTTATTGAAATACCATCATCATCCATACATTCATTTGATAGTCGACAAATATGGAATCTATTGCGTTTTGTTTTCGCAATGTTAACAACAGCAATGCGTTTTGAACCGGCAAATTCCAAATATTTTGCTCAAGAAATTTGTTCACCAAGTTTTACCGATTCATTACGTTTATTAGGCTGTTTTGATGAATTACAATTTGGTTGGAGAAAATCAACAAAAATGAAACAAGAACAACAACAGCAACAAGAAGAAGAAACGAAAAATTATCAAAAATTATTCGAATCAAATGTTGATGAATTACAATCGAATAGAAAATATTCGAAAAATGAATGTGCTTGTGTTCTAATGAGATTATTATATGATATGGCCATGGATTCATTGGATCGAAATATTGGTAGTAATAAGACTGGAACACATCAACAACAACAACAGCCAAAACAATCGACAAATATAATTGAAACAAATATCATTATTTATCCATGCATCATTGATTCAATATTTCAATTATTGAAATTCATTGAATCTGGTCGATTATGTAGATTTTTGATGGAAAAAATTGGTGCATTATTACGATTAGAACGTAATTGTCAAGCAATTTGTGAAACTGGATTAGTTACCGAATTAATGAATTCAGCATATGTGGATATTTTTATGGATGAATCTAATCAATTACATCAATTAATACGTTATATTTTCGAACGATTAGCAGCACATCATATACAGGCTAAAGATTTACGTATATTTCTTCGCCTATCGAATCCATTGAATTCAATACCAGTGGATGAGATTAAACCGAAAATATTTCATCGTGATCGTTCGATTCCTTTGTCAAGAATTAAATCTATGATTAGTATATCAACACCACGTGATTCACAGGATGATTATCATCGAAGTATTCATGGTTCAAATTTACGAAATCTAAGTCCACCATTCACCGAATTTGATATGAATCCAGAAGGATTTAGTTGCATATTTATTCCATCGATTGCACCTATTTCGACAGCTGGTAATTTTTCAAATGGTCCATCAAGCCTATTGACCGGTGCAATTGTTGGTAATTCTGATGTGCCTGTATTGGTCAATGGTGGCATAGGCACCGGTGAACGAGCATTTCCATCACAATCCGGCTTATCGTTTACTAGTTGGATTTTTATCGGTCGTTCAGATCCATCGAATGATAATCATACTATTAATGTATTGACATTATATCGTGCAACACAACCAAATGCTGAATATTCATGTTTAAAAGCATACATAAGTTTGCAGGAAAAAACAATGACCATATCAACACAAGAATTGCCAATATTTACAACGATGACAATGCAAATGAATCTTGATTCAGATCATAATGTTCGTTTTCCAGTGCCGGAATTGACCACTACAAATTCATGGCATCACATTGTTATTGTATTGAATAGAGCATTATTGAAAAATTCTACAATCTGTGTTTACATTGATGGTTGTCTTCGTTTATCGAAAAAATTAAGTTATATTTCATCCATTGTTGGTGGAAGTTATGGTATTGCCAATACAAGTCCATTATATATCAATGCATTCATTGGTACACCACCACATTATCGGAAACAAGGTTCACGATTGGTATGGAAACAAGGTCCATGTCATCTGATTGAAGAAGCATTAGGTCCACCATTTGTTTCATACATCTATATGCTTGGTCCGAATTATATTGGAAGTTTTCAGGCGATTGCTTATAAACAACCATCACAATATCAGCAACAATTACAATTACCACAACAACAAATAGCTGAAGATAAATTAATATTTGGTTTGAATGCCCGTGCAACATCGGTGATGACATTATCGAAAATGCGTCGTGTTTATTCCAAATTTGATTGTAAACAAATTGCCAAAATTATTGGTCTTTCAACACACGAAAATGCTACACCAATCTATGTATTACATAATTCAGCTGGACATCTTTGTGGACCAAGTCGACCATTAGGTGGTGTTCTTATCGGTAATATTGGTGCACGTTGTTTTGTACCAAAACCAATTACATTAACTGTAGCCGATATTGGTGGCACATATCTATTACTTGGATTAGTGGCCAATGCACATGATAATGAATCATTGTATGCAAGTTGTAAAGCACTTGTATGTATTTTTCGTGCAAATCGTGAATTACAACTAGAAATGGATCGTATTAATGGATATCAAATATTAGCAATGTTATTGAAACGTAAACGTTTATCATTGAATAGTCATATTCTTACTTTATTATTCGAATTGGTGGATAATCTTGATGCAAGATTGATAATAAATCAAACGAATCGTTCACTATATTCATCGACAACCACCATAACGAATGTAGTTGCTTCAACTGTCTCGAATAGTATTAATTCTGGTCAAAATCAATCCCATTTAGAATATCCAAGTAATTATCGTGCATTTAAAGAATTATTTATCGATTCTATTGATTTATGGTTTCAATGTGACCTGTTGAAATCATTATTGGATCGAATCAATGAAATAATCATAAATGGTTCGACAAGTTCAAGTATGGAAAATGCATTTTTAATTGAAAATCGATTGAATATTTATCATTTACGTAAAATGAATCTATTATCAAGATTATTCACATTGTTCAAAGATCATATGGAATTGAAAGATGATGAAAAACTTGTTCCAACTATTATGATAATTTGTTTCCGTTTGTTGAATAAAACAAATCGATCCAAAGATCTACTTTGTATTGGTCAATTTATCGTTTCATTATTACCGATCTGTCAAGATGATATGCAACAAAATAATGCTGATAAATCTGAACCACAACAACAATCGAATGAAGTGACAATCGATTCATCGATCGAATTGATAAATTCATTATTGAAAATTATATTACAATTAATGAGTCGTAATACACCGGCATTAAATGGTCAAATGCAAGATGAACTTGTACGGTCGCTTGGATTTGATTGGTTCCTACTGTTTATTGGTGGTGGTGGTCAACAAAAAAAATTACATATGGAAACAATAACCATTGGTTTAGTGAATTTAATGCTTTTATTATCAAATCCAGTTCTTTATTCAAAATTTCGTGAAGGTCATTCAAATGGCCAATGGTTAAAAGATGCAGATTCATTTATTGAAAATCGTTCCACCGGTTTTCAATTGGCTGGTTTTAATATATCGACAGCAGCAACAAAAACAACGACAACAACAAGTAGTTCATCAGCAGCTGCTGCAGCAACAACATCAACAAAACAATCAATAACCAAAATTCAACGTGATTTATTCACATTACCTGGTTTTCAACATTTAAATTGGCTACTTACATATCATTTATATGAACCAAAAATTTATCTAATTTTATTTCAAACAATATTTGGTCATTATCGTACGTTAACACCAAAAACATTGGAAGATATTGATTCATTTGATCAACTATCAATGGAACATTTGTTGAATGTACTTGTTGTGGATGTACGACAATTGAAACAAGAAAAAATTTATGGTAAAGATTTAATATTATCGATTATTGGCATGATAAATGCAATTTGTTGTGAACGATCATCATCAACGAAACGAAATGAATATCCAACAATATTGTTTACATTCATCAAATTTATCTATAATCATAATCGTGATTTTCGTATTTATTGTCAAACAAATACAGAATTTCTTCATCATTTATGTCGTGCTTTGATTTTCGTACAATCAGCCAATGGTTTGAATAATAATAATAATGATATGAATGAATCGATTGAGTTATCATCATCATCATCACAATTAATTGATCATTCTGTTTGCCAATCAATATTGGAATTTATTATGGCAATTTTCATCAATATAATCAATACAAATCCATACACATTGACAATGAATCAAACGGCGCAATCATTTTTCATGAATAATAAACCATGTACATTATTCAATAGTTTATTGAATTATATGGGACAATGTCGTCTTGGTCAAACAAAGATTATGTCATTATTTATGGATTGTGTTTGTAAATCATTAGATTGTAATAATCAATCTTCGTCATTATCACAACAAAATGTTATTTTAAATTTTCAAAATTCCTATTCCAATATTGTTGTTCTGATGTCAGCAATAGTGGATAAATTATGGCAAAATTGTTATATTGATGATCGTCGTAAAGTACTTGATTGTCTTATTCGATTATTACGTGCAAATTCACCAAATGATTCGTCATCAGTGGCTATGAAATCACAACAACAATCAATTAGTTCATTTAAAACATCATTGAAAAATCTTACATCACAAGTATCCGAATTAAATCTACTATGTAAATCAATTAATCGTAGTATATTGTATCTTATATCCAGGTCACTTGATTCAATGTCTGATCGTATACAATTATTTGAAATATTACAGCTGATACATACGAATAGTCAATTATTGATCATATCCAAATGTAATAATGATCCAGAATTTTTTGCTTGCCTCACTCATTGTCTGCTGCAATTGATACAGGAAGAAACAATTTGTTTGACAAGCGTAAAAGATCGAACATCACAAACAACATGGTATATTGGTAATAATTCCGGTTCGATGGATATTGGTACCGATACTGATGAAGGTACATTATTGATTACATCAACAGCTAAAAAAATCTGGCAAGAAATTTATCTATCAAGAAAAACGTTATTGGAAGAAACACTGAAAATATCACTTACATCAAATAATTCAGCATTTGGTATTGAATCTTGTGATTTAAGCCGTTTTCGTGATGTTCTCTATGAACCGACATTGAAATGTTGGTCAAATTATATTGAACAAGAATCACAACGGTTAAAAAAGAAACCAGCAACATCATCATTATCATTTGATTTACCATTGCCGAATTCAAATGTTTTAACGGAAAAATTTACCAATATCAATAAATTGAATAATTTGGTCACCAAATCAGCTGGTGGTCTTGTATCGAAAATTGTTGGCGGTACTTCTGGTGTTGTTGGTAGTGCCATATCATCAGCTGTTGGTACAACACGTAAAGAAGTATTTCGTTCAAGTTCAAGTTCAGATTCAACACATTCACCACATCATTCTACTCTAATACCATTGTGGACATTGATGTCAAAAAATGATGTTATGTATTGGTCATCGATACATGAATTGATTGTAAAGAATTTTGTCAATTTTCAAGCTAAACAAAAACGTACATTAGATTATAATCTTCGTAAATATGTCTACAATGAATGGTTGAATAGTGAATATGAATTTCTTACCCGTGAACGTACTATATGGGGTCCATTGTATGGTTCAAAACGTTTCGATAAATGGATGATGGACATGACTGAAGGTCCAAATCGTATGCGTAAAAAAATGATTCGCAATGATGAATTTTATCTCAATTATCCATTTCGTCCAGAAATGGAAAATGCAAAATATCCAAAATTTCGTTCACCAATTTCATTGGATTCAAAAGATTATTTTCGACGAATTCATTCGGAAAAATATTTCCATCTGGATAAAGATGAAGATGTACAATCATTTGAATATGAAATTGATGAATTACCATGTGCATCGATCAGTGATTCAAATGAAACATCTAAAGGATCATTATCAGATTCGAATAGACCAAAAACATCATTATCAAATACCGATGATGATTATCCAGAATTTGCTGATCCTTCGGATTCATTGGATATATTTGAAGCTGAACAAACAATTGGTGAACAACAAGTGGTACCTGCGGTTGGTAATAATGAAAGTGGAAGTAGCAATAACAATAATAAACAAACACCAAATAAATCAGTTGCCAAAGATGTTGTAATGCATGAAGATAATAATGAAATGCAAACAATATTACGATTATTGGAAGAAGGAGAAAAAATTTCACACATGTTTCGTGTTGCTCGTGTACAAGGTCTTGATTCATATGAAGGTCTCCTATTATTTGGTAAAGAACATTTTTATCTTATTGATGGTTTTACATTGTTGAAAACAAAAGAAATACGTGACATTGATTCATTACCACCAGGTGTTTATGATTCAATCATACCAAATACACCAAGTTCAAGTTCAGTATCGGTTTATACCGGTAAAAAAGTATGCAATAAATTTGCATTCGAAGATATACGTGAAGTCCATAAACGGCGTTACCTTTTGCAACCGATTGCATTGGAAATATTTTCAATGGATGGTCGTAATTCATTGATGGTATTTCCAAGAAATTTACGAAATAAAGTTTATGCAAGATTTTTATCAGTAGCTGTTCATATTACCGATAATGCACAGGATTCATTGATGGGACAAAAACGTAATGTTAATGTTGAAACCGGTGGTTTATTGAGTAATCTAATTGGTGAAACTTCCGTTACACAACGATGGGTTCGTGGTGAAATATCAAATTTTCAATATCTAATGAATCTCAATACATTGGCTGGCCGTTCATATAATGACCTGATGCAATATCCAGTGTTTCCATGGATTGTAGCCGATTATTCAAGCTATGAATTGGATCTAAATAATCCGGCATCATTTCGTGATCTAGGAAAACCGATGGGTGCACAAACACCTGATCGTTTGGAACAATTTAAAAAACGTTTTAGTGAATGGGATGCCGATACGAATATCAAAGGGGTATGTATGTTTGTATCACGTGTATGATTTGAATTTTAAAAAATTTTTCCTTCAAAAATTTCAGGGTGATGAACTCATACAAGGTGCATATCATTATGGAACATTTTATTCAAGTGCAATGATTGTTGCTTCATATCTTGTACGAATTGAACCATTCACACAACATTTTCTTCGATTACAAGGTGGACATTTTGATCTAGCTGATCGAATGTTTCATTCAATTGGTGATGCATGGCTTTCAGCATCTAAACATAATATGGCTGATCTGAAAGAATTGATACCAGAATTTTTCTACTTACCAGAATTTTTAGTCAATTCAAATCGTTATGATTTTGGTTGTAAACAAAATGGTACACGTTTAAATGATGTTATATTACCGAATTGGGCTAAAGATGATCCACGTGAATTTATACGTGTACATCGTGCAGCATTAGAATCGGATTATGTATCGGCACATTTACATGAATGGATTGATTTAATTTTTGGTTATAAACAAAATGGTTTGTGCTCTTGACCATTTGACCATTTGAATTAATCTGTTTTTTTATGGTTTTATTAGGTCCACCAGCAATCGATGCTGTAAATGTATTTCATCATCTATTCTATGAAGGAAATGCCGATATTTATAATATTGATGATCCATTGAAAAAGAATGCAACAATTGGTTTTATCAATAATTTTGGTCAGGTACCAATGCAATTGTTTAAAAAACCACATCCACAAAAGAAAACATTCCAATCGAATATGGTTTCAACACCATTAATTTCATCATTACCACCATTATTATCATCTGTAAATCTAAGTGGTTCAAATATTTCAACAAGCAAAGTATTTATACATAATCTAGAATATTTGAAACCAATGATGCATCCAATCAAAGAACTAAAAGGTGCTGTTGGTCAAATCGTACAACAGGAAAAAACAATATTGGCTGTTGAACAGAATAAAGTATTGATACCACCATTATATAATCGATGTGTAGCATGGGGTTTTGCTGATCATAGTTTTCGTATTGGTCCATATGAATCGGATCGTGCACTTTATGTTTGGGAAAGTGAATTATTTCCACCGAATGGTGAAATTCTTTGCACTACGGTACCAAATTCTCGTATCATAATAACGGCTGGAACAAATTCAGTAATCTATGTATGGCGTGTGAAAACTAAATCATTAACATTATCATTACATCAAAAATTATATGGCCATACTGAAGCGGTTACATGTTTGGCATCATCTTCAGCATATGGAATTGTTGTTTCTGGTTCTCGTGATAAAACCTGTATTATATGGGATCTAAATCGTTTTGTTTTCATACGACAATTAGGTGGTGGTCAGGAACTAGTTCATCGATCTCCAATAGCAGCAGCTGCTATTAATGATTTAACTGGTGATATTGCCACTTGTTGTTCAACAATGCTTTATCTTTGGTCAATTAATGGTGATCTAGTTGCACAAGTCAATACACTGGATTGTTCACCATCATCAGCAATGAATTCAACGATGGCTTCACCACAACAACAGAATTGTCCACCACAAAATTCGGCACAAATATTATGTTTAGCTTTCTCATCATACAATGAATGGGATGCCGATAATGTTATACTAACTGGATCATCAGATGGTGTTGTAAAAATGTGGGCATTACGTTATGTTCAAGAAAGATCACAAGAAATGGATGAATTTAAAGAAAACATTTCAAAAACTACATCATCTTCATCATCGTCATCATCTTCGTCACCATCATCATCAACATCATCAGCTGATTCATCTGTATCGGAAGATTTAAAAAATTCTATTGCATTAAATCCATCGAAAGATGAAATTGTTCGACGATTATCGATAGTGTCGACAAAAAATGAAAATGAAGATTCGGAAGAGAATTCAACAACACCTGTTGATGAAGGTGATAATGTTGATATAAATGATTGGAATCAATCATCTAATTATCATCAACAACAACATTATCAGCAGCACCAGCACCAACAACAACAACTTATTATTCGTCCACAGCCTACTATTGCATTAACACATTCAGAATCATTTACAGAATCAAAACCTGAACAATTGCTACATGATACATCATCAAAATCATCAACGAAATTATTATTGGGAAATTCTTTACAAGCTGGACCGGTTGGTGGATCTATTCGAAATTCAAAATCTGATACAGCATTAGCTGAATCATTATCGAAATCGAAACCACATGATATAGATGAAGAAAATCCATGCTTAAAAATGGGCCATCGTTGGGCAACAAAATTATTATTTCGTTCAAAATTAACAATGCATACAGCATATGAACGTAAAGATAATAAAGATCCGGCAGCCATCACCTGTATAGCCATATCGAAAGATCATCGTAATCTTTTCGTTGGTGATGCACGTGGTCGTATATTTTGTTGGGCAGTAAATGAGAATAAAAATCTTGCCGCTGATCATTGGATTAAAGATGATGTGGCCACAAATTGTACAAGCTGTTCAATAAGATTTTCCATTACCGAACGTAAACATCATTGTCGTAATTGTGGTAAAGTTTTCTGTGCACGGTAAGAATATTATCATCGGAATTTAAAAAAAAATTATTTAAACCTTTTTTTTCTCTTTCATTTCGATAATGATCTGTAGATGTTCACGATTTGAAGCAACAATTGTACGTTTAAAAATAATGAAACCGGTACGTGTTTGTCAGAATTGTTTCATCTACTTACAACAACAGCAACCAAAAACAACATCATCTGGATAGAAAAAAAAGACACCATTCTTATACCGATGTTCATTGTTATTTCGTGGAAAACAACATCGAAAAAAAAATTCTAGTCAAATTTCGTCACAAACACACACACACACAAACCAACGGCTACATATGACTTAAATATTTTTTTTCCACAATGAAGAAATTCCAAAAAAAATTGTTTTTTTTTCTTTTGCACATCTCATCATCATCATCATCATCATCGAATTCATTACTCTTTTTGTTGTGATAAATTTTGGAACAAAAACAAAAACATCAATTAATTGTACATGAAGAAAAAAAAATTATCATAATCATCATTTGTTTGTTGTTTATTTTTAAAAATTTTTCTCGTTTTTGTTATTATTAATTATTATTAATCTGATTATTTTTGTCATTGATTTTCGTTTTCTCATATATGAATTATATCATTCAACAACAACAACAACAACAAAAAACATTCGAATTTTTTTTTTCTCATATGATTCGACTCTGATCGAATCGATTCGAATTTTTTTTTTCGAAACATCACAAAAACATCACTGGTAGTATATTTGTTTAAGGTGTGAACTTTGATTTAGAGATTTTTAAAAATTGCCAATTAATTTTAAAATGTGTGAGAGAATCATAATTATTATGTTCAATTAATTTGATGATGAATAATAAATGAATTCATTCTTGGTGAGCATTCTTTTTATTTCTCCATTTTCATTCATTCATTTTTTCATGTTTAATAGAATTCCACCCTGATTTTTTTTTTGGTCTGCTTTTGGGCAAAAAATTCTCCAAACAAATTGGTTGAATTTGTCTCACTAATCTCACTTTTGGTGTTTTATGGTTAGATAATTTAGTATTTTTCAAATTTTGATCAAATATAAAATAACAATAAATAAACATGTTGTCGTGGATGGTGGTGGTGTGTGGTCATCATCGATCATATGGATCATAAAATGGATTTTCCCGGAAATCATTAATCGATGATGATGATGGCCATCGATAATATTTTTTTTTTGTTGTTGAAAAAAAATGGTCATTTTATTCACAAATTGAATTTGTGTTTTATTATGGATGGGATTTTTCAATCTAACAGATTGATCGATAATAAACGATATGATGATGACGACAACGACAATCTGTTAAAATGTGCAAAGACCCAGATCGGCATTAAACAAACACATATGACAATAGATTCATCATCTAAAACAACAATAACAATTCAACATGTGATTATGATGATGATGGTGAACGTGACCAAATCCTGGTATTACTCGAAAATCATCTATTATCTTGTTTTGGAACAAAAATTTAAAAAAAAACGAGGCCACCGGATATTCGAATGATGAAAATAGTCATGTCATGTATGAATGTGATTTTGAAGGAAATTAAAAGTTTTTTTTCAATTGATTTATGATGATGATCACGATCATGATCACACGTCAATAAATCAAATTGATCCAACCATGGCCGGTTAGTTCCAGTAATGATTGACCTTTAAATTGACTGGTGATTCGTTTCATCATCATCATGTTGAATGATCGCACAAGTTTGCCTTGAAAATAGTTAAAAAAAACAAGGAGATTAGCAAAAATAACAAAACAAATGATTGTCATTAATAAAACAGAATTTTTGCGAATGAAATTTTTTTTTCTAATACTTCTTCTTTTCAAGGAAAGAATCCGATACTTTGAATAAATAATGAATCAATCGATTGATTTGTCCATAAGCAACATTCGAACATTCAACACAGAATATATAAATGGGTATATTCATAAATTGAGCGAATTTTTAGCCATTTTTGTTTACTGTGTGTGTGTTGTGGTGGCTGTAATTAGAATCGGCTATTTTTGACACACACACACAAACACACAGAGAGAGACTCCACCTTAACACTTTATCATCTGTGATGATGATGATGTTTGTGTGTTTTGTGTTTGTTTTGTTGTGTTCAATGATCAATAGAATCAATCAAATTCAACAAATTCAAAATGTGTCAATGAAATTTATTTTTTTTTCTTTTTTCTTTCTTTATAGGGAAAAAATTCAGGAAATTTATCTGATAAATAAAACAAAACAAAAAAAAAAATTTTTTTTTCTCTTCTATTCCATTGCCATCAACAACAAAACATCTTGTCCTGTGTGTGTGTGTGTGTGATGGCCATCATCATCATCATTCAGTTTTTTGTTCGAATGTTTAAGAATGGCCTTTTCAAACAACAACAACTACAAAAATCATCATCATTTATCATAGAGCAAAGTAAATTTTTTTTTTTTTTCTGTTTGTATGTTGATATATGAAAACGAATTGTAAATTTGAAAACGAGAGATATAAAGAAAAAAAACCCTTGTTGTTGTATACAATGAATGAATGGTAAATGAAAAATTCCTTTCTTCAATTCATAATAATTTTTTTGACAATCAATTCGATGATCATCAACATTGAACAAACAAACTGAAGATGTCAATGTTGATGATGAATTTTTCTTCACTCGGTTATTCTTTCTGATCCCATAATGATGGTGCCGTTGTTTGATTTTGTTCATTTTACATTCGACATAGCTAAAAATCAATTTGAATTTTTTTTTTCTTATCATCAATAAATTATCATCGTTATCATTATCGTAGCGATGAAAATGAGCGGAAATTCAATATATACTTTATCAATGTTCAAAGTTCATTCGAATTTTTTTTATCATGCAATGTAGGTGAGTATAATAACTAAAAAAAAAATTTGAATTCGATCCTGTTTTTTTTTCATTAATTAATGGCTCTTTGTTTTTGTTTCTCTTTTATAAATATATGTTCGATAGAATCGAATCTAAATTGTTTGGTGGTGGTGGCGGTACAAAAACCATCATTTATTAGCACATGTTGATCGTTGAATTTTTTTTTTGTTAATCAAACCTTCCAATTGCCAAGACTATTTGGTGAATGTCGAATGAAGGTAATAATTCCATCACCATCACAGCCATCCTGTTAAAAGTGGAAATCAATCATAATTTTGTTGATTGATTGTGAATTGATTCGATTGGTTGAGTACAATTATGTGTGTGTGTGTGTGTGTGTGTGTGTTGGTTTCAAACATTGGCAATTATCAAATAATTATCACAACTTCTCTCTCGCTCTCTCTCATCATCATCATCATTAAATATATAATTCGTTAATTGTGTTATTGTGTGATTGAATTTCTTTTGAATTTTTCCTCTGATTTTTTTTTTGTTGCACGAGTCAGCCCCATAGAACAACACCATCATGACAGCATACATATTGACATTATTTTATAATGATAATAATAATAATTGTCCACACTAGAACGAAAAACAAAAAACAAAAAAACAAAAAAATCTAGTCAAATTTCAATTCGCGCCTATTGGCTGTGGCTGTGGCTGTTGCTGCTGATTATATTTTTCTCTTCTCTTCTTTTTTTTTTTTTTTGATCATCATCAAAATAACTAGAATAAACACAAATAAGTGGCTGCTCATTTATCAATCAATTTGGTTATAGAAGAAGAAGAAAAAAAATTCAAGATAACCATCCATCCATCAATCAATTATTCGATAATCACCATCATCATGGTATAATAGTGATTATAAAAATGATAATGACTACGATGATGATGATAATGGTAATCTAGTCACACAAATATACCACACACACGCACACTTATATTTGAAGAAGAAAAAAAAATCAACCCAAAAAAAAAATCAAATCACTGAATTTCAATGCATCAAATTATCGAATGACATTATTATGAATTGTGTCGCAGTTAAATTTTTCCAACAAAACAACAATTTTCTTCAATCAATTTAATACAGACCTTTATTGATCGATCGATTGATTGATTGATTGATTAAGATTTCTATTCCGGTTCTATTTATCTTTAATTTTAACCAAAGATTAATCAACCAAAAAAAATAAAAACATTCAATTCAAAATGATTAAATTGACAGAATTTCCACCAGTCACCTATAGTTCATCATTTGTATCGTATTTCATTCAGGTAATGTATAATTTGCTTGTTTTTTTATTATTATTATTATTATTTTAATTCTACAAAATAAAATTCTACATAATCGATTGTGATAAACAAACAAACAAACACACGCACATATAACACACACACACACATTTAATACCCTCATCATCATAAATACAAATACATTGAACACACACAAAAAACATTCCACAAATACCAAATATCAACTTGTTTTTTTGTGTGTTTATATGTTATCGACCACACAAAATCAAACAATTTGAATTCAATTGACGTAATCTATTCTCAATATAAAATGAGATGCTATGGCAATTAAATTTTTTTTTTTTTACCTGGCTGATTGACTGATTGATTGACTTAGTAGAAAGTAATTGAAATTTTATTTTCACATTGTTTTTCATATATAGACACATTGTTTGCGTGTTTGTGTGTGTGTGGTTTGCAATATTGCAAATTTGAAATTTATTTTTACAAAAACAAAGAATCAATAAAACACACGACATTGAAAAAGATTTAAATTATCTTATCATTTGGATAGATCAGAAATTTTATCCTTTATCTCTCTCTCTCTATTTTGACCATTCTACAGGTCAAATTAAATCGTTGACTTTCAAAGTTGTTTACAAAATGACAAAATTTTTTAAATTTATTATATCACATGAATGAATGAATGAATGAATGAACGAATGACGTATTTCATTTTTTTTTTTGATCATTACCGTTGTTTTGTTGTTGTTGTTGTTGTTTGCCTGTTTGCCATTTATATTTATTGATTATTATTTCAATCATATGTAATATATTCACATTTTAATAATAGATGTGATATTGCAGATAGATTATTTCATGTCATGTCATGAATAAATACAATTTTTTCATTTCGTAATTAGAAACAAAAAAAATTTTTTACAATCAATTATCATCAACGATGGACATATATATTATAAATTGATTTTATAAACACACACACACACACACATTAGTTATTGCAATTTTTTTTTTTTTGGGAATCAATTTGTCATGTTTGAATCATCATCATCGATTTATTTAAATGTAATAATTTTGTGTCCATTTTTTTTTCTTTGAATAATTGTACATTATTATATTATGTTTATAAATGTACTTTTTATTGGGTTGAATTCGTTAATTATTAATATCATGTGTGTGTGTGTGTGTGTGTGTGTGCATGTAATGTTTCGCCACCACCATCATTCATTTCTTCATTTGAATTTTTTATTTTTTGTTTCGTTTTGTTTCATCCATTCAATTTTCGAAGGACAATTACATTTTCAATTGACATATACATCTGGATGGTAAGCCACAGATTTTTTTTTTCTGGCGCTCGCGTGTGTGTGTATTGTGTGTGTGTTTCATTTTTTTTTTTTTTGATTTCAATTTTCATTCATTCATTCATTGACGTAATATAATCGATACGCCCATTTTAATAGCATTTCAATTAAATTCATTCATTTGTATACCCATCCATTCATTTATCAACACACACACACACACACACACAAATATTGACATCATCATCATCATTCAACCGTATAGGCTGAATTTTGTTGTTTGTTTTTCTGTTATCTGTTGCTTTAAACTTTTTGTAAAAGAAACAAAAAAAAAATCATCATCATCATACAATTTGTTTCACATAAATGAAAGTTCAGCCATGTACACAAGCAATACCATGTGTGTGTGTTTGTGTGTGAGTGTGTGAAGATTTGATGAACTAATCTCTCTCTCTATCTCTATTTCTCTATTTTAATGAATTGGCAAGAGAGAGAGAGAGATAGAGAAAAACATGCTAAAAGTCATGTTCGACGCTTTATTCGATCCAGTTATTTTTTTTTATTTATTTATTTTTTTTTTTTTTTTTTTTTGGTTTTCTTGCTATTCGAGGTTGAAATAGTCAAAAAAAAAAATCAAAATCAATTTCAAAAATATTGCCACACACACACATTTATTTGCAACATCAGATTATCAAAACGGTCATCATCATTTTCTGTTGTTTTTATTCAGTTTTTTTTTTTTGGTTGATGATTCAACCACACAAAGCTAAGCTAATCATCACCATAATATTCATTCTCATACCATTGATCAAACTGTTTTCATCTTAACCGTGTGTGTTCATCTTGCACATACACAAATATATTTTATACATTCACAATGTGAAGCTCATCTCTTTCTCTCTCTCTATCTATCTATCTGTGTGTTTAGTACAAAAAATCTAGATGTTTGAACCTGAACATACATATAATACATTGCAGAATAAATTAGACTCCATCTTTTTCTTCTTCTATACTACTTTTTTTTCAAAGTTGAATGTTCAAATCATCAATATTTTTACGATTATTATTATTATTACGTGAATAATGTGAGGTTGAAATTTTTTTTTTCTAAACGACAATTATTATTATTCATAAGAACATTTGGCTAGTCACGTAATTCTCTTTCGTTTGAATTTTTTTTTTTTTTAAATTTCATTACATTTGTGATGATGTTCTTTTAGTTCAGTAATAAATATATTCATGTGATTAGCTTGTGTGGTTCTGTTTTATGTTTTCTGTTTTCTGTTCTGTTTTCTGTTCTTTTTATCTCTCTCTCTCTCTCTGTTTGTGTGTGTGTGTGTGTGACTGTGTGGTGGTTGCGGAATTCGATCATCGTCATCGACATAATAACCAATTTATGATCAAAAAAAAAACAACAACAACATTTTCAATTATAATGAAATCCTTTCAAATTTGATAATTGATAATTACAGACAAACATAGATTTTTGAACAAATTGTGAATACACACACACACATGATAATGATAACGAAACAGGAAGATTCTTTTTAATTTTCAAATTTCAATTGAAATTCATTTCATTTTTCCTTTGTTTTTTACATTGTGCTCTATTTTTTTTATCTCTCTCTTTTTCTGAGAATAATTTTTGTTTTTTTTTATTGAATTTTAATAAAATTGTAACAATTATGACGATGACATTAATGACCATACTTCAACATCATGATCAACATCAACAGCCGTCTGCACAAATACAATCATCATCATCATCATCTACAACATCGATATCGTCACCAAAAACAATGACATTATCATCTATAAATACATCATCATCATCATCATCTAAATCGATTGAATCATCAGAATTAGAAAAATCAAATTGTGAAATGACAACAGCAGCTGCAGCAGCAGCTGTTGCTGCAGCTGCAGCTATAGCTACATTATCAAATCATTGTTCATTATTACATAATTTTATGGTATTGAATAATTTATATGATTATTGAACAAATTTTTTCTGCTAATCAATTGATTGATTTTTTAAAAAATAATAACGATCTAATCCATTCGATTTTTTTTCTATTTTCAGAATACAAATAACGACAATGAACGATGTGATGATAATGTTGTAACGAATGGCCATCATCATCATCATCATCACCATAATCATAATCATAATCACCATCATCATAACCATCATAATCATCATAACCATCATAACCATCATAATCATCGATCTAATCATTCAATACGGTTACGTTGGCAACAATTGGCTCGTGATGCATTTCAATATTCTTTACAAGAACAACAACGTCAAAAACAACAACAACCGCAGCAGCAGCAAAAACATCATCATCATCATCATCAACACCAATTAGAAATGTCTAATAATTTTGATATAATCAATAATCATCATCATCATCATCAACCGAATCAATTCGATATATTACAACAGAATCTAATTGATCTCATTGCTTTAAATTCCACTGGTTTAAATCCCAATATATTCGATCATCAATGGATACAATTATCTGGTCATGAAGATTCATTTGCATTAGCTGGACCTGGTACTATATGGAAAAAACATTCATCCGATTCAACTGAAATTGATGTTTATGAAGCATTAAGTTTAGAACCAATAGCCGAAATGATACCAAAATTTTATCGCAATGTTCAATATAAAGGCGATAATTTTATTGAACTAGAAGATCTTTTATATCCATTTAAAGATGCATCTATAATGGATATAAAAATGGGTACACGTACATTTTTAGAATCTGAAGTAAATAATACGAAATCTAGAAATGATTTATATGAAAAAATGTTACGATTAGATCCAAATCAATTGACTGCCCAGGAACATGAAACAAAATCTGTTACAAAACTGAGATATATGTTGTTCCGTGAGAATCTAAGTTCATCATCCAATCTGGGTTTTAGAATTGAAGGTTATAAGGTAAGGATATTTTCTTTTGTTTGATGTAAAGATGAATGGTAACCATTTTTTTATTTCCACAAACATAGGTTGGCAACAATGTTAAACACAATAAAAATCTACATACAATTAAAACCGAACCTGATGTACAGACAATATTGGAATCATTTTTTCAAAACAAACGTTCGGTTTGTCGTGAAATTCTTGTCCGTTTACGATTGTTACGAAAATATTTTGAATCATCACCATTTTTTCGTCACCATGAAATTATTGGATCATCATTATTAATCATTTATACAGCTGATCGTGCCGGTGTTTGGATGATTGATTTCGCAAAAACCGTACGTATTCCTCAAGATTGTCAGATTAATCATAGAGATTCATGGCAACCGGGTAATCATGAAGATGGATATCTATTCGGTCTTGATAATCTGATTCATATATTGACCAAAGTTTTGGATCATTCAAAGAGTCAGCCACAATCATGATTTGTTTAGCATGATTGATATATAACACGCCAACCTTTACCTCAATATATAATACAAGGCCCTATGTGGTTTTGATGTTATTGGCAACTTTTTCCGATGATGAGATTTCGAATCGATGTTTTTGATGATTCATATTTTGATTTACGATTGGGATCTTCGATATTCAAGTGTAAATATTTGACCTTCTTTCATCGGATCTTTCATCACCTTTTTTTTATCTAAATTGTTTATTTTTAAATGAACACAAAATAAAGAATTGATCATTTAGAGAATAATTATAAAATTTTGTTTTTAATCATCATTTACTGATAATAATATTTTACATAATATTCAATTTCAATTGTTATGAAGGTGCTGCCATCTGTTTACAAAGAAAAGGAATGTTCGAATTGTCAAATTCTTTTATATAAAATAGATAGATAGATAGAAACAATACATAAATGAACATGTTATGGCAGTATTTAATAATGGGTAAAAAAAATCAAGATTTCATTTATATAAAATAGAAGAAAATCAATAATCGAAAAAAAATTATTTGAATCAATTTGTACATTGGCCATTAGATTCAATCGTTACGATTTCTGCCATTCATTCATCGATGTTGCTGTCGTTATATTATATTATTATTATTACTATTATTAACATTGGTCAGTATGGTTGTTGTTGTAGACATAAGATTAATCAACGATTTTTTGATACGTAATGCATTTAATCGTGAAAATGGATTCTTTGACCATGATTCTCGTATAATTTTGCATATTGTCTGTAATGATGGCATCTGATTGTATTTTGATTTTATGGAAAAAGAAAAATAAAATTTGTAATTTTAAAAAAATGATGATGATAATAATAATAATAATTCATCACATACCTCTGTGTTCATTTCTAAATGCAATGGAATTTCTGGTCGGAATTGTTCTACACAAACAATTTTATGCATATCTTCAAAACTTGGATCCGAAGGTACTTTATATTGATATGGTACCTCATAATTCGATAATGGTGGCAGATCTAAACGACGTAAAATTTCCCAAAGTACTAGGGCAAATGAATAGATATCGGCACATGTATAGGCAGTAAAAACATCTTTACCAAATGAATCATCCAATACTTCGGGTGCCATATAACGTTTTGTACCAACACGATAATTATTACGGCCCACATCTAGTAAGCCGGTTATTTGTTTCGTAACGGCAAGACCAAAATCGGCAATACAACAAACTGAACGAGATTTCATCAATATATTTTTTGATTTAATATCTCGATGAGCGATAGCAACTTTTTTCTGTGTACCAAAATTTTCTGTATGTAAATATGTAAGACCATTTGCAATTGATGCCATGATGGAAATCATATCGGTGAATGAAAGTATATTTTGGCTAAGAAAATCGAATAATGAACCAAGCTCATGATAAGCAGTAACAAGCCATAAACGTGTACAGGAATTTTCTGATGTTACATCTGCACCAATAAATGATAGAATATTTTCATGTTTATTCAGATTCGAATGTGTGTAGATTTCAATTTCACGATTAAATGATGCTTCATCACGTGATAGAAATTTCTTTACGGCTACAGCTTCATATTGAAATAGACCTTTCCATACTTCACCATAGCGGCCTTTACCAACACATTGGATTAATGTAATTTGTTTGGAAATTGTACGTTGTGTAAGAATGAATGCACCCCAACCAGAACCGGATGAACATGATTCTTCTAAGGCTCGTAGTGTACTATCACCTGGTAATGATATTTTCAATTCAGGTGATCGATACTGTACATTTGCCACTTGTTGTTGTTTACTATGATGATGATCATTATTGAGATGTATTTTTTCCATTAAATCCAAATGATCATTTCCATATGATGATCCTTTCAATATTGATTTTCGACGTCTTATTTGAATGAAATAGTATGTGAATAATGCCATTGAAATAATGAATAAAATGATGATCATAATAATAAATATTGATAATGGTGTGATATATAAAAATTCATTCGTTTTGAATTCATCACCATCACCATCGCCATTAGCATTCAAATCAAATTTCATAAAATCATCATCATTACAGAATTGTTGTGAACAACATTTTATATAACTATCAACACCATTTGTAATATGATGATGTTGATTTTGATCAATTGGTCCCTCTAAATGTGGCAAACAAGATAGATTATTATCAACACAGCCACGTTTATAAATGATGGATGATTTATCATAAAAATCGACAAATGTGAAACACTAAAATATTTGTCAAATTGAAAATGAAAAAATTGAATAATTCGTAAAGAAATTCATCAACAAATTGGTTTACCTTGCCGACTAAACTTATACAATAATGTTCTGGATTCAAAGCGATTGCTTCATTAAAACAATCATCATCTTCACAATGATGACACTTGAATGTATACATTTCAATCAATCGAATTTAAATAATTTTTTTCATTGGCAAAATTTTTTTATTTTTCGTTGCTAATGGAAAAAGATTATCAACAAATTACATGAGCAACAGGCAAATTGTCTTCTATCAAACCATGAGCAACAACAGCAACAGTAGCAGGTTAATAAACGAAACTCACACTAAACACACACACACCAAACAATTAATACCGATGAACTACCCTGTTTTTCTCAATTTTGATTGGTTAGATCCAATATCTTCTTCATATCATATGCTCTATGAATGGCCCAAACATTCCTGACAGAATTAATTCTGAGTCCCTGTGGTGTTTTGTTTTGTTGTTTTTCTTTTTTTTGTTGTGAATTTCGTTGCAATATATATCCACCGTTTTATTAATCAAACAATGGCTTCGGATCGTTTAAATCTGGAAAATGATGTTAAAAAAGCTTGTGAATTGATTGATAAATTACAAAAAGTAGAATATAATGCTTGGCTTTCAAGGTTTGTCATTCATTTTTGTTTTCATTGTTTACCTGTTTATTTGATTAAATTTTTTTGTTTATTTATTATTCTAGCAATTCATCATTGGAAAAATTGGTTACATTAAAAAAAATATTTGAAAGTGATTTTTTCAATGCTGTACGTGAAGTTTATGAACGTGTATATGAAACGGTTGATATAACCGGTAGTCCAGATATACGAGCTTCAGCAACAGCCAAAGCAACTATTGCCGTATTTGCTGCATCCGAAGGTCATGCACATCCAAGAATTGTTGAACTGCCAAAAACCGATGAAGGACTAGGTTTCAACGTAATGGGTGGCCGTGAACAGAATACACCTATTTATATATCACGTATTATACCGGATGGTGTTGCCGATCGTCATGGTGGCCTAAAACGTGGTGATCAACTTATATCTGTGAATGGTGTTAATGTTGAAAATGAATCACATGAAAAAGTTGTCGAATTATTAAAATCAGCTATCGATAAAGTAACATTAGTGGTACGATATTCACCAAAAGTATTGGAAGAAATGGAAATGCGTTTCGATAAACAACGTATGCGACATCGTAAATTTAAATGAAAATCTACCATTCATTCGATCAATGTTCGATATTTTTGTAATGTTGTCCACTACCATTCACCACACACACATTCCATTATTGTATTCAATTTTATTATCTAAAATTCTAATAACTATATATTATATTATTAATTTACATGAATTTAACCGGATGGAAGAGAAAAAATTTACAATCACTTTTACAATTTTTTTTTTTTTTTTTGCTAAATTATTTCATTTTCACCATGTTTGTTATTATTATGAATAAATCAAACGCCAATTTGATGGATGATTATAGGCTAAAAATAATGGTGTATGTAACAACAATGAAATGGTACGATCTGTGTGTGTGTGTGTGTGGGAGTGAATGAAGTTTTTTTTTATTAGTTTTTTTTTCATTTTAAATCAAAATGGACATACCGTCAACATTCTTTGATATTTGTTGCCATTGTCGAAGCCAATCAAACATTTCTTGTTGTGTTAGATTTATAGGATTCAAACCACGTATAAAACAAGCTTGTCGTAATTGTTCAAATGATAATTCATTATCGAATAAATGATGATCCATTGATTGAATGAATGTTATATGTTGAAAAAGACGACGACGTTTAAAAAGAAATATTCGCCGTAGACCATGTGTACGACAAAGATGGACTAGATGTTGTTGTGACAGTGCACGAAGACCAAATGGTTGTTCAATGAATAATGGTTTCAATTGAACAATATCATCGACATTTGGATGTGTACCACTGCCAAGACGTGTGAAAACATATCGACATTTTTCTCTGGTATATGGTGATTCAATTGAATCAAGACGTTTTTGTAAGCTTCGAAATAATGGCCGATAATGATATAATTTACGACGATGATCATCGATAGCAAATTTTGTTCGTTGTTGAATTGTCCAATAATGTGAGGATAATAATTGTTTCGGAAACATAAACGCTAATGGTATGCTAACATATTGTGCTAATGGTAAAGCCGTGATCACTAGAAATGGTGTCATTTTTCGAATATCTTTGGGTGTTTTCATATAGCACATCAATTCATTATAGGTCAAATCTTTAACCGATTTATCGATGGCCAAATCTTTTGATATTCGCATATAATCAAAAACATCACCAGAAAATTCTTTGGTACCTACCGTAAACATTTGTAACATTCGATAGGTTGATGGAAAATTTGTCAACATTAAACGTTCATAACGATCGATTAATAGACGAATCTTGGCAAGTAAATAACGTTTAAAACCGCTTAACGGTTTAATCACAGATGGTTGTGGTAATTTTGACATGATTTTATAACTATAAACAATTGATCCAATTGGAGCGAGAAAATTTTTAAAAAAAAAAAATGATTGCATCACAGTCATAAATCTTCTGCAGATGATTCGATTTGTTTATACATCAGACATTGGCCTATGGATGCTGCCATCTATCTTACAATATAATCAACATCAATTCATTCGAATTTATGATGAGAAAAAAAAATTACGAACAAAATTAATAATAAAAAACAAATTTCATATATCAACAACATGTCTTCACATTTAATGATGATCCGATCAAATCGGTTGTTTAAAAAAAAATTGGAATATGTAATTTAAAAAAAAATATATATATAGAACCATAGTTGCTTATAATAATAATAATAATATAATAACGAGAAAAAACAACAAAAATAACAACAATAACAATGAAAAATGGCATTATTCGTCGTTTTGAATAATAATAATAATAAAAATTCGAATTAACTACATAATAATGATGATGAATGATGAATGATGATTATCGTTTACCCAATGGATTCGATTTATTAAATTTCAAACTATTCTGTGGTGATAATACATTTGTTAATGATGTTGATGATGAATTATGCTTAATTATTGATGATGATGATGATGTGATGGTGGTGGTGGTTGTGATTCTTTACGATCTTTATTCATGGATAAATTATTAAATGAATTAGCTGTTGCAAGCATTTCTTTTGTTGCTACAGAACAGCAGCAGCTGTTGTCGTAGTCGACGTCAAACTTGTATTCGTTGTTGTGGATGTGTTGGTAGTATTATTATTATCACAAATATTATTATTTGGCTGATGATGATGATTATTATTTTGATGATAATCTTTTTCATTCGGTGGTGTAACCGATAATATCGATGAACTTAGATTCATTGTCGAAGTTAAACTTAATGTACTTGAATATTCACTCATATATTCATTATTGATATCATTTTCATTTTCATCAACAGTAAGACAAGTTTCAACCATTGCCTCTAAACAATTGACAAACAATTCAGCATTGTCTAAATTTGATTCGGATTTTAAAAATGGTCCAGCAAATCTCCATAGGCCCCCGAAGCCAAATGCTATAAAAAAAACAAAAAAAATTTTTGAAAAATTCAAAGGGAAAAAAAAACATTTGCATTGGAAACAAACTTTGTAAACAATGTGATTGTTGTTGTGGTTCTTCATTACACAGTACCATATTATGTATTATACATTGTACAGCACTCAATATAACTTTATCATGACATAATGATAGTACGCTTGTAATTTTTGAATCCAATAATGAATGTCTATAAAATAAAAAGAAAAGAATTTCAGTCTAGAATTTTCATTTTCTGCAAAAAAATCTTACATCACAGGAAAAACTTTTGGAAAAACCACTGATGCTTCAGCCAAATATTCATATAATGTACGCATTTCAGATTCATCCGTTGTGTTTCGTACCAATGTTGCCTATTTATTTGGAGAAAAAAAAATTTTTTTGAATAAAAAAATTCTTAAAAATCAACTACACACTTACCAGAATGGTTAGAATTAGTGCCTGATTTTGAAAATCAATCAATACATCTGGATCAAGCAAAATATTATTCTCATTCGAAACGGATAATCGTGATTTTCGATTCGTTTGTTTTGGATCATGTTTTGAATGATGATGATGATGATGATGAATATCAACCAAATGATGATGATGTTTATGATGATCATGATTCGATGATGATGATGATTTTTGTTGTTGTTCCTGTGAATCTTTTAACGATTGTTCATCGAATAGATTATTATTGTCAAATAATTCACCATTTTTCGAATTATTAGCAATTTTTGGTGATGGCATTGAACTACTACGTTGTGTACGAAATAATGGTCGATATACAGATGATGTTAATGATTCACTATCTAAACTTTTCCAATGTTTATCATCCACATCTAATGATGATGTACAATTAGAATTGATTGATGAATTTGGTGATACAGATGAATGTAATACGGTAGCAGCAATATGATTTGAAAGATTTGGTTTCAATGGTGTTTTAATTACTTTATTATTAGTTCCGGTTGTTGTTGTTGTTGTTGTTGTAGCACCAGCAACAGCAGAATTAGCACCAGAAGTAACAGTAGTAGTAGTTACGGTAGTAGTCGTTGCATTTCCGGTTGATTGTTGATTTGTATAAAAAGTGGCCGTAGTAGTAGCAATATTTGAATCAATCGATTTTTGCCTTATACTTGTCGGTGTATTTGGATTCGATGATGATATCGATGATGTCGTTGTATAATATTGTTGATGTGTTTGAGCAAACATTACTTTATGTGGTTGTGTTATATAACTACTTAATGGTAGATTCATTAATGTTGATGGTGATGACAATGGACTTGGTGCTAATGTTTGCTGTATGGTCATCATAGTGGCCGGTGATGATGATGATGATGATGATGAAATATTTAATAATTTTGTATTAGAACCACCGCTGCCAGCACCGTTAACATTTGATGATTGTGTGTGTGGTGGATTATGTGTTGTTTGATTTTGTTGTATTTCATTGGTTGTTGGATAATTTTTCGACGATGTACGATCCAAAATCATACGGGTAACACGATGTCGAAGATGTACTCTACTTTGAACTTCTTCGGATACAGGTAATAATGCAGCTAAATATGGTACCGATTCAAGATTAACTTCAAATTTATCACGTTTATGTGGTTTAGCAACAATCTCTAGTAACATATTCAATATACGTGTTGTACGTGATACAGTTGTCGGGGTTGGATGACGAAAACCTTTTATCAGATGTCCAACTAATGCACAATGAAAATTTGATTTAAAACTTAAACCAACTGAATGATCTAATTGTTTGAAATGCCATTCTAGTGGTTCACGTGTTGCCATCATTACAGATTTCAATGTATTCAATTCAAATGTTGTTGATGAATCCAATGTATGTAGATTTTGTTCAAGTAATGCTAAACCAGATGCATATAATGATATTTCATCTAATTGTAATACGGAAATTGATATCCAAAATAATGCACGATGTATATGTGAATCAGGATTAAGTAATGGTTGTAATCGTGTTAAACACATTATAATCGATTCAATTAGTTGAAGATCTTGAAATGATTCTAATGCTTTCACTAGGATACGTAATAGACCAAGAATTTCTTTATCGGTCGTAAATTTTGATATACAACCCAATACAATAATGGAACGTGGTTGTAAAGCCGGATTATATCTGAATGCAAATGATCGGGACATTTCAGTCCACCGTTGTAGCCAATCACAACCAGGTATATTTTTCATACAAGCTTCCATTATTTCCAACAATGCATCGGTAATTGTTTCCAATGAATTCAATGGTAAACGATCATAATTTTCATTCATAGTAGCAATAGCACGATCCTGTGTCAGATTATTATAATGACGATCAGTACAATAATGACGATTATAATTCAATGTTGGATGTGTACGAAATGCAGTAACAGCCGCTGATTTAACATCACTAATGCCAAATAATAAATAAAATTTTGGCAAACTAAATTCATCCAAACTTAGTCTTAAAACACGTTGTGTTTCACCACTGAATGATGGTTTTGTACAAGTACACAATGAATGAATAATATTGATGACTAAACCATGAATGGATGCACGTAATGAAATTGGTCCAATATGAACTAATAATGTGACAATATGAAATAAATATGGCAAATGATTGGCAACATCCAGACAATTATTGAATGATAACATTAATAGATAACGACCTAGAATGGCAATATCATCCCACATAAGATGTTGTTCCAATGTTGATGTTGGTGATGTACAGGTTTTTTCGATTACCCGACATAATCGACTTATTACTTTCATTGCCACTAGTTGTACATTTGATGATGCCAATGCAACAGCTGTATCAGCCATAATTTCTGCCTGTGAACTACCAAGACCACCGGTTACAGATCGTTTCAAAAAGCTATCCAATGTTAAATCCAACAGATCCGAAATCTGTCCAATATTACCCCATATTTTGGCTTGTATTGATGGATACATTTCTACTTCTTCAATAGTCAATGTAATCAATTTATCCAATATGGTTGCAACACGTTGTCGTTTATTATCATCGGTTTGTTTACAGAATCTTGTCAGATTCGGTAACCATGGTGTCATATATTCAAGACAAAGATGTTTCAGTTCGATGTTTGATGAACGAAAACCTTGAATACATTCTTCAAGAAATTCTAATGTTAAATGTGATGCATTCATGGCCAATTTTTCACTAATTTGTTTGATGAAAATTGTATTATTCGATGGTATACAAAGACCAGCTGTTTCAAGAAGTTGACCTTCAATTTTCAAATCAAATGTACCGGTCAATGCACAAAGAAGATTATAGGCAGCTGTACGAAGATTTGGATCAGCGCTGCCAAGATTTAAAAGAGCCATATTAAGTAATGTACCAGGTACATCTTTTGGTCGTATTTTCGTATGAACCGTTACAGAATCTGGTTGTGATAATTCCCATCTTGTTCGTATGTGGATGATAGCCTGTACGATACTATCACAATCATTATGTATGAATGATAATGGACCACTTTCATTTGCAATGGTCAATGTAAATTGATTATCATCCACCAGACAAACTTCTTCAATTTCTGATGCATAATAAACATCATTTAAATAAACGGGAATACCCAAAACTTTTGTTTTTTCAGCCGATGTAATCTGTATGGCTGTTGGACCAACTTTTATCGATACTTTTGTATCTTTATGTGATAATTTTAATGCATTATTAAATACTTTAAGATCTTCTTCCAATGATAATGTAGCACCAGGTAATCGTTGTTGTTCAATATCAATATATTCACTTAATTTTTGTGCACTTTCAACAAAAATTAATTTACGACTACCTTTCAATGGTACCAATAGACGATCATGATATTTAGAATATTCACGTACCCAGCTATTACAATTATAAATATAGGTGGCGACAATTTTTTCATACGCAATTTCTGGCAATACAACAAACCATTTTTGTAGAAATTCTGTCCTATAACGATGATCAGCACAAGTATGTGTGAAATCGATGACCAATTCAAATGGTTTATGACAGAATGGTTTCAATGTCAATATAACATGATAGATCAATAGATCACCATTGGTTTCACCAATTTTATATCTACGTGCAATATAATAGAAAACTGGATTACCGGCTTTTGATGTACCAGCATGATAGAATATATTCAATGATTTTATCGATTTAAATTCATCTTTTTCATGCATATTATGTTTAGCCATTATTTCTTCGAATTTTGTTGATGTCATTTCCATTGAATTCCATTGTGATTCACTTATTGTTTTATGTTCAGGTGGTCCAAGATATGCTAACAATGTAGCCATTTTATCGAATGGCCTACGGCCCATTGCTTTATTATCACGTGAACTGGATAGATAATCACCAATTTTTTCCTGATGATTCCATAACAATCGATGTAATGCATGGACATTTGCATCACTAATAAATGATATATTATGATTAGCTTGATATTCGACTATTTCCACTTCGGATGCAATCTGATAAATCCATCGTTTACCGGCATCAAAATTTGTTCGAAGAAAATCATTAAAACATAACATATGTTGTTCTTTACTAAATTCCACGTGGTTAGCAATGTTTTGCAGAATTTTCGATACAAGCATTAGACCACGTTTAATTTTTGGCGCTGGTTGTTTTTCAATAATGCCCAATTCAAATGGTGACACTATTGCTGGATTAATGAACCGCAGAAATACCACCGTACCAACAGCGCTGATATTATGTGGAAAATTTGGAAATCGTTTATTGAGAACTTGATATAAACAATGGCAAATTAATTTCAATTGTGATGGAAATTTTTCCGCTGATGAAATGATTGCATTGAATATTTTCTGTGTTAATGCCATCAAATTGTTACGATTAGTTTCAACATTATCATTATCATCGAATCGTGCTGAATCTACTTCATAACTAGTGTTTGGTGCTGAATCCAACAACGGTTTTATCAATGGTTCAAGAAGATTTTTTAAATATGAACTACCATAGATTTTAAAACAAAATGCCATTATCTTGCTACCAAGACTATTACCACGAAACAATGTGGTCATACAATCGGATACTTCAACTTCTTTGTAGAACATATTCCACAATAATGATGATAACATATGTTTAGCATCGAATAATGTAACAAATACACGTGCCAATTCATCCATTTGTGGTGTGACAACCACTGTGGCTAATGCCATTGCAATGGGCAATTCACCTTTCTCGCCAATCATTGTTACCAGCTGAACTAATTGTTCATAACGATCGGCCAATACTGTTTCGGCTAACATATCGAATTCGGTACCTTGTTGAAGAATTTTTGTCAACACTTCCATAAATGCTGCACGTGTTTGTAGATCTTTATGATAACCAAGACCAATGGAATGCATTAATCCAGAATCAATATTGGCACTCAATAAATTGGACATTGCCTGTATTGTATATGTTCGTAATTCACTCAATTTTGTTGATGTTGATGATTGAAAACGTGCTGCAGCAACAGTACAACGTGTTGCTTCACCAGAATTATTTGAAACAGTATCTTCAGTGGATAATACTTCACTACATTCATTGAGTAGATTCATAAATAGGCTAAAATATTTAAGAAAAAGTTGTGATTTTGCTTCCATTAAATCACCACGATCAGATTCTTCTGGTTGCAATGGTAAACCACGTAATAATGCCGCAACAGCTTGCATACAAGATTGATCTAAATCACGTAATAATGATGTTAAATCCGTATAAACTGTTGGCTGCATTTGATGTGAATTGCCCATAACCCAATCGGTTAAATATTCAACAAGTTTATTACGAAATTTCATTTCTTGTCTAAATGACAGATCATCACGACGTGCCATCATTGCTTCAACTAATTGACAGACTTTATTCTTGATATGTATATGATGATTATTATTTGAATCTAAATGGCGAACATAACGTACAATGGCCAACATTATATGTTCAATACTTGTTGTTTGTCCAAGATTTTCTGTTGTATGTTCAGATTTATTTTCAAATATTGATTTCATTATAAATATGATATGTTCGATGAATTGTGTATTCGTATCAGTTAATTGTACTTGGCCATTTGAATCGAAAAATTTTTCAATCAATATTTTTATCTGATCAAACAATATTGGATATAACATTGGTGACATTTCATGTGCCAACAAATCTTTCACATGTTTCTGTATTTGTGTACCAAATTTTTCATTATGACAAACAAGTAATTTCAATACAACACCAACAAATTGAGTGACTGGACAATATTGTAATGAATCATGACAGTTTGGTAGTACAAGATTTTTCTTGTTTGTATCAGCAATAATATTCATGGCAAATGATGATGATTTATTGGCAGATTTTTTAAAACAAACACCACCCAATGCACACAAGAATCCAGTCATATTGGCCCATTCATTAATTTGATCTTCCAGTTCATGTTCAGTGCTTTGATGTGATGCACGACGTTTGGAAACATTACGATGCAAACCATCCGATTGTTCAGAATCACCGAGTTTACTTTTTGGATAACTAACCAGAAATTTTGTTGTTGAATCCCAATTCAGGAATGAATCTTCCCATGCTTGTGAACAGCCTTGTGTACAATTTTCAATTTTACGCAACAATGCCATAATTCGTTTCTGTAATGCAGCACGACCAGTAGTAAGAATTGTACTTGCATTTGTTAATTCAAGATATACATGATAATTTGGCAATGAATACGTATCGGTTAAATCATCTTGGCCACAACGAATATCGGCTTCTTCGGTTAACAAAGCAAAACAAGACATGGCCACCAATACACATTCAATATCAATAGACCATAAATAGATGAATAGAACGACTTCAAGTTTTATATGTGCCTGTTTACAAATAGCCACATGACTGCCAATATTTGCATAATCTTTATGTCGTAATAGGAAATAATTTCGTTGTTTCAATATATCACGTAACCATTTCAATATTTCTGTATAATTAACAATTTGATGTTGTATTAATTTTTGTGATATTGAAAACAATACTTGTGATGATACATCCCAAAATGTATTGATCGGTGCTTCTGGATTCCATAATTCAATATTTTCAGGTCGATGTAGAACAAGTAATGCTTCCATTGCTTCTTGTGCAATATCAGGCATCGATGGTTGATGTACTAACGACACCAGTCCATTGATCAATTCAAGTGTATTACTTTGTATTTCATGGCCAGCTTTGCCTTGATTATTTAACATTAGTATAGGATTCACACGTATCAGGCGAACCATCCATAATAAAAGATTTTTAAAATTTAAACCTTCTTCCGATGATTTATCTTTGAATTTTAATGTTGTTACTTTTTCTTTCAATGTGAAACTCTAAATTTTGAGAGCAAACAAACAAACAAAAAAAAAAATAAAATTTAAAAATGAACAAACAAACAAACAAACAAAAAAAAACAACAACAAACCTGACAAAGCTAAGTTTTAGTGAAAAGAGAAAGTTAGAAAAAAAGTAGAAAGAAAGGGTAAAAAAAAGGAAACAGAAAAAAACAATTAGCCATACCAAATGGGAAGAGAAAGAAATGGATCTGGAAAATTCATACCTGTATCATTCGTAATGGTGTATGTGAAATACATCCTTGTGTTGCTTTTATCAATGTTTCTGTAAACATAAAACGTAATTCTGGTGCTTTATTATAGATGATATCAATTTTTGGCCACCATGATAATCGTGGTTGAACAATGATGCGAAACAATGAACAAACCAATACATAATGATACATTGATGGACAATTTGGATTCAGGCAAACTTTCAATGCTTCATTATTATGCGGTGTTATACGGAATATTGAAACAAAACATTCAATCATCAATTCAACATCGTTATAAAGATTTGATGGGCTACGTATCAATGGTTTCGTGTTGAATAATAATAATTTCAAATCATTAATAACGGATTGTACCAATGTAAACATAACATTATTGCTATCCAATATGTTTATATATGTTGATGCTTTACATAATTTTACACATGTAATAGCAGCTGCTTCGGTCAATTGTTTACTGGAACTATGTGGTACTAATGATTTTTTAACATTTTCAATAAAATTTCTTTTCCTTTGATGTCGTGATGAAAATGGTGCACCACTATCGGCATTAACAATTTCTTCCAATATTTTTGGACATAGTAACAATAATAGGATTTGTAATGGCCAAACAAAATTTTTACGTTTATTATTATTTTCAGCATATGAATCCAAATGTTCAAATAATTTATCGCAACAATCACTTAGTTCTTCATTTGGCCGACATTGATATTCCATAAATTCCTGTGGATATGTTTCAATCCAATTCCATATAGCTTTTTCAACATTATTCAACAGTATATAGTGGGCATTCTTTTTCAATGAACGAAATTTTAAATTAATTTCCAATAATAATTTCAATAAACGATTTATATCAACATTAATATATTGTATTAATTCAATATCGATAAAATCCATATTTTCTTCCGATGTATTTGATAATTCTTGTAATCGTGCCGATATACGGCTAAAAACGGCATTAAAATTATTTAAACTAAGTGAAAATAGTACTTTGGATGCTAAAACTTTTAATTGTGCTGCCATTATATTATCATTGGATGATTCAATAAACTATTTTGGATAATAAATAAATAAAGATTATATGAAAATGGAATTTTATTTTTTGTTGAAAAAATTCACTTACATGACAGATTTCTTTCAATAATGCTTTAACATTCATTGTTTCATCATAACGTGTTGTTTCTTTTGGCTGTATGCTAAGACATTTTTCCAATGTATCCAATAATAATAATTGAGATTCATAGAAATTTCTTTCAAATTCTGGCTGTATTGGACCATGGATTTGAGATCTTTGTGAAATGAACTAGTGATGATAGAAAAGAAAACAAAAATTCAATTAAAATTCGAATCATAAATGAATGAATGAAAAGAAAAAACATTTACCATTTCATTTACAGTATGTAATGTTTTAGTTAAACCAGAAATAACTAATGAAAATTTTGTCTTTGAAATCTGTATCAATGTTTCTTTAATTTGTTCAACATTTACACGTGTTTGACTGGTCTGTGGACCACTACGATATGGTAATTGTTCTTCAAATCGTGATAACAGGGATGTAACCCATTCGACTGGTTTTTGATTGGCCATTATCATTAAACAATGGAACGATTTTCCACCGGTGAAAAAAAATATGAAAATTAAATACACACAAAAAAATAAAGTTGAAAAGAGGAAAAAATCACACAAATCAGATCAGATCATGAAATGGAAATCATCATCATCATCAATTTGATGACAGATGTTGTTGAATATTTCAAAAAATTAAGAATCTTGTTGTGTTGATATTTGAATCAATGGAAATCATCATTGTGTTGGCCACCATCACAAGAAACGATAAACAATTCTTCATGAAATCAGTGATCAATGATTAATAATAAAAATGAGATGATGATGTTGATGATGACAGAAAGAATCACTTTATCACTCTCTCTCTCTCTCTCTCTCTTTATTCAATTCTATATACTAAAATGCTTTTAAATGCATCGAAATGTGTAGGCGACAGAAAAATGAATAAGTGGGGAAAAATTTACAAAAAGACTTCGCTTTCGTTTCACAATCAAAATTTATATAGAAAATTAACACCGGGTTAAGCGGCATTTTACGGTATACATTGAAAATTGAAAAAAATGGCCCTACTGGCCAATGCTGTCAGTGTTGGCTCGAAGCGTCTGATTACTACGGCTATTGGTAGTAGATATATGTGACAGCATCGATTTGCATGGAAATTCACCATAGAAGATTCAGATTCGAATGTTGTCGTTTTGTTGTTGTTGTTCAATGTAAAACGGTGGCTTTTTTTTCTCTCTCGGTATGAATATGATAATTATTTATCTTCGGAAGTAAAAAAAATGGTCACACATCATCAGAACCAGAATCTATCAATATGGACCGCTACCAATATACCGCCATCAATATTTTTCTGGTCCGTTTCGATTTTCTTCGATCTTCTATATATATTTGGCTTGCGTAAAACACAGTTTTTTTGAGGGGGGAACTTGAAAAAACCAGAATCACTAGAAAATGAACAAGAAGTTGAAATTTGTCGTTTTGTTTGCTCTTCACACACACACACACACAAACAGAATCCTTCAGCAACATCAACAAAAAAACAACCAAAATGAAAAAAAATAACAACGACCAAATGATTTAGAATGATGAATGGAATAGAAAACTACCATTCAACAATCATCATCATCATCACCACAACCACAACCAACACCACTAGCACTAAGAAAAGAAAGAAAGAAAGAACCGAAACAAAACAAAAAAACCCGAAATGAAAAAAAAATTTGGCAGTAGCACACAATGATCGCTGGTCGTCGAACGACAATAACAACAACAACAACAACAACGACGACGACGACGACGACAGATGATTTTTTTTACCACCAATATATCAATGTGTGTGTGTGTGTATGTGAAGAATCTTCACTCTCTCTCTCTCTGTGTTTCGTTATTGTTCTTCTACTTTTTTTTACCAAAAAATTCATGATGAATGTGTGTGTGTGTGGTATATATAGAGGATATATAATAAAGACAGACACCTACTATTCTCCCAAATTTCCCTAGTACTACAACATTCCATTGGGTATAATTATTGGGTTGCTGCTCTCCTACTGCTGCTTTATTTTTTTCCGATTTTTTTTTGTTTTGTTAAGAAATTTGTGAACCAGAGGAATGTTTTTTTTTACTATTTTCTTTGGGACACGACCCTAGCTAAAGTAGTAGTAGTAGTAGCGGAACATGAAACCTGGTGGAGTGTGTGATTTGCATTTGATGAATAGCTTGCAAGTCCCTAGGGGGGGCCCATCGACGATGACAACAGTTGTCGTGGGTTTTTTTTTCATTCATAATTTTTTTCCATTTTTTTTTTTTGGTTATTTCTGCGCGCGCAAAATTGTTTTTCCTGTCCAAGTAAGTGGTGATCCAACAACAACAGATGGTGGTATTGTTTTTATAAAATTTCAAAAAAAAATTTTTGAAATGAAAATTTTATTTTTTGTTCTTTAAAACTTAAAAAAAAATTAAATATAAAAATATTAAATCAAATCATTTGAATGATAATCAGGTTCTTGGAAATAATCCAGATTTCTTTGTCGATCAATAATAAATCAAAAGTAAATAAATAAATTTGGAACTTTATAATCGCCCACAAATCATCGAATGTGTGTGTGTCGGTATGTGTGATGGGCCCAAAAATGTAACGTTATCATTATCATCATCATCATACGTTATATGTATCGAGCTGATGATGATGACGATAAAAAATGAGTCATTCATAAATTGTAACCACAATAATAGATAGTGGTAGTAGTCACAATGTAAAAAAAAAATTTATAATAAAAAATACGTAGGATTTTTTTTAATGCCGCTCATAAAAGATATAGGAAAAATCAAAAAGAAACCATGTATACATATACACATTGAAAAAGGGGAAAGTAGTCTTAGTCCGATAACAACAAGAATCATATCTATATATATTGTGACACAAACCGATTATATACACATATATATATATATAAATGTATGAAATACAGAACACACAATTGAGCCGCTAATAATAACAAATGGTAGTAGCATTATTGGATGGTGAAAAACTTCAATGAGTGTGTGTGTATTGTGTATTGTGTATGGTGTTGGTGGTGGTGGTTGTGGTTACGTTTGGAACGGATGAAATGACGAATAGAAAGAACGAATTGAAAAAAAAACGAAGACATTCAACGAAGAAAAAAAAATGATGTGATTATTTTGATGATGATGATGATTGTGATATACACACTATATTTTGATAAATTATTGATTGATTGATTAACACAGCGAAAATTGTCGATGTTTTTGTTGTTGTTGTTTTTTGTGTTTATTGTTCATCATCATCATCATCATCATTTGTGTTAATCATCAATTGTTATAAATGTATATATAAAATAATTGTATCTCTATCTTTGTGTGTGTTTTGATGAATGAATTGGAATTTTTTTTTTATTATTATTGATCTGATGATCAACATCATTATCATCATCGTCGTCGACAAACAAACAAACAAATTAACAAAATATAACATCGCCATCATTAAAATAATTTTCGTTTTCTTTCCATTTTTGATCATCATCATTATCATATTTTTTTTGTGCTGTTCAATCCTTTTTTCTTCACTGTTTTCGTTATTCATTCATGTGATGTAATTTGTTGGTTTTTTTTAATGAAAGAAAAATTATTCATTTTTTTTTCGTTGGATTGATAAGATATTGATGTCTGAGTGTGTGTGTGTGTGTTTATTTTGTTTTCATCATAAAAAAAGTATTTGATAATTAGAATAAATTTTCAATTTAAATCCTGGTTCAAACACACCAACGATCAACTAGGATTTCAACCATGATAATGGTGCTAACACCTCGTCAAAAGCAAGAATTGTATGTTATTATACACATATTTTTTTTTTGATTATTTTTTGTAATTATTACATTTCTTATATGTTTGTGTGTATTTTAGAGAATATGCAATTGCCGATTATTTAGAAAATAATGGTTATAATGATGCATTCGAAGCATTCAAAAAAGATGCAAATATTGTATGTAGTTTTAATGATAGTTTTTTTTTTAAAAATTTGATTGATATTTTTTTTCTCCTGAATTTCAATAGCAAAAAGATCCAGATAAAGGACCATCAGGAATATTGGAAAAGAAATGGATATCTGTTGCAAGATTATCGAAAAAAGTTAATGAATTAGAAGATAAATGTCGTGAATTAGAAAAAGAATATGTTATTGGTGCACCATTAAGAGATAAACGTTCACCAACTGAATGGATACCACGGCCACCTGAACGTTGTACAATGGATGGTCATACAGCACCAATAACACGTGTATTATTTCATCCAATATTTGTCTGTGTTGTATCGGCAAGTGAAGATGGTACAATTAAAACCTGGGATTATGAAACCGGTACATATGAAAAAACATTAAAAGGCCATACAAATGCCGTTCAAGATTTGGCATTTTCACCTAACGGTAAATTACTTGCATCATGTTCAGCTGATCTAAGTGTTAAATTATGGGATTTTCAAAATTATATCTGCATTAAAACATTATATGGACATGATCATAATGTATCATCCGTTACATTCGTTCCATCGGGTGATTATGTATTAAGTTGTTCACGTGATAAAACAATTAAAATGTGGGAAATATCAACCGGTTATTGTGTAAGCACATTTACTGGCCATCGTGAATGGGTTAAAATGGTTCGTGTCAATGCTGATGGATCATTGATGGCAACCTGTTCAAAAGATCATGTATGTTTATTGGGACCATGAGAATTCAAATTCAAATTGATTAATATCTTTGTTTTTCGTTTTTTTTGGTAGACAATCATTGTCTGGAATTTGATCAATGCTAATCAACATATGAACAGTGGTGGTGGAGGAGGTGGCAGTAATAATGATATTAAAGTTATGTTACGTGAACATGATCATACTGTTGAATGTATATCATGGGCACCGAATACTGCCTATAAATCAATATCGGAAGCATTCGAAGAGGTAATAATAATGAATGTGGCCGAAATCATTTTTTTAAACATTGATTTAATTAATTTTCTATAGAAGAGAAAAGAAATACAAGGCCCTTATCTGGTTAGTGGTTCACGTGATAATACATTAAAATTGTGGGATATTGGTACTGGTGTATGTCTATTCACATTTATTGGCCATGATAGCTGGGTACGTGATGTTTGTTGGCATCCGGCCGGTAAATTTTTCATCTCAGCATCAGATGATAAAACTATTCGTGTTTGGGATGTTGTCAATAAAAGGCTGACTAAAACACTTGAATCACATAAACATTTTTGTTCATGCATAGGTTTGTTTTTTTTAAATTTAATTTTTATGGGAAAAACAATCAATCAATTAATCCAAATGATTTCTATTTATAGATTTTCATCAACGAGCACCATATGTTGTAAGCGGTAGTGTCGATCTAACGGTTAAAATTTGGGAATGTCGTTAAATTATTATTATTATTATTATTATTAATTATTATATTGTGGTGACATATGAATCATAATTAATAATATGAAAATGTTTGTTGGAATCTTTCGTAAAAAAACCCCGGAACAAGAAGACAAATAACGAAAACGTTAGACAATTATATTAATTAACACACACACACAAACACCTACACTTATACTTCGTGAACATAAAAAAACAAAACAAACAAACACTAATGAATCCCCTTGATCCACCATGAACATCAAATGCCTCTATCACTCTTTCTTTGGTCATCAAATCCATCCACATACATTATCATCATCATCATCATCATCATCAACATCCTCGTCACCATTTAGGGATCCATCATCATTATCATCATCATTTTTTTTTGTTTGATCATTTCGATGAACTGAATTTCAACAACAACAAATTTTTGATGAAATTACACTTGTCCTTTATTTCCTTCTTTTCATTTTTCAGATTAATATCAATGAAATTTTTTTGATGTGATGATCACACTTGTTCGCTCTAATTATACAAACAACAACAACACACACACATACATACATTTACTATTTACTTTCATTTAAATTTTTCTTTCATAAAATGTCTCTCTCTCTCTCTCTCTCTCTAATTTGATTTGATTTTGATTCTTTTTTTTCTTCTACTTTTTTTTAGTTGTCTATTTCTTATTATTATTATTCAGTTGATTAATTAAACAAACAAGAAAGAAAAAATTTTCGATTCATTGTAGTATATATATAACATTCGTGAATAGCCGAATTTTACAAAAAAAAAAAATTTTTTTTTTCATTGATTTGAGTCGATTTTCTTTGATTTTTTTTTCACTTCATCTAACGAGATTGATTAATTGATCAGAATTTTTTTTTTCTCTTTCTCTTTCTTTGGGATTGTTTCTATTTCTTACACACACACACAGTGATCATTTGGACAGACAAACTTGATTAATTTTTGATGAAAAAAAATTCAATCTGTAAATAATGAAAATTTTCTATTCATCTTGGAATTGGAAATGTTTTTTTTTCGCAAATAAATCTAATCATTATTATTCAATTTTGTGGCGATAGATGGCAGTGCTGGCTAGTTGTTAATCACATGTTTCTATCGATCAATTTGCGCCAAATAATCCATTGTGTGTTCGATTGACAATTTTTTGTGGTGAAAATTTCAAACAAAAAAAAACAGCAACAACAAAATAATAATGAATCAAAAACGTGTACCATGGTTGGAAAAATATCGACCAAATAAATTCGACGATATTGTTGGTAATGATGCTGTGATTGAAAAATTCAAAATATTCAGCAAAACGGGTAATATACCGAATTTCATTCTCAATGGTCCACCGGGTGTTGGTAAAACAACAACCATTCTATGTTTGGCACATCAATTATTGGGTAATCATTTTAAAGAAGCTGTACTTGAATTGAATGCATCAAATGAACGTGGTATTGATGTTGTCCGTAATAAGATTAAAATGTTTGCCCAAAGTCGTATGACATTAGAACCACATCAACATAAGATTGCCATTCTGGATGAAGCCGATAGTATGACTGATGGTGCTCAACAAGCTTTAAGACGTACGATGGAGATTTTTTCATCAACAACACGATTCGCTTTGGCTTGTAATACATCGGAAAAGATAATCGAACCAATACAATCAAGATGTGCGGTTATTCGTTTTGGAAAAGTACCAGATGAAAAGATTGCCAAAAAATTGATTGAAATTTGTAAAATGGAACAACTTGAATATGATGAAGAAGGTATCGAAGCTGTTGTATTCACTGCTCAAGGTGATCTTCGTCAAGCTATTAATAATCTACAATCAGTGGCCGATGGTTATGATGGTAAAATTACTAGCGTAAATGTATTCAAAATATGTGATGAACCACATCCATTATATATAAAAGAAATGTTCAAATTATGTTTGGATGAGAAATTCGATCAAGCATATGCTATTGTTGCAAATCTTTGCCATCTTGGCTATTCAGCCGATGATATTATTGCGAATATTTTACGTGTATGTAAACGATATCCAATGCCTGAATATTTGAAATTGGAATTTATTCGAGAAATCGGTCACACACAGCTACGTATTCATCAAGGTATACATTCATCGATACAATTTGCTGGATTGATTGCTCGATTGGTTAAAAAACAACATATTATGGCTAATCATTGAATGGGGTAAAAAATTTCCAAAAAAAAGAACCGAATTGAATTTAAATTATTGTCCACTATTTTCACATTCATCATCTTGTATCGGTTGAAATAGGAAAAATTTGTATCTCATTTAATTATTTTTCAATATTTATTTTTTATTCATCATTCTCTTTACTCCTACTGATGATAAACCAATAAATTTTTTTTTAATGCCAATGAAGCGAATAAAACATTGTTGTACAAGTTAACAATCATTCAATAATCATGATTGATGATAAAAATGATGCAATCATTGTGAATGGTCAACCAATGACGTCGACCAATACCAAAATGAATCATTCTGTTAATGATGATGATGATGATATCCTTTTTACTGAATTTAAATCAATTCAAATCAAAAAATCACTTCAACAAAATGATCGATTAGCACTGAAAACATTGGCCTGCTCAAACGGTGGATTTGTTACAAATGAATTACGTGTAAAAGTTTGGTGCCGTTTAGCGAATGTTGATGATAATGATAATGTATTCAATGACATTTCATCCAACATTCAACGTAATGATAATTATCGTCAAGTTATATTAGATGTTGAACGATCATTGAAACGATTTCCACCAAGTGTTCAAGAAGTGCAAAGGATTGCCTATCAGGATAAATTGACCGAAATAATCATTCGAATATTGGATCATAATCCCGATATGTACTATTATCAAGGCTATCATGATGTTTGTTTAACGTTTCTATTAGTCATGAATGAACAGCAAGCTTTTCATTTGATCAACACAATATCAAGATCACATTTACGTTTCTATATGGAACGTACAATGAATACGACAAGTAATTTACTTGAAATTATCTATCTAATCATACGAGATGAAGACAATGAACTATATGATTATCTTATACGTTCCGATGTTGGTACAATATTTTCATTAAGTTGGGTGATCACCTGGTTTAGTCATGTATTGAATGATTTGGATGATATATTACGTTTATTTGATCTATTCATATCAACACATTATTTGATGCCAATCTATATGACAGTGGCTATATTAATGTGGAAAAAATCAGACATTCTATGTATCGACTGTGATATGGCTAGTATGCATAAATTCCTTACGGCAATTCCCAATGACCAGCATTCACCATTACCTATTGATCGATTAGTACTGGATACATTGGAACTTTCCATACGATATCCACCTGAAGATACACTTGAACGACAAAAACAAATTGAAACAAATGCTTTAAACAATGGTAATGATAATAATCATAATAATAATAATAATGGTGGTGGTGGTCGATCATTGTTACGAATATCAACACAATTCCTGAGGGGAAATATTTTTTCCATGGCATTCATTGGTTTCATATCGGTAATCGTTTATCAATTCTATTATGACCATCTTCAATGATGATTATGATGATGACCATCGCGATGGTATTGATCTGGCTTGCTGTTTCATTGGATGGATCTGTTTTTTTCTCATTAGATGACGCTTGTCATTTTTTTTGTTGTTTTTTTTTTTTGTGTGTGTTCTCTTTTTATGAATTAATTCCAATTATTATCATCATATTAATTATTATATTTACATCAATCACAATCAATTATAAATCGTAAAAAATAATAATAATAATAAAAAATTCAATCAATGATGATGTTTTATTGTCAATAATGAAGGCAAAAATGAACCACCAATCAATAGAAATAATTCTTTGATTTTTAATCGTCGATGTTGAGTAATTTCCGGCAACACATGTACAGCGGCTACATATAAAAATGTTCCAGCACTAAACAATAATGATACACCGGTTGCATTATATTCATGGAATGTTTGCTGTGATGAGGAATTGATTCCAAAATATGTTATAAATGATGCTGTTGGTGCACTGATTGAAAACCAAAATAAATGCCTTTTAGCACGATTACGATCAAGACCTTCGTGCAATAAAAATGTAACCAAACCGAATGCTGCTGGTGCTTTATGTAATAATATGGCTAAAAATACGATCATTTCAACATCAGCATGTGATGTTGTAGCTGCCGCACCCAATGCTATACCATCGGCTATAATTATTAAAAAAAAATTTTAAAAATTCTCGATAAAAAAAAATCCAATTTCTACTACTAACCAGCCGAATGAACAATCAATCCAATGGTTGCAGTTAATTTTGAAGTACTTTTTTTATTAGAATGATGATGATGATGATGATTACTAGTATTGGATTCAGAATCGATTGCAATTGAGCTATCAGTGGTTGTGGTGGTGGTCAATTGGCTATAACCACCATGTGATCCACCATTAGTCATTCCGGTGGAAAATTGATCAACAATTAACATTGTAACAAAACCAATTAATAATGTTAATCCAATCACTGTATGTGGATCATATTGTTCATCAATATCATCATTTTCGATTGAAATGATTGATGAATTATGTTCCAATGATCGTCGTTCATTATGATGATGATGACGATGATGAATTTGTTGTTGTCCTGATTGATATATACTGCTAATACCTTCAGGTATAATCACACAAAGTGCAGCACCAATCAATATGCCAGCACCAAATACACTGAATAATCGTACTTTTGATTCGGATAAATAAAATAATATCGGTATTGTACCGGCAATATAGCTACCGAAACCGATTGAACAATTCAATAAAATTAAAAAAAATAATTGATCCATTTATGTGGATATGTAGATATCAATCAATCAATAAAAAAAAAGAAAGAAAAATCAAAAAAACAAAACAAAAAAATGGACAGAATATTCAACAAGATGATTATCGATATTCATCATCATCTGTTCAATATTGATTTCATGCCGATGTTTGTTGATGATGATGATGATTAAAAATTGCGTGCAGATAATATACAGATTTTAAACACGTATACAAAAGATATCATAGAACTAACTAATCAATCAAACTTTTGAGAAAAACAAAAAATCAAAATAAAACTCATCATCATCATTATAATCATATGATGACTTTTTTTTGAATTGAATCTATGAATAGCTCACTCTCAGCTGATAGGGATTCTTGAAAAATTCTCAATCTTATAAAATAAAAATTTATTGTTTCAAAATACATCACAATTTTAGGAAAGAAAAATACACACATTATTGTTATTATCATGATATTTTTTTTTATCGATGATAATGACGTCTAGATCTGGATGGTCGTGATGACGATGATGAACTTGATCTTGATCTCGATCTAGATCTTGATCGTGATGACAATGCTGATGTTGATGAAGATGAACGACGAAGATGATCATGATGTCGATTTCGTTTGGATTTTGAACTTCGATGATGATGATGATGACGATTTGATGATCGATAATTATGATCACGATCACGTGATTTGGATCTAGATCTTTTTCGAGAATGTTTTGAATGTCGGTTGTTTTTGTGATGACGTCTATGTCGTCTTTCCGAAGATGTTGATCTTGATCGTAATCTTTTTCGTCGCTGATGTTTATCGAAATCATGATCATCATCTGAGCCTCGATAACGTTTCGGTGGTGAACGGTAATCATCAATGATTATAGGATCATAATTTTTTGATGGTGATCGATCGGTTTTGACTATGGGTGTATCGACAACTTGATTCCGATCATCTTGTTGGTCGTCTGCTGAATCACTAGAATCATACAATGGTTGTAATGGTGGCGATGTAACCCTTTCGATCGTAGGAGATAATTCTACATTGTCCACTGGTGGTAGATTTGGTCCAAATGTAACAGGATCATTAGCCAATCGATTTTGATTGCGTAAAAATTTCAGAAATTCTTGAGCTTTTCTTTTACGAAATTCTTGCAATCGTTTTTCTTGAGCTGAAAGATTTTTGGCAACCGGTTTCGATTCTTCTCCATGATGATGATCACCATCATCATCACTATGATTATTATCACCATCATTATCAACACCATCATCATTTGGTTCAGCAGTTAAATTCTTACGAACACGATCATCAGTTATAACGACAAGACGAGATTTTTTCGAATCTTCTTTTCTTGTACCGGTCATTGAAAATGTTACAGAAGATGATGGTGATGATTTTTCCAATCTAGATTTTTGCAATTTTTCCATTCGTTCTTTTTGTTTATGGCGAGCAATAAAATGAATTTTTTGTTGTACATAATAGGCATTAAAACGATGTCCATTGTTAAGAAAATCAAATTTTGGATTATTTAATTCACGAATTGATGTTTCGAAATTTTCACCATTTTGTGCTACATGTTCGGCTAGTTTATCGATTATCAATTTGATATCAGCCGATGGTTTCGGTATCAACATTGGACTTGATTGATTATTATTACTACTACTACTACTACTACCAGCATCTTTTATTGTTGGTATTTCAGTAGATTCCGTTTTCGGTTTTTCTTCTGCCGGTTCGATATCATCACCAAATTTATCTTTGAAATTTTTAACCAATTTTGAATAAGCCAATTCTTGTTCACTATTATTATTCTTCATAAATAAGCTTGGAATCTCAACTTTTTCAATTGTTTGTGATGTTTTTTTGGACAATAAACTTGGATGAAGATAATCACCGTCATCATCATCATCATCATCGGATTCATCTTGATGATTATCATCATTTAATTTAGATTGTTTAGGTGAATCATCATTGAATCGATATCGTCCAGATTTCATTTCCGATAATAAATGTTTATAATATGGATGTAGCCGTGAATCAATGGAAAGAAATTCAAAATTCGAATTTGATGCCTGTTTTGTTTTCAATAAAATTTCCATTTGTAATCCTTGTGTTGAAACAAATGAAGCTGTCTTTGCAATAATTTGATGTAATTTCATATTCGACGGTAATTGCATATTATCCGGTATGATTAGTCCAATTGGTATTTGATAATCATCATCATCATCATCAGGTTTTCCATCTTCATCGCCACGACCACCACCACCACCACCACTATTATCGGTCAAAACATTCGAATCATATGAATAGCCAACATTAGAATAATCACCAGACATTTCTTTGTTTGTCACTTTATCATCTATGATGAATAAATCGAGAAATTAGTTTGTTTTGATTGTAAAAATAATAATAATAATAAATAACATACCCATTTGATCTGCATCACAAAGATCACGAAAACGTTCACGATTCAATTCCAATTCAAATTTTTCATCATTATCATTATCATCATCAATAGATTTCAATGTTTGTCGATGATTTAGATCGGAAAGATCATGTAGATAGCCACGTGCATCATATCTTTATCATTATATGTGTTATATATATGGATAATGTGAGTATGGGTGTTGGGAAAAAAAATTTGAATGAAAAAAAACGGGAATTAGATATACGTATTTTTTTCGGTTTGTAATAAAAAAAAATGATGTAAAAGAAAAAAGTTATTCATAGTTAAACAAAAGTACAAAATGTATGTACAGGAGGAGACAAGAATTTTTTTTTTCAATCCACTCTCATTCTATTAAAAATATAATTTTTTTTTGTTCGTAGAAATCATACCCGTTTTTTTGATTTTAAGGAAATTTTTTTTTCGCTATAACTCGCGATACATTTTCCTCCTTTGGGTTTCTTCTTTCCATCGAATACGAGGAAATCAGTTCTCCGTGATAGTGATGATGATCACAAAGCCAATTTTTCGTTAATTGATTGATTGGAGCCAATTGATTCGGCAACGTTTTCTTTCTTTTCCATTTTGCTTCGAAAATTAAAATCATTTGTAATTAAGATGGGTGTGTGTGTGTGTGTGTGTGTTTGAATGTTTGTTTACAATCATCATGTTTTATGTGTAATTTTTTTTTTTTTTTTAGTTACAATGTTTAATGAAATCATATTTTTTTTTTTTTGATAATTTTCAATTTATAGATTTTTTTTCGAATCGAAGAACACACGAACCTGTCAATGAGAACATTATGATCACCCATCCATGGTATTAAATGTCGGCCATTGTTAATCCAACGTGCTTTTTCATCATCACGATATAATTTACATTGATAACCAAATACAAATAATGTTGTTTCATCATCTTGACCACCATTCAAAGCTTTATGCTTTGATCGTTTCCATTGATTGATACCGTTTTGCATTTCGAAATATTTTATTCATCAAAAAAAACAAGACAAAAAAAATTGAAATTTATGATTCGAACGAGATGATAACAAAAACACGATGTGATGAGTATTATGAATGGAATTTTTCATGCTCATGTGAGCAGCAGCACAAGCAATCGCTATTTATTTATATCGCGTATACACAGTGGCCATCTAGCGACAGAATACTAGAAACATTGAATGATTCGAATTTTAATAATGCCCGCCATACCATACAAAACTTGATCAACAAAATTCATTTTTTTATCGTTTTAATTTTTTTTTATTAATTAAAACTTTTAAATTTCTCTTCAAAATAATCAACTATCAATAAATGTAATATGATTTTTCTGTGAAAAATCAAAAAAAAATTGCAACAATAAAATCAACAATAAATATAACGACAACAAATAAATAATATATTGTGATATGTGAATGATTGCACGAAAACGAATCTTTTCTTTGATTAAATCAATTTCAATGATGACTAGATGATGATGATGATGATCACTAAAAAAAAAATATCTACGATGATTGTGATGATGCAACTACCATTCTATCAATGTATCTATCTATTTGTAAATAAATGAATCCAAATCAATGATATTTCGATTGATTGGAATAAAATAATGGTCACAACCTTGTTTTGAGTGAGTGTATTTGTGTGTGTGTGTGTGTGTGATTGAGTCAGGTGATATTGTTTGATTGATTGATTGGTAGCATTTGTTTCAATGTGTTTTTGTGGCAACAAAAACGGAAATAATTAAGGAAAATATACAGAGATGTAACACAAAGAAAATAACTCTTTCTACATGTAATTAGTAGTTGGGAATTTGTCACAAAAGAAAATATTCATTTTTTTTTTTTTTGTTGTTCGGATAAAACTTTTGTTGTTTCACTAATAACAATAATTGAAGGGGGTATTATATATGTTGTGGCGGGTGTGTATTGTACTTTTGTTGTTGTTGTTGGATCACAATTTTTTTTCACGTCGGTTTTTTTTTCATTTGAACACAGTCAGGTTTTTTTTTTACCAATTATGAAATATTAACGTTTGTCGTTGTTGTTGTATCGGGTGTTCGTGCCGAAAATGTTGCCAATGATCCATTGGCATTCATACGTAGACATAATTCACGCATCTGTAACAGGCTTCCTTCAAGACTTAATGCAAAAAAATCTGAACTAGTTTCATCGGAACTATAAAATGATGATACACAGAATATGATATGATTTTTTTTCGTACTATATGAACAACCATAACCATCGGGTACAACGGCACCATAACCAACCAATATGTCGGCATCAGTGGGCAATTGGCTAGTCGATAGACGATAATTACCATATTCACCAAAAGATTTCTCACGAAAAACAGCTGGTATTGAACCAAAATGTTTCTTGGACAATTCACGTAATGCACGAAGATGATTTTCAGGTCCATGACCACTCGATGTCTGAATATACATGATGTGATGTACATATATACGGGCACAACGAAAAAAAAACAAAAACAACAACAACAACAACAACGAACATGAACATTATTTATGGTTCAGTAAACACACACACACAACAATTTCACTTACATATTGCATGATTTCCACTTGTTTTTGAATTGCTCGTTTGAAGAGTTTGATTTTCCGGTCCTCCTATGTGTGTGTGTGTGTTCAAAGTAATTGAAAAAACAAATATTAGAAAGAAAGACAGACAGAAAAAAAATGTTAATCAAAAAAAAAAAAAAAAATTCGCTCGAAGCAAATTTTAGAAAAAAAAACTCTTCAGGAATCAGAATGATGATTCTCTCTCTCTCTCGATTCATTCATTTATTTATTTACCTCAACATCTAACAAATTGGCGGCTGTTGTTGTTGGATTATCAATTGTCGATGATGATGCTGATGATGATGATGATGATGGCTGTTGTGGACACATACTTTGAGCCCAATCACGTGCCTCCACAGTCGATGCACGTATTGTATCAACACGACCCATACGAAATTGTCGTAATGAACAACTTTCATATGTAGAAACAATACAACGATGTAATTTAAAATAGGTTAATTGTAATGCTAATTGGATGTATGCATCCGGTGATATACGTTGTTGTTTAATAAAATCACTACCATATTCATTGAAACGTAGTACATATAAATCTAGATCAACGACGACTTTATCAGTACGTTTTTCTGCTTGTTTGATTTGTTTTTCAATTTCTATTGAAATATTCCATTGTAATGGCGTTGATTTTAGCATTGTTGTTGTTGCTTGTTGTCGATGATGATGATGAAGATAATAAGGATGGTAATTGTGATGGTGATTTCCATTCAGCGCTTGTTTGCCGCATCAATAGATTGGAATTATCAACCATGGTTGTTGTTGTTTCATCAGTTGTTTGTTGTTGTTGATAATAAATGAGAAATTTTTCCAAAAAATTCAACATTGTAATTCCTTCGGATGCTGAATGTTCCATTAAAACACCACAGATACCTTCTTTGGAAACAATAATTTGAAGAAATTTATCCCACCAACGATTTGCTGTATGTACATCACTACCACCACCATGTAATAACATTGAAGCCATATATGATTGATCCATTTTAGCAATCTGTATTGAATCACGATAACCAGTACGTTGACAAGATTTTGGTAGAATAAAATCATCCAAACAAAGTATAAACAATGATGTTTCAATCAATCGAATATTTTCGGCATTTGTCCGATCTATGATTGAGAAAAAAAAATTCATTCCAAGATTTATCACCAAAATCAAATTGAACATACCTTTAATCAGATCGGTACGAATTTTGGCCCAAATTTTTCGATTTTCCGTTGTCAATATACCAATGTTTGGTTGTTGAAATTGTTTCGGTGTTTTTGATCGATTCCAAATCAATGATAAACATTGTTCCAATTCGGCGATAGTCGGTAATGGTGATGATTGTTCCAGATGGACAGCAGTAAACTTTATAATTAATAAGTACAATGTGTAGTTGTGTTAATCAAAAAAAAAAAAAATAAAAAAAATACCTGATTAAAAGCAGCTACAATAAAATGTCGGCTACCTGGACATGGATGGATACGAAGTTCATCTTTATCTTCACCTGGTATACGACATGCAGTGAAAAAATGACGATATGTTTCCATACATAATCGTTTACCACGTACAATATCTTGTTTCAGTGTTTGTCTGTAAGAAAAAAATCAAATCAAATCAATCGAATCTCATCAATCACACCACAGACATACCTAACAATTTGTTCATTAAACATGAATGCAAATTTTGTTATAAACGATGCAAAACGTATTAAATCCGATGTAAGCTGAAATGATTGTCGTGGTAATAGAAAAAATGGATTCGAATTGATCAATAATGGTGATGGATTTGTAAGATACATATCATCTAGCCAAAAATCGGTTGACTTTTTATTTTTTTCATGGAAAAAACAAAACAAAATAAAAAAAAATTACTCATTCGATCGAAATATTCGAATCAAATTTCTGAATATGATGATGATGACTCAATCAAACACACACACACAAAATAAATGAATATATATCCCCAATAGAATATTCATTGTCAAAAACCATATTGTGTGTTTAGTGTGTGTAGAAAAAAAAATTTTTGGACACATTTGCACTAAAAGCTGACATTTCATGTCAAATGATTAAAAATGCTAATACACAGCTGAGCTCAATCATCATCATCATCGTTTGCATTTTGGATTCTGTAGAAAAATTCTTCATCTCTCTCATTTACACACATTCATCACGGGATTCAAGAATTTTTTTTTATTGTTGTTCACATTCAAATTCGAAAATTGAAAATCCTGTCAATCTCTACTATGTGATGGTTGGTTGTACAGCACATACAAACACACAACAAAAATGCTGAATAGAAAATGAGTCATAGAGCCTTGTTTTTTCGATGACGATGACTAGTGGCTAGTTGTTGTTTTTAGTGATTGAGGTTCATATTATATTCAATGGAAAGAAAGAAAAACAAACAAAATAGAAAAACAGTTTTTTTTAAATTGAATAAAACCACACACCAAACGATGATGATGATGGAATCCAATTAAAAATTCTCCTCCAGAAAAAAATCATCATTTTTCTAAACAAGCTAGATAAGTGGAATATTCTGCATTTTTATCCAGAGAGTTCAATGAAATCTTTATCTTGTTTATCGGTGTGCAGGGCAAAGCGGTTTTTTCTTGTTCCATTTGTTTTTCATTTACAATCTTTTTTCTGCATTCTGGGGGTGGTGGTTCGGGGCTAGCTAAACCGTTATATATATTGATCAATAATTGATGATCAAGAAAAAAAATGCATTATTTTTTAATGATTATCATTCACACACACACACACACACACACAATCAATGTCGTGGCCTTGATTATTATTACTACCCATTCATTCACCAACTCTCCCCCTCACCCACGATAAAAAATTCTATTGATCTTGATCGTTTTGATCATCGTTCTGTCCGGGTATTTGTTGTTATCATCATCATCAAATTTTCGATTGAAATATCTTTTTTGAAGTAAACAAACAAAGAAACAAATCTTGTCTATCATCTCTTTTGTCGTTTTTTGTTGTTGTTATTCTCAAGAAAAAACAAACAAAAAAAATCAATCAAAAACATTCAAGTTTTTTTCTTGGAAAATTCTTTCGATTCAAATGGAATTGAATCGACACACACACACACACACACACACACACACACAGAGAGACAGACAGAATAATTGAAACTTGGACATGATGTGTGTGTGTGTGATTGGACCACCACCACCACCACCATGCTGCCACCACCGGGGGTTTTTTTTTGTTCATTAAAATTTTTCTTTCTCTCTTCATTTTTAATCGATACAAAAATTTTGTTTACCATGAAAAAAGAGAGAAAAAAAACCAAACCACATAATTGCTCGTAATTACCCATTCACATACACCCACCCCAAACCAATGACATTTTCTATATCTAAATAATAATATCATTTTTAAAAGTGAATTTTCATTCATTCATTAAACGAGGAGAAAAAAAATTCAATTTTTTTTTGCCAGTGAAAACGAAAAAAAAATCGATCAATCTCTCTCTCTCTCTCTCTCTCTCTTTTATAGAAAGAAAAAAGCAAAATAAAAAATCGAATAAAATAACCATCAACTTTGGCCAGCTATACACATTTATCACACACACACACACACACACACAAAAAAAAAAACAGTCGCCAAGAATCGATCTTTCGATCTTTTGAATATTATATCATTCTATACTTTTTTACCATCTTTTCTTGACAATCATCATTTTGAGTTATTTTTTTTTGTCTACATTGTTCCTTATGTCTTTTCTGTCTATGGATTTGAAATGAAAATGTGTGTACAAAAAAAACCAACAGACAGAGACAGATTCTGAAATTCACATTCACAACCAACAAAAAAAAAAAAAAAAAAAAAAAAATACAATGAGAATTTAGACAGACAGTTCAGACAGATAGAATAAAAACACACACACACAGACAGACAGTTTGTGTTGTTACGGAGAAAAAAAACGAAAATTACGTTATAAGAGAATTGTGATTCATTCATTCATTCATTTGGGAGCAGGTGGTAGAATTTCTTTCATTCCTATTTTTTCGATAATAATAATGATGATGATGATGATTCGGGAATTCACTACATTCGTTGTGGTGGCGGTGGTCGTTGATCTTATTGTTTTTTTTTTTTTTTTTTGCTGCTGTATTCAAGAGGATGTTGTTGTTGTTATTATTGTCAGGTCATTCAGAATCGATTCAGAATTCAAAATTGATAGGTAGGTTTATACATATATGTGCGATTTAGAAAAAAAAAATTGCGTGAGTTTAATTTCAGAGAGACAACAAAAAAAATCAAAAAAAAAAATCGTTTGCGTGTGTGTGTGTCTGCCAGCCATGGAATTCAAAGCTTCACACAAATAAACATTTAAAAAAACGAGCTTCTGCTGTTGATTTTTATCTTTTTTTAAATGTGTTAATAAAACAAAACACACACCACTAGCCACTGGCCACTGGGTTATCATTATCATTATCATCATCATTTATAACACCCATATATCACATTCATGGATTGGCTTTTAAAGAAACAAAATCCATAATGAATTCTTGTTTTCTTTTATTTTCGATTATCGATTATAATCATCATTAGATATATATGGTAATTTGGCTAATCATCAGAACAATCATTGTGTATCGAATTTATTATTTGATCCAAGAATCATTATCACGCAACACACACACAGAGAGAGAGAGAGAAGAGAGAATCGAAAATTCAATAGCACCACCACCACTCTTCTTGAATAGAATTAATCTTTGAGAATCAATGCTCTATATTTGTACATACACAGCCAATTTTTTGATTCAACAACATGTCAATAATCTAAAAACAAGGGGATCAGTGGTTGTGTAAGAATATAAATCAGAGAGAGTTTTCCAACCCAATTCATGTTTGTTGCCAATTAACAACAACAACAACAACAAAACAAACCAAACCAAACCAAAACAACCGAAAATAATGATGGAAGCAATTTGCAAAACATGATGAAAAAAAAAATTCTTCGATATTCTGTTGATGATAAACTTTTATATATATCGAGAAGAAAAAAAAACGTTAATTAAATTCATTCAGTTTGGATATTTTTTTTAGATAATTTGTAGCAAAAAAAAAAAAAAAAAAAACAGAAATAAATAAATATATAAGGTGTCATTCAGATTCTGGTGATTATATTTTATCCATTTTTTTTTTCTTTGTTGGATTGAAAAGAATAGAGGCAGTCGGTGGCGGTGGTGGTGGTGGTGGTTGTATAAGATTTTCAATAGAATTCACTACTACCATCATCATTCATATGACCCTTATATATACATCATTTGTCGTTTGTGTGTATATGTTTGTCGATTAGTCTGTGCGATCTGTTTGTTTGTTTGATCTATTTATTTATCATACCCGAGAATCGAGAAAGTTTTTAGGGTGGTTTTTTCGCAGGGGAAAAAGTCGTCGTCGCCAGCAAAACAGGCGATCGACTATTTTGTTAGATAAAGCCAATTAGGACAACAACAACAACCAGAACTAGAACTAGAACCAAAAAGATCTTTTTCTCGAAATGATCTCTCAGATCATTTATTGTTGTTGTTGTTGATTTGGATCGAAATATATCGAACCAGATAGAAGAAATAGGAGAAAGTAGGTAGGCGGCATACAAGTTTGTATTTATTGTGATGAGATGAATAGTGTAGGATCCACGATACACACACACACACACACACACACACACACACACACACCATTCATCAATGTTGAATGGAATAGGCCTGAATGTTATATTTCATTTATTCATTTTTATTATTTTGGCACACACACACACACACACATACACAACAAAACACAGAATTAGCTAAATCCATGCTTATTTTTTCTTTCAATATACACACACAAACAGAACAGAACAGAACAGAATTGGATGGCTAATACTCAAATAACAAGCAAATTGAGGAGGAGTAATACTTCTTCCTTTGTTCTCCTCTCATCCTCATTCTTCATTTTTTTTCTCTCTCTCACTAATTCTTTCTGGAACACTCAAAGATCATACACACACATACACCGAGAAGAGGATCCTTATTATTATTATTATTATTATTTTGGATTCGATTCTGGTCTTTTTTTTCCAAAAATTTTGCTCAGTGTGATTAACACACACACACACACACACACACACACAAAGAGACAGAGAAAATATTCTTTCATTCTTTTTTTTCCAGAATTTTCAAAATGATAAGATAGAATAGAGAAAGAGAGAGAGATTAAGTGTATATTGTCGTCAACCACACATACAAACACACACACACAGCCATCATTCATTGTAACAACAAAAAAAATTGAATAATAGAATAATCCATCATTGAAATCATCATATGGATCACATTCACATATTATGAAATTTTTGAAGAGGTATTTACACACACACACACTGAACACATCACTTACCCAATTGTCAGTTTGTTGACTATATTCAATCAACAGTTTTTGTAGACGGTTTCCTTCACTGTCAACATCATCAACATCATTGCCATGAAGAAAATCCTTTACTGTTTGTCGTGTTTGTTCCATTTGCGATTTTGATTGTATCACCGGTTCCAGGCCAGATATATAACGTTCCATTGTTGTTTTTAGATCTGGTATTGGTGGACTTGGTAAATCATTCTATGTGTGTGTGTGTTCCAAACAAACGAGAAAAAATAGAGAAAAAAAATCATATCATTAATTTTCGAGAGAAAAAAAGTTTCCAGAAAGAAAAAAAAATTTCAAATTTTTTAAACAAACAAAAAAAAAACAAACAACAAGAGAGCCAATTAAGGCTTGGAAACAAAAAATAATCAGACTGTTTGGAGAATATTTCGGGTAAATAGAGAGAGAGTGAGAGAGAAAAAAAATCTGAAAAAAAGAATCCTACATCCTCATCCTCCTCATCATTTTTTTTCTATCATTTCTAATGATCACACACACACACACACACACACACACACAGTATGCCTTGGGCACCACCAATTCGGAAAAAAACTTGAAGAAAGCGCAGCAGCAGCAGAATATTCACAATAAATGTTCAAAGTTTTTTTTTATCCCAAAAATTCAGAATTCAGATGATAAAGAGAGCATGTGTTCCATTCATCATCATACCGAATATTCCCGACATTTGCCTAAAAACCAGACCGGACAACAAACAGTTGTTTTTTTTCTTACCACCGCCGCAAGCTTCCGTGCTCTATATATTGTCACCCACACATTATAAAAAAAAACACAAACCGACCAACCAAATAAACTAACCAGAAAAAAAAAATTGAGTTCGCTCGATTGAATATTATTTTTGTCTTATTTATTATGATTGTTGTTGTTGTTGTTGTTACACTTTTTTTCCCGTTTTTTCGGGTTGTTGGTTTTCCTTTTTTTTTTTGGTTGATTGAACAACAAACACACACACACACATCATACATGAACGTCTATGATGATGATGATGATGATGACAAACCTCTAAATCATTACGCACGAATAATAATTCTGTATATCCATGGTACAAATTATTCTAGATTTTTTTTTTTTCTATTTGTTCCATACACATATTCTATTTATCATTACCATCCATCATCATCTAAGAATATTCTATAAAATCTTCTTAGAATGGGTTCAAAAAAAATCTAATTTGTGGTTTTCTTTTTTTGCTGATGATCATTCAAACAAAACCAAAAAAAAAAAAAAACAAATCAAACAAAAATCACACAGCAGGTTTCAGATTTCTGATGATTTTCTGGTGACATCAATTCTAATCATCATCATCATCATCATCAGAGACCTTATTTCTTATTCTTCTACACACACACACACACACACAAAAACATATTAGATTACACATGCCAATTCTCCACCATAAATAACTACTATCTAATGGATTTTCATTTATTCTGTTGTGTGTGTGTGTGTGGTGAACTTTTTTTTCTGGGATTCTAAATCTAGAATTTTTATTTAAAAATAAAAGTTTTTCAAAACTAATAAATTGAATTTTTTTCTTCTACTACAACTAAAAAACAACAACAACAACAACAACAGTAATCTATTTTCATTCATTTATTTTAAATGTTTCAAAAAAATTTCATATATGAAATTCATTCTCCATTTAACACACACAGTTGGAGATTCATTGAATTCTATCTATGGATTGTAATGATGTAGTTGAATTCTGAATTATTTCGATATATACCTATGGTACGACCTTAGAATCAATATATCCTTACTCACACACACGTGACCTTTGTAACCAATTTGTAAACACAACATGCACACACACACACAGAATTTCATTCAGTCTTCTATTTTAATTTTGAATTCAAGACATTATTACTACTAGGCTAAAAAAAAAAAAAAAAAATCAGAAATGAAAAAATGAAAATGAAAAAGTGTCAAATACAGATTTTTTTTTGCAAAAAAAAAAAAAAAATCTTCAAAAAGGTTCGAGGGCAAATAATCATCATCATCAGTAAAAAAAAAAGACCAAAGTGGTGTATTCTACAATTCCACTTTTGGGGTTCATCATTCATTCATTCATTCATCCAATTCATTCAACACTAAACAACAACAACAACAACAAGCAAGCAAGCAAATTGGTTTGCCATGTTATTAATTAATTTTCATTCATTCGTTTCGTTCGTTGTTGTTGTTACTTTACATTCAATTGTAAATATAATGATGATGATTATAATTAGGAAACAAATGGGGATAGATAGATAGATAAATAAATAAATAAATGGAAAAAAAATCGGAAACGGAACATGCGTATAAAGAATAATGTTTGTGTGTAATGAAGCAAAACAACAACAACAACAACAATCCGATCACTATATATCAGCGCGTCGATAAAGACACGGGTATTTATTTATTTTCTGTTATAATAAACAATAATTTTTTGTCGACAACTGGTCGATCTTTTTTTTTCGGGGTTTTTTCGAGTTCGAGTTTATTGGTTGTTACGAATTTGCAAAAAAAAAAAAAATTCTGATGAGAACGACAACACTTGCATCGGTAATGAAGCGCTTACACATACACATTCTCTATCGATTCATTGTTTTTTTTATCTTCTGGTTAATTCTAGTCACAAAACACCCCTTCTTTTTTTTCTCGATCACGTTGTTGTTATTGTCATCATCATCATCATCATCATCACCATTGTTATTACACAATCGACTAGAAAAACTAACTAACCAAATCTAAATTCGAATCGTACAAAATCAGTCAATTCAAGCGACTAACAAATTTATGGATGAAAGAATGAAAAAAAATTCATTAATGAAACACATACACACACACACACACAGCAGTAGCAGTAGAAATTCCAATTGGAACCATCATCATCATCATCATATTCATCAAAGAAGCATCTCATTTGGTCAAAAATAATTGCACGTGTTCCAGCAGTGGAACAGAAACAGAAACAAATGGGAAAAAAATAAATTGAAAGCAAGTATGGGGGGCAAAACTTTTGATCGATTCTTCGATAATAAAATACACCACCCCTTTTTCTTCTTCCCCCTCTCGCTATAATTATATGGCCAGACAGCAAAATAAAAACACCTCTCGGGGCTATTTTTCTTATGATGATGATGATGATGATGATGGGGGTTATGTTTAGTTGGTTTTACCACACACCTCTATATTTGCCTCTAAACATCGGTATGACCACACCAACACTACTGCAGATTCTATACACACACGAACAAACGGATAATAATTTGTCCCCGGCGGTTGTAGTCATTAGTCGTTTGTGTTTTTTTTTACTGTTCGTTATCCTTATTATTATTATTGTCGTTACTTGCTTGTTTGGGTAGCCAATTAGTTTTTTTTCTGGGGAATTATAAATTGTTTTCATTTTCATTGTCCCAATTTTTTTTTTGTTCGCTGTCAATTTTATGAAATAAAAAGAGCTAAACCACCACCAGCAGGCAAAAAAAAAAAAAACAATCGACAATCGGAAAATGTCAATTGACAAAAACAACAACAACAACAACGACATAGGAATTGAATTTTGAATTGGAAATTTGCAAAAACACTGACTGACTGACTGACTTTTCCAATTTTCTTTTTTTTTTTTTTTTGTTTTGTTTGTTTGTTTCTGGATCAGACCAAACCAAAAACAAATCGAACATGTACACACACACACAACACATTCATGAATTTCATTTTCTGTTTTTATTATTCTGGCTACTCTTTTTTTTGGATTTTCTATTCTATATTCTACCGACCAACCAACCAACCAACCAACGACAATAGGATTTCAGAAGGGGATCAATAATTACTCTCTTGACGCGCGAACGTTGCACCATATACACACACACACACATACACACAGAATTGGTCTGAGAATCGAGAATAAAAATCTTTTTCACTACCAATGAGAGGCTAATTCTCTCTTTTTTAATCTTAACTAAAAACTAAACTCGGAAATAATGAATTCTTCTTTTTCGAATTTGGGTATATAATAAAATGAATTTGAGCTAATTTTTTTTTTGTTCTAGAAATTCCAGAAAAAAAAACAAATTCTCTCGACACACACACACAACACAAAATCCAATCCAAACGAATAAAATCTAATCACACACACACACAATCAGCATTGTTTTCGTTATTTTTTTTCAATTTCCTTTTTCATTTTCATTATTATCAAAAATTGTCTCCTCTCTCGCTCACTCTTTTCACAATACAAACTTGTGAATTATAAATGTGAAAACACCGTAGACAAAGAGAAAGAGAAATGAAATTTCAATTTTCACACACCCACCACCACACCAAACAATTTATTACATATGAAGTGTGTGGGTGGGTGGGATAATTGAGAATTTGAAAAGTGAGATTAAAGTTTGTGTGTGTGTTCAGGTGAAAATTTTTTCCACTCCATTTCGAATTGTATATTCTGTGTGTGTGTGTGTGTGTGTGGATGGGGGTGTTGGAGAAAAATGGGATTCTTTTTTAATCACATAATCTTTATTTGGTAAATGGATCAATTTTGTTATTGTTGTGAAGTGAGAAAAAAAAATGATGAGCAATATTTTCAACAACTTTTTTTCCGGCAAAAAAAAAAAAAAAAAATTCACACACAGACTGTTATCAATCCATTGGTTTTTGTTCTGTCGACCAGATGGGATTCGTTTCAGTATGATAGTCGTCTCTGAATGAATCAGAATCGTGCAACAAAAAAATTTTCAGAAAATTTCCAAGAAAAATTTAAAAAATTTTTATGAAAAATAACGAAATGTTTTTTTTCCACCGAGAACAATAATCTCAACATCAATAATAATTGGATGCAAGGGATCTTTCCCTTTCTCTGTGTGTGATTGTCAAGTTTTCTCCAGAGGTCAATTTTTTGTTGAAATTATTAATATTCTCCATTGAATAAATTGTGGATAACACACACGAAGGGAACATCAAAATATAATTTGAACCAAAAAAAAAAAAAAAAAGAATTGTCACGCATCAGAAATATATAAATATAAAAAAGAATAAATTTTCCGATAAACAACAACAACAACAACAACAACAACAGCGACAATAAAAATAAAATTGTCAAAGTTAAAAAAGACAAGTTGGCCAAAAAAAACCTAAGGGAAACAAAAATTGGGTCATCACTACTATCCAAACATGCCTACCTACCCACCCCAACCAACCAACAAAAAAAAACAAATCACTTGACTTAATGATTTCTTCTTTTCTCCACGATTCCAAACAAACAAAAAAAAAAAAATTTCAGATCATCATCATCAGTGAGCTAAATAAGTAATCAAAAAAAAGACACACACACACACACCCCAAAAGCCAAAGACGAAAACATCATTATGAAATTAATGATGAGAGATCTTTCGCGTTGTATAAAAAAAAACTTTGAAAACTTGGAACACACCACACCATTCATATATTTCATTTTAAAATTCTTTTTGAAATTGAATGAATTTTTTTTTTTTTCATTTTCACAAGAATTTCATTTCGTTTATTATTTCATTTAACAAAAAAAAAAAAATAGAAAGAGAAATGAATAACAAAAATTTTCATTCCTACTCACACTGCACTGTACTTTTAATTCTCTCTGTTTTTTTTCATCATCATCATCATCATCATTTGGTTGGTTAAAAGTTTTGTAGTTTTCTAAAAACAACAACAACAACAACGATGATGATGATGATGACGATGACGACCAATTGGGTCCCAAGAGTACTTTTTTTCATATTCTTTTTTTTGCACAATTCAATTGAGTTTGAAGTTTTTATACGGATCGTTTTTTTTTCTTGGCACCAAATTCGATGCCACCCTCCTAGTCCACACACTATTATTAGCATATACATACAGAAAAAACTAGGGGTATTTTTCTCTCTCTCTGCTGCTTCTGCTGTCGATGTTCATTTTGATTGAAATTCTGGAACTTTTTTTTTTCTTGGTACCCCCCAAAAACAAAACAAAACAAAACAAAAATTTGATTGTCTCTGAAGAAACAGAAAAAAAACGACAACAACTATAGTTATAATAATAATAACAATACTAATAACCAAGAATTGCCGAAAAAAAATTGCCATAAATGAGACGCCCACTCATTGAAGAAAAAATAGGAAAAATATGGTAATAAGAACCACTCTCACTAACTGTCTATATTTTATGAAAACAAAGAATATGAGAGAGCATTGTAGATAGATTAATCGAATCGATCCAAAATAAAAACAAACCAACACACCAAGATCCACAAAAAAAACTCAAACTACCAATTATTATCTAGGAACCGGATCTAGAATAGGGAAACAAAACAAAACAAAAAAAAATTTACAATTCACATCTCATTTCACATTTAGAATATTCTCTCAGAAGAAACTTTGGTATGTGAATCACACACACACACGCACTTACTTATTTTACAAAGACACGCAAATTTTTTTTTCTCCGTTATTCAAATCGAATATACAAATTTTTCTTACTCTACCCTACTAGAGGAATAATAATAATCTAACCTATGGAATATTCTTGCTTCTCTTTTTCTTCTTTCATCGGAATCAATTCAAAAAAAAAAATTGGAATTTTTTTTTTTCTTGTTTGCCAAGCACAAAACTAGAATTAGGAATAAAAATAGAAGGTCAAATGTGGCTTAGAGATATATTCTAGTCAAGAATGAATATCTGTTTTTTCTTGAAAATGGCACGCACATTCATACTTTTTCTCTCTCTCCAAGAATAAATTGTTCTTGAGAATATTCTCATTTTTTTGCATCCTTTCGTATGCGAAAAAAATTCAAATTTTTATACCACACACACACAATCAACCATTCAGAATATAAGAGAATAATAAAAAATGGTGGGCGTCAAAACAAAGTAAAAAAAACAATAAATGAATTGTGTACCGAGAGAATACACACACACACACACACAAAAGATAAATTAAACTCTCTTTTTCTTTCAAACAAAACAAAAGTGAAAATGTCGAAAAATTTACATACCTCAATCCATTTATCTTGACACATTTCGCTGCTGCATGTCGTTTTTTCTCCTCCTCCTCCTTCTTCTTGGCCTGATCTTGAACCAACACAAACACCAACCCCACCACCACCACCAGTACCGCTTTCTTTCGGGCAGATATTTATTGCCAAATCTTTTTTACCGCCACCACCACCACCACCATCATCCTTAGTGATCATTGCTTTGGCTGTTCGTTGTTGTTGTTTTCGTTGTACATCATCATCATCATCATCGACAGTCATTACAAATCGAAACAACAGAGAGAAAAAAAAATATCAGCGACTAAACTGAAAGGAAGGGGATATTATTTTTTCAAAGAAAAAAAACAAGAAAAAAAAAGATCTTCAAAAGGAATGGCAAAACAAAACAGAAAAAAAGTTTTCAAATCGAAAATAATAAGAAATTTTCAGAAAAACTTTTGTCAAGAATCGTTCTTAAATACACATACACACACACACACACTTACACAAACAATTTGATTGGTTAATTCAATTAAATTAATTAAAAAGTAAACACACAATACACACCCACACACCAATATTGTATTTAGAATCATTCTCAATTATTATACAGTATGTATAGTGAGAATTGTGACAAATCACGTGATTAAAAATGAAATAAAGAATTAAAGTAACACACACACACACACACACACACTTAAAAAAACCAATAAACAATTTCCAACACCAAAAAAAAATGATCCTCATATGGATCGATTCTTGAAAGATCAAGAGTCATCATGTGTGTGTGTGTGTGTGTGTGTGCACAATGTTTGCGTTTTGTTTGTTTGTATATCTTGTTTCATTGGTAATTAAAATGAAAACGAAAAAAATTTTTTTGGCTTTTTTTTCGATTCCTGGACATTTTCTCATTCAATTCTTCATGTGTGTGTGTGAATAGAATTGAGTAAACAAAACAAAACAAAAACGGGAGAATCTAGCTACCAAAAAAATGAAAAGAAAAAAATTCTTGGATTCATCATCATCATCATCATCGATCCACCTGGGTTTCACAATAATTGATATATCGAATCTAATCAATGAATGAATGAATTCATCATGAATCGAATGTTTTTCATTTTCATTTTCATGATTATTGGTCAATGACGAAATAATATTATTGGCCATTGAAAGATGATGATGACGACGACGATGATTATCATTTTTTTTCAAGTATTCATCTATCGAATTCACCATTTCAATTCAAGAGCTTTTTTTTCTCGTTCAATAATATCATCATCATTGATGTTGTTTGGTTGTTTTTGGATATCTATCTGAAAATCTAATAAAAACAACAATGTAGAATAATGGTCCATCTCTATTTGGTTTTTGTTTTCGGTAATACAAAACACACACACACACACACATGATTTTGTATTTCTGGAACAAAAAAAAATTGGATTCATATCAGGTTTATTTTTTTAAATAAAAAAAAAAAAAAAATGATATTGGTCATTACCATCACTATCAATGGCTATTTTCAATGATTGTAATCATCATGGTCATCATCAATGATCAATTCAAAGTATGAAAAAAAGGAGACAAAGAAGACAAAGCTTAACGTTTCTCGCTCTCTCTCTCTCTCTCTCTCTATATATATCCTATCCGGTCATATCTCTATCTATCAAGGGATTCCATGCACACACACATGATCCCCTTGATCATCATCATCATAGCCGTTTACGTTGTTTTAGGTTGTATATGGAGCCATAAAATAGGCGCACAAACACACACACACACATTTATATTATATGGGGATTCTTTAATAATAAAAAAAAAACAAATGATGATGATGATGATGATGAAATTGGATAATAAGAGAATAATATTACCCAATTTTTTTTTCGTGTGATTGTGATTACTATTGTGTAATCACAGCACATCATTTTTTTGTTGTTGTTGTTGTTGTTGTCTCTTGAAACGAGAAAAAAAAAAAAACAATATCGGTATTTAAGCCCATTTTGAAAATGAAAAGCACATCACTATCACTGTTTTCTATCTATCTATTTATTTTCACTGTGTGTGTGTGTGTGTGTGTGTGTGTACAACGAAAACAAACAGACAAATAGACACCGGGTATTATGCTCAAATATTCTTAATTCAAATGGAGAGATTTTTTTTCTCTATCTCTCTTTTGAATGAAATGAATGTTTGTGCGTAATAATAATAATAATGTGATTATTATAATTGAAAATGAAAATAAATGAAAAGAATTTTGTCAAAGAGAAAAATGGACACAGGCATAGAAAGAAGATGAAAAGAAGATGATGGAAAAAAAACATATGTGGTGATACACATATAACAAGGAATTTATATTAATGAAATGATGAATTTGTCATTCGATATAGAAATGAATGAAAGAGAAAAAAAAAATACGAATACAGTACCCATATGGTATCAATAACAACTAATTCGATCATTGATAATAATATTGGTCAGTCTATTTCATCATCATCATCATTATCATTCATTGTGATGATGATCATGATCATGATCGAATGTATCTGGATTATATAAAAAAATAGGGGTCCACTTTGTTTGTTGTCATTGTTTTTTTTTTGGATCCACACGTAAAACTTAAGGATCAATGATGATGATAAGGATGATGAGTGGAAAAGAATGTATTGTAATTTCGGCAACATACGCCCGTACCAAATTGAATGTGATTCGGATTTATCGGGCCATTTATCGATCCAATCTTTGTTCTTAAATATGTTCATGGGAAAAAAAACACAACGAACAAAAAAAAGTTGATCAATATTTCATTTGAGTGAATGAGATGATAACAGGACACATATGCTGATGATGATGATGATGATGGTGGTTGGATTCATTTCTAATGATAATCATGTATGATGTGAAAAGGAAATCCGGCATAGAAGAGGATTATTATTTAATGCAATGTTTCCGGTGCAATGATCGAACATTTTTCTATTTTTTTCCTATTTTGACATTGATTGCACAATTCATGTAGATGTAGCCGTCATCACCGAAGAAAAAAAAATAAATCATTCGAATCGTTTGATTTGTTTGATTGGCCGTGTATGATGACCGATTTGATCGATGCGTAGCTATCGATGTAATTGCCAACACGCTAAAACACCCTTAACATTTTTTTTTTTTTATTTAAAAATTTTTTTTTTCACATTTCAAAAATCATCTATGAAAATCAATTCAAATTTGATTTTGAATCATGGGAAGCTAAAGCCATTTTAGCGTGCTATCAATCACATCACATATCGATGAAAGCCAATTCTTTTTTTCGACCAATCAATCAACCAAACTATAGCGTTCCATTAATTAATGTTTATTTATCGTTGCCACACACCCACACGCACAATTCATCCCGGTGTTTGTCGACATGTTGATTGATCGGTGATCATCATGCAATTATCGATCAATTAGAAAAAGGTTTGTTGTTTTTTTTTGTAAAACGGAAATTTTTATTCATTATTTATTTATTATTTAGGTAATATTTGGACAAATAAATATATAGATAGATATAGATAGAATGGATTGATTGACTGTTATGTGGACAAGACAATTATGTTTAACAAATGGACCGATTTTTATATATATCAAACAATAATGTGTCAACAAACAAACAGAAAATGAAAGAAAACAAATGACACATCAATTTCAATTTTTTTTTGTTTAATTCTTCATCATCATTGATCATTGACAACACATGCTGCATGCAAACATATGGAAAAACGATTGTGATTTGATTTGAAATTTACAAATTTTTTTTTGTTTTGTTTTGTTTTATTTCGGTAATCATCACATCAACAAAATCAATCGAACAAACAATGGAAATTCAAAATAACAACAACAAAAAAAACATCGATTATTTTCAAGAATCGATTAATCGAATCAATTCGAACGTCGTATTATATCAGCATTATTATTATTGATGATTGATTATAGCTCGATTAGAATTATTTTATTGAAATAGAATGGTAAAATTGGAAGAATGTGTATGTGGTGGTAATGAAAATGAATTTTTTTTTTGGTTTTGGTTTTGGTTTATCAAACTAAATTAATTTTTTTTCTCTTATTTAGGTTTCAATCTCAACAATCAAACACAATGACACACATCATACATGATCATCATCAAATGAAAGAAAATACGGAACATATGTACAAAAAAAAGAAAAATTTGAAAAGAACAAAATCACCGAATAATAATTGAAACAAAAACAACAACAACAATAAAAAGAACTGTTAATAATCATCATCAATGACAAACAACAACAAGAGAATATATATAACAAATGAAATGTTCATGGTTTACGATGATTATCCATGGTCATCATCTTTTGTTTATTTATTTATTTGTTCATTTTACAGATTTGATTATCATTGTTTATTGTTTTTTGTATATATGTGATCATCTATTATTTCTATGATGATGATGTGAATGGATTGTATTTTGATTGTGGTGGTGTTATTGGCTCATTGTATTGTTGTTTGTTGTTGTTGCTGCTGTTGATATTGTTGATTTTGTCCAGACATTGTCATCATCATATTACGGTTCATTTCATTTGTTGAAGAATAATTGTTATTGTTAAATGTAACATAAGAAGATTGCTGTTGTTGTCGTTGTTGTTGTTGTTGTTGTTGTGATTGTCCAGTCATTATTAAACGTTGTCCCGATTGTTGTCCATATGGTCGTTGTGACGGTATCGTCTGTTCAGTCATACCAATATTTTCCGGTTCAAATTGTTCATAATCATAAACATGACGTAATGAAGCCAATACTGGTACATATAATAGATTGGATAATGCAATACAAACATTTAATGCAGTGAAACCAATCGATTCAACGATTGAACCAGCAATAATTGGACCAATTGCATATGCAACTGAATAGCTTATATCGGCAATAGCATATATTGAACCATAAACTGAAACATAACGTAAATCGACTAAATAACCAAGTGCAGGCAATAATGATGTATCGACCAATGCTATACCATAACAGATACCGGATATTGGTAATATTAGAAACCAGAATGATTTTGAGAATGGTAATATAAAACTACAGATGCCTTCAAGGGCAAGGCCGAATGCGGCAAAAAACCATTGATAACGTGGATATTTTTCCACTAATGTAACGGTTGAATAGACGCCCAATACATGTGGAAAAAATGCTGGTAACCATACTAGACCCATTTGCCATTCTTCAACATGCATCGTATCTTCCATCCACAATGATATTGTTGGTTCAAGAAATGCTAATGATACATTTGCCATAATTAATGCACCGGCACAACAACAAATATATGGATCCATAAGTAATGTATGTATGGGTGTACCGGCCGGTTTTTCTACTGATGAACATTCTTGTTGTATTTCTTTGGTCGGTTGCATCACAAATTTCAATAGAAATGCATCAATCAAACATACTAATGATAATATGATGAATGGTACTTCTTTACCAGCAATCTGATAAAGAATACCACCAAATGGTGGTGCTACTAAACTACCGAACGATATGAATGCCAACGCTATAGCCAATGCACGTTGTCGTTCATTTTCTTCCGTAAAACGATCAGCAATCATAGCCAAACCAGATGTATCGGCAAATGCTGAACCAACACCTTGTAATGATCGTGCCAAAAATAATACACCATAACTTTGGCCACAAGCGAACACAGCGGTCGAAAAGAACATAACACCAAGACCGATCATCATCGGTATATCATAACCGATACGATCGATTATAGCACCAGAGAATGGATTGACAAATAATTGGACTATTGCTTTCGATGCAAACAACATACCGACGGCTGAATCTTCACCTTCATAAACTGTAGTACCACCAATACGAAATGGAACGAATTTATTCGATATATTACGATATTCAATTTCGGCATTTTCTACATGTGTTTCCCATGCACCAATCTCTCGTAGATAATCCGGTATAATCGGTACAATAACCATATAAAGCATATTGTCCAATAATAATGCCACACATACTATAAACAATATAATACGACGTTGACTTTTTGGTTCTTCGATTTTTTCGTTGAAACGTTTCCATAATTCTTCCGTATCCTGATTAATAATCGGTATGAAAGGCATGATGAAGATGAATTTGAATTTGTGATGAACGAATTAATCGATAGTAATGATGATGATGATGATGATGATGATTTGTTCGAATTTTTTGTTTTTATATTTATTGCCCGTTGTCGTCGATAATTCCAAGTGCAAACATAAATCCACCACCAATAATACACAACACAATACACACACACAATTACCACCAAAATAGCACACGCAAACACACACACAATTATAATTAATTAATCAATCAATGATCAATAATCATCAGCACAATAATAAATAATCCAATTATTATTCAATATATATGGGGAAAACCATCGATCGTAAATATTTTTTTTCTCCAATAAATATGATTACATTTTGCCATCAACAACAACAATAACAACAAAAATGAATCATTTCCATCTTATTCAATTGGGTGTGCTTTAAAGACGTGTGTGTGTATGTGGTGTGTGTGTGTGTGGGCGTTTATTGAGAACGAGATGAACGAATTTGATTTTGAATCGAAAATAGCGCCCTGAAATTTAGAAAAAAAAAAGAAAAAAAAAAAATTTTTTTTAGTCGCACAGCTTTGAATTTTGAATTTATAAAAAAAACGTAGGCGGTAAACGCCCACAACAACAACAACACACGGGCAAACGCCAATTGAATAAGTGATATGGAAATTTTTTTTTTCATTTTATTTTGGGATTCGATCGATTTGACCAAAAAAAAAAAAAAAAAAATGAATGAATGAATGATTATTCTGTATTCTGTATTCTGTTTTCGCTGTGCTGTGTTTATAATGTCAAAAATTTCAGAATAAATAATTTCTCAATTTTTTTTTATCATTCATCATGTGTATATCAAAAATTATGATTAGATTATCGTTATGATAATATTTTTGCATTGCAAATTTCAATTTTTCATCATCATCATCATCATCATCATCATCATCATTGAATCGAATCGACATTTTTTTTTTTACTCCTGAATGAAAAATAACCCTTAAGGCCATTTCTATTCTATTCTATCGTATCCAACAACCAACAACAACACACAAGATGACTTTGGTTGAATGAATTCAATAGAAATTTTTATCATAATCATCATGAATGATGGAAATATATATGGCCCAAAGCAAAAAAAAAAAAAAAAATGGGAACAAAGAACTAAATTTTTTTTTTTTTTTTCGTAAATGTCAAATACATGCAGAGCAACCATTCGATTCACTATTTTTGATCAAATTCAAAGAAATGATGATGATTATTTTTTTTTCTATAGGATGATGAAGAAAAAACGGAACGAAATTTAAATTCAACAGAAAATAAAAACCAAACGTGTATCATTGATGATTATATTTTTTCTTTTTGCTGACAAATGTCCGAAAAAGAAAACAGAAATGGTATGTAAAGAAAAAATTCACCAAACACACACACACACACACACACACACACACACACACACACATTAACTATACACAAAAACTGTTCATAGGAAACAAGGGAAAAAATTTTTTTTTTTTTGTTTGTCCATATCAATTATTTATTACATCACGCGCCAAATACGCGTCGTCAAAAAAAAAAAAAAAAAACACCAATAATAACCAAAAGTAATAATGATGGTGTTGTATATTTGGTGGGTGTTGGAAATGTAATTTTGTATCACACACACACACACACACACTCAATAATTCTTTTGAGCACGTCTTTTGGCTGCTGATGCTATTGGTTTGGAACCACATTTACGTTTCGTTTTTGAAATTCACTTTATGATGATCAAATGAAAATGAAAAAAAACTACCAACTATAACTACATCTATATCATTTTCATGATCATCATCAATCCAATTAGCTAAAAAGCAAAAATATATGATGGTAGTTTGTTTTCAATTTGAAAATTTATTCTTTTTCATCATTTCAAACGTGTAAATTGTTTAAATGTTCCGGATATTGGTCAAAATATACGAACATCATTTATGAACGTATACGAGTAGTTTGAATTTGAATTCGAATGTTATGTTCTTGTAAATTATTGTTCCAATGAACAATAATAATATTTTCGATTGAATCTACAAAACGGAAATTGTTCGTTGTTTCAATGATAATTAAATAAGTGGACGCACACACACACACACACAATTTACTAAATACAACACAAAACAACAGCCAATTTCAGATATTTTGGGTAAAAAAAAAAACTGGTGAGTAGATTACCCATGATACGATTGCCTAACAAAACAAATTTTTCTTTTCTTCCTTTCTTTGGCTGTCGTCGAATCAAATTCACTCCTACAAACTACGCGTATAGCATCATCATCATCATCATCATCATCATCATCATCATCATCATGAACATCCATAACATTGAATTGAAATCAAGCATAACAGTAAAGAAAATAAGCAAACCAAATGAATTCTTCATCCACTCACACTCTCATTCTAACCTAGTACGTGACCAGAGTGATAAAAACAAATTTCATTCATTCATTCATTTCTATTTCATTTTCAGTATTCTATTTTGTTCATTCTATTTTTGATCACACATCACCATCAGCCATCAACAACTACAACAACAACAACAATGATGCTGATGATGATGATGATGGGTGATCCTAGAACATTGGCGTCTTTCGTTTTTCAACATACAAATTATAAAGGTTAGAGTACGTGAGATTCGTCTCTATTTTTCGTTCTCTTTCATTTATTTATTTATTTATTTATATCATCATTTCATACTGAGAGAGAGATACACAGAGAATCTTTTTTTTTTGTTGCATTTTCACATATTCTAGCATCAGTTTCAATAACAATGATAACTATGGTAAGCTAATATTTTTTTTTCTTTCATTCGAATATACATGTTATATGATGGTATAGATTCAAATTTCGTGACAAATCTATTATTTTCATTCAGGAATATTTAGCCATCAAAATGACTAATGTTACTAGCAAAACAACAACAACAAATTCCTATTCCTAAAATATGATGTGCTATGTGGTGAATGTCGATTCTGTTTTTTTTATTCCTATACATTTCCTATTGGTGTGTGTGTGTGTGTTTGTTTTGTTTAACTTTTCAATTTTTATCTAATGAAGAAAAAGAATCTCCAAAAAGAATTTGTTTTTTTTCTTCTTTTTCAACAAAAAAAAATTCAATAAACAATCAAAATGAGAAAAAACACAACACACAGGGGGGAGGGGAAGATTTGGCGATTTTTGAGAAAACAGAATTCTGATAAAAAAAGAAAAATTTACATACCTGATGTGTTTTAATAATAGAGTGAATAAGCTCAATATATGGATGAAAATTTTGATCGATAATATTGAATCATCATATTAATGGTCGATTTGAACATAACGAACCAAACACATTTGAAACACAATTGAAAATAATTTTGTTCGATAATTTCAACAACAACAACAACAAAATCAAATATGATTTATCAATCAAAAATAACAACAACATAAATAAAATATGAATGGCACTTGAATTTTCTTCTTTTTTTTATTGCACTACATTGATTAATTGATTGATTGATTGATTGATCGGACAGAAACAATATGACAAAATGATGATTAAATGGCCGGGACAATAAATTATCGTTGATTAATAGATAGACAGATAGATAGAGCTGTTGATCATTAATGATTTGGGTGGTGGTGGTGGTCAGATTTTTTTCACATTTTTTTTGTTGGTGTGGTGGTGGACAGGTGTTGCTATTTTGAATTTCAAAAAAAAAAAAAAAGATAATAAAGGATTATTAGTTTGAGAGTGGTGGTGAAAAAAAAATAAAACAAATGAAAAATCAATATCGATAATAATTACCCAGAGGTTTTTTTTTCGTTATTATCCGTATCCGTTTAGATGATGGTGTTAGTCGGTGACAACCATCACAGTATGGCAGCCAAAATCATACTATTTTTATTCGTCGTTGATAATGACTATGATGATGATGATGATGATGATGATGATGGGTAGTCTGACATACACACTCACCACCTCTCTCTCTCTCATTTTTTTATTCGGTTTGATTTCATCGTTATTGCGGCGGACTTTTTTTTTTCTACAGCAATCTACAAAAAAAAACCTAAAGTGGGCGCGAATTCATATCATCATCATACAAAAACACTGGTTAAATGAAAAACAGGAGGTGCTTAAAAACACACACGAAGAAGAAAAAAAACCCATCACCATCACCATCACCATCATATCATTGATGCCTATATACATACCATGAAGATGGCGCCGACTCATAAAAATTCAATAATGATCATGTGTGTGTATACGCCTTTTTTTCAGTATTTCATAAATGGCTCCTATGAATCATTTTTTTTGATGGTAGCCATTCCCACCCAGACAATGATGAAATTATCCAATCACAATCAAGTCATTTTTCTATATTCATTTCAAACCAAACACACAAATCATAAGTTAATAATATATATGCCATGTGTGTATATGGCGTGTTGAAAATATTTTAACCAGAAAAAAAATCGAACGATTCTATATAGAAGTATTTCGAACACTTTGCTTTCATCATCATCATCATCATTATATAGAATGTCGAATGTCGATGATATTTTTGTTTTGTTTTCTGAAAAAAAGAATATGAAAAAAATTTTTTTTTTTCACGGTACATGGTTTGAAACACACACACACCCACACCCACCAACTGACATTTGATTCGGCGACCATTGTTATTGTTGTTGTTGTTGTTTTTTTCATTTTGAAAGAAGTGACGGCGGCGGTGATGGTGGTGGTGGTGGTGGTGAGGGGTAAAGATTGTGAATTTGTTTGGCGAAAATGGCATGATGATGATGATGATGGTTTTTTTTCACATTTCATTTCATTTTCTTATTGTTTTTGGTTTTTCAAGTGAAGAGAGAGAAAAGAAAAGAAAAAAATTTTCAATTCATTTCATAAAGTGTGTGTCTGTTTGTCGATGGCAAACACAACACACACACACACACACACATTTCATTTTGAAACGATTATTAAATTTTCAACGTTCTTTCGAAACTTTTATAACTAAATTTTCAAAACAACAACATGAACAACAACAACGTTAGAATTATGACTTACTTTTCTTTTCATATCATCATCATCATCATTATTATTACACTATCGATAATATCGATTCTCATCTCATACAAACCCAAGTTACAGTTGTAGTTGTTTTCGATTGAATATATTATCTCGTTGAAAAAACAAAACAAAAAAAAATGCTGAAATAAGCAAGAACAGAAAAAATGGATCGATTCGAATTCTTTTTTTTTTTTTTTTTGCTTCGATTCATGTTCAAATGTTTTAACCTGTCTATTCTTGTCATGTCTTTCTTTGTAGTTGTTGTTGTTGTTGTTGTTGTTATTCTTAATTCTCTCCATTAAATTGTTGGCCACACAGAATTATTTTCTATTTTTTTTCTACTCTTAAATGATGATGGTAATGATGAATCATTTATCATTAAAAACAAATGTTTTTTTCTCCAAAAAAAAAAAATGATGATGATGATGATTCTGACAGGGCGGTGGGTGGGTGTTGGTGGTTTTTTTTCAATTCTTGTGTTTGATGATGATGAGAAGAAATGACAAGCTTATTATATGAATGAATCATGGTCGATTGGTTAGTTGGCTGTGGTGTGGTGTTGATCCATATATTTTTTTTCCCAAAGAATAGTTTTCGATTCTATGGTATTCTATCAAATAAATGTCATCATCATCATCATCATCATCATCGTCATAATACCAGCTTGAACATATGACAAAATAGGGCTTATGATCAAAAAAAAAAAATTTTTTTTTTCGTTGATCGGTCGATTACAGTTTCATTACAGCTCTAATCGATCAATAGTTTTGATGATGGTAGTGTGGTGGTGGTGGTGGTGGTGGTGATGGTGGCAAGAAACTATTCAAAATCGAACAGATAAATGTTGTCAATTGTGTCAATTTCGGTTGCGAAACTTTTTTGAAAATGAATAAGTGAACAAAAACTGTTACAGAAGAAAAAAAATGTTTTTTGATGATCATAATGAAGCAGAAGTGAGAAGTGTGTGTGTGTGTGTATTTAACCATATAAATGGAATTGTCGAAAGAAATTATCGGGTACAAATCGAATGATTTATTTTTTTCCCCATTGTTTCTGGCACGAGAAATATATGTACACACACACAATGTTTATGTATGAATGCGGGGGGGTATTTATGACAAAGAGATGAGATGATGATGAAAGAAAATTTTTTTTTTGTATTGTTGTACAATACACGCAATTGGAAAAAAAACCAGGTGTTATGAATCTCATCATCATCATCATCTATCAAATTCAAATTGAGATTGTTCGATATAATTTTTTTTTTTTTTCATTTTTAGCTAATGTGCTGCCATCTCTATTTTGTGTCTACAGTTATTATTTTTTTGATCAAAAATACAATAATACAAGTTGTCGCCATCTATTATTGAATCCATATATTAAAATTAGATTAGAATTTTTCAATTTTTACGATTTATGATTTATAATTTTAATATAAAAATAAAATGAAAAGCATCATAAAGAGATAGATTCATCAGATTAAAATGATTCAAAATAAATGAAAAAAGTATAAGTATGATTTTAAATGATCATCAAAAAATTGTTTTCGTACAATGAAAATGAAATCAATTAAGAAAGATAAACACGTAAATGGCCATCGATATTTTTTCGACAGATTGGACAATCATCAATTTGTGTTGAACATTGTGAACAAGAAGTTAGATGACAACAGGGAAAAAAAACAATCTGTCTTTCTCTATCCAAACATATTGAACATAGTGAACGATCATTATTATTATTGATGGATATGTTTTTACTTGTCGTTGCTGCTGCTGGTGATGTTGATGTTGATGTTGTTGGCACAGTTGATCCATTTGTTCCATTCGATTGTTGTAATTGTGTATTATTCAAAAAAGTTGGAATGAATGAATGTGGAGTTTGTGTGAAATCTTGATATACATCATCGAATGTTTTTAATACCTTAAAATTAAGTTTTGGTTCACTATAATTATGAAGATTTTTACGCCCAAGAACATAGGATTCACCGTTTGATTTGAAAAATATGGCAAAATTGCCAAATTTTTCACAAGCAATGGCCTCAATGTTAGTGATCGAAATTTTTCTTTTAATCACAGTAAATACTTCACGACCACCAACATGACCGAATTGATGAACATTACCAGTGCCCATTAAAAACCATATATTACTGGCACCAGCAACGATATTAACGACTCGACCATCATAGTTAAACATTTTTGCAGGAGCAAATTGAATCCGAACATTTTCTATACCCAATTGTCCACAATTATTCAAACCCCATGAATAGGCTTCATCACTTGTTATAGCTATGGAAAAATTAGAACCACAAGCGATTCTTTCCACATGTGACAAGCCAGTATCAATCATATGTATAAATGATGAATAAATGTCGTTTCGACCCAATTGACCAAAACGATTATCACCCATGGTGAATAATTTACCATCTTCACGTAATAATAAGATATGATTTAAGCCACAGCTAATCATACGATAATTTTGATTAGATATCCATTGCAATTGTCGGTAAGTTCTCCATTCTTCCGATTTACGGCTAGCCATACATACGGATCCATTTGCGGTCAATACAACAAAAAATTTATCGCCATAATCGACCTGTTTTAGTTCTGTATATCTCAATTCTAAAATTTCGTTTACAAGTGAATTTTCGTGTGGTAAACCAAGCCATGCACATACTTGCGGTCCATAAACAAATGTACGCCAATTTTTAGTGATTATTATAAATGAATCATTCAAATGCAAAAAGATCACATAACGTACTGATTGACGAAAATTTCGATTCGTTAATCTATCGAATAGTTTTCGATTCCATTGATCCAATGATGATGAATAATATTTCGAAATTCTTGATTGTCGAACATCCATTTTTCAATAATTCAATAATTTTATTTAATTAAATTGTTACCATAAAACGAGACTCATTTGCTGACTATGTTTAGAAAAGTACACTCATAGAAAAAAAAACAAAAACAAAACACAAACACCATCTAGAAGCAGTGATTGTAACTTTTTAAAAAAAGAATTTTCATTTTATTTGAATGATGATGATGATTATAATACTCATTAAATGAATAAGAAAATTTTGAAAATTCAAAGATTAGAAAATTTTTTCTAATTTCAAAGACAAAGAATCCAATTTCATCAAAATGTAAACATATCAAGCAAGATAAACACGCAAACTGGTGTTGATATCAATTCGACATATTGGACAATTTTTCATCTGTATTGAGCATTGTTCACATGAAGTTAGATGACAACAGGGAAAAAAAACAATCTGTCTTTCTCTATCCAAACATATTGAACATAGTGAACGGTCATTATTATTATTGGTGGATATGTTTTTTCTTGTCACTGCTGATGCTGTGTTGATGTTGATGTTGTTGGTACATTTGATCCATTTGTTCCATTCGATTTTTGTAATTGTGAATTATTCAAAAAAGATGGAATGAATGAATGTGGAGTTTGTGAGACATCTTGAAATATATGTCGTCGAACATCATCAAATGTTTTTAATCCATTAAAATGGTCATCATTATTCCTGGAAATGCTTGTCGTTGGTGTTTTTGCTATTGCTGATACTGCCAATCCACTCAGGTGCAATTGTCTCATATTCAAACATATTGAACGTAATAAACGGTCATTATTATTATTGGTGGATATGTTTCCTCTTGTCGCTGCTGCTGCTGCTGTTGACGTTGATGTTGTTGGCACAGTTGATCCATTTGTTCGATTCGATTGTTGTTGTAATTGTGGACTATTTAAAAAGGTTGGAATGAATGAATGTAGATTTTGTTTGACATATTGAAATACATCATCAAATGTTTTGAATCCTAAATATTGTGTTGGTTCATGAAAATTAAGAAGAACATAGGATTCAGCGTTTGACTTGAAAAATATGGCCAAATTTTCGAATTTTTTACAGGCAATGGCCTCAATGTTATGGATCTGCATTCGTTCAGGGAAAATCTTGTTGTATGGAAAACAATTAGAATTCCCACATTCATAAACGTTTCCATTGTCAAATAGAAACATTGTATATGTGTCACCAGCAACGATATCAACAATTTGATGTCCATCAGTGTCTCTATTGAATCTGATTTTTTTAGGCGTATTTTGCTGGTAAACATGATTGATACCTAATTGTCCGCATTCATTTTCACCCCAAGAATACACTCCATTATCTGTCATGGCTATGGAAAAATCAGAACCACAAGCGATTCTTTTCACATGTGACAAGCCAGTATCAATCATATAGGTAAATGATGATGATGAATCATTGTTACGACCCAATTGACCAAAAGAATTATCGCCCATGGTAAATAATTTACCATCTTCACGCAATAATAAGATATGTTCAAAGCCACAACTAATCATACGATAACTTTCAATAGATATCAATTTCAATTGTCGATCAGTTCTCCAATCGGAAAATTTACGGCTAGCCATATATACGTATCCATCTGCGGTCAATACAACAAAAAATTTATTTCCATAATCGACCTGCTTTAGTTCTGTATATCTCAATTCTTCAATTTCGTTCACACTTGAATATTGGTGTGCTAAACCAAGCCATGCACATACTTGCGGTCCATAAACAAATGTGCGCCAATTTTTTGTGATTATTATAAATGAATCATTCAAATCCATAAAGATCACATAACGTACTGATTGACGAAAATTTCGATCCGTTAATCTATCGAATAGTCTTTCATTCCATCGATCAAATGATGATGAATAATATTTCGAAATTCTTGATTGTCGATAATCCATTTTTTGACAAATTTTATTTAATTAAATTGTTACAAGAAAAAAAAGACTCTTGTGCAACGTTGTTGAACACTCATATAGGAAAAACGAAAAACAAAACACAAACACTGCAGCCTAATTTCCTGTAACGTTCATATAGAAATCCGTTTTTCTATCATCTCCCGAGTAAATTTTCAATCATCTTTTTGTTCCAAACACCATCTAGGAGCAGTGATTGTAACTTTAAAAAAAAGAATTTTCATTTTATTTGAATGATGATGATGATGATAATACTCATTAATGAATAAGAAAATTTTTCTAATTTCAAAGACAAAGAATTCAATTTCACTGAAATGTAAACACATATTAAGCAATATAAACACGCAAACTGCTATTGATATCAATTCGACATATTGGACAGTTTTTCATCTGTTTTGAGCATTGTTCACATGAAGTTAGATGAAGACAAGGAAAAATGACCATCTGTTTTTCTCTATCCAAACATATTGAACATAGTGAACGGTCATTATTCCTGGAAATGCTTGTCGTTGGTGTTTTTGCTATTACTGATACTGCCAATCCAGTCATGTGCAATTGTCGTGGTGAAATATTCAAAAAAGCTGGAATGAATGAATATGGTTTTGTTTCGTATCTTTCAAATGCATCACTGAATGTTTTTACTCCATGGATCTCTGTTGGTACAATAAACTTCGATGAATATTTACGTCCAAGAACATAGCATTGATCGTTTGTTCCGAAAAGTATTGCAAAATCAGCAAATTTTTCACAAGCAATGGCATCAATGTTATTGATATGCATTCGTTTAGGGAAAGTCTTGTTCTTTAGAAAACAATCAGGATTTCCACATTCATAAACGTCACCATTGTCAAATAGAAACATTGTATGTGAGTCACCAGTAACGATATCAACAATTTCATGTTCATAAATGTTTCTATTAAATCTGATTTTTTTAGGGGTATTTTGTTTTGACTCGCTATTGATGCCCAATTGTCCATAATCATTTGCGCCCCAAGAATACACTCCATTATCTGTCATGGCTATGGAAAAATTAGAACCACAAGCGATTCTCTCCACATCTGACAAGCCAGTATCAATCATAGAGGTAAATGATGATGATGAATCATTGTTACGACCCAATTGACCCAAAGAATTATCACCCATGGTGAATAATTTACCATCTTCACGTAATAATAAGATATGGTCATAACCACATACACAGCTAATCATACGATAATTTTCATCCAAATCATATAACGGTTTCAATTGTCGGTAAGTTTTCCAATCGGAGAATTTACGACTAGCCATATATACGGATCCATCTTCGGTCAATACAACAAAAAATTTATATCCATAATCGACCTGCTTTAGTTCTGTATATCTCAATTCTTCAATTTCGTTCACATCTGAACTGTCGTGTTCTAAACCAAGCCATGAACATACTTGTGGTCCATAAACATATGTACGCCAATTTTTTGTGATTATTATAAATGAATCATTCAAATCCATAAAGATCACATAACGTACTGATTGACGAAAATTTCGATTCGTTAATCTATCGAATAGTCTTCGATTCCATTGATCCAATGATGATGAATAATATTTCGCAATTCTTGATTGTCGATCATCCATTTTTCAATAATTCTAAATAATAAAATCAATTTCAAATAATCAAATGCTGTGCAAACAAAACAAAACAAAAAAAAACACAAACCAAGTTGTTACCAGAACAAAACGAGACTTATTTGCAGATTTCAACTCAATCAAGATCAGACATTCATTGACCAGTGTTAAACATGGGTGTTCAAGGGTTTATAAATTGCAAAAAAAAAAAAAAAAAAATACCACGTGAACACAAAGTCTAAAATTTCGAACAAATTTTCGAACATAAAACGATCATCATGAATCAAACAAGATTGACAGTTACGCCACACAACGGTGATCACATGTTCATAAAAGTGTTTTTCATTTTCAAATTTCGAATTGAATTTATTTCTATATTCATTTATCAAATTTTCATTTAAAATATACACATGTTTTATAATAATTTTTTTTGTACATGATGAGAAAAAAAATTACAAAAATAAACAATAAAAAAAATCAAACAAGTGAAAAAAAAATCATTATGTTCGTTGATAGGTTAACAATTTGGCCAGATTAATCAAACCGAATCGATTTTCTTTTTTACTACTACCATTATTATTATTATTATTATTTACATGACCATTGATATTATAATGACCATTTAATGATGATGATTTTTCATGTAGACTTAATTTATTTCTTAACTGTTCTTCGATTAGGATTTCCATGTCAACCTGGAATTTACAATTATAAAAAAAAAGAGATCAAAAAAAGAAATTCAATCATGCTGAAGAACTATTTCATATGTATAAGAGACATACCTGCCATTGTTCAAGCTGTTGTGATAATTCAATTTTTTGTTGAATCGTTTCCAATAGTTGACTATTTACATGCATCAATTCGATTCGTATTTTGGCCAATTCAATTTCGACTAAATTCTTACGGGAAATAGTTTCATCACGCATTTTTAAAGCTCGTTTAACAATTTCATCTTGTGATTGATTATCTGCTTGTCTATCCTGTTCAAAAGCTGCTAATCGTTCACGTGCAGCAATCAATTCAACATCATTCATCGTCACTGTTGATGATAGTTGAAGAATTTCAGCTTTTAATTTACCAATTTCTTCTTTATCTTGTTGTGTTGTTTTATGTAATCTTTCTAATTCCATTCTTTCAATACGAAATTGTTGACAAAATGAACATTGTGACTAAATTTAATTGAAAAAAAACACGAGATTTGAATAGAAAAAAAATCAAAAAATCCTTATTGTCATACCATGTAATCAAAATTTTTAATGAGGTCCTGTATATCACAAACAATCATATTCAAATCATCGATAAGGCCAATGTTTGTTTGAATACCACTATCATGATTATGATCTACACTACGTGCTGTAGGCGATGATTCACCATTCGTTGATGATGATGATGATGAAGATGTTGTATTTGAATCGGACATAATATCTATAGTTCCATTTATCATGGTAGATGTATTTTGTTCCTGTTGTTTTTGTTGTTGTTCACTTTGGTGTTGACGTTTATAGAGATCATCATAGATTTGTTTAAGTTTTTGATATAAATCACTAATTTCTTGTTTATTCTATACAGAAATTGAAAAAAAAACATTGGACTAAGGAAAAATTCAACTAAAAATAATGCATACATACTTTAAAACATCGATTACAACGGCTATCGATTGGAAACATGTCAATATCATCGGTATCGGATAGATATCCACCACCAACATTTTGATGATTATGATTTGATGAATGATGATGATGGTGATTATGATGATGATGATGATTATTATTGTGATGATCATCACCAGATGATTGTGATGAAATTTCAATTTCATTATATAATGATGATATTTGTTGTGTACCGATATCAAATGTACGCAACTTCATTAATGAATCAATACGATTCTGATAATGAATCATTGTACGTCGTAAATCTTCGAGATCTTTTTGTTGATTTTGTAAATTTAATTCTTTATCTTGTAATTGTTTTTCCAATGCCATTATACGATATTGTGATTCATCCAATGTAATTGATATGGACATTTTTTCCTCATTCAATGATGATATTTTATTCTCTAATTCACGTTTACGATTTGTAAGTAAATTTATTTCATCACGCAATCCTTCTAACTGGCCAAGATGATCACTAAAATTGATACGTCGTGCACTGAATTGTTCTTTCAATGATTGAATTTCTTTTTCCAACATTGATTCTCGATTCGTTGTCTATAGAAATAAATATGAAGAATGAAAAAAAAATTAACAACAACAAAAAATAAAAATCTCACAAATCTTCACAACAAACAAACCTCTTTCAATTCAGTGGTTAGCCTTCGATTCTGTTCACTTAATTCAGCAATCATACGATTTGTTTCCAATTCTGATTGTTTACTAATATCAACATGTGTACGAAGATTTTCATTCGCCGTTTCCAGATCACTATGTAGATCATGTAATTTATTTTCATATTCAATTTCAATTGAATTTAATTTTTTTCTTAATGCATATTTTTCCTGTTCCAATAGCTTTACGTAGTGGAAAAATAATTTGGAAAAAAAAAAAAAAAAAGAAATAGAAACATTAAAACAAATTTTGATTGTGATTTTTTTTTGTTGCCAGCACACACAATAAAAATATTCAACATTCAATCAATTGATTGATCAAGATTGGAATTTGAAAACAAAACGAAACAAAAAAAAAAAAATACCGAAAAACACATGGAAAACAATACATGATCATCATCACGAAATGACAAAGTGTGAAAATTTGAATTCAATTGCAATATAATAATAATGAAATGATGATGATGATGATTATAATTAATGATTAGATTCATAGATTTGATCATGAATCATCATCATCATCATTATTATTAGAAAAAAAAAATTTTTCTCTCTGTGTGCATTGTTAACAATTCATGATGGTGGTGGTGGTGGCGGTGGTCACGATTGATGACAATAATAATGAATAATAATGAACAAATGTATGTCGCATGGAAATTTTGTTTTTTTTTTTGTTTTGGAAAAGAATCAAAACTTGCCATCCATCCATCCATCCATCCATCCATTCATCGATCAATCAATCAATCAATCAATCAAGTTTGAATCTATCTATAAAAAAAAAAACAACTAATAGTCATCGTTGTCGATTTTTTTTTGTTAATTTTAAAAATTTGAAAATTAAAATCCCAACAACAACAACAACAACCAGATAAAACAATGAAAATGATGAAATTGTAATGAATTGTTGTTATTATTTGACAAACAAACAATTTTCTATCTATTTATTTTTTTCTTATCAGTTATACAGAACTGTTAAAAATTTTCATTGAGTTTTTCGATAATAATTATCGCCATATGCGAAATACACACACACTAATGATCATCTTGATGATGATGATCGAAACATTGAATGAATGAATGAATGAATGAAAACCCAATGAATTATCCTTGAGTTGATCAATCTTTTTTTCGTCGTCGTCGTTGTTGTTATTGTTGCTGTTCACTATAAGTCGTAAATGATCACATTTTTTTTCTTGGCGACTGTTATTCATCATTCATTCGTTTATTTTAATGAATGATTATTAACTCGAAAATGGTTCAAATCATCACTATATCAATGGTTATTATAATTTATTTTTTTTCTAAAAAAAGAGACGAAAAAAAACTCATCTCAATGATTATGATGATGATGATGATCAATTTGAATCTCAACTTGAAAAAGTGGAATGAGAGAAAAAAAATTGGGTGAAAATGATAACCATTTAAATCATCATCATTGTCATCAACAATAACTAACTCATTACCATTATTATTAGAAAATATACAAAAATGACAAAAAAAAACTGATCAATCAATCAATCAATAAAATGAGCACATTCAACAGGTGAAAAAAAATTGTTCTATTGTCAAGTGACAAACAAAAATAGATGCTATTCTTGGCGGTTTGTATTTTTGGAACCAACCAAAAAAAAAAAAAATGAATGAATGAATGAATGAATATCCGGTACAATGAGAACCAAACAATGAATGAATGAATGAAAAAAAAATCAAATTTCATTTAAATAATGTCGAAACATTTTTCCTATAAATAAATGTTATTCAAAATGGTCAAAAATAGTCATCATTCAATAAAATCATTTTTGATGACAAATAATAATAATGATGGCCATCATCAAATAATACCACGTGATGCATCATGTCATCATTAAATGGTCATCATCATGTTTGTGAGAGAGAGAGAAAAAAAAACAATAAAACATTTGACCTTTTTTTTACAATAAATAACAACAACAAGTAAACGGGTGACATGACAAATTCATGAATTAATACATGGTTATTATTATCTTTTATCGTTCTCTGTTTCCATACTGATCATCCATTATCAAAATTCAAGGATTTCAATCATCATCATCATCATCATCATCAAGATGATATAATCAATTGAATGAATAATTTTTTGTTTCCAATTTCATTGCTAATAAAACCACATTATGATTAAAATGAAAATAATCTTGAATTATCCTGAAGTTAATCCTATGGTATATTTCATCATCATCATTGGACATTATCATCATCATCATCATATTTTCCTGTTGTAGAAAAAAAAACGAATAAGCAACAACAACAACAACAACAAAAAAATCATAGATTTTGTTTAGGTTACCAAAAAGTTCTTGTTGTTTCGATGATAATCATAATAATAATGATGGTTTTTTTTGTTATCTATCTCTCTCTCTCCCTCTCTTTTTCGTTCTGTTGTTTGATGATAATGACCACAAAAAGAAAATAATTTTTTTTTGTTTTGTTCACTGTTATTATCATCGTCATCATCATCATCATCATCATGATGATTATCATTATATAACCATTGTATTTAATTCAAAGAATTGTTGTTATTTTGTTGTTGTACAATTTATTTCAAATCGTATCAGATTATATTATATGATGATGATGATGATGATGATATATCCTAATCTAATCTTTTTAATCCAAGAAAAAAAACCATCGCCACCACTACTAAAGATTGGATGAAAGAAATCTTTATTATTATTATTATTATTATTGGATTGAGGGCGCCATTACATTCGTGATCATCATCATCATCATCATCACAAATCATCATTAATGTTTTTTGGAATACTCAATAAAAAAAACCCAAAGAAAAAACAACAAAATGGAACCAACACGATCATCATGATCATGATCACGATGATGATGATCAAAATTATACACCAAAAAAAAAAAAAAAAAACAACAACAAAAACAGATCGAAGATCCAAAATGAAAATTATAAATGCATGTCATCATCATCATCATCAATGATGATTGGAAATGATGTTTACTATAGTACTATCAACAGGTTTGATCATAGAAACAATAATACAACACTTGTTGCTGTTATTTTTGCTGAATAAATAGATAAATTCATTATTATTGTTTGAAAACGAAAATTATTTTTCTTCTTCAAATGATTATTAGGTGTCTTATATATATAGCTGATGATGATGATAATCTGGTTATTGTTTGATTTTGTTTTTTTTAATTATTATTACTATTACTACAATCCGAACAACAACAAAAACAAAAAAACAACAACATCCCAAGTCATGCATGGAATGTTACAAAAAAAAAAAAAAAAAAAAAAAACAAAACAATGATGATGATGAATTGCAAATTTTTTTTAAAGTGTATTATGTACCCATATGTAGTTGAATATGAATAGAGAAAACAACAACAACAACAACAACAACAAAAAAAATTTTACACACACACACAAACACACATGGATAAGTTATGTGCACATCCATTTTCCAATAAAATCAATTCATTCATTCATAAATGTCAGCCAATCTTTCTCTCTCTCTCCCTCTCTGTTTGTGTCGTTATTTAGAAATGATTAAAGACAATGAACCTTAAAGTGAAACAAACAAAAACAAAAAAAAATCTGAAATGAAATGAAATGAAACGATCCAGAAAGTGAACTAAAAGCTAAAATAAAATGAAATGAAATGAACTGCAACAAAACAACAACAACAACAACAACAACACAGAAGAGAAAGAAAGAAAAAATTCAATTGTTTTTTCAAACGAATTGCAAACTATAACAATTATCATCATCATCATTATTATTATTATAATAAAAAAAAAAAAAAAACAAAACAACAACAACAACAACAACATTATAATGATGGTAATTGTCGACACCATAATCATCAATTCAAATTGTGTCATTCACACAACGATACACATAGACACCATGATGATGATGATGATGGAACCCATTTTGGAACATCAAGAACAAAAAAATCATTCCATTCACATATATATGTGTGATTATATTTGTAATGGTCATCCATAAATAAAATAATGATGATAATTGTTACCGAAAATAATTCAGTGTAAAAACAAAACACCAAAAAAAAAACAATACAAAAAAAAAATTTGAAAAAATCAAAATTGTAAATCATCATTTTTAGATAGAATGAATAATTTGATAATTTCTAGCTTGCACACACACACACACACACTCTGTCTCCATCTATTTCTATTTCATCGTTATTCAATCCTTTCACAATTGATTGATTCGGTTATAATGATAATTGTTTTTTCGTTGTTGTTGTTGTTTGTTGTTGTTGTTGTTGTTACTATTGTCTATCAATAGATTATTACATACACACATGAATGAAAATCAATCAATCTGATCAATAAATCTGTTGATGATTGATAAATAATAATTAAATCGAAAACAACCACTTGTTGTTGTTGTTGTCGTTGTAGTTTAAATGAAATTAATTATTATGTTTTGTTCTGTTTCATTATAATGAAAAGAAATATATCAGAAAAAAAATGACAGCTAAAATAAATTTAAAGTGAAAGTGTGAAAACAAAAATCCAATGATTCCAATGTGAAATTGTCAATTCGTTTCAACAATCTGGGAGAGAGAGAGATAGAGATAGAGAAAGAAATCAATCACATATAACGAGATCGAACAACTTTTATTTTTCTTTGTTCCAATTTCCTTCCATTTTTTTTTGTGATTCAATTCAATCAATTGAATTAAATTACAAAAAAAAAAAAGGGAATGAAACTTATAAATTAATCATTTTCTGTTAAAGTTGTGTGATCAATGTGGCAAACAAAAAAAAACAGAAAACAGAAAAATCGAATTTAAAATTGATGATTGAATGATGATGATGATGATGATGAAAAAGGGAAATGGCAGGGCAGAACAAAAAAAAACTGTGATTCGATCGTGATCGGGTTTATTTATTTATTTTTTTTAGCGGCCAAATAAAATTCAAATTAATTTGAAATCATAAAAAAATAAAATATAAATTTTGTCACAATTCAATTTTTCATTTTACTTTCTGTCTGAAATCAATTGATTGATTGATTGATTGAATGTCGATCGAATTAAATTTTTTTTGCAATTATAAATGAAAAAACAAACATTCCGAATGATGAGAGAAAGAATCGAAAAAATAAATCTATAAGACTATGATCATCATCATGATAATCATGG